GTACTCCGTGATGGGCAACAGTAGCCCTTCGTGTTGACAACAGCCAGTTTTAGAGCCAGTCATAGTCAGAATGACGAAGGCCTTCTAAGAATTGCATCGATGTCAAGGATAAATGCCTAGATGCTAAAAGCGTTACGATTTACGAAGTGGCTTGGGATGACTCAAAGAGCGGGGGTGCTTGCAGCGTCACGACAAAGCTTAAATAGATGAGGCCTTGAGAAAATATGAAATCGAAGAACAATCTACAAAGGATGAAATGAGATGACTCGGAAAGGGTTTAACCGGGCATTTTTAGTCGAGTTAGGATGTAGAACAGGGGATGTGCTGATTTTAGGTAGTCCGATGTTAGTCCGATCATGTGGGTTTTTATTCCGATGCGAAATCAATCTACCTTGAAAGTTGCTGATGATGCCGACTGATTTCTAATTAACAGATTTCTAATATACAAATCAAAGAGAGATGATGAATTCAACATACTCCGTGCTTCTTGGATATATTTATCATATCCAGGGGTAAAAATCGGAGTACATTGAGCATGGGTGTTAGTCCGATATCCCGAAGTCCGACGAGGCTTGTCAACCTTGTTTCACCTTCAACATACATATACAGGTACTCCGCTGCATTTTAACCCTCTTCAGATGACTCGATCAGAGTCAACAATCATTGACTATCTCCACAATCCTCGCTATCTCTTTCGATGATCCAACTAACACGCCCTGCGGTCTTGGCAGCAGTACATATCCACAGGTTTCCCACTATTACGAATATGGTGCATTCAACTCGATTTCGAGACTCCTGGGAAAGGAAGTCAATGACCGATGCGTCAACCTTTCTTACATATGCCAGAAATAGTCCATTCCAATGTTTTTGCTGCAATCCAACATCTGATCTCAGACAGTTGTGAGAAGGAACCCATCTTTGCTCGAATGTTCTGAATCATGAAGCAGCCAAGGTCTCCAATATGTTGATGTTCTTCTCTGAATTATCCTAGGGTCACTCGGGATCTCATTGCTATTTGCTTTGGCGTGGTCAGCCAACCTGTGGACCTCGGGATCTTCCAACCTTGGAAGGTTCCGAGATCAACATGTTAGTAATCATTTCATCAGGGCCCAGGACCTGGGAGATACCCCCGGCAGTTCAGTTTGATAGCAACACTTTCCTCGTCAGTAAACGCCTAACAATGTGGAGAAATCGAATTCCACACTCCGAAAGTCTCCGCAGGGTCGGCTCCTCCTTGGGACATTTGTCAGCTTCAGGTTCCACAGCACCTGGGAAACTTGCTGAGAACCTTTGAAGTTTCATGATGAATAATCGGCAAGAATTGTGGGGTTCTGAGGAATGGAAGCTTGGTTTAAGAGAACCCCAGTCCTGATCTGGCATGTCCTTTTCACTCACTTTTAAATTCCCAATTTCAATCCCGATAACTACCTCACTACACACGAAACAATGTCTCTCAAGCCTATCACTGTCTACGGGCATGACCTGGGCCCCAATCCCTGGAAGGTGATCATGATCCTGGAAGAGCTGAACATTCCCTACACCCACAAGATCATCAACTTCCCAGACATGAAGAAGGAGCCATTCGAGTCCATCAACCCCAACGGCCGCGTCCCCGCAATCGAAGACCCAAACACCGACATCACCCTCTGGGAATCCGGCGCGATTGTCGAATACCTGGTCGACACATACGACAAGCAAAACACCATCAGCTTTGCCGCCGGCTCCAAGGACTACTACCTCGCCAAGCAATGGCTTCACTTCCAGGTATCTGGTCAAGGTCCATACTTCGGTCAGGCTGTCTGGTTCAGCCGCTTCCACTCAGAGAAGGTGCAAAGCGCAATCGACCGCTATGTTAACGAAATCCGTCGGGTTTCTGGTGTTCTGAACCGCGCCCTCCAGGGGAAGAAGTATCTCGTCGGTGACAAGTTCTCATATGTCGATGCTGCTTTCGTCCCTTGGAATCTGTATCCTGGTCAGTTTGGGATTGATATGGAGAAGGAATTCCCCAATGTCGATGCCTGGTCGAAGCTGGTGCAGGAACGTCCTGCTATTGCTAAGTCGGTTCAGGATCGGGCTGATGCTTGTGCGCAACGTTAAGTGGATTCCATATGAGGATGTTTGCGTGTGGATAGGAAGGAATGAAACGAAAACCACAAGGACAGTGGACCGCTCATTCGGCCTTTATTCTTGACGACCGCAAGACACCGATAATATGATCTGTTCAGTCTAGCTTGATATTAGGGGCGTTGTATGTATGTGAAACACACCGACGTATTTGCAGATGTCTGTTCAGGTGTATATGAAGGCGCGTAGAGAGGAATTTCCTATGCATAACCAGGGACTGTGGGTAGTCGGGCGCATTTGCGGCCTCTGATCTTGAGAACGACATGATCCAGTTGGCTCGATGTACAGCGGAAATTTGGTTTTTTTTTTTATTCGTTAACTCGCTCGGGGCTAACTAAACGGTCCGCCAAGGATATCGAGGAGGTTGATTGTGAGACAGATTGCCTATCTGGTACACAAACTTTTGCACGGAATTTATGAAATCTGGAAAATACACATCAAGATCAAAAGAGTACTCAGACGGAGAAGGAAAAAGGAAAGTCCACATGGATGTTCGACGCCAGTTTTCTTTTCAGGCTTTTAATGGCAAGTGCAGTCTGGTATAGGGAAGGTGCGTTGGCCAGACGCTGATGTTGGTATGATTATTTTCTTTTTGTCTAAGTCTTCCTGTGTTTCCTGTGGAATAAGACCTAATCGTCTTAGAACAGGACCTACCTATGATGAGAAGCCGCACTGTGGACTATCTCCGGTCCTAACATATAAATGCTTGACATGAGCAGAATAGAGCATAATATACGGAGTGTAATCTAAATAGTTTAATATTGTCCGTATATCGTAAAAAAAGCCCACAGAGCCGCGTAAGCATCTTTCAATGAGATACAACGTAAGTGTCTTTGAGCGATACCTGAATCTGCTTAAAAGCACCAGGCAGAGCAAAAGGAGTAGAGTCGACAGATGCTATGTTGGACAATCATTGCAGCAGGCACCAGCAAAAACAAGGCTGAAAGAATCGGAATGGTCGGAGGACTGTGGAGCTGAATACTCGTACCCGAAAAGGCAGGTTTGATGCCCGGGTATCGGCTTTGATTGGTTATTGGACGTCAAGACAAAATCATGCCTTGATCAAATGCCCACCCACCTGGGCCGAACTTCGCTACCGTATGGGGATTGAGAAGAACGTGGGCTAACTGTCGGACACTTGATTTTTCCGCGCAGGCATGGAGACAATATTACATTTAGTGTAATTTTAGTCTAATTATGGAGGCTAGAGCGTGCTATGACGCGGACAAGGCCGTGCCGTCCAGACAGGAGGATTAAGATTGCTGTGGATCGACGAGTCCGTCGACTTCTAGCTCGCCTATCAATGTTCCACTGGCTGGCCGATTATCCAAAAAGTGGATAGGCGGAGCAGGTCTCGGCTGCTTGAGGGGACTATGGAGTATGGAGTGCGTGAATTTAGAGAATCAAACCGCGGAGTCGTCATCACTGCGGGTGACGATTATAGCTCAAGTCTACCTACGGAGTTGGTACCTATGGGGTTCAACCGATGTAGGTACATATATTCCGTACCTCCTGACTATCTGGCGGCATTTAGATCGTACTTTTGCCGTGGGCTGATATTTAATTTTATTTGCGACGCCATGAGCAGGTCACAACCGGTATATGTTGTATTATCTCTATTGAACTTGGTATTTATAGTCTAGAATTTGAGTCCAGTCAAAGTCGAATACGAACTGGACTAGGGACCGAGCGTTACCACCGTCAGGGGAAATCCCTTGCTGGCTACGCACACCGCACTGTAAGTCTTGGAAAAGCTGGGCAAGTACGGAAGGAGATCAGGTTGTCAGATCAGGCTGTCAGGGGGTAAAAATCTTATACTTAAGCGTATGAGATTATTACCCCTGGCGGGATTCTGGGCTGCAACATCAACGTGAGGTGACTCCGTACAAGGCAACATTATAAGGGGGAAGTAACTTCAATAGCGTGCTCTAATAAATTGTCAAAGAATTGAACAAAGCAGAATACGCAAATGTAATATAAACTGGATAATATCAATGATTCTGGTACGGAGTACGGAGTACCCATGGATACGTAAGGAATTTCGACAGGCCAGGTGAATCTTGATTGGTGTACCTGAATTCTGGGGCCCAAAGAAGTGCAATCCTTACCTCTGATTGGTTCCCCCTGGCAGTTTTTAATCTCGTTTTGGCGCCAAGCCGCAGGGACCAAAGGTAAACAAAAAAAAAAAAGGAACTGCCTCGCCCATGGGTCCCCGCCGTTATAGAACCCAATTGGGGAAAGAAAGAGTGACTCCGTATAGTACTACAAAGCAAATATCTTGGATGAACTCTTGGAACTCTTGGAGAGATGATATTGTATATGCCAAGCAAGGCAAGTAGCATCCAGACCCTTGTCCAGGGTCCACTACCAAGGTAGGCAGTGTAAGACAGCTTGAATCTCGAAGTTGTATCCCGTACCTGCCCCTTTTCCCGTGACTATCACGCTAACGCTATTGGGGCATCAACTGAATCGCCCCCCCACCTCCTTTTTGTCTCCTCTCCCTGACTTCTTCTTCCCCAGTCTTTCCAACAACAGCTCTCCTTTCTCGAAGTTTTCCCACACCAGAGGGATTCGTTCTCTCCACATTCATTTGAAAACCGTCCTTTACTCAACTCCCTACGACAAACGCGCGACTGCCCTTGAATGTATGTGCTATCTCCCGTTTATCTTTACAGGTTGCAATAGCAAGTTGCGATGTGGTGTGGTGTGGATTGTTGTGTCTCGGGGAAATATGCGGAGGAAGGTGCAACGCAACAAACGCGATATATCGTTGGATGGACTGCTTTACACGACCGGGAATCATTGGACTACAAGAACTATGCATGGATTTGACAGAACTAACACATGATGATCAACAGTTTCGCACTACCGCTACAATGAAGTTCCAAAACACCGTTGCCGCGTTGGCGACGGCTGGCCTCGCGTCTGCTCACGGCCATGGCCACGCCCACGCCCACAAGCGCGCTACTGAGACCGAGACCGTTTCGGTCCCAGGCCCTGTCGTGTATGATTTCGTCGTATTGGACCCGTCTAAGCCCGGCTCTCCTCAGCCCATCAGCATCGAGAAAGCCTGCGAGGGTCTCGCAAACAATCAGTTTGAGTGGCTGGACTCTGCCGTTGCTGCTGCTTGCCCATCTAGCAGCTCAAGCACACCCACCTCGACTTCCACGGCTGCCCCAACCACAACCGCTACGGTGGCGCCTGCCATCCTCCAAGAGACCTCGGCCGTTATCACCCCCGCCAGCTCCACAAGCACTGCAGAGCCCACCTCTAGCTCCACCACAGCTGCTGCTTCTACCAGCAGCTCTTCCAGCTCGAGCAGCTCCGGTGCGACCGGCCTCAATGCTGAATTCCCCGATGGAGAGATTGACTGCGGTGACTTCCCTTCGGATTACGGTGCTGTCCCTCTTGACTACCTTGGCCTTGATAGCTGGTCCGGTATCCAGTACGTCACTATCCTCGATAACCTGGTCAGCGATATTGTGACCGCTGTTACTGGCGATAAGTGCCATTCCGGTGCCATGTGCTCCTACGCTTGCCCACCTGGATACCAAAAGTCCCAGTGGCCTACCACCCAGGGTAGCACCGGCCAGTCCGTCGGTGGTCTCGAATGTAAGAGCGACAACAAGCTCTACCTCACCAACAAGGACCACAGCCAGCTTTGCATTCCTGGTGTTGGTGGTGTGCACGTCAAGAACAAGATGTCCGAGAGCGTTGCCGTTTGCCGTACTGACTATCCCGGTACCGAGTCTGAGACCATTCCTCTCAACGCCTCCCCCGGTGCTGTTCACGACCTGACTTGCCCCAACGGTAACAAGTACTTCAAATGGGGTGGCAAGGTCACCTCCGCCCAATACTACGTCAATCCCAAGGGTGTGTCAACTGAGAGGGGTTGCCAGTGGGGTGACGGCAGCGAGCCTATTGGTAACTCGGCTCCCCTTAACCTTGGCGTCGGTGAAACCGATGCCGGAAAGTTCCTGTCCATCTTCCCCAATGCCCCGACCACCGACGCGCTTCTCGACTTCAACGTTAGGCTTGAGGGTGACAACCTCAGCGATGAGTGCCGTTACGAGAATGGCAAATTCTACGACTCAAAGGGTCCCATCAGCGGCAACAGCGGCTGCACAGTAAGTTTTTCGTCATAAACCTCCCAGCTTGCAAATTTCCGTACTAACAATATCTCTCCTCAGGTCGGTGTCACCTCCGGCGCTGCCTACTACGTCTTCTACGACAACTAAATGTCGCAACCGCTTTTTGGTCGGCAGCAGTCCTTACACTGCCAAGCGGAATTCGGAGCTTCCCACACTTGAATTACACTAGGGTGAGCAGAGCTACCGCTCTCGTCTCACTTCCCTATGTGTCTCTGTCTATATTCACGGTTTCTTATTCGAAGGATCTTTATTCTTTTCTGTGTATCTTTAGTTCTATTTTGTTTTATGTGTGACTGGGCCCGAAATCCAAATCCTTGTTGCATCTTCTTTGTTTTATTTCTTATGACCACATTTACCCCCTGGTCAGGCACATTGATGGGAGCGATATCTTTTTTTATTTGACGGTTAGATTTACCTTCTTTATCTTCAAGTACCAATCAGTTCTTGATTTCCGAATCTATCCCTCGTTCCCTTCCCTTGCATCTTTGTCCTGGTGACTGGAGGTTGCATCTCCCTACCCAATGTCTTTCTTTTGACTCTTGGTGACTTGTTTTATCCTACGCCTCGCTTGGAGTGAAAGTTCGAGAGTATGGGTTGATTCAACAGGGGAAAATCCTGGCACACAGCTGGTTCTGTAACAGTCGGTCATCGGCTGGCCGCTCTTGAGTGATCTAGTCCAGCAGATCTGCACTGTCTGTTTTGAGTCAGTTATCTTCTTTATCCTTCGAATGATATTCCACAATTTCCTTTCATATTTCCTCTCTCGTGATCTAGTAGCTAGTTACCTAATCAAAGCAGCCAATTCAGGGCTCCTCTGCTAAGACACGTTGCATAACCTGCCAGTTAAGTCAGTAATGTGTGACATGTGCGAACCTACCTAGTTAGGTGTCGTTGTACTTGAGCTACCTACAGCTCCCCACAATAATGTGAGGGACAAGCTAAACTATTAGTGTGACGGCAATTGCTTTATGTGACACACCGTGTACATCATGAAACGCCAGATGCATGACCCCACCCAGTAGCTATAGCATGCATGATTGCGTCATTGATTTTATGTCTATTGGCAACAGAAACTGTTCGTTTAGTCATGTACATAGTAGCTTACATTGCAAGAACTTGCCTAGGTAAAATGAAACTTCATGATTCCTGTCAATCACGTGCCGATATATATAGGAGCGAAGCCCTAACAGATCGTGACAACTAATGCTCAAAGCGGTTTCGTAGATGCACAGTTCCACACAACAGCTGCTGGGGGATAGTTCCTAGCTTAATAATCTATGATAACATCAATATAGAAGATCAGAACTGAAAACCTACTTATCTGACAACATGCGTGGAATCTTGTTCGTCGCAAACATGCCTGACTCCGCTATAGAGACGTAACATACGACACACGCTGCGCCCGACCGCTTAACCCATTTCTGCTGATTTGCGACCGGGAGATATAAGGTGCCAATAGCTCTTATTTTCCCAGCCACACCTTTCTGTGGAGTTTCAAACAGCCCATCACCCTTACCTGGAATCTGCACCCACCTGGTCAGCTGGTATGTTGTATATGCGTGACACACCCGAGGGACAATGTATTTAGCAAGATCCTCGAAGACAACCCTAGGACGAGAGATCTCTGGCAGAGTGCTTCATATCCTATTTATATCCGGGGGAGAAGACCCTGCCTCATGCTACCAAAATAAGCGCCACAGCTAGAACTAATAGGGGAGCTACGACCGGGATATATGGATGAGTATTTGAATATATAGGTATATTCCTAACGGAAAGACTCATAGACCAATAATCATGGGCTGTTCGGAGACTGAAGGATAAGAGCTTGGAGAATATGGAATCGGACGTGGAACGACACTGGAATCCAAATGAACGCCATGTTGAAAGCTGAATTGGGGTTATCAAGTAGCGATGGTCACTAGCAAGGCCAAAATTTGTTAGTTGGAGTAAAATGGCCTATAAGAACATACACAGGCCAAGAAAAGAATACAAAATCAAACATTAACCATTCCTGCAGCTCGGAGAGGGAATGGGGCCGAAATTTTAATCTGATAAGCAAAAATACACTATAGGACTTGAGTAGGAAATGGTCATTGCTCAATTACGCCGGTTTTTTGTGTTACCTCTCGTTCAAGACTGATATAATTCTCAGTGTACCGTTTCATATAATCGTTCGTTAGGCCACATGCGTTAGACCCATATACTAGGCAAGGGGATCGGTTCTGCGAGATGCATAACTCCACAGCTGATATGGAATCATTCCGACCCGTAGATTATCCCAGAAGATTCTTTGCCAATGCTGGGAGTCCTCCAGAAGACCGGTGAGGTGAGCTATACCGAAAAACAGACCAAAAAATCAAACTAACCGAGGCCCCACCAGCACTTGTCAACAAAACCCAGTGGAAAAACTAGGATTGTTTTGTTATTCGCTTTCATAATTGGCCAGGCTGGAATTTAGCTCATATGCCCTTGGAAAGAAAGCCTTTTTGACTAAAGCTCGAGCCAAAATGATTTAAGGTGGTCGGGCAAATTGCTAGGAAACGCGACGAGGTGACCGGTGATCAAATGTGACAGTAAGTGGGGGGGCTGAGGGGGGTGAGGAGGCTGGCATTTTCTGCTGGAGATTGTATGAATTGTACTCCGTATAACATAGTACTTCGTACTTTATACCGTGGTATTAGCTATATGGTATTAGCTATATACGAGCTTGGAGACCCTGAATTTCATCATTGGCTTTTGATACTTGGATAGGTTGAAGATTTAGGAGGGAAGATATGTTGCAGTCAATTGTTTAAAATCATCCTAGGGGCTACATGCTAAATAATGTCAATCTCGAGGTCATGAATACCATTCCTGACAGACCCTTAAACCCGGTTTCCTGTCTCGCGTGGGGTCACGTGTTTTGAGACGCGGACGCGCCGCAGTGTTCGGAGTATAGAGTTGAACAGCACGAAATTAAGATGAAACAAACTTTTAATTCGCGCCTTTTCACGTTTTCGTCTCTCGATTTACAAGTCAATATTTGTACAATACCTAAAGGCAGCAATTGAAATCGCGAAGCTGCAGTGGAGCGTGGTTGGCGCCTATCGAACGCGTCTCGGGCTGTAAGCGTGCATTTCCGCGCAGGGTGGACAAGACCCTCCGCCCCAGGGCATTCCACCACCACACACCCTTTCGACCTTTTTCTTCAATGCTTCTCCTCCTTACTCCTTGACCAATTTCTCTTCTCCCACCACACCTTTTTCTTTAGGGGGGGCCTTGACGTCTTTCTCTTCTTCAAAACTCTCTTTCCCTCTCTGTGTTCGTATAACACGCGGAGACGCGGGTCCTCGACCTCGACTCAGGTTTTTCTTTTCGTGAGTAGGAGTGCTCGTTCGACTTCGTCCCACCTTTTTACTATGGAGTCTTCTCCGTTGAAGAGCCGAGTTGGCTCGATTTCAGGCGTGAAACGTCCTGCAGCTTTACTGCCTGCCTTTGAGCCGAGCTCGTCGCCCTCCCTTCCTCGGCCTCAAAAGCGTGTAGCACGCGAGCCCGATGTCTCGACGTATCCCACCCCGGTCCCGACCTCGTCAACCCATATCATGTCCTCTTCGCCTCCTCCTCCTGGCGTCGCTACTTCCCGACCCCCTCTGCCACGGTCCTTCTCTGCTGCCCTCGAACGTGCGCCCTTGTCTGCCGTGCCCGCGATTATGTTACCGGAGAATGGGGAGCCCATTCTGATGGGCAGATCCAGTGTCTCGTGTCATCACCAGCTTGCTGCTAGTCGGATGATCTCTCGTGTTCATGTCAAGGCTACATATAAGCCGGCCCCAAACCCATTCGATCGGGACAGGGTTGAGATCGTGTGCATGGGATGGAATGGGATAAAGATTCACTGCCAGGGGAGGAAATATGACTTGGCCAAAGGCAAGACTTTTACCTCGGACATCAAAGATGCAGATATCATGATAGATGTCCATGAGGCTCGTGTTCTGGTCCAATGGCCTCGCAGCGAACGAAGGGACTGCCCTTCTACGGACTCGGAACAGACCAGTGACGAAGCAACACCTACTCAGCGCCGCCAAGCCCGACGAGAGCTGCAGGAAAGTCCGCTCCTGGATCGCCAGCGTCTGGCATCGCCTATCTCCCCTTCGCCTGCTGCTCAGCATGCCATCCCCCCATCCTCGCCGATTTTCACACCTTCTCGTTCTCGGGCTGCAGTAGTGGTGTTTGAAGATGAACCATCTCCACTGAAGCGTCACAACACCGTCACTGGAGTGACCTCTCAAAGTGCCCGTCGTGCTACTGCCATGCTTCACAACTCGCGGGCGAGCGAGCTGAGTGAGCTGAGCCGATCTGAAGACTTCTCTGACAATGACGAAGAGAATGACCCTATCATTCACTCATTTGGACCATTCGGAGAGAACATTCTTCCTCGTATGGCTTCTTTCCGGGCGGGTGATTCCCCCGCTCAGACTGGTCGTTCTCCTCGCAGCCTGCTGCCCGCCCAACCGCTCCAGCCTACCCGGTCCCCTAGACAGCCAGCCACCATCCATGAGGACAAGGAAGTCGAGGCTCCCGAGGCCAAACCCCAGTACACCGACGAACGATCCGAGAGAGCCCGCAACCACGCCGCCAATCAGCTCGCCTTCTCCCGATTGTCCTCCACGCCTTTCTCCACTATCTTGAACAATCTCCCTCCTGCATACTGGAAGTCCGGCCACGAGTACTCGACCGGCCTCTCAAGGTCTGATATTCGCAATATTCTCGAATCGACCAAGTTTATTGGCAGAGTTGCCCGCGAAGGCAAGGATGCTGCCGGCAAGCCACTTGAGAGTGAATATTACTACATTCCCGACGAGGATGACGATGTTATGCGGCGGTCTGCTGTGGTGGATGATCTTCGGAAGCCAGGCCTGCGCAACTGCCGGAAGCAGCACAAGGTTAGTACCTCCATGATCCCTATACATCCATTGACGTACCTGAATCCCCACTAACTTGTTTCCAGCAATACTTCTGGCGCAAGCCCAAATGAATCATTGATCGAAAAAGTTCCCATGTCTTTCCACTGTCGGATGGGCTTTCTCAGTACATATTTCCGGTGATTCTTGGTCTCCCTGGCTGCTAGGGAGACTCGCATAGCGTGGCGTGAGGCATACCCTGTTTTTAGTTCTTATTATCAACATCCTTGTTTTTTTGTGTTCTTTTTCTGCTCGTTGGTCTTATTTCCTCGTTATAGCATCGACGTGTACGATTCTTTGGTCTCCAAAAAGTGCGTGTATATCGTTTTGGTTGGGCCTTGGATATCCCGAAGTTGGTGTCCAACGCGTGATGTTCTCTTTGGCCATCATTGGCCGTTTTGTTTGCCCTAGAGATCAGTTATTCTGATACCGGCTTTCCTATGTTGCAGGTGTCTCTTTGGAAAGACGCTTCGCCGCCTTGTCCCTTAGTACCCCCTGGCACTGTTCCTTCGCGGACTATGTATCCTACTTCTGCTTTTGCCTCGTTGGTTTTGCCATTTTTGTCAGTCTGCTTTCCAATGGTTGAACGCACTCACGACTTGTATGTTAGCTTGTCAATTTCAATATATCTGTTCGAATGATCGGTTACCTTGATACTAGTATACGGGATGCAATGATGTGGTACCTATTCTGTAGATAGTTGTCATGTCTTTCCAGATAGCAGGGGCGAAACTGGATTAACATTGCTGTCTGGATTAAGGATTTATGTAGCACTGCAATCACACACTCTGTATAGCCCTGAAGTCATTTTGTCACAAAGCTCTCGACTTACCTCCAAGGTGATACAGCAGCAGATGCTTGCTGCAGGGTTTGTGCTATTGCTGCCACGATATCACGTTCATGTGCAAACACATTCCTTGTCAGTAACTATAATAACTATATTTCCATTGCATTGGAATGAATTGATGATGTTCCTTCATACTTATAGCATACTAGTTGTTCTACTGGAGATGGCCTGATGCCTTCGCCACCCGCACGTCATATCCACCCCTCCACCCAAATACAGATAGAATACTTCCCTACGCCTTGTGAGAGGTTCTCTTCACACGTATCATCTTTGAATAATCCACTAGGACCAATCTCACTCGTTGCCACACATTTAGGTCTTGAATACCCCGCACGAAAGAGGTATAAAAGGACAACCGTGGAAGCAGATAAGCTGTGAGCACAACATTGGAGACTCCCAATATCTTTCTTACACCACTATAAGCTAGCTCCAAATCAGTAGTGGGCAAGCATCTTACGTCCCAACCTCGATCTACGCTATCTACCTACGAAACGCGAAATGGCGTCAAACAATCACAACGATAACCACGGTGAAATCCCTAATACAGGCAGAGATCACACCATTCTCCCCTTCGCTCAGAACCATAAACCATATAACGATACTGCCGGGTCATCGCGTCCCAGCCGAGAGGAGACATCTTCGGAGAAGTCGTGGAAGCCGACTTTCCATCGCCAACACAGCTGGAGTAACCAGGACCAGAAGCACCAGCTGCAAGAACGATTGTACCGGTCGGAAAAGGGAAAGGAGATGGGGTTCACAGAGGTGCATAGTGGGGATTAGAATGGTTCGAAACAGCATTTAGTGCTGCGATGATCGTCCTTTTGATGCAGGGTTATAACACATGGTGGGACCTTAGGAAGTGGGGTTTGGGGATAGGGAAATGATGTAGTATTAAATTGAGAATCACAAAAGTGGTTGAAGTTGAAGTTGAAGTTGAAATTGAAACCGGAATTGAAACTGAGAGAATGAACATGAGAAAGGGGGGGTTATAAGTGATGAAAGTGACCAAGTGAAGTCCAAGTTATCGCACAAGGGGATAAATGGATAAGCAAATAAAAGTCCGCCTTCACCTCCGCTCCGCCTTCGAACCCTTTAGACCTTTAGACCTTCGACCTTCCTTCTCTTCACTTCACGGCTTTGAGCTTTGTTTTCTCTTGTTCTTTCTTTTCCCCCAATGTGGCATTCAAGTCACTTATGCGCTTTCCTCTCGGACATTCAGAAAGGACCCCACGATTGAGCCTGTGACACCACAGCCATGGATCGCCAACGTAAAAGTACGGTCTACCACACCTCACCTTGGAGATATTGACTGACATTCGGTTTTTTCTATTACAGGGGAGCTTCGCGACCTGAACGAGCGAGCCTGGGCAGGCGAATCTGGTAAAATCCCATCTGACTCCCTTTATGACGAAATGTCATTCCAGCCCACCTTCGGGGTGATTCTAACGACCTGCAACCAGATGTATTCTCCACTAGCAAGTCCCTTGACTCAGCGCTCAAGAAGAACACTGCCTTCATCAAACGTCTACGCACCGGCATTAGTGCCTCCGCCCTTTCCACTTTCCTCGCTGACATCCGCACCCTCTCGCTCCACAAGTACCTTTCCGAGATCATCTCCGCCTGCTATGAAGGCCTCTGCAAGCTCAAGTCCCCCGGCGAAATTGCCGCTGGAGTCGAAGTTGTGAGTGCGCTGCACCAGCGTTTCGGCCCCTGGGAATTTACACGGCAGATCGGCTGGCTGCTCGGCCGGGGACTGAGCACACCGGATAAAGCGCAGCTCAAGGCGCTCAGCCAGGAGATCCGCGAGCGCGAAGAGAAAGACCGTTTGTCTCGACACCGCGTTCTTCTGCGCGTTGTTACAGAGCTTTGGCTAGTCAATGTGCTGAAGACTCTCGATGACGTCGAGCGACCTGAGGAACTGGGTGCGAAGGGCAAAGAGGGAGCAGTTGGCATTGGCAAGCCTTCCGATACACCGCTGAAAGCCAAGAGTCCCGCCGCAGGCTCGAAGGACCAGGACAAACAGGCTGACCCGTTCCCATTGGAGGTTCTGAAGGAATTACTCGGTCACGACCGTGATCATACGAACCTGCCGCTTGCAGTTTTGTTTGTGAAGAGCTTCAGCTGGGATATCGTCGGGTCGAAACTTGCCGAAGAGGGCCGGAAAACAGTTGAGGCGGATGGCGCTACGACTGGCGCGGACGCGCAGACTACGGAAACCAACGGCGATGCCCACCCGGAGACCGATTTACCTCTGACCCCAGAGAAGACTCAGCTGCGGTTTAGAAATATTTTGAACCGGTACCTTGAGGACGTCAAAGCCCACGTTGTTCGAGACCAGAGAGCGCTGGCACAGCAAAACCGCCGTAATGCCGAAGCATACGTGAAGAGTGGTGAGATCTTCGAGGATCGCCAGGCCAATTTCGAGAAGCAGTCCAAGGTTCTGGAGAAGCTCGTGGCTAATACCCAGGTGCTGTGCGAGGCTTTGGGCACCGACATGCCCGATCTAGCCGAGAAGGAACCCACGGATGCTTCTGCCGGTGGTGGTATTGGCCTTGTGAAGACCACTGACTACCTGCGAGGCCAAGGCGAAGGTGCCGGAATTTGGGAAGACGAGGAAGAAAGACGCTTCTATGAGAATCTGGTCGATTTGAAGGGCAAGGTGCCTGCGGTCTTGCTCGAGGACGGCAAAAAGAAGAAGGGCGAAGGTGAGGAGTCGGGTAAAAGGAAGCCAGATGGCGAAACCGCCGACTCTGCCGAGCCTTCGGATGAGAAGGCTGCTGCGGAGGCTGATGACCAGTCCACTGCCATTGCCAGCAAGACTGTGGGTGCGCAGGTGGACTCCCTTCTTGCAAAGCTTCCCGAATTGCAGACCAAAGATCAAGTCGACCAGTTTGCTCTAGATTTCTGCTGGGTTAATTCTAAAGCATCGCGAAACCGGCTGGTCAAAGCTGTGTCCGACATCCCCAAGGGTCGCATTGATCTTTTGCCTCTGTATTCTCGCTTGGTGGCAACGCTTGGACAATACCTACCAGATATTCCACAGGGACTGACCACGTACCTCGATGAAGAGTTCCGAAGTCTGCAGCGGCGCAAGTCCAAGGAATTCCTCGGTCAAGTACGTATGAGCAATGTTCGCTACCTAGCTGAACTGACCAAGTTTGGTGTCGTTCCGGAGCATATCATCTTCCATTGCTTCAAGGTTTCGCTTGACGAATTTTCGCGCATGAACATTGAAATTATCGGCCATTTGCTGGAGAACTGCGGCCGTTACCTTCTGCGCAACCCCGAGTCCTCGCCTCGGATGGCTTCTTTCCTCGAGACCTTGAGTCGCAAGAAGACCGTGCAACATCTGGCCCAGCAGGAGCGGATGGTAATCGAAAATGCCATCTACTATGTTGACCCGCCACCACGCCCAGCGATCCAGCAGAAAGAACGTACACCCATGGAGCAGTACATCCGCCGACTAATCTACCTGGATATGAACAAGCGGAACTACACCAAGATCTTGAAATCCATCCGCAAACTTCACTGGGAGGAGCCAGAGGTTGTCGAGATTTTGGAACGTGTGTTCAGCAAACCGGTCAAGGTGAAATATGGCAGCATCCACCTTTTGGCGATCCTTGTCAGTGCTTTGTACCGGTACCACCAGGATTTCGTGATTGGTATCGTCGACAACGTCCTGGAGCAGGTCACGCTTGGCCTCGAGCAGAACGACTTCAAGTTTAATCAGAAGCGCATTGCGGAAATCAAATATCTAGGTGAGCTCTACAACTACAAGATGATCGATTCCCCGGTGATCTTCGACACGTTGTACCGCATTATCACCTTTGGTCATGAAGGTGGTACCCCAGCCCCTGGAAAGATTAGTATGCTGGACTTGCCAGACGACTACTTCCGCCTGCGCTTGGCATGCACTCTTCTTGACACGTGTGGCCACTGCTTCGACCGTGGCTCTGCCAAGAAGAAACTCGATTTCTTCCTTGCGTTCTTCCAGTACTACTTATTTACCAAGGATCCGTTGCCCATGGATGTCGACTTCCTTGTCCAGGATACGTACCATTCTATTCGCCCGCAGTGGAAGCTTGCTACCGAGGCTGAAGAAGCGACTCGGATTTTCAGCGAAGCTGTTGCCCTGAACTACAATGTGCAGGATTCCGAGAGACCCGTTGAAGCTGACGAAGAAGATGCGGAGAGCAGCTCTTCTGATGAGGACCTTGAGGAGGATGCTATGCCCGAAATAGACGAAGACCAGGAATCCAGCGATGAGGCCGAAGTAGGTCCCCCATCTCGTCTGCATGAAGTACGCCCTATTAACGCATTTAACCCGTCGAAGGCATCTGGACCCAATCTCGAGGCAAACGAAGACAGCGACAGCGAGTCTGAGGACGAACAAATCGTTGTCACTCGACAGGAAGAGGAGCGAGACCCAGTTACCGAGGCTGAATTTGATCGAGAATTCGAGAAGATGATGGCCGAGAGCATGGACTCGAGACGGTTCGAACGCAAGACTGTCTTTGATATCCCTCTTCCTATGAAACGGCCCCGCGAGAACATGCCCAGCGACTCTAGCCCTGAGCCAGTGCCGGCCGAACCAGTTGCACCTAAGACAATGGCCTTCTCCCTAATGACAAAGAAGGGGAACAAGCAACAGGTAGGACTTTCCAATCCCATCCGCAATATTGTTTCAGCAATTTACTAATCATATCTAGACCCGCACCATCGATCTTCCATCGGACTCGACCTTTGCTATTGCCATGCGGAGCCAGCAACAAGCCGACCGTGAGGAGCAGCAGCGCATCAAGAACCTGGTCCTGAACTACGAGGCGTCCACCGAACCCGAACCCACCGAGTGTGAGCAATACCCCCTGGTTAACCGGAAGAACTTCCAACTGAGATATCCCAAAGCAGCGACCCAGGAAAAGCGCACCCCCACCGGCCAGCGGATGGACAAAGCCGGCGCCAACCGGACCGCTTTCCGTTCCCGCAAACTCCAGCTCAGCGACGTCAATTGGTAATGAATGCAGCCAGTATCTGGACCGAGGTCCATATCCCATATCTTCACTTGACACAGCAGACAGCACCTTTCCCGTGGAAGGTTGTCATCCCACCATGGAACAATTCTTTCATCTCTGCACAGCCCGGTGTGAAACTCTTGGTTCAACCCAATGAGCTTATCTACGGTATACGTCGCACACAACGCGAGTATGCAATGCCGTATGAGTATGACCTGGAATCCGTCCTTGCTAATGGAATCGACCCGGCCGCGAATGCCATCGAAATGGCACTCCTGTTGCTGCTCGGGATCCTTCTTTTATCACTTTTCCATTCCGGCTGGTGTTTCTGAGCTGAATGGAGAGCTCGATGTTACCCGCATACAGAATCCCGAATCCCGATATGGTCGCCAATCATCAATTACCTGGTGAAAGAAATTACCACTTTGCTGCCCTCTTGCGAAGATCGTAAACTGTTCGATCTAGGGATGATGGGGGTTCAATTGGCTCGGAGAATTAGAGAATCAATCAGACTGGATGGATACACGAATATGAATGTAATGCCATGAGTGTATCTCTTAGCTATGATCTCTATCGTCTAGCAGTAGTAAATAATGCAACGGATTTACTTGAATCAACAACATGAGGTAAAACCAAAGGAATTGTTTTGTGAAGTAAAGGTGTTGCCCCTTCTCGCCTCTCTCATTATGGCGGGCTACCTAGGTAAATGCATTTTGTATAACTCAAAAGCAACCCTCGTCCGACCTGTTTTGGTGAAGGAGAAATTATTTCACCAGCATGCTAGCACAGCATGAAACACTACTCAGACAGTTTGGTCTAATGGAACTTGTTTCGGTCGGAGAGATCTGTGTTCTCAAGGTACACTTCGATCTAAAGAAAGAGGTCCATTAGTGGTGCTCACAGCGATAGATCCCTCGAAAAATTTCACTCGCCTTGTTGGTCATCTTCGAATCGACATCCTTGCAGCAAAGACAAGCAGCAAGACCCAAAATGCCGAAGGCCATCGATACCATAGCCACGATACTAGAAGAGATTATTAGAAACCGCTCCTTTATCCCCTGCTTTCTCCGGAGAGTGCGGGTAAGAGTTATGTTATTGGCAGTGCTTACAAGATCGCTTTGCAGTAGGCTTGACTGAGAGCCGCCTCTGCTGCTGCCACCACAGCAGGGCTATATGACTTCATCGCAGCAGCACCTTTGGATACCACAGCCATTAGGTCTGTGACCTTTGACTCCGGAAGTCCCGCGGAGATGGCAGCGGAGGGGACATATATAGCTGTATATTTCGCCAACGAGTTACTGTAGACAGTTTGGTAGATCGAGGTCGCAACTGAGAGCGAGAATTAGCATGATCCAACACAGAAGAGCAGTATGAGTTAGGAAACCGAGCAACGAGAACAGAAGACATACCAGCACCAGCAGCAAAGCGAATGCACCCGGAGATACCACCACTAACACCAAGATTCTTATGCTCAACACCCATCTGGGTAATAGCAATACTCAAATAAAGAGCCCAACCAAACCCAGCCTGGGAGAGGAAGATAAAGGCAATCATAGTCCCCTTATTAGTCGGCGTGACAATGCCAAGCAACGATCCAAAAACAACCATCACAAACACAGACCCGGTAAGCTGCCAGTGCCAATGTCGCAGCTTACTACCAAAGCAAGTGAGAAGCATAGCACCAAAGAAGATAGCGAATCCCTGCGGCAAGGACAGAATAACAGAGTATTTCCAGTCCGCACCACCATTCGTATAGAACACCGTGATCATCTGCGGCCACAGGATACTAGACGAGTAGTAGAACATATTGACGACGCCGAGCGCAATGACCGGCGCCGTGAAGTCGCGGCCCCACGAGCTGGCGAAGACATAGGTTGGTGTTAGTGGGTATTTCAGCTTGCCGAAGGACTCCCATAGCGCGAAACAGACGAGAACAGCCGCGCCGACGACTAGAGGGGCGACGACGTGGACGTCGTTTGAGTCGTATACGCCGGCCCAGACGATGCCCATTAGGAATGGGACTGCGCCGCCGATGAAGAGGAAGGCGCCGAGGTAGTCTGAGGGACTTGAAGGCTTCTTTGTATGGGATACCGAGTCTGGACTGTGTGGTTAGCTTGGGTGGTTTCACTGGGGTTGGGTTGGAAGGGGTTGGGCGTACGGGTGTTTCGGCGGGTGGTAGAGGAATAACAGGCCGAAGAATGATAGGCCTTGGAAGATGGCTACGCCCCAGAAGTTCCAGGCCCAGGTTCCGAGTTCGTAGCCATAGCGGGCTGTCACTGGTGCGATGATGACGGCTATGTAGACTGTGAGATCGGCGATGACGACTCCGATGTGTCGCCATTTATTGGGGAGGAGTTCTGGTAGGGCGAATGCGGCCATCTATATTGTGAATGACCTTTTAGCTGGAAGTTCAAAAGGAGATGGGGAAGAATTGGAGAGCTCATACCTGACAGTTTGCACCGCCAAAACCGGAGACAACCAGTCCGGCAATGACTTGGTTGGTGCTTTTGGCTGATGCCACCACAATATGGCCAATGAAGCATACCTAGAGGGGTGTTAAGAGGCGTTGTATACTGGGCAGTGATCGAATTTACCAGATTACCCAAAACTAAGAACCAGCGTCGACCTAAAAGATCGGTGTTTGGGCCACTGTGAAATTTAAATGAGCTTGGGAGTGGGAAGATATCGGTGTTCCAGAAGCATACAATATCAAGAAAGCACAGGTGATCGAGATAGTCCACGCCTATGATTGGATTAGTTTCTTTGCATGAAATCCTTCGAACAATCTTTATACACACAGGAACAAACCAGATATACCCAGTTGGATCCCCCATATCAGCAGAGATCATGGTGCCAATTGCCGACACCACTGGAATAGGCCAGAAAGAGAGGCCATAACCACAAGAAAGAATCTATATGCACAGAATGAGCATGCACAACATAAATTGACTGGTCACATACATACCATAGAGACAATCCATGTCTTCAAAGTGACAACCGGCTCAGTTGTTTCATCAACAGGCGACCCTGGCGTCTCCATTGGAGAACCAGCCTGCACCGAATCCTTTTCTGTGTCCACAGCCATGCTGGAATTTAAAAATGCAGTGGATGCAAAGGGGAAATAGGAAAGAGGAACAATTTTAATAAAACTCTCTATGAATCAGTCATATGAAGAGAGGGGGCGTTCATTACTCAATGGCTCAGGATCGTCTCGCGCTAAATCCACTACGATATGAGGGCAAATCCCCGAGACTTGAGTCGGACACTATGATCCGATGGACTTCTGTCTTATTTTTCTCGATCAAGCTTCTTTCCCTTAACTATCAAACACCATCACATCTCAACTCATAAGATGGGCTCATATATCGAAGCCCGCGTGGCTATCGTCGCAGGGGCCACTGTCAGTACAATGAAACCGACTACGCAGGACCCGCTATCAGTTGCTGACCAGAGATCCCTTACAGTCTGGAATTGGAATTGACCTCGCCAAGGACCTCTGCTCGAAAGGATGGAAGGTCGCTTGTGTAGGTCGGCGCCAGGAGGCCGGTGAGGCCCTCCTAAAAGACCTGCCACAGGACAGAGCATGCTTCTTCGCTGCGGATGTCTCCAACTACGAACAGTACGCGAGAGTATTCAGCAAAGTGCATCACCTCTGGGGACGTATTGATGCATTATGTGCGAATGCCGGTATTGTCGATGCGTCTTCCCTCTACATCTACGACTCGAAGAACAACAGCGTTGACAACATCCCGCCGGCCCCGGATCTGTCCGTCGTGGACGTCAATTACAAGGGGGTTGTCTATGGCACCCAGCTGGCAATCCATTTCATGCGCCATAACCCGCAGGCTGGTGGTCGCATTGTCGTCACGGGTAGTATTGGCGCGGTCTTTCCCCACAAGACATATCCGGTATACTGTGGCACCAAGGCTGCAGTGAATCATTTCATACGAGGCGTCGCCCCGTTGCTGAAACAAAAGGAAAATATTTTGATCAACTGTGTCATGCCAGGGATTGTGGACACGCCCATTGTGCCACCCGAGATGATTGCCGCTGTCACTCCTGAATGGTGAGATCCCGTGTCGCCTTCGAGTATCCATGCACAATACTGACATCATCTTGAACTTAGTATCACCCCAGTGCAGACTGTTCTCAGGGGATACGAAACCTTCTTAGAAGACTCGACCGGCATGGCGGGTGAGATATTAGAGTGCTCAGCCGACAAGCTGATCTACTACCACATGCCTAAACCGGGAAATGGTCATATCACAAAGCGGGCTGTCACAGTCTGGGAGCCACTGTTCCGCATGTTGCATGGCGAAGGTTCCGGGCTGCCGGACGCCATCCCATGAGCCTTGGAGTCAAAGTTCAAGCCGTGTGGAGTACTATTGCCCTAACTGGCTAGCGTTATATAAAAAAAAGTACAGATTGGCTCCACCACGGGCTGCGACGATCTTCGCCCTTGAGCTTATACCTTGTGTCTCAAATATTCGCAAGCGAGCCAATTATAACTTTGTTTGCTGTTGTCGCGCATTTGTCTTGTTCGCGGAAACAGGGGTTTGTTCTCCGCGTGGGTCTCATAACGGCTGTAAAAAATGTGATCTATCATGTGTCAGACGGTCCTTTGTCTCTCGTTAATCACTCTGTCGTGTTCCGAGACATGCTTAAAATCCACTAGCCTCGGTACTGGCCCGTGTCTTTGCAATATACGCGCTTAAACGGTCTGTGACTTGGCATGCAACGGTGATGCGCGAGTGACTCCACAAGGAAGTGATGCTCGTCCCGGACCGTCAGTTCATGTGCTCCGTACATACGGAATATTCCGTCGACATGGGTACTCCGCACAAAGTACGAGTCGGGAATCGATATGTCGAGTTCAACGCCTCACTACTTGATTGACCTATGTGGTCAATGGGTATCCTTAGCGAGAGCAGAGAATACATCAAGGATCCTACAAATAGTCTTGCAAAATTGCCGATTTGATTAAACATCCCTGCAAGCAGTGGAGTACATTCTCGTGTATTTGCCGTTATTTTGTGTTTCTCTTTCGGGGCCATCTCTAATGGGGAAACTTCTGCAGGATTCCCCTTTTATCAGACAAAGTCGGTATTTCGCCGAAGTTAGTCCTATTTGATTCTCACATGCTGGACGTGAGTACAAGGCCGGGACGATCTGAACGATGTCTCAAATAAGAGTTTATACCAACCCGAAAAGAAAGGAGACAAACGCGAAGAAATCCCAAATATCTTGACGAGGATCATTAACTATTGCAGAGACGGAAACAGTCCGACAATAAGGCTAACCACTTGCACCTACAAGTGGGATGATCTTACGGTATAATATCTCCAAACGGGATGCCACTAACCATTAAGGACAGCACCCACCTGATTCTCGACCACCGTTGCGTCCATAACCTCACGCATACCCTCATCACAAAAAGCATGCTGATCTCGGAAATAAAACCCGCTATCGGAAATCTCCATCGCAACTCCATACAGCTCCTCCAGGGGCAAGTGTCTGCCAGTCGTATCAGTCAACCCCCGCCCGCGGGTTCACCACCATCCACGAGCTGGATCACAAGCCGGGCGATCGTTTCCACTTCGATGAATCGGCCCGGTGGGAAACTGTCCCATCCCGCTGGGTCAACAAGATTGGTGCGCACAATTCCTGGGCAGATGGCGTTGACGCGGATCCCGCTTGCGTGGAAGTGTTGCGAGATTGATCGCATGAATCCTACCACGCCGACTAGGCTGTGTTAGTCTCGGTTATTTAAGCGAAATTAAAAATAACATCCTAGTTGATATGCAGTATGGGTGCCATGATTGATATATCAGATCGACATCATATGATGGTAATAGTACGCGGGGGAACAGGGGATACTGTACTCCGTACTGGGTACAACGTAGGGGGACTCACATTTGGCCGCAGAGTACAGCGGCGAATAGAAAGACGGATACAACCCACCACAGCTGGCAGTCATAACCAAGCTCCCGCCTTGGCCCTTGTGAGATGAGTGACGGAAATAATGCTGGGCCAGATACGCCGTGAAAACAACGCCTTTCAAATCAGCGTCGATCGACAGCAGGTTCGGCTCCGGCGGCGGGCACACATCCCTGTCGTTCTCTGCTTGTGGTGTGGAGTAGAAATTGGTGCGTTCGATGACACCTGCGTTTGCGAATACAAAGTCCAGCTTGCCGTGCTGTTGGAACATGCTCTGAAACGCGGCAGCAAGGTCGCTGTATCTGGTCACATTGACGTAATGGAATGTTGTTCGGGATAGTTCTTTTGCTGCTTCGGCGCCGCGCTCTGAGTTGATGTCGAGGATGTGGATTTCCCAGTCTTTTTGTAAGGATAGGGCTTTGGCTACGGCCAAGCCCATGCCGCTGGCTGTGAATTCGTTGGATTTAGCTTCTTTTTGTCTGCATGGATCTCATGGGGATCTATCACACCTCCTCCTGTGATTAATGCGACTTTGGTCATTTTCGAGGAATTTTGATACTGTCTAGGCTGAGTTGTCATGTGTTGGAAGAACTCTTATACCATTCGTAGGTTCTCTAGATGGCTATGTAGCGATGAATCCATACCGGGCTATGATTGTCTTCGCCATTAGAATCTCCACAACACGGCTACTCATTTCTTATTCCCTAATGTGGTAAGTCCCGACAATCTCCGGCGTGAAACAGCTAGGCCTATCATCTCGCGAGTAGCAGTCGTCTTTTCATAGCTCCACTGTTTGGATTCTTTCATCTAGACGAGCTGATGTTTCACATTCTATTCAATGTCTTGATTTCGATAGTCACAATTCAAGAGTAGATATCTGATGCATAATTGCATAATTTAATTTTTCCAGTGAGAACCCAAAGCCTTTTAGACTCCACATATCAATCCTTCGTGGGGCAAAAACGCCCCTGTCCAAATCCTGCAGCAAAATTGGAGCCTGACAAAGTCTGCCCAGGATAGGGGTACTCCGTATTTTGCTGTCAGGGCAAAAAAAAACCCTTCAATCCTTGTACTCTGCATAAAGTATAAATCCTTTGGCATCCTGTCAATCCTTTTCAGGAATGTGTCCCGTTGCAGATGATCCTGGTGGACAGTATACGTATTTTGTAGCAGTGTCTTCGCTATCGCGATCGTATATTGTATATCAGAGTGGGTTACAGGCAGCGAAAATATCGATCGATCATCGACACGTTCTTCGGGTCTAGTGGACTGGGCGGCATACACATCCTAGAACGGATCTGTCTCCTAGACCTTTGTCCTGATCTTGAAGTAGATCGGCGCGAAGACATCTAGCGAGTTTCATGTTGTCGGAAGAAGCTTAAAGGTGATAGATCCAGTTGATCGCAACGTTGCTTGTGGCTGATTGATACTAATACCGGGAGACCCTTCTCCATACTGTCTCTCGGGGATATATTTTGCCAAGGCATTCAAGCTGCTTTTTTTTTCACGACTGGACGTTGTCGTTGTTCTCGATATTCATTATGTCCGTCAATGCCTTGACAATTGAAACTTTCACCGAATATGGAATTGGCATGCTCTTCCTCCTAGTCCGGCTATATGCTCGACTATACGTAGGAGGTCTTCGCGGCCTCCGGCTGGATGATGTTTTTGCTGTTTGTGGCATGGTATGTACGGTTTTTCCAAGCGTGGGTGGATTTGCTTTTGACAACGCCGTGACAGATATTTTGGTCCATGCTGACTGCTATCATCTACCTTCTGGGTAAATACCAATGAATGGCCACACTTCTTTTTTTACAGCACAGCTAACACTCAAATAGGAGTGTATGGCAACAACATCGGGTTAAACGAGCAAACAGCTATGCTTGTCCCAGACAGCAAAATCCCCCATATGATCCTCGGATCGAAGCTGGCCTTCATGAATTGGATATGGTACATCTGCTATATTTGGTGTCTGAAGGGTGTTCTTCTTTGCCTTTACTGGAAACTCACGTATGTCAATGTGCCGCCCATCGGCGATCTACGTGAGCATTGAGCATATCTAAGATTTCACAGAGAAGGAACCTGGCACCGTCACCTAGTCACAGCAGCTTCAGCATTCTGTGTTGTTACCTGGTTGATTTGCCTATTAACACACATCTGCCTCTGCACGCCGATTACGCGAAATTGGCAGATCAAACCCTACGCAGGAGGCAAGTCTCGCCATATCCACACGACAACCTCAACTAACCGAAACAGACAACTGCACTCTCCGTGAACCTCTTTACATTGTCATCGCCGTCTTCAACGTATTGCAAGTCACCCTAAAAGGCCCAATTCCCAGAACCGACGAACCCCATCCTAACACCATGACCTACAGATCCGACGCCTGCATAATTCTGATCCCAATCCCAATCCTCGCCAAACTCCAAATCCCCCCTCCAACGCAAGATAATCCTGGTAGTCATGTTCTCTTCAGGAATCTTCATTATGATCTCGACAATTCTGCGCGCCTACTACTCCCTCTCATCAATCACAAACCTCGGCACAGCCCTGGGCTGGGCAGACCGCGAATGTTTCGTCGCAGCCATCGTCGTCTCCCTACCCGGCATCAAACCGCTCTTCCGCAACACGCGCTGGCTGGGCTCGTCGAATCGCAAGAACTCCAAGAACCCGTATTACCACAGCGACGGGTACAATGCAACTGGGTCGAAGACCGGAAAGACGAAGACGTTTGTTTCGTCACGGTCTCGGAAGAGTGGGGGGGTTTGAGCTGGATGATGTGCTGAACACAAATAAGGGGAGTCGCGTTTCCGATGCGGGGAGCGAGGAGTATATTCTTGAGGGGAGTCAGCAGGTGCCGGCTGGTGCTGGGAAGCAGGATCCTATGGCTATTCGGGTTACGACGGAGTATACTCTTGAGCGTGAGCAGGGGAGGTCGGGTCAGATGAGGTCTTAAAAGGTGTAAATAATTGGCGGCGTAAAGATCGTTGTCTATATGATACACAGCAGGCACAGACTCACCACGTCTCAAATGGTGGTGGCAAAGTGTAGTGAGCGTTCCATCACTAACATACGCAAGAACATGCGGTTGTTCGGCAGTGTCAGATCTCCCCCAGTTCCTGCTGGCCGACTAGCAATCATCACTCCAGTGATGCTGGATGTCCTTTGTAACCACCTCGCTAAAAACCTTGCCTGTGTGTCGAAGAGATGGCTATCTCCCTATGGGATGAGTTCAACATATTACCATCACATCCAGCGTCCAACATGCTCTTTCCCAGGCTAGCTGGACAAAAAGGAAAGCCCAGCAGAAGGCGGAAAAGCAGAACTCTTGACTACGAGATTTCTACCAGCATAAAATACCCCGAATTTCGTTCGTATCATCTGGTTTTGTTGATGAATCTGGATGTGATAAACGTGTGGGATGGGATATATCTATTACAGTACTGTACCTCGCGGTCAATAACTCCCAGATATAAGGTTACTGATCTAAGAATCCTCAGGCCTATTGAGTTCGGCAAGGGTAATAGATACTAGTCTTGTAATCAAGTGTCTAGTTAGCTAGGTTCACCCAATCTCCCCCCCAATCGTGAGACAAAGGACAAGTCCTTCAATAAGGGGATGTAGCCACAATGTCCCTTTTCAAGCCTTGCCAATCAATCTATTGGTCATCTTGTTGCTGATCCATCACCCCAGGAGCCTTGCCTCCTCACCTTGGGATCAGGCCAGGCTAAGCCGCTCGGAGACTTGTATCACCTCGTCCATCTGGCCGAGGTTCTCGTACAGTGAAGCTAGATCTCCACCTATCCTCTGCGTTAGCGAATCCTCCGGGCCTAAAGCTCGCATCGCCCCCTCAAATGCTCTCTCGAGCGTGGCCTTTGCTTCCGCCAGGCGGAATTGCATCTTATAGATACGCCCAAGGTTGTGCATCTGCCGCAGTGTCGACGGGTGATCTGGCCCCTTGATCTCTTCGAAACCTCGCACCGCCCTCTCCCACATGAGTTCCGCCATATCCAGTTGGCCCTGCTTGGCGTAGAGCAGCCCAAGCCCAGCAGCTGTATCTACCGTCAAAATGTCCCCTGCACCGAGGGACTTTTCGTAGATTTGCAGTGCCTGGGCTGCCATCACCTCTGCGTCGTGCAGCTGACCCATATCTTGATATAAATCGGCAAGGATGCTGCACACTTCTCCCGTCGAGGCGTGGTCCGGGCCTGGTGTCTTCTGGTACCCTTCGAGTACCTCTCTGTACACGATAACTGCCTCGGGCAGTCTGTCTTGTTGCATGTACACCTTTGCCAGGGTTATCTTCGTCCGAACTGTGCCATCATGTTCCGCGCCCAAGAGCTTCTCGTGGCCTCTTGCCCCTCGCTTCAGTATCGCTTCAGCCTCCTCATATCGCCCATTTATCGCATACATTGTCCCGAGTTTATCCAGTGCCTGGATCGTCAATTTGTCCTCGTCACCTCGCGTTCGTTCGTATCCCTCCAGGGCTCGTTCCATTAGCGGTATCGCCTTGTCGATCCTATCCTGGTTATAATAGAGCCCGCCCAGGTCAAATACCGCGATCAGCGTTCTGGCGTCGTTAGGCCCGTAAAGCTTCTCCCGGCCTTGGAGGTATCGCTCCCAAAAGGGGAGCAGCTTCACCCAAACGGCCTTCTGTCGCGTAGAGGAGGCCAAGGCAGTGCACAGTATCCAACGTGGTCTCGCTGTCCGAACCAAATAGCTTCTCTCTGCCGGCCAAGGAGCGGTTATACATACCCTCCGCGGCCCTGAACTGCCCCCGGACTTTATACAAGATGCCGAGGTTGCTTATTGTGTTGAACATGGCTTCCTGGTTCGGCTTCTCTGCCTTCTCATAGCCCCTAAGCGCTCGTGTATACAGTTCCTCTGCCTCGTCTATCCGTCCCTGGTCCTTGTAGAACGTGGCGAGGTTATTGAAGGCAGCCAGGACTGGATTACCGCTCGGCCCCCACAACCGCTCACGGCATGGAATGAGTCGAAGTTTCATGGCCTCTGACTCGGCGAGGCGGCCACCTTTTGCAAGTTGAGCACTGACGATGTCCAGCTCGTCAATTACGTCGCTATCAACAACCTGGTCATCGAGTTTGAATTGCTGCTTGTCTTTGGAAATATTCACTGTTAGGTATCCCTCGACCGTGTGATGCATGAATTCAAAGGTGGTTGCGTCGGGTGACTTGCGGATAAGCTGCCCACCAATATCTGCAACTTCCTGTTCGTTCACCTGGGCCTTCGACTGGCTGTCCTCGATTCCGCGATACAAAAGTAGGATTGAGAGGAAGTCACACATTTCTGCAGCAGAGAGTTGCAGCTCAGGTAACTCCAGAATGGTCCCAACATAGATCCACCTCAAGACTCTCTGCAGAATGAATATCTTGCGGGGGCTGCCTTCCCGCAGAATACGTTCCAGGTAAGAGTGATATGGGAAAACGGCCACATCCCGATCGTTTGGATCGGGTCCATAATTCCAGTAAGGGTCGACCAATGTGTTAGGATCCGGGGTGTTGTTAGCTGGTGGCTGCCACGATCCTGCGCGCGCCAGATGGCACTGGTTGTCCAGCTCACAAACGGCCCAAACCCAGCTTGAATTCATCAGTAATGCTGTCCTGTGCTGCTATGCAGGTGAGGAGAGGGTTTGGGACCTACGCGCCATTGCTGTTGTCGGCAATATAGTTTTCGATCCCTGAACGAACGTGATCTGGCTGCAAGAATGTGTCGCCACAGCTGATGCGCTTAGCAATCTCAGCCTGCGCGAATAGGCGGATGTCTTCAGCTCGTCCCTTCACCTGAATAGGGCAGCAATTCGTCTCGGCAGCTAGTCGTTCCTGTTTGCTTTTCGGCGACGTGGTAAACAACACCCGGAGGGTGGATGCCGGACTGTCAACCAGTGAAGTAAGCAAGCGAACAAAGGCGGCCTCGGCATCAGAATCTATGAAATCGATGGAGTTGATGACAAGGGAGACGCGCTCAAAGCACTGGGAAACCGTTTGGAGTAGTTTGCCGAGGGTGTCCATGTCTAGTGAAGCAGCCGAGCCCTGATAATAGGCCTCAGAGTTCTCTGGAGCCAAGCCAAGGTTATTATCACCCTCCAGGTACGCCTCGAGTAGCTTGCACGCATCCTCGTTCTGCTGAGCGACCTGGGCTATCAAGGTGCGGAGGATATTCAGCGGATCCATTGTTGGTATTCGTGACCGGCTACAGAAGTAGTAGCCAACGGCATGATTAGCTGGGCGCTCTCGGATCAGATGCTCTATGACTGTCGCCGTGACCACCGTCCTGCCGGATCCCCAAAAGCCATGGAGCCACAGCCTGGTGATTCTCGACAACGGCACCTCCTGCCCGGGACCGATCCACTGCTTGTCCGTGCAGTCCGTGATCCAGGCGGAAACCATTTCATCCTCAAACGGCCAGCGGTTGGTGCCCGGTTCCCTCTGCCGTATCGTTGCGTTCAAGATGGCGGTCATGGGGGTCGGGCTGAAGGACTCAATTAAGGTAGACGGAGCGGTGGGCAACGGCAGGCCGAGAGCCTCGCCATGATGCCCCTCCACAGCGGCAGCCATTCTCGCAGTCGCGGGGGCGGAAGGGCACTTTGTTTTGCAGTGATGTCCAGGTGCCTCGAGAAATTTCTATTACTGCGTCGTGGTGGTTCCTCCGGATTCTCAATCCTTAGATGCTCCTTTGGTCCACTGCAAGTCTGCCCAGTCCAGGATAAGACAAAGACAGACGTGCGCCGCTATGTTTGAGCGTCTGACGCGGTGCGGTTTCCGGTATGGTCTGTGGTCTCTGGTATGTCGGAGTGACAAGGCAGTTTTTGCCAGGGTGCAGCTTTGGTGTTGGCGCGGGACAATGATTGTCGGTGATATCAGGATAATTTACCACTAATCTCGCACCGCCGATCAACTTCCCTGATCAGGAAAGCTTTTAGGATTCGAGGACCTTGGACCTTCAGATTCTGACTGAAGAGAAAATAAATGGATTTTTGGTATACAAAACACTAGGAATTTGATAGGACAAGAAGAATCAGAGCTGTTCTCCTTTATATGATCATCGGACAAATGCTGGAATCCTGTTCGAACTAGTACACAATGCACCCTACAACGCCAAGGCCCTGAGAAGGTCAGCCTCGTATCCGGCAGAACACGGGATATTCCGACCGTACTAAAGCAACCAAATCCCCAAATCCAATTCAGGGAAAAGCGAATAATTAAAAAAAGAAAAAGCAAAAACATACAACAGTGAGGATTCGCTGGTGGTCACCCACCCAACTACTAACTCACCGGCGTGTGGCTTGAGTACGGCTGAGCGGACGGGAAGCCCTATTTTCCACACCCTATGGTCGTATGTACCAGGTTATTTATACGAGAGAATAATCAAGTATCAACTGCTAGTATATGAGTGAGCGCCACGTTGGCATCGTGTAGAGGGTGAGAAGGGTAGTTGCGCAATAGACAGGGTGAAAATTGAGTGGGAATACTGCAGACGAGCACTAGACATACTAAATAAACTCATAGGTATGCCATACTTGCTTAGATGGGGAAATTAGCTGTTGTTAGGTTCGAGAGTATCTGGTCGCCAATATATGTAATGAGTTCCTACGTCCCCATTATCCGCCACATCCTCCTTCAATAACCCATTAATATGTTCCTGTGCCACGATAGCGATTTCTAGTTTATCAACTGGCATCTGCTCAATGCTGATTAGTGACCGACCGCGATTTTTAACTTGCCTGATGAGATGTACTCGACGAACCCGCGATGTACAGGTGTGATATCCACAAATCAATTGCCTAGTACAAGGCAAGACGCCCGGCGCCTATAATATTTTGCGACAAGTAGGGCATTTTTATAGCCACCAACAGGCTCGCTGAGACCATGAGGCTCATCGTAGAGCGCCACGGAGGAGAAACCATCCGAGTCGATTATTCGTAGTTGAGGACTGACTGTGCGGATTAAACCCCTGTGAGGTTGAATCAAAAGCCCTAGCACCAATTGCTTCTTCTGTGACTGAAATAAACGTGGCAGGATGAGTTTGTGTCCACGCCAAAAGCTCACCGCAGAAAGCAACAAGTTGATAAACTGCCCAGCCTTTACATTGACCATCCTCGGTAAAAGCAGTCGAATTCTAAATGGCGTGTCAATTATTGCTTCCTTTTCATTCCGGACCAATGTGCGTCGCTTGACAAGATTGCCCGCGGGCATCTATTGCCCAAGGAAATCAGGTTTCGGCAGAGTAACACCATAGAGTGTATGCTCGATGTCACAGCAAAAGCACCCACCACTATAACGAGATATAGTCATGGCAGCAGCTCTTCTTTTGGGACATGTTTCCAAAATTCATATACGATGAGAATTGCAACGTCCTTAGACGTCCTCTATAGAAACTAGGAATACGGCCACGCAATTCCTATTGGCTATAGAGCCTCCCTCCTCTTATCTTACTTTACATTAGGGGAGTGTTTAAAATCCCAGTTAATTCTTATTACTATGACATTTTGAAGGTTTAGCGATAACCCTAATTCTGGGATCCTAATATAGATATACGGTATGCAGAATACTTATGCTGTCAGCATATAAGTGACTCTCGCACTATATTGGCGTTTCGACGTTTCGATTCAGACTACATCTAGTTAATTCTTGCTTATTATTGATTCTTATTGATTCCTTTATGGTCTGACATAGTGGGGAAATACGAGGAAGAAGTACATAAATATGGGCTTTTTTCCATGTATGAAGAGATTAGACAGTTCCAATTCTACTTTTTACGGGGTACACATTTTCCACAGTACTTCTCATAGTATTACCTTTGTAAGGTCTTCATTCCTATACATGCCGAATAGCCTTTCATTTTCTATTAAAACAATATCCAGGCCGGTTGTCTTTCAGGTCCTTCCTCATATTGTTCTATCCCAACCCAAATAATGGAGGGCTTCGATTTTTCAAAGGCTCCCCCGGAGTTCCAGCAATGGGGGAATATATCCATGTCTATGGATATGTACTCAAATGTTGCCTGGATCATTGTCTACGTGGGTATGATCCGACTATCAATTCAGGAGCGCACTTACGCCATGCCACTGCTCTCCCAATGTCTCAACCTAGCATGGGAAATTACGTTCGCGTTCATCTGCCCCCCAGATCACTGGGGAGTAAAGGCTTTTTTCCGACTTGCCGTCATTGTCAACGGCACAGTGACTTACACTGCCATCCGATATGGTGCTAGGGAGTGGGACCACGCCCCCATTATAAAGCACAGTTTGCCAATGATCTATGCAGTCGGTCTCGGGGCCCCAATAGCCTGCTATGTGGGAATCGTGAAGCAACTTGGAGAAGCCAGGGCCTGCTTCATGATAGCCATCATATTGCAAGCTATTTTGAGTGTTGGGTCTCTGTCCATATTACTGACACGGGGTAGCACGCGTGGGTACTCCTTTACCCTATGGTTTGTACTCCCTTCTTTTTAGCTTGTTATATATGAAGAGTGAAAGAGGCTTGTGGCTGAAATTAGCAGGTTTTTCCGTTTCACAGGATCCCTTGCATTGGTCCCTGGCTTTTATTTCCGAGCGCTGCACTGGGATGAGGCATTTGGATTCCTGGGAACTCCATTTATGTTATGGTGTTGTTCCATATTCCTCGGATTCGATCTACTCTACGGGATATGCTTCTGGTACATAAAGCAATATGAGCAGAGAGGTGGAATGGCTCAGGCGCAGAAGACCCAGTGATTCGGTCACGTTCGTGTGAGGGTCCGAGGAAAGGGCGAAAATCCCCGAAACTGTCGTGATTTCTTTGTTTTTACTGTGGGATGCTCGACACTCTGAGAATCGGAGATTTTCAACCTCCTGGCCTCAATTATGTACGCAACGACACCGCAACGTGTCATTGCAAACTCTCCTCTTTATTAAAGATCGGTCCATTAACAGGAACCACCCGTCGGACCTTTCCTTGGGTGCTAGTGATTGTGGAGGAAACGAGGCCGTGGATGGGGCTGTTGAACTGATTTTCCTAGTATTTTTAACCTGAGACGTCCCAGTGTTTGTTTTTATCTAAACCCCGGAGTTGTGGAATACATAAGTTGGACCATTTCCTTTCCAAGAGGGCTTGGAGTTATTCTGTATGGATTTTTCGACCTCACAAAATTTGCATTTGCGTTTGCGTTTGCACCTGTTCTGGTAATGAGTCCAAAGGGTTTCAGCGTTTTACTCAAGATCAAGTTCCCTAGGCTCGTGGTGCAGCATGCTTGGTTTGCGATTCCCATCTCGCCGCAGTCACGCTTCATCCCATCGCCCTACTTGCATTCTATCATTCTCTTCCACACGTAATCTAACACATACGACCATAGGGTGTGGAAAATAGGGCTTCCCGTCCGCTCAGCCGTACTCAAGCCACACGCCGGTGAGTTAGTAGTTGGGTGGGTGACCACCAGCGAATCCTCACTGTTGTATGTTTTTGTTTCATTTTTTCATTTATTTATTTTTGATTCGCTTTTCCCTGAATTGATTTAGGGATTTGGTTGATTTAGTACGGTCGGAATTAGACTGGCGACCGCGAACCCGCGAGGTTGATAAGTACGGAACATCGAATTCAGGCGCCAATTTAGCGATATTGGGCTTAATGTATGATAGGCTTGAGTGCTTCCTGGATTCGTTCCTCGGTATTTTTGATTTGATCTGACATTGTGGTGTAGTATAGAAATGTATGTGAAGTTGATAAAATGAGGAACTTTTTGCATCTTGCGGGTAATTCGCATCTAGTGCACCAACATACAGTGTGTGTTGGGCGGCACAATTACCATAACATATAATCTCTCGGGTTAGTCAAAGTTCAACTTTAAAGGACTAGGTTAAAACGGGGTTATCAATTTCTAGGCTTACTAAACCGAGAGAGCGTAGAGCTAGCTCATCAGAGATTAAGTGTATATCAAGTTCGTTACAAAGCCACATATACCCTTATAGAACTTCTTGGGCGTAGCAGCGAATATGGTTGTCAGAGGTGGCAGGATGTAGATTGTTGGAAGACAAACCAAGAGGATTACTTGGTGAACATAACAAAATGGCCTTGACCTTTCCCCTTCTTCAGTGGCTCGTTTTATAGGCCGAATGGGTCTCCGGGTTGGAAGCGGAAATTGAGATAAAACCGGCACACATTGACACAGTCTTCAGCCAAATAGAATCTTCGATTTATTCTACTACATTAAATACAGAAATGAAAGCCAAGAATATCCCAAACAGAATGCCACTGCGCCAATAGAACCATATTGTTGATCGGGAGCAGGCTTGACAACATGACAGGGACTATCGCATAACCGAATAGAACAAAACCCTAAACTCACTGCAGCTAAGCGGTTATGAGAACCCGACTAGAGAGGACTAGTCTCAATTAAGTGCTCGCAACCAGCACCGCAGGCTCACCATTAGAGATAGAGATGCAGATTTTTCCGCCTTCATCGGCGGTGATTGTCCCCTCTCCAAAGGTATTCTTCCATGTCCCGCCAGGCTTCTTAGAGTCGAAGCAGTGCTTAGCCTCAGACCCAGATCCACCGTTGGACGTAAGGACAATGAGGTTTCCACCCGCCCTGCTCCACGCATATGCCGATTCCGCGACGTACAGATGGACATGGTCGTTCTCAGCGAGGCCACCAGCAGCGCTTCTCGCCGCCGAGAGCAGAGATATGGCCTTGTACAAGTCCGCGTCGGTGCTGAATTTGCTGCGCCATAGGTCCTCGCGGTTTGCTGGGTCGTTGCCGCCCGCGTAGCCCTGTTCCGTGCCATGGTAGACAATGGGGATGCCCCGGGCGAGAATCACGTAGGCGAGTGCGTTTTTCAAAAGCGACTTGTCGTTCTTTACGCTCAGCCATCGCGCATTGTCGTGATTGTCTATGAACGTGCCCAGGGCGCTGGGATCAGGGAAAGCGGTATCGATTTTATCATGCATGTCAACTATGTCCTGGGAAGAGCCCTTTTGCTGGTAAAAGTTGTTGACGGGATAGTAGACTGCGTAGTTGAGCAGGCCGTCCATGTCCTTTGCGTATCCGGCAAGGTAAGCTGGGTCACCGTCCCAGACTTCGCCGATGGTGTAAACCCCGGCAGCGGAAGAGAAGGCCGACCAGAAGTCCTTTTCAACGTGCTTTACGGTGTCGATGCGCAAGCCGTCGAACCCGTATTCCGTGACGAGCCATTTGACCCATTTCTGGAAGAGGGCTCGGATCTCGGGACTCTGTGTGTTCACATCAGGTAGGTCTGCTGCGATACGACAGTTTTCAATACTATCCTGGCTTGAGTAGTCGATCGTGCAGGTGGAATGGTAGGAGCTCTCCTGGTTCAATGGCTCCGGCTTGTTATCGCTGATGGGGCCTCCCATGTGGTTGGCAACTACGTCTGCCATGACATAGATTCCCTATTTTCGCAGCCGGTCAGTACCTTCCAACTTGGACCGTAGGAAACGCTACCGATTGTACTTGCCTTCTTATGAGCAGCATCAACTAGGCTTTTGAGATCATCAGCGGTGCCATAGTTTTCGTTGATGCTATAGAGATCCCGCGCCCAATATCCATGATATCCACCTGGCGCATCTGCAGAAATGGTAATGCGATCAGATAAATTGCGTCGCCCAGAACAGAACAGCATGAGGAACTATTCGAACTCACTAGCGATAACAGGGGTGATCCAGATTGCATCAAAGCCCATCCCCTTAATATAGTCAAGCTTGGACTCCAAGCCTTGGAAAGTTCCACCACAGTAGTTTCCAAGGTTGCCGCAGGCATCTCCACCTGTATCATCGCTTCCACGGGCAATGCGATCAGTCAGGGCAAAATAAATATTGCGGGACTTCCATGCTTTCACATCCGCTGCTGATACAGTGCATATCAGAGGGAGTAGAAAAGCTGTCAGGGTGTGGGACAGTTTCATAGTTCAGGCAAAAGTGATGTCTCAAATTGTTGAACACTGTACTGGGCTTGTGATAAATGATTTGACTGCGATACCGATCGTAGAAGCTCGCCTCCTTTTATATTTGGATCTCCAAGATGTTCTCTGTACGCAGTCGGGCTCCAAGGCCTTGACATTGCTTGCCATAACCCGTGGCACGGGTTGCCAATCCTTCGCAGATGGGTTTCCCTCCAGTATATTGCATTTATCCTGAAGATCTCTCCTCATACAGTTAGACTCCCCAATAATAGGCCGACGGTGCCCCTAGAGAAAAGCCGGGTAGTGTTCAGACCCATGGCCCCTGAGACTCCGGAGCGGGGGATCTGCACACAGTTTGGAGTTAAGATGGTTAGTCAAACGTCAATCATACTCCAAATGGCAGCAATAAGGAATGACAATGGTCCAATGTCGGCCCGAAACGTTGTGATGAAACTTGGTGTTTTTGATTTGGGCAAATTGTCGAATACCATGGTTGCATACAGTGGTGGAATTACAGGGTATTTTCAACCTAGAAAAACCTCGGACCGCAGATTGGAATCCCCTATACAAAGTACATAATAGTAAGCTAGTCCGCACAGATTGGAAAAATAGCGGATTCTTGTTATTTTAGTTAGCTTCATACATAACCTAATATGGTTACCTACATGTAGGTACCATACGTTGTCGTCTGTCACAAACTAATCTCCGGAAGGGCCAGCCAGGCTACAACACTACCACATTTAGACCCGTGCAATGCGTCTATTATTATAGTGAGACACCTAGGCACATGTAGTTATATAGCACAGGGTAATTGTGATCAAAACGGTTTACCATTTTTGAACGTATTACGTTTGTGTGATTACACATTGTAGGATACCCATACATTGTTGTACGGCCGGATTTCTGTCACTATCCAAAGCAACGACAAAACGGATAGCAACAATAACAATACAACTCCCTCTGCCGAAACTGCAGACCCCTGTTGCAAGGTGTCTGCTGGTACTTGCAAGGTTAAGGCTCCACCCGAGGCTTGCAAGGGATGCTGCTGCGACAACCAGTCTGCCGAGGCTGTTGGTAAAACGAAGGTCCTGTTAAGATCTACAATGTGGATGAGATCATAAAGTAGACACAATACGTTGTATTGTAGACAGTGTGAAAACTGTGAAGAGGAGAAAAGAAAGTAAGACTGTAAGTCTTCTAATACAGTGGTCAGGTGACCATGGGAGATCTCAACACCCCCCACGATCATAGGCACCATGATTGTAAGAACAAATAACCCCATAAACCTTACATTCCTCCCGAGAAAGTGAATTCGTAATTCACAGTGTTGTAACGTAGGTAGTAGATACATAGACGTTATTATCGTTATTGTGAAGTCGAGTATAGATCTCTTGTTGACGAAGTGAGATGTCGAGGAAGTTGAGCAGGTCAATATCGACAGCGAGAGTCCTGAGACTCGAAAGGGAAGCTGTAGATCCCTGCGTGTGAGGATGGAGACAATGTTGGTCTCCGGTGAACGCGGGGTTTAGACGAACACTAGGTTTAAGGATGAGACGATGGAAGACTCAAGATGACATGCTGGCCGTAAGAGACGCGGAACTCGGAGGTTGAGATGCTGATCGTGAGAGATACAGATCTCGGATGAGGTGCTAGTTCTGGAAGACGCGGTTCTCGATAAGAACGCGGGGTTCGAAAACGAGACGTTGATAGTCTCAGGTGAGATGCTGATCTTCGGAGATGCGGATCTCGATAAGATGCTGGTCTCTACGGAGAGACACGGATCTCAGATAGGACTGGGGTCCCTCTCCCCAAAGGTCGGAAGATGATATCTCGTAAGATAAGACGATGAAGGATGAAAACGGCGATGAAAACGACGAATTCGAAAGTTGTAAGAATTCAAATAGATGGCGGATCTAGATACAGGCTCTGTAGGAGTATGCGTATGTAGAGAGATGAGAGAGTTGTATGAAGATGGAGATGAAATCTCTGCTCGTGGGGTCGAGGTCAAACAAGCGAGGTAGCAAACAACTACTAAGGTTCAGACTAAAGCGGTCTGATCAATGTCTCGATATTGAGATGACAATCAATCACCTGGCAGAAATACGCGTATAGACCCTGCCTGTCACCCCTCATAGGCCTAGTAACAAGCTGTAGACCTAAAGCAGTTCCCACTGCCTAAAGAGGCAATTCCCCGGGTTTGGCGGAAGTGCTGTGTCGTTAGATTCGCTGGACCGGGGTCCCAAGTATATTTTTGATGCGGGGGGTGTTGGGATTGGCACTACCCCGTTTGTGCGTCGAATGTTCCATCGTACAATATTGTGCGTTGACATGCACACAGAGGATATTGACTGACTATTAGATCAGATCAATACTAAGTCCCCGGGCTTATAACCTCTTAGGATATACAATGGAGATGAGATCATAAAAGGAGACACAATACGTTGTATTGCGGATAGTGTGAAAACTGCGAAGAGGAGAAAAGAAAGACTGTAACAGTCTTCTAATACAGGGAACAGGTGACTATGCGAGATCTTAAAATAATTCGCTTTCGACCTGGCATTGCAAGATTTGGGACGGAAGCGTCCTCGGCGATTTGTACACCCTCATGATGGGGGATGGACGGATATAAATAGGATATTAAATAGGATAAGGCAAACCTTGGAAGCTTCTGTAGTGGGGCTGACCCTAATACCTACCTAGGTAGGTAGACCGTTGTTCCGAACTCTATTTTTATTTGGCATAAAGCCAATCTCCATCTTGGCAAGGACCGTCTCATTCCACCAATTGATAGTAGCGAAAGGTCTACTTTGTGATCGGTCTAGATATGTGTTAAACGAGTCCCAGTATTTCAACGCTTTCGTAAAATTGATGTCGTGACTAACACTAAGATACGCCAGAATGCAACACATATTGGGCCAGAGTAAGTGTTTGGTACACGAAGTATGCTGCTCGGATACTGGCTTCTGTACAACAAAGTCTCCATACCAGGACGAAGTCATTGAAACATAGTTGGGTCCATTTGTAAACAAGAAACATGGAAAGTATATAACATTTTTGTATTCAACAGGTGTCTGTAGGACCTAAGTCCCACATATCCCACATATCCAGACGCCACTATGGTGCCATTTAGTGGGAAGAGCATAGCGTTAATACAATCCTTATGGCCCCCAAATGTTTGCAGACAAGCGACTGTCAAGTTCGCTGCCTCAAAAGATCCAGCCGTTCAATTGAAAGTATTTAGTGCAAAAGATCATAACGTGTGCAGCATAATTTGATTAGCTACTAGCAACCTCGGTCGCCCTTCCACTTGCACCATGCTCCTTCATTTCGGCCTGCGGGTTGGAACTGAGTGTAGCTTGGTCTTCCTGCAAAGCTTTCGGAGAGAAGTAAACACTAACGGTCTGATTCCAGCGATTCCATCTTTTGGACTTCCGTTGGACCAAGTCTGTAACAAAGTGCACATGTCAGCTTGACCAAATACCACCAACAAGTATGAAGAGCTCCTCACCATTCAGAATATAGATCAATTCGACCACTATTGGCGCCCAGATTGTCAAGGCAGCAATCTGCCCGAACCCCCACTGATCATCCTCAAATTTGTCTCTCGCCAAACTTCGCAGATGCCTTCGTTGTCGCCACATCATCGTTAGGCCAACCACCATACCCGCTGTCAAGAGTCCAATCAACAAGACCCAAAACGCCATCAATAACCTAAACAGCGACTTGTGTAACTTGTCTGCTTGGAATTTCTCCTTAAGAGACTGTAGCCAGAACGCAATCGTACCCGCGACGGTAAAGATAGCGACAGCCCATGATGGATACGGGACTGGGTTGATCACACTATAATCCGTTGAGCTGTGTGCGCAGCCATCAGAGGCAAGCCTCCAGTTTGCTCTGCTGTCACTGCCTAGGTGGCATAGGCCCAGGGCAACGACCACGAGGACGAACACTATAAAATAGAGCAACACCCGCGCGGCCCAGCGCGACATTGGTTGCGCGACTACCATGCAGAAGAAGGTCACGAGGATGCTGTTAACTTGCAGGAATGCCATGGCCTGCATCTCGGCGATCTCAAAGGTGGATGGGTTCTGTGACAGGTTTGCGAGTGTAGCTATGGCCGAGGAACCAACGAAGAAGCCATTTGAGGAGAAGAAATTTGTTTGAATGTCTTTTAAATCTCGGATGAAGCTGCTCGCTGGTGCAAATGCGAGATAAAATATACGATAAACAGGGCCAACGAGAATAGTGAGTCCGGTTTGTATGCTATATGCATACATCATCTGGATTAGAAGACACAATCAATCAGTTACGACATCTATGGAGAAAATGGAGAAAATTTGATTTTGCGAACTTACGCCGATCCCAGAAAGATCAGGGTTTCCCACCCCGTATGTGAGAAGACATAGATTCTGGCAGTTCTGGACCTCTAAAGTGATGTTTAGACCGTTCTTTTTGGTGTAATCGAAGAAATCGTTCATCGTATGAAAGTCACATGTTCTTTCATTCTCCGCAATAGACGTTCCTGTGGGTGTAGCCGTTGTTGCGCTTGACACACTGGATGGGGTTATTATTCCCTGTGGAAGTGCTGCAGCACCCTGGAAACTTAACAGGGCGCCTGCCACGAGGTAGTGCAGAAGGAGTCGCATGGTCGTTTCTGGATGTCCAAAGAACCCTCCAGTAAAAAACGAACCACAAATGTGACTTTATTAAGAGGACTTCATCATTCTCCAAATATAGGCACGCTTACCGTTGAAATGCTCAACTCAAATGCCGGCAAAAGCGGCTTAAAATCCCGCATTTTCGCCAAGAACCCTGATATACAGCTTTAGAGCAAAACAAAGAAGGCTGAGTCGACTCAATGAGTGAACTCCTCCCTGACCCTTATCGGAGCCCTAGAGGGCGTCAACACCGTTAGCCATCCTCCATGGTCTAACCCGAATTAGGTTAGTCGCGACGCAAGAAGATTGGAACGGAATAGTGTATTTGGGATTTTATCCAATGAGAAGATCAGGGCGGAGCTTGGACAACGGCCCGGCCCATCCAACATCTCACTTCGCAGAGACACCTCGTATGTCTCTGCATAAATTCAATTCTGGGTCTAGTTAGCTTATATTAACCCTTGCACTAATGCAGGTCTGATTGCGACTCAGCTAGCCACCTTCTCGTATGCATCCTTCAGAGGCTGCGCATGACATTGACCCCAGCTCATGCCTATTAAGGGAATGTGAAATGTGCCATTATTAATCAAAAATATCGGGTTCAAGGCCTCACATGACCCCCAGCGAGGCAGTTTCGGCCCCGTCCTATGGTAAATATGCCATCGCTGATAGGTTGACCTAGTGATGCGCAGCGATGCCAACTCGAGCGTTGTGGGGGCTAGGTGGGGGAATACGAGAACCGACAGGAAGCCTTTTGCCAGACTTGTCTTCAGCCGCAAACATGATTGGGGATCTTATTCCCAATTCTTCTTCGCAGCCTGCAATGTCAGCCCGAAATTCCTTCCCACCAATTCGAGGTGGTCCAGATACGAGGAGCCCATTTCTTGGCGTTTGGATGTCTCCCTTTCCAAGCACGAAGAATTAAATCCTAGCACTCCGTAGGCCCCACCAGACGGACAATGCGCGAGAGTTCCAATGACCCTCGGAGAAACCCCTTACGACCTTAGTGCCAATTTTAGTCAAATCAAAACAAACCTGTCAAAGCCAGAAGTCAGGCATAAATCAACCTAGCTACCCTTCGGCGATATTCCGCAGTTGATCGCGTTATCTCATCCTCATGTTGACTGCATCGCTCGAAAGCCATCCCAGTCACATATCCATAGCCGCGGACTGTCACCATGGCCGGATTTGACAGCACCCCGAAAACTCCCTCATATGAGCCTGCTCAGATTTCCGAAGTAGGCTCCGAGCCACAAATTGCGACCACTGAATATAAGCGCCATCCAGTGTACTCCCCCAAAGAATGGCTTTTGGAATCGATTAGTTCGATTCTGGCCCTGGGCCTCCTCATTGCAATTGCCATTATCTTCTGGTATATGGACAACAAGCCTCTCTCTGCCTGGCGCGCCGGCGTCTCTCTCAACGCGACAGTTTCTATTCTGACCACTGCATGCACCACAGCGTTGATGTACGGGGTTAGCACATTCATTGGGCAGTCTAAATGGCTTCACTTCAGAAACGGGCCTCGAAAGCTTGCTGACTTTGAAACATTTGACGAAGCGAGTCGCGGTGTTTGGGGGTCTATTCTGCTGCTTACCACCGTCAAGTGGAATATAGCCACCATCGGCGCATTCATCACGATCTTACGACTTGCTTTCTCGCCGTTCGCACAACAGGTGGTTCTGATTAAACAGCGAGACATCATATCTCCTTCCGACACCGCCACCTTAGGATATGCGCACAATTACACCATAAACAAACAGGTTAACCTTGCCAACTCTCGCATTGGTAAGCATAGAAACCCTCAACAGCAGAAACAACAAGTGCAGCTAACATGATTCTAACTAGAGAGCATCCCACAGGATCCCGATATGCAGTCCGCCATCTACCAGGGCCTCTATGGCATCAACACCACGGAACCTTTTAACTGCCCCGGGACATGCCGCTGGACCGGACCATACATATCACTTGGGTTCAATACCCAGTGCAGGAACGTCACCCAGGAAACGTTGCAGACGACTACCTGCGTGGAGGCTGGTAATGGTGTCCTGGAGCGATGCAACATGACAACACCGGGTGGGGTTGTCGTTGCAAGCCTCTTTGCGTTTACCGATTTGTCGACAGCATATTACATGAATGCATCTTCATTGATGGCTTTCGTACCTTCAACCCCTGGATTGCCACCTACCTTTCCCGAAATCGTGCGACTTGCAGTCTATAGATCGAGCCCAGACGCTAATTTTCAAATGCGCAACATCAACATCACAGAGTGCTCTCTCTCCCTCGCGGTCTATGAATACAGAGAAGCCAATGCCACTGGTAGTGATTTCTCCTTTGAGAGCAGGCAGGTCGATTTCGGTGTGAAAAATCCCTGGACGCTCTCGAACAACACAAGTGACAAATATCAGCGCATATACATCAACGAGACAACAACAAGTGATGGTATCCATATTCCTACGCTTGAAATGAGCTATAGAAGTCTGGAAGCGCTGGGAAATTTCTACGAGTCCCCAACAATGTCTACCGAGTGGGTCGAAGGGAACTATGTCAATACGAACCTTGGTGTCGCCGCTACTCTAACTGGCGACGTGGACCTTGGCGACCGTTTCAATCAAATGGCGACTGCCATGACAACCTATCTGCGGTATGGCCCGAATACCCAGTCTGCACATGGAGAGGTAATTCGGAGCGAGCCATTTGTTTTCATCCGCTGGGGGTATTTCGTTGTTCCGATTGTGACTGAGGGGTTCGCGGTTTTGTTCGCCATCTTGAGTATCTTTAGCAATCGCCGGAGCCGCCGTGTTCCCGTTTGGAAGTCCTCGACACTCGCTGTGCTGGCTTGTCAGCATGAGGAGAGGCTTGGGCTCCTGCAAACTACGGACAAAGATATTTACGAGATTGGGGACGAGGCTAAGAAGGCTGAGGTACGGCTGCCATAGTGTCGAGCTTGAGGTAGCGTAGATGAGTTATGATAGACAACCTAGTTAAATAATATAGTTTGTTCAGGGACTAAGCCATAAACACTGAAGCTATTCAACAGGTCTCCAATTTCCATAAAAAACACTGGTCATGTCCGTCCCCCAAGTATCAGTCACTTATAGTACAGAATAATCAAGTCTAGTACACCTAAGGGATATGGCCTACCCTATCTATAGAGCACTCACCCTTCCCATCTCATGACTGCATTTTATACTAGTAGGAATAGGTAAATAAAAGTTATTATTAGTAGAGAGCTCCTAGGGTAAATTTAATAGGTAAATAAACGGTATCTAAAAATACGATACTAGAAGTTATAGATTTTATTAAAGCCTACTTATCGTTACTATTAGTCCTATCCCTCCCAGATATATTTTACCCTACGACCCTACGAGCTCGAAAACTAGTAAGAAGTAAGACTATAACAAACCGGTAACACACTAGTAATTACGTGCTGAACTCTGGTAAATACCATAAACATTTACCCTGCGAGCTTTACCCTGCAGCCTGCGACCATGTCATTCGTCCCAATAAAACCGAAGGAGTGTCTCGCTCATAACAAACGTTTGTCCTTAAAGAAAAACTCGTTCATAACTCCCAGAAGCAAATTTCCACGCAGTGAGGGACCCTTTCCCACGTAAATGGATATGGTGATCAGAGCTGACCTTTCTTGGATACCCAGGTAATGGCATATTTTGAGCCCTTTCACATCAACTGCCCGGGTGGTCTAGTGGTATGATTCGCGCTTAGGGTTCACCCAAAGCAATATTGCGCGAGGTCCCCGGTTCAATCCCGGGCTCGGGCCCATCTTTTTTTTTTCTTTCCTTCTACTTTTTTCTATTTTGTCTGTTGCCTCTCTTCCTTTACTGAATGTAATTTCTTGGAATGTTACTATGGGGAGAAAATGATAAAGAAACTCTTGGTATTCAAACTAGTTAAGCAGGAAAGATCCCTGCAAACAAGCGCTCACTCTGCCACCTATATAGGATGGGATGATCTCAACATAATTGATATACAAATACTCACAGGCCCTTACATTTTCTTTCTTTGTAAAAATTAAAAACCCCGCATGCCTTACTTGGCAAGGGCCGGGTACCAACTAAGACCTGCCTACACATGGGGGAAATCTTATATCATTTATGCTTACACTGCATCGATGTTGGCACCCGTGGACATCTTGGGCACTCACTAGACAATGAGGTCTCAAACAATGAGGCAAAATGGACAGAGAGAACACTGAACAGTATCAATTCACCAGTGAGGTAACATGTCCGCGACTTCAAAGGTTGTGAAGGCGCCAACTGGTAGCCGGCGCAAACTAACAAAAACCTCGACAATCATATATCCCCGAGCACTAACATACAGGAAAATTATTGGAAGAATAAGCATAATTTCCCAATATAGGATAGGTTTTGCCTCCCTTTGCTCTTTCTCAAAAGCGTCTAAACGACTGACAGTATCCTGACGGGCCAGAGTGGCCTCTGCGTCAATTTGCCGCTGTGGTGGTGGTCTCTTCACCCGCAGCCAGACCAGGTATTTGTCCCATCTACCAAACCGCTGACGAGCAGCAATTGTTTCAAAGACCCAGTATAGCACGGTTGCCCCTGTTACAATAGAGCTTGAGATCCGCCAAAGAATTTGCTCAATTCGAGAGGGAAAGACGAAATACCATCCTATGAGGTGAAAAGAAGCAAACGCCGAGGTTAAACAAAACAGGGCGAATTTTTCAAACGTCCCGATATCCGGGAATCGGTCATTTGGAAAGCGTCGCAAGGGCCTTTCGCGGTCATCGAAACGTAGACCAAAGAACCCCATGACATCGTAGCCACATGTGAATGACTGCTTGGCGACGAAGTCGAGAGGTGTGTGGCGGTAAGGTGTAGCGGCGACATCACCAGCCGCAAGGAGAACCTCGGCCGTGCTGACTTCCATACTGAGCACAATGCCGGTGTGCACATCACTGGGTTTGTGCATCCAACAAATAAATGTTCCAAAGGTGCAAATCACAATCGCACCCGCGGATAGTTCGAGCGTAGTGATCGGAAGCTTAAGAATGAGGCGACCAAAGAGTTGGATCATTAGCCAAGTGGCCTGCCCTAAACTAAGCAGTCTAGCGAGCGTATCCGTTTTTGACTTGTCCCATATCTCGCTCTGTGTAATTTGGGGACATTCTAAATACTGCTTCTCGACGAGGTACGCCAACTGACGGCTGTTGACCAGAAAGGGTGTGCTGTCCTTGGGCTGAAGCAGCATCCCACCCATGTCGGCATAGAAACCGTGTCGTAGAGTCCATCTGTCTTCTTTCATTCCTAGCTTGCGAAAACGCTTCACAGATCGCCGTGCTGAGGCGTATTGACCGATAGCAACGGAAAGGACCAACTCCGGAGAGACAATGGCCCAAAACATCCACTTCGCCCGGCGACAAAAGATATGAAACTGACTGTTTTTTGGGTTGGGGAGATTCAGACAGACTGCTGTCCAAGTACAGAGAAAGACCGTCAACAGAGAAGACCAAATAATATCCATCGTGCCCCGTATGTTGGGCCCGGATACCCAGCCAGCAGTGCCATTGTTTGAGATACCATCCATACCGTAAATAGAAGCGCAATAGAAGATGCATAAAGTACAGGGGTAAGTATAGCGGGCCACGGAAATAATATAATCATCACATATAATCGCCAACCTCATACGTATCCTTGACGGCGTCGCCGAAAAGGGAGGGACACATAGACCCAAGCTTCTTGGCTCTGCTCCTAATTTTGATCTTAATGCCAACTGAACAGATAAGAATATACCTGCATGTTTCTTTTAGCGCTGCTGTAATCTCGAAAAATCCTGGCCAACGATTGCTGTGTAGCCGCCGGGTGGGTTTCTCTGAAACGAGGGGGATGCATGGCTCTTGCTAAAGCCCGTGGCGACATGAGATCTGTAGATTTGTGGCTTTCTCATAATAACGACCAAAGGTGGGGGTTGAAATCAAACGAAATCATTTGAGTTGTAGATATGTGCAACCCATCTGAAGCCAATGTGCGGTTTGGTCCAACACGCCGGCCCCTTTTCTGATACCGCATACCAACAAATCCCTCAATGAAGCGATAAAAAGAAACTGCTGGTAAGGTAACTTGTTGGAGAACGACTAGTAGGCTCTCTCGGGAACTAATTTGGGATCCGCCAATCGTGACACGTGTTTGATGTGATGAGTTTCACCGTCGCGTGTCGGGCGCGAAAAGAGGGCGCTTAGAGATTTGAGAGAAAAACATGCACTTAGATCGTTTCATCGCTTCAAAATTTTCAAAATTTCCAAATTCATCGTTTTCTCAGTGTTCGATACCTTTATATCTGGAAGATTGCAAGGATGGCCCGACGCGCGACATCCCCGCTCGAAGACTCCCAGTTGTTGAGTGAGGGCTCGACAGCCACCCCCAAGCCAGACAACCAGTCGTACTGGCCAACTATTGGAAGCAAAGACCAGATCCCAGGATGGCTACGTGACAATGACTATATTTTGGAAGGCCATCCGATGCCCACATATTCTTACAAACGATCTTTACGGCTGTGGCGCTGTTTACATATGGAAACGATGAACATTTGGACCCATATTCTGGGCTCGATAGCTTTCATTACTGTTGCTTTAACCCTGAATCATTTTGTCTCGGTCTCAAAAGACTTCAATTTCACCCGCGGCGATGTGTTTGCTTTTGGATCCTTCTTGACCTCGGCAACCATCTGCTTTAGCCTCAGCGCGGGATTTCACACCCTAAGAAGCCACTCTTACAACATCCACCATCTCTGGGGCAAAATGGATATTCTTGGCATCTGTTTCCTCGCCCTAGGAGCTGGTACCTCTATGACATATTACGCATTTTATTGCAGACCCTTCTTCCAGCGGATGTACTGGGGTCTCAATCTCTTCTCGGCAATTGGCGCTGCCATCACTTTGTTTGACACCGGCGGTGGAGGCAATAAGATGAGAACTCTACGAGGAGGGGTTTTCTCCTTGCTAGCTATCTCCGCCATGCTGCCTATTTTCCAAAGTGTGATTGAGTTGGGCTGGACTCGTGCGAGTAATGAAATTGGGGCTGGGTGGTATCTCGCAGAGGCACTCTCCCTCTTAACCGGAGTGAGCGTTTTTGTCTGTCGGTTCCCAGAGAGACTGAGCCCGGGCACCTTTGACATTTGGGGTCATTCGCATCAGCTTTGGCATATGTTTGCTGTGCTTGGCAGTGCTTTCCATGTTGTTGCTTTGCTTGCTGCATACGATTACCGCCGAATGCGCAAAATCTGTTGAGTTGCCTCACAGTGCAATTTCTCTAGACTACTGTCAATTTATCCAGAGCTGCCAGCATAGTATGCTTTCCAAGTTGGAAGGTTCCGAGCTCGGCTTAGATATAATGTGATAGACCAGGTCAAATGATAGCTAGCTGAAAGTCAACGTGCATGCCTACTCCACCCGGTCGGATGAGTACCGGATCGGGACTCTCTGGGGGTTGGAGGTCTGTTTAGAATCTGCCCTTCGGGGACCTCAAAGATCAGTTTCATGAGTTGTGCGTCGTTTAACTTCCGCCCAAGGTGGCTCAGGAAGTAGATATTCAGCCCAAACAGACCGGCGAGGGCAAATGTGAGACTAGCTTTTCCCATCCCATGTGCCCCAAGAACAGATATCCGCGTCGGTAGGGGATACCGTGGTCGGAAGGCGGGTATTCATTGATATATTGGAGCCATTCGTCTCTCTTTTTATCGGATATTAACTGCGGATATGTCTCGTGATGGTCGCGTGTTGAAGTTCGACCAACGCGAGGCAGTTTCTGAGCCGCAGATAGACCGGTAAACCGTGGTCACCATCGTGATTTCGTCCGGGTTATAAGACTGCGCCTCCTGGAGAAGACCATGCAAGGAATCAACAGACGCGCCAATATATTGCAGCTGAATGTAGCCGCGGTCCTTCATCAGTTGTGTGTACTGATTTTTGGACGCGATGCAATGAGCGGAATAAGATCCGCTTGCCATGATGTTGGAAGAGGTACGTGCCTTGGAATGGCTGTAGGCTGACTGTAGGCTGATGGGAGGCTGATTCACGATATATTGATAGTTAACGAATTTTGTGTCTTGGGTTTCATCACCTTTCACTGATTTGAGTGCATCTTCTTCGTGTGCCCAGGTGATCTTTGACTTGCTGATGGCGCGCAGGGAACAAAATCTTGGGTTGGGTGGCCGATGATCCATCATCCATCGCAGGAGATAGTGATAGAGGGTGTCATAGTCATCGATACGGACTGTGGTGGCAAAGCGATCGAGGAAATGCTTGGTTGAAGACGACATATAATGTAGAAAACTCAGTGTCCCGGCAAAGAGAAGACCCAGATTGATCAGCTTTATCACAGCAAACCCAGTGACATCTCGAATAGTTTCCAATCGAATGGGAGAATTGGTCCGAAGCCTGCCTGCAAAATTTCCGACTGACAACATGGCATGTCTCTTTTTCTTCAGCCACAAAAGGACGGTGATTAGCTACATATACCTAGGAGTGGAGAAACGCCGACTTTTTGACCACTAATGTTAGGTTCCTTAGCTGTGGACCATAGGACAAAAAGTGTTGGACATTAACCTCAATAGTGCGGAATATAACAATCATGGCTCTGTATAAGGAAGGCACGGAGTACTCCCGAGGTCCGTCTGGTCTCGAGGATTATCATGAAATTTCATCAAAATATCTTCTTTTCTTTAGACAGCACTTTAATGAGCTTTTTGTGCCCCTTGCAGCTCTAAGGTGTCTTAAGGGACAAAAGGGGTACTTTACCGTGCATACCCGTACCCAGATAGTTTCACCATTCGGGAATTTCCAACTAGTCATCAACTCACCCGACACTTGTCTGAGGATGCAGTATATGAGCTCAGTAATTCATGTCTTTGTCATTCGGAGTGAATAAATTATGAAATTGAAGAATCTTCCAAGGCTGAAGAGCGCAGTTGTCTACGTACCTACCTAGGTTGATGCATTTTTGCTCTGGTACGTGCATATTTCTAAACCTAAAATGGAAAAGCTAACCATAAAAGGAAGTACGGGTTTTCCCAAGGTCAGTTTCCAAGGTTCCAACCTTGGAAGGTCCACGGGTCCACTCCATACAATCTCTGCCTAGGTATCATGAAATCAATTAATTGCTCTAGAGGTCTGGATAGTACGGAGGAGGTAGTTTGTATTTAGCGGAACGCTGCGCTAGCTCATGTTGATTCTATCAATTCTTGCCTTATGCACGTGAACGACTGATTGTGGAAGTGACAGTGGCTGCATTTTGGAACTATTAAAGGGGGAGGTTCCGCGATCTGCCGCAATAGCGCCACCCACCTCCACGTTCATGCAGTGATGATGACCAATTTTGTTTATATTCAGACTCAAATTACAGATGCATTTGGGTTCTCGAGGCCGTGTGCTTTACCGAGACCTCACCATGACCTAACCCGTTCCAATTTTTGGGCCCGGTCTGGAAAAATCGAGGTCGTGATGGGGTCTAGCTCTCCTACAAGGTCACTTTACTGGGGTTTTACTGGTTCTCGCTTTATCCTACTGCGGCCGATTTGAAAGGCAACTAGGCAAAGAGGATCGGAATGCCGTCTAATCGAAAGTAAGTTGTAGCCTCAAATGCCTCATAATGAAGTGGATCAATCAGATGTTCCATTTACTTGTTTTTAGTCACAACAAAAGTCCCTCTACCTACAACATATCCATGTGGTGTTGGGCATGGAATGCAGTCGGTTGGTGGCATGTTTCACTTATCACAGCCTAACAAGGGCCTGCACCATAAGAAGGATATATTTCGCACTTAGGCCAGAACACAGTATCCTCATTTTATCTTCCTTCCATAAACCTGTCCAGGCTTATTTTTCCCTCTCGATGACTACAGGAATATTCCGTTTGCCGACTCTGGTCCTTGCGATCCTTTGTCTGGCACTTGTTGAACAATCTCAAGCCACGATGTGCGCTTCTGTGTGCCAAAAGGAGCCGCCGAGTTGTCCATATGGTCAGGTAAGATATTTTATTCTCGACCAACTTATTCTTATCTCGATGATATACTGACCATGTCTTTTTATAAATTTCTCAGAGAGCCTCAGGGTTCGAGGTGTGTAGTTCAACTGACCGATCATTTGCAATCTGTACGATGTTGACTCGGCTTGTCCGAACAGGGTTGCTGGGGCTGCTGTCAGCCCTTATAGTGCCACTACACGACCATAGCAACGACCTGTAAGTTAGCAACAAGAGTCATATTAGGAGCCGCCAGTTTCAAGAGTAGGACGACCCTCTGACATCGCTCGTTCATAGAGTTGTCTTCGGAATGCTCATGACTTAAAAGGCATACACAGTATCAATTTGCGAATTAGTTACCTAGGTAGTACCTATCGGAATCGCTTAGGTTATTACATATTAACCCTTCAATAGTTTAATTCATCTCATATTGCATCCATGCAACTCAGCGTATCCTTCCCACAAGTTCCTTCTAGAAAGTATTCTCTGGACATAGAAAACCTTTTCCTCCGAGATCCCACCTCTGCGGTGCCGTCTTCTCCACCCAAACTGATCGCCCCCAAAATGACGGACTCATAATCGGCGCCTATTCCCAGTACTCAGGACGCAATCCCGCTGATTCCCAGTCGAGAACACCTGTGACATTGTTCTACTAGCCCACGAAAATATTGTGCCGTGCAAAATCACGGGTAACACTGGCCACACTCCGTTAATCCAACTAAGAACAACACTTTCCAAGGTGTTCGATGGTATTGCCATTTGAAGAAGCTTCCACCGCAAGCAACAGTTTATATACTTGCTATACTTGCTGCTAAGAAAGCGACCTTGACCCAGAGTGGTGCGGCTATCAAACAGCAGCCAAGTAACACCACAACTAGGTTATGTAAATGCATGCTAGTTCCACACAACACCATTGCACTGCCGTATGCATTCTACCGCTAAAAGGCTCCACTTTCGAAAGAAATGGAGAATATCCCATGAAATTATTTCCGTGTCCTGTTACTCGCTTCCTCCATTGATAGGCGGGTTGCATTGAGTACGATCAGCGCAGAATGGCTCATATCAATTTCGCATTGGTCTTTGCTAAGACGTTCACTGTCTTGTAGATCTGTACCTCTTTGAATGTCTAATAGTTCTTTATGTACTCTTACTTCTTTATACGCTATGTATGTACTCTTAATCTATCACAGACAACCTCAATATATTATTGCATATCATACTAATTGCAGATTAGAGATGCCAGAAAACCGAGGTCCCTGTTTGGGACACTTCTTCAACGCCGGTGGTCTCCGGTGGCCCTAGAGTGATTAGTGCCGACCCCGCAATTTAGTTCACAAATCATAACCCGTAGGAAATCATCGTGGCCTTATCTCCTGACAAGACCTTGCATAGTTCCTTTTTTTGCTGCAACATCGGCTAGCTTCATGGCAATGTGACCCGTTGAGGAGGAAATCGCCGACATACGAAACTATATAATGGGGTGCAATTTTCGCCAACTTCAATAAATAAACATTCCATGAACCACTTTATACTGTGAATCGCCCCAAGCCTTTTCCAAGAATGGTGTCTCTATTCAAGATCGCTTTTGTCACCTTCGGTGTAATTCATGGGGCAAATGCGTGGGGTGCATTGGGCCATGCGACAGTTGCTTATGTTGCACAACATTATATTTCATCTGAAGCCGCATCATGGTAAGTACTTTTAAAGAATCCACAAAAGCCATAACATTCAATGCTAATGTATTTCAAGGGCACAAGAAATCCTCAATGACACCTCCAGCTCATACCTAGCAAACGTTGCTTCTTGGGCGGACAAGTATCGCCTCACAGACGACGGCAAATGGTCAGCCCCATTGCACTACATTGACGCCATGGACGACCCACCAAAAAGCTGCAACGTGGACTACGAGCGCGACTGTGGAGACGAAGGCTGCTCGGTCTCAGCCATTGCCAATTACACTTCGCGTGCAGGCGATGGCAGACTTAGCGCTGACCATACCGCCGAAGCTCTGAGGTTCCTCGTGCACTTCATTGGTGATATCACGCAGCCATTGCACGACGAGAACTACGAAGTTGGCGGAAATGGCATCAACGTCACTTTCGATGGCTACGATGACAACCTCCACTCGGATTGGGATACATATATGCCCGGAAAGTTGGTTGGCGGCAGTTCGCTCACCGATGCGCAGGGATGGGCTGACAGCCTGGTCGATGAGATCAATTCCGGCACCTACAAGAAGCAAGCTGAGAGCTGGATCAAAGGTGATACTATTAGTGATGCTGTCACTACTGCTACTCGATGGGCGTCGGATGCGAATTACTTTGTCTGTACTGTTGTCATGCCGGACGGAGCTGCTGCTTTGCAGACTGGTGATCTCTACCCGACATATTACAACTCCGCCATCGGGACGATCGAGATGCAGGTTGCTAAGGGCGGCTACCGGCTAGCAAACTGGATCAATCTGATCTACGAGCAAAAGATTGCTGAAAATCAGACAGGGAAATCCGTCAAAGGGTCCCGAGATGCAGCTCCTGAAACCGAGTTTGTCCGCGTGTCTCTTCGCGAGCCTCGCCAAATGAGTCGTGCAAATCTGGCTAGAGCTGCTATGGGAGGATCTTGCTGCACCTCAGAAGGACGTGAGCATAGCCATTGATCTGACGGAAGTTGTGGAGAAAATAGATGTCGTGGAAATAGGTGTTGCGGAAATAGGTGTTGTGGAAATAGCGTTGTGGTATTAGGTGTAGTAGATCCAGCTGCCTGAGGCCAGCCAAATCCGGCCTTACTTGTTTCTAGGACAATTTTGATATACATAGGATATACATATATACATCCTTCATAACACATAGTTACATAAGTAAAGAAAAAGTATATATACAGTCCAGTCACATCCTGATAATAAAAAGCTATTAGCGAATACTAACAGCTCAATTAAATCCACTCCCTCTTCCATGTTCAATTTAAACCTTCCATACTTCACTCACTCCTATCATAAGACCTCATTTTTGGTCCTTCCCACTTATGCCGTCCGCGAACAATCCAATCCACACAGGCAAATAATATAACAACCCCAAGCACAGGCCCGGCATAGTTCATATTTTCCGCGGTAACCGGCACAGTAGCCGGGAATGGAAGGAAGATAACGAAATAAGTGGCGAAGAGAATGGCAAGAAGATTCATGGGGAGGCCGAGTTTCCCTAGACTAAAAGTTCCCCGCGGGATATCCTGGGGCGCCGTGAAACGCTTCAAGACAAGGAGCACGAGAGGGATAAGATAGGAAATGTAGAGACCGAGCGTGCTAAGAGAGAGAATAGCGTTGAATGCAGCCGTAGACCCAATCTGGATAAACGAGAGCGCGAAGATGCATGACGCAACTAGGAATAAAGCACGTAGGGGGGATCTTGTAGGTTGGGTCGACGACGGCAAAGAAGTCGGAGAAGGGGAGTCCGTTGTCTCGAGCGAAAGCCCAGGTGAGACGCGTGACGGAGGCGAGGCCGTTGAAGAGGGCGATCCAGCCGGGTAGCATGCCCATTGCCATGAGGACGAAGGTGGCTGTCTTGGATCCCGTTGCTTGGTAGGCGATTGTAATGATGGGGTAGCCGGTTGGGCTGGTGACTGCTTCGGTATAGTCTCCCATGCAGTAGAGGATGGCAATCAGGTAGCTGAATGCGAGGGCTCCGTTGATTAGGGTGCCGTAGATCATGGAGCGGGGCACGACGACGCTGGCGTTTTTGACTTCTTCGGCCATGTGGATTACGCCATCGACGCCTGTGGTATGGATTAGGTCTGTCCAATATTCGGATAGTGGAGGGACGTACCAGCCAGCGGTGTAATGACACCAAGAAGACCGATGGAGAATACAACCCCGGAATCCTTCCATCCACTCAAGCCGCCGACAAAAGTGTCCCAGACAAATGGATCGGGATTTCGAGGGGCGAGGATAACGAAGACAGCGATGGTGACGGGTAGGAAGACGATATGCATGATACCCGCAGCAATCTCGATGCCTCCCAGAACACGACGCGCAAATATATTGATGATTATTGGTACGATTGCAACCGCCCACATGAGCAGGGTCCCGCGCCATCTCACAAGCTCGTACTCAGGGTGCGCCAGCACAATCATACCCTGTATTTGGGTTCCGATTAGGAATGGCGCGATACATACTAAAGCTGACCAAGAAAAGACCGTTAACCAACCTAATATGTTTAGCATGCGACTATGAACGAATAAAACTTTTAAGACATGCGCTCACCCTGGCAAAAACTGATGAATCGACGACCACGGGGCGCAAGGATATAGCTCCACTGATATTGAGCACCCGCGGTTGGGTGTCTGTCGGTCTCGAGGTCAGCGCAGTCACATCGCAGTCATATCGCAGTCATTTGTGCACGTACAGAGAGGCAAGCTCGGCTAAAGAGCAAGCGATGGCGAGATTACCCACTGTGCTTAAGATAATCCCATAGACAATCGCAGCAGGGCCGCCGTTGTACAACCCTGCGAGCAAACTACCACCGGCAGATTCCCAAGTGGCAAGCAAGCAAGTGGAAAATGCGACCGATGAGAAGAAGTTGAGATATCTCTGTTGAATGATTAGAGTCTGCGCAGGTCAATCGAACACCGATATTTACCTCCAGTTGTTGTTTCTGGCGAAATGTGGCGCTCTCATAGGCATCATTCCCACTCCCTGGTACTGATCGCACAGCGCTCCCGCTCTTCATTTCCATATCTTCCTGCATATTGGAACACGACTGAGGACAGAAAGGTCGGAGAAGGAAAAACGATAGAAAATAGATCAGTCGGCCTGAAGACGGCAACAAATACCCTGGTCCATCTTTGCCTGCAAATTTCCGTAGACAGAGACTAGACAGGGGTTTTTGATTGTGCAATGAATGCGAAACAAATGGTCGACATCCCACATGCAGGTTGTTGTGCCGCGTTGGAACGGTCCTGTTCGCTTCGGGCGAACCCTTGTCACTTGCATTCGAATAACAAGGCCGGTGCTGTTTAGTGCTGTTTAGTGCTGTTTAGTGCTGTTTAGTGCTGTTTAGTGCTGTTTAGTGCTGTTTAGTGCTGCATCTGGACTTTCCGGAGATCATCGGCCCCGCAACCGTGGGGCCCAAGGACTCAAAAGGCCACGACTACATAAGTAGCCACTAGTAAAAGACCTAGTAAAAGAACTAGTAAAAGACCGGGTCTTTTACTAGGTAATGCTAGCAGCCAACGACAAAGCAAGGTTGGACTGTCTAAATTTGCGGTACAGGGGTCTGTCCAGGTCAATAGTTATGGACAGTGCTATTGACGGAAAAACAACGGACCCACTGGAGTGGTCTCAAACTATTGGGGTGGTATTCCGTAGATATAACAGGGTACGGAGTACTGACAGGGTACTGACAGGGTTTGCGTTCTTGCACATGAGACGCGATAGTGCCAAGCCAACACCTCCGGCCGTGTGAGCAGGGGACTCAGAGAAACAACTTTAGGCGCAGGGATGTGAAAAAGCAGGTTTTTATTATATGCTGGAATCTCCGCAAGTTCTCAAATCTTTAAAGTCGATGTCATGAGATGGACCAAAAGAACGCCTTCCAGGCGCTGTCAAGCGATAATCGCGGTGGTATCATCACCTTGACCTCGGTATCCCTTCTGATTGTGGCTGTAATCTTTGTGCTCGCTAAGATCGGTTCGGTGATTTATTTCAAGCAGCGACGGACATCAGTCAATACTCCCATCTGGGTTGCTTTGATTCTTGCAATTGTTCAAGTCGTTGTCTTACAGAAGGCTGTTGACCATGGACTGGGAAAGCACCAGGACCGGCTTAGCGAAGGCGATATCCAGGCATGGAACAAGTTCGCCTTCGCTGCTCATATTCTGCTTATCATTGTCTTGTCGCTTTCGAAAATGTCGACCATCCTGCTGGTTTGGAAGCTCACGCCGAGTAAGAGCCTCCGTCGCAGCTGTGCTGTCACCGCTGGTATAGTTGTCGGGTGGTCGATATTCGGAATGTTGAGTATAGCTTTCCAGTGTGAATTGCCGGATCCGTGGCTATACTCCCCCGAGCGATGTGCTGGAGAGGTCAGTGAACACCAGGAAATCGGGCGAAAATTGACTTGACACCTCATCTAATCCTGAACAGGGTGCCCTATTCTACCCGATCGCAGTCTTCAACATCCTCACAGAGATTATGATTGTTGTACAGCCATTTGTTATGATGCAGAATGTCCAGATGGTCTGGCACAAGCGGGTGAAGATTCTGTGTTCTTTCTCTTTGCGCCTAAGGTATCTTAGCACTAACTACGGAACCTTTCCCTTTCCTTCGAATTCAATAACTCACCGACTGACCTATCAAAGTATCGTCGGCCTCGGAATCGCCCACCTAGCCCTCATACCTTCATTCGTTCACTCAACCGAACGTCTCCTGTCTGTGACACCCCATTCCCCTTCCAACCCCAAAGCCTTATTAATTGATCTGACAAGTATATAGGGGAAATTGTCATTTGGGAAATAGTCGGCCAGACGATGATGCTCACAGCCGTCATAATCGCCTGCGTCCCAACCCTCTACCACATCTTCGCCGGCCTGAACTCTGGCCTGACCACAACCCAGATTCCCGAAGGGATTTGGGCTCGAGCTCCCGCAGACCAAGGCCAGCGAGAGTATCAACCAATCCTACTCGGGAGCAACCCAGTCGCATTTGCGGTCGCGGTCGCGGTCGCTTGAACGCTCGAGGAAGAATGGACGGTCAATGTTTGATGGATGGGGAGGTGGGACCGGGGTTGTCACCAGGGTTTCGTGTCGGGATTCGAACCAGAATTATGAGGGTGGCCGGCAGTCTAATTCAAGCGAGGGGACTGAGAGTACGCGGCATTTGACACAGGGACTCCAAGGGAAGGGAGCCGTGCTTAGGACGGTGGATATCACGGTGGAGGTTGAGGAGCATCATCGGGACCGGCTTTGAGACCCCAGGGTATATACAGTCTGGGTGCTCGATACCACGTGTCACGAGTGTGTTGACAAGCAAGGGATCCTTTACATTTATTTCATTTTATTTTCAAAGAAGATAGACGCTTACCGCTCTTCCAGGGAATCTCTATCAGTTCCAAGATCCAGAGACGCTCAACATCCACATCATCAATGGCAACCCTACTAAGCTATCAGCCTGGGTATAATAGAGGATGCTATCCGTTAGCCTACAAGGTAGTGTTCCGGTTGCTTGCTACCTAGGTAGATACCTACGTGGCGGGTCCGATGAGCTGCGAAACTGCTTTGACGTATCTACGCGCCCCGTCACCATTCGCGTTCAGCACATGCTCCTTCCTTTTCTTCTTGTTGCCTCGTATGAGTTCCGGAAGATCGATGATAGTCCAATGTATCTCGCCCGGGCCGACCCGCTCAATGCGGAGCGTCACATCGCATAGACTCCCGCTCTTCCCCGATTGATCAGCGCCAAAAATACATTTGCCTGGATTTTGCCGATGAGATTATATTCAACCACGGCACTAAACATACCTTCTCTATAATCACCTCACTGCCAGGATATCAGCTCTCTCCACACCATTCCCACGCCGTCTTCTCCACTACAAGCTAGTCTGGCCCCCACAAGCCCAGACGGGCTGTAGTGTCGATGTCCCACCATCCAGCACAGCCCCTGTACAGCCTTATCCGCTTCTGTAGATCTCAATTATGGCTTCTTTTATGAGTCAAAGTTTCTACTTTCCACATTCTCTATCTCGCACTTTCAATCTACCCAAGAACACTTTCTTTGGTTACCTACACACCACTATGGGAAAAGAGAACTTCATCCGACAAATCGAAAACTCCTCCCGAATTCAAACTCCTTGGCAAAGTAGCCAAGGAAGAAGTCACGGTACAAGATGCAGTCCAAGAGCTCATCAACATGACCATGAGCGCATTGTCAATTCATGGTCCAAACAAACAAGGCGGGATTGGTCTCCCAGACTACAACGTCTCTCTTGCAGTAATGGAGCTCGCTCAACGCCTGGAACCATCCAAACACACCAAGCTTGTCGAGTTTATATCTCGTCTCCAGAAGCAAGTTGCCGTTGATCCATCGACAAACGAACCCCTGAGGGTCCATGGCGATACCCTCTGGACAGACATGCCGTCGTTCGGCTACACGGAGCTTGAGACGTGGTACGAGTTTGGTGGCAATTACAAAGGTGATCGATCCTCCAATTTAAACAGCCAGACCGCTAACGCATGTAGACCTATGTGATCAAACGCTAGATTCTGAGCAACGAGATCGCTGGGTGAATCTTAACGCTTTCCTCGCGCAGCTCACTCAGGCTGCAGATATTCACTATACACGTCCCAAGGAAGAAGTGCGATTTTCTTCCCTGGACAAATCACTACGGGCCATCTGGACTATAGCGATGGCACTTGAGAACGAGCACCCTCCTGCGTCGCTGGGAGATACGGCGGCGATGGAGGCCGCTTGCCTGTGGTTTATCTACGCTGCGGAGCGGCTGTGGGCGAATGTGCTTAATAGTCGCACGTATCCTGAGGCGGCTGGCGCTGGCCCCGGGAAGAGGTATAAAGAGGAGGGCTGGACGGGCTATACGCGGGAGAGATGGGGAATCTGGGAGGATGCGCTGAAGGAGGCTAGGACTACATGCCAAGATGAGCGAATGTGGAAGCTCATTGATGATGCTTTGGCGAGTCTGAGAAGGGGAATGGTGAATTTATAGCGGATAGACCCATTTAGTTCTAATAAAGATACTGGAGAAGGCGACTCTCTTCGTATAAGCTTGTAGATTTACTGGGAAGGGGGAATTATGTAGGACCTTTTCACCAAATTTGTGATGTTCAGAACGGGCACTAGTAGGACGATCTATAAATGATAAATGAAATAGTCGAACCTGTTTAGACATGTATCGGCCTATCCTACATCGTTATCTCTGACACACTGTCTCTTCCTCCCTGACTTTTCGGTCAAGGGATACTAGAAGTTCATCTTCTGTTCGTACTCTTCTGGCGACAAGGACAATAATTCTCTGTGCTCCTCTCGCGTGAGCTTCCTTGCACTATCCTGGACATTCTCTTCCACCGAAAGCATTGCAAGCCTCCTCGTAAGTTCATGGATACCGGCACTCCGACGAGTCTCAATTACGCGATCCGTAGTAGTATCGGGGTCAATCTCAACTTCTGGCGAGGGGTCAGACCAGATAGTGAAGAATAGCACACCTGGTTCCTGGATGAAGCTGGGCTTATCAAGAACCACTGTGAAATAGTGATGGGCGTATGGGCGGAAGGAATAATCACGTGAACCCTGAGGCAGTGCCCGTATAAATGTTCCTGACCCTGGCTCGAATTCATGGGCGGCACCGATATCAAATCCGTTGGGCGGCGAGGATATGAGGGAAGATAAGAAGGAGGAGTCGGGAATCCGGAACTCAAAGTACATTGTTTTAGAGACAGGGAGATGGGACATGAGGCCTGCGGTGAATGTGCGTGCGGTGGTTTCTAGGACAGCGGTCCTTTCCTCTTCGATACCCGCGAGGAATTGGACGTAGATGACGTACTGAAGGTCACATTCCCCGTCCCAAGGGTTGTTTGTGACAGTAAGAGTACTCTTTTCAGGTCCCCAAGTAAGTCGAAGTACCTTTGGGTCAATAGATTGAATTTCTGCCGTTTGCTGCTGCTCCAAAGCCTCCTGGATGTGTTGCAAAATCGGAGTCTCCTCGGACGGTGAGGGCGGAGGAAGTTCATGGAGTCCTTAATCAATTCGCCCATAAACGTATGTCGAGTAGCGTCCCAGCATAAGATCTTTCATATCGAAGCCGAATCCCCTCTGATCTGTCGTAATATCCACATTGATATCGCGAATTTCGGAATCAACTGAAATACCCCACTCCTTAAAAGTTTGAAGCTCAGTCGCCGGCCTGCCAAGACGTTTTATCATTGGGAGCTTCTTGACTGCTGCTGGAAGACTCCGTTCGAAGCTAATCCACCAGGGACCCGTGCCGTGGTCATTGTCACGGAATGCACCTTTGAGATAGCTCTTGGACGTGAGAAGGAAACAGAATCCTGACATGAACTGGTCCTTGAAACCAGTTCGCATTGTGGGGATCAAAGGGGGGAGGCTTTCATTGTCTTCACCTTTCCCTGTCCAGCATGAAGACGCTTCCGATAAGCAATTTCGTGACGCTGATGCTCCACACAGGCCAGACCATCCGGTGGGTTGTATGAGTAGATCTCCAGGAAGGGAAACTGGTCGAATTCCGAGAAGAAATATTCGTACAGCTTGTTGAACTCCTCTGGCAGGATGGGGGCCGTGCTATATATTTGGAGTCGGTACGCCTCAAGTTCCTCTGGCTCTGGTTGATAGAACTGGCTTTCAGAGGAAATCTTACCCAGAATGACAGTGTTGCCTTCATGGCCGGCATATTCCCGTTGAATCCATCGTCTAGGTGGGTCAGATGGACCCCGTGCAATCTGAGCTGTTCTTGCCATGATGTTTAAAGTATAGGAGAAGGTCGAGGTGATTGAAAATGGGAATGGGCTCGTAGAGTGGGGGATGCAGGTCAAGTATTATACTGACTGGTCCCGCGCCAAGACATGAGAATATGACGATCTGCTTCTTAATACCATCCCAGTCAATCCCCATATAGCGCTTTTAGCTCGTTTAGCTCGTTTTTGTATTGTTTTTATGATGAGCCTCATACACCTATCCTCTGTCGGGTAAAAATACGATGCGTCCGCTGTCGGCCTCACAAGATTATGCATTACTTCTACCTAATAAATCCATATTCAGAGAAAAAGAAACACCGAAAAACAACCCCGTATATGCATGGTGTTCTCTAAAAGCACACAAGACACATCTTTTTGGCTTCGAATATCTGATCGAAAGGGTGATCTGATGCTGCAGAGGAGAACCTTGGAATGTTTTTCATTGCCCAATTGGAGGAGAAAATGTTGATCTATTGACTTCTGCACTCAGGTACTCTCATATTTATTTCCAATCCTAATATTCAAACTTGCCAAGAGCTTCGTTATCCGGCCACATAACTCGCATCATCTGCTTCTGCTCTATACACCCTTTTGAGCTATGAGGAAAACACAAAACACTGGCCTCTTGACACCTCTGCTCCAACCATGCGAGCCTCGCAACATTCTCCCGCTTCCTGAGCTCGTAGTATTCAAGATATATCACAGCCAATTTAGGTAAGCTCTCTGAGGTAGCCAAATCTGCTAACTGATCCATAGCTATCTCGAAGCTTTCGTCCTCACCGAGAGAAAGAAATAATGTCTCTAACGAGGACGGAAGAACATTCCGAAGTTTTCGCAGAGGTAGCTTGCGCTCATCAAATCCAACAAGGTTGGGCAAGGAAATACAGATAAGTCTCAAAGCGGTAAAATCAGCAAAAGAGCCCATCCACTCGTCATCAGTATCCATATCATCATAAGCCTCGACCCAGATAGACTCCAGCGTCGATTTCTGGAGCGCAAGCGATTCATAAATTTTCCGCGGCTGAAAATCAGCCCCAGAGACCACCCCTCCACCATGGACAAGCCGGAATGACTTCAGTGCTTTGCAGGCTTGCACCCGTTCCCGCATCCCCTCCGCAGCATTGCTTTCTTGGAGGTCGATGTCGGTTATATTCGAGCACTGTGGTGAGAGGGTGGCTCGCTTCGGAGGTTTGGAGTCATCCGATTCAGACTCAAACTCGTCGTCATCGTCATTCTCATCCTCGGCCAACATATAGCAGCCCACTTTCCGCATTGACGGAAAGTTGAAGAATGCATTCATGTAGTATGATGGGAATGCGTTCTCTGAACCGTGCCAAGCTGCATAGGCTTCCTCAAGATGAGGAAATATCGGTTCCGTTTCGATAGCGGCTTTTTGCAACATATCCACGACGTAATACGAGCCGAATGGCCAGGTGAAGTGGAGTTTCCGCAATTCCTTCAATTGCGGAATAAGCAAAGCCAGCCAAGCATCACTGTTATGCCGTTCGAGATCTTCCAACCATTTTGATTTCTCTTCTTCGGACTATCCTGTTCTTTCAGCGACTAGTTGTTGGACAAGTTTGTCATCAAATCCGACTCTCTGGGCGGGTTTTCCATTGTTGTCCTTCTCGGTTTCCCAGCAGTTCACCTTCAGGGACCGGACATAGCTAGCCAGTCTCGGAGTCCGGGTGACGGCATATAGGAAGATGTTGGTTGTTTGGTCCTCACTTCCTCTCCCGCAAAGAGTCACGTCGGTGTAGAGGCTTCGCTGGAAAACGGTGTGCAGTCGACGTGACGTGGACACCAGGAGATAGAGAGCTTTCCTACCGAGATCGCGTGCAATTAGATGGAGTATTTCTGGGGGTAGATCGTTCAACATAACTGCACTGGTTACTCGAAAGTAAACCGATTCGGCACTTGAGATTTTTATATTTTCGTATCGTGTTCGTAGGGTCCAACTCGGCGTTGGCTTGGCGTAGGCAGCAGCCGGGGTTAGCCGCTTCCGCCCATAGCCTGAATAAGAACAAAGAAGAGAGAAGGATTGATTGTCTATAGACAAACAGAAGCTGGTCAACTCGCTTGTTAAATGCTGACTGGCAGCCTGACAAACCAGGCATCGAGGCAGAGCTCTGATCACCAATTATCTTCGTGTCATTCTATTATCCAAATGTTAATTCATATGATGAGACATGCGCGATGTGCTCGTAGGAGCAAAACAAACAAAGCAAACACCAGCGAAGTAAAAGAAGGGACCCAGAGGGAGATTTGTCGCCCACATCCTATGCTCATATGTAGTGGACATGGCCATGGAAAGGAATGTAAAAGTAAGTGGGCTATAAGAGCGCGATATGTATACCCAAATAGGACAGCACGGACCCACTCAGCTGCTCCACATGAAGTAGCCTCTTGGCACCTGTTGCCTCGGTCCCTTCACTACATCCATTCTATACCACAATTGTATGCATAATTGTGCTTAAATCAAGGAGAAGAATGGAAATGTCACTGATGACTAACTCCGCTAATGCTTCTGTCTTTGGTAACCCGCTGATCTCTACGGAATTTGTAACGGATCGCGCAAATATCCACCTTACACTCCGTTCCCGAGGTTGACGGTTTCGCTTAATTGTACTAGAATGGGCTAAGTCGACTCTGACACGCTTTAAAATCGCCCAAAATCAGAAATCACGAGACGAGACATTCCAACTGTTTTCCTGACATTTACTTGCGCGTGTCAATATGGCTGAAAAATCGAAAGAGTGCAGAGGACCAAATCCCTGAGAACATCATTGTTGCGGCTGATCATGGCCGACTCGATCTTGTCACGGCACTCTTAGAGGGCGGGGCTGACCCGAATACCGTCGACGAGGTCGGGACCTCCGCTCTTCATAACGCAGCAAAAGGAGGCCATTGGGATATTGCCCGCCTGCTCCTCGAGAAAAATGCATCACCTCGGATTGAAGACGGCAACCGCCGAACTCCACTCCGCCTCGCTGTAAAAGAAGGTCACGAACGAATTGTTCGCTTGTTTCTCGAGTGTGATCCTCCTACAACCGAGAGAAAAGCTGAAACATCTAGACACCTTCGCGTTGCTGCAGCTTTTGGCTTTACAGAAATAGTCAAACTCTTTCTGGATTGCGATACCCCGACCCTAGGCGCTAATAATCAAGAAACGGCGTTGCACTTGGCGGCTGCAAGGGGCCATTCTGACGTCTGTGATCTTCTCCTAAAGCACGACAAGTCTTTGAATCGATCATTATGGGCCCGGATCGCCGGACCCAGTTTGGAAGTCTACGATGAAGATTACTTGGGAAACATGCCTTTTGCGTACGCAGTTGAAAAGGGTCATGAGCAGATGGTGGAAGTCTTTTTACGCCATCATCCAGAACTGAGCAAGTCTTCCGATCGCCACAACCAACTGCTTTTCCATAATGTTATCAGAAAAGGAAATATTGAGGTGGTTCGAATATTCTTGAATCACGGCGCCGATACTGAGATGAGAGACAAGTACGGACGTCGCGCCCTTCACGAGGCTGTCACCGCCGAGAACATGGGTTACATCACAGGGGCTACTGAGATGATCCAGCTTCTACTTGCCCATGGTGCTATAGTTGAGGCAAAGGACAAGGATGGCAGGACTCCTGAGCATTTCTCCAATAATCCGAAGACCAGAATGATATTGCGTAACCATGCAGCCGCGCACTCGAAGGGTGATTCATTGCCGATAGCATCGAAGGTTTCGGCTCCGCCACCTGAGTACAAGGCATGAATAGTCGAATCGAGGAGGAATGCCATGCTTTGAAACAATCATACCAACAAGCCCTGAACCAACTGTACGATGAGCGTGTTTCCTGACAGAGTAGCCCAATATCTACTGCAGCAGTAAGGAATATATACTGGGAATTCCGTTAATCCGTATAAATATGCAATTTAAAAGCTATCCCAACAGCAAGGAGTTAGACCTGAAACAATGCCGCGATGCAGAATACCACGGTACTCAGGCTACAACACCACCTGAGGTGGCCCTGAAACGACGCCGCAGCGCGGAGCATGTGTGTTGATCCTGAAAGTATTACACCGCGTGGAATATATTGTGAGAATTTCATGATGGGGGTGATTCGGAGGTATTGCAGTGGACATAGACCAAAGAGACAAGCATGCCCGGGGCCATGCGGTACACAGCATTGAGCCCGAAGGCCTCGAGGAATGGACCTGGAAAAGGCCAGTCGACGAGGAAGTGACCTGATATACCACGTTAGATCTGATATTACCATCAGGTTATATGTTAGGACTTACCTGTCGTCAAAGATTGAACCACTCTGACCCATTGACATCTGAGCACCGCAGTCATCAATTGCAGATGTCGCTGTCATAGAAGAGGCAAACAAAAACACCATAAAGACAGGAACAACATCCATAAAACACTGAAGTTGGCGGGATTCCGGGGACAGTATTTGCTGTTTCGGTTCCATAGGATGTAAGGGCATTTTGATCTCTCCTTTCATTGCACCAAAAGCCGACAAGATCAAACAGAGAATTTACTGCGAGGGGTATCGATTCATAACGACCATACTGGCGGCATGTTTGGAATGTATAACGAAGGTACTTGCAAAGCTGAGCTTTATATAATATTTGCCTTGGATATGTGATTCTGCAATGTTGCGGAACTAGTTCCCGCTTTCTGTAAGTTTCCGGGCAAATCTGATAACGAGTTGCGAATGGAAATGTACGTTCATGGATGTATGAGCACTGCCTAGGTGGTGTCCCAGCAGTGTAGATGGACTGCCACACTTGCAGTGCCTGGTACCAAGGTAGATTAGCAACACAACTCTTCTCCCAACTCTCGTGGAACACTTACACTGTATGCAAATATTGCTAACTCATCCCTCAGTAGCCTATCCGCACCTAATACCAAATACAGGTTAGTATCTAACATATAGCCTCGGACCATTTACGAACGTACTCACAATGAAGATGGCTATCTGTCGAAATCAAAGCCATAACGATGAATGTGCGGTTTTGATGACGCATTGAGAATCGCCGCACGCATTGAGAATCACCGCGTGCATGATTGCACCGCGTGTAGGGCCGATCACCGCGCTTTGTCCCCAAGTCGAACCCTGCCAAGGTTCTAATTAGAGAGCCCGTCGATCTCCAGTTAAATGTCGGATTGGCTCTATACCAGGGCAAGGAGGTTGTGGTGCGCCAGTTTTCCGGCACTTCGGTTCTGAGCTCTGGCCAAGTGACCGACGCAATGGAGATCAGATCATCGCAGTCTGCTCTCCATGATTGATCACCGCGTGCATGATTCTGACAAGAGTCAGCAGACAATCTTCCAAAGTACTTCCAGAAACACCCACCTTTTTTGCTTTTTATATATAGCTATATACAAGTTATATACAATATATACAGTTTCTTTTCTCTTTTTCTCTTTTTTCCCCTTTTTCGGTTTTTCTTTGGGTTGTTTGGGGGGTTCTTTTTGTTCTTTTTCTTTTGAGAAGAGTGGAGAGAAAACCAACCCGGCGAAAGCAAAAGCGAAATATCAAACGGCGTTGGAGTAAATTATGTGCTTGTGGTCATGGTGTGGCATCCAGGGGCACGAAACAGCAAGTCCACCATCATACCGAAGAAGCAGAATCCACTAGCTGAAGCCAGTTTCACCAACTACCTTCAATCCAGACAGTCGCAGGCCCCTCGGGCGCCTAGAGAACGGTTGTCCTTCATCCACCAAGGGAGGAGCTAATAAGTGCAAAGCGAAGACTCCACTCCAGCGGTAAGCACCCGGCGTATTACTTTTCTGCGGAGCGGCCAAAGGCTGCATCACGCATGCGCCTCACTCTGGATATAATTGGACCTTTCACATCGATACAGCCGGTATTCTCGAAGGCCTCGAAACGCCGAAGCTCCGCTTCGCGACGAGTCTCACTCTCGCGCAGTTGGCGCTCCAAGACAGCCACAGTGTTGTCGAAATCGGCTTTCTTGACAAATTTTCTTGGGAGGCCTTCCATTTATACCCGCTTCCCCCAACCAGGAATATGAATGTCGCCAATTCTGGCACGGATCCCGTAACGGGGGCATATTTTAACGCCAAAGGCAGAAAACGTTTATCGAAAGATGTAACGTAAATCACGTCTAAATATACGTAATAAGAGGTGCAAGGAAGAGAAAATCTACATGAAGAGCTTGCAGAAGTTTTGTTCTACCCAATCTGTCTGGTATGGCAAGTGCGATATTGCCATGAATCAGGAAGGCACGACATGGACTATTCCGCCTTAGTGTTGACTACCTTTCACGGAGGCTGGTACTGTATGCCATTATGGATCGTTGCCGGAGAAGATGAAGAATGATAATACTTATATAGCTAATAATTGTAGGAAGACAGCATTTTCAACCCCGTCCTGGGCACATGGAATGATTTCTTAATTATGCATACACATACTATAGTGACTTTGCGACATATGAGCTCTCGATAAGTGAAGCATCAACTCTGTGGCAAATAAACATATTACGTCCCCGTAGCCCAAGGGTTGGTGTTGTGGACAAAAGGAAAAGGAAAGTGTCAGTTTATTGCTCGCAAGGGAAAAGAAGCGTGATGTTTAACATCAGTCTTCACGCAGCCGAACTTGGACAATCGTTCATCATTTAAACTCAGATTTAGCTATGTCCTTTGCTATATATCTCCACTGACAGAAGTGCTAGCGAGAGCCCAATTAAACCGGGGTCTGAAGACAGATATGATTGCGCAGGGCTGTTGGCTAAGCACATACATAGAAATAAAGCAAGCACCGTGGAATATTTGGAAGCTATAAAGTGACATGTAGCAACACTTTACAATGGGCCCCTCATACTCCATCGAAAGGTGGTAGTTCGGCCCGTAAAAGCACTCGATGGTAATCCGCCATTCAATAAACACCGAAGCACTATCATTCATTGATGTCGTGATAATCCATGTTGGCAGCCATACCCACGAATGTACGTGGAAATCAGAAAGTACCGGGCGAAGCAACCTAGTGTAGCAAAAGGCGGTTTTGGTGGACGTATCACCTGTCCCGGGAGCGGCCAAATGCCGATCCACAGATACTTCCCAGTTCAGATAGAACCGATTGGTTAGCCCGTTCTTGGAGTTGGTCTTCGAGAGCTTCGAAACGCTGAAGGAGCACTGCACGCTCAGCTTGATTTTTGCGTTCCCATCTCTCTATGGTAGCTACTGTCTCATTAAACACAGCTCGTGCCTCACGCTTGTTTTTATCGGACTTGTACGTCATAAAAGAGGTGATAGCCAACCCAGCAATGTAGAATAACATTGTAAGGCCGTAGGTAAGGTAGGTGTGAGAGAGAGAAAAACTGAGGTCAAGAAAGAGGCGAAACTCTTTTGCTAATCACCTAGGTAGTTAGGTTAACTACATGAAATAAGTATGGCATAATTAAACTGATATGAACATATACTAAGTTTTGGTCCGCGTTCCCTTTATAGTTTCGGCCCAGGTGCCGAGAGTATTCTACGGTACATGACTCAACGATATACGTTAGGATGCCTTGGATATATTTTCTGTCAGGGAAAAGGTGGCACACGATCGAGATCTACATTTTGTTAATACCGGAGAAATTATTTCCAAATATTTATTCATGGGACCTGCCCGCCTGGAAGGTCTATAGGAAGATACCAATTATTCATTCTTGTTAAAGTGCGTACACATTTAGTCACGATAGGCTCAGTTGTCGGAAGCAGGGTTTCCAACGGTGACAACGCAACCGTTCTTCCCTTCTTTCAAAGCTCTGCTGCTCAGTACACACTTGTGTACCGAGAGAGGTGGATGCTGTGCAGAAGTCTGCCCACTATAAGTGAGAATGTGTCTGGTTTTTCCAACATTAATTTCCTCCATCGCTCTCGATTCCCTTGGACTATACCACTTTTTTTTCTTAGAATATTCACTGGAAATTAAGTACACTAGAAGAGGGGACTCATTAGAACTGTAGTAGGGGATCTAAGATGATCTGGATGATCAAAATAAGCATGTAGATCGATCTACCCGATCGTCAAGATATACCTGGGGCTCCACAGTGACGTCAACGGATTTTCCTGTTAATTCTCCCTTCTCAAGGCCTTTTGGCCTTTTTCAAAGATTTTAAATACATCGAACGCGACCGAATTTAATTTCCGAGACATTTTATCCTATATACTCCTGAGAGCCATTTCAAAGTTTCCCAGTCGTGTAGTTCCTATGGGAGCGTATAACTTTTGACTTGTCTGACCTTTTACAACGTGCTTGGAAACAATGATGTACATTCTTGCGCAAGCCCTTGTACAGGCCTCACTTCTTTCAATTGCCTCCGCTTCCCGGCTCCAACTGCTTTCACCAACAATGTCGCTCCGCCTGAACCCGTCATTACACCTTCCCCGGTCGAGCACAATCCTTCGCCCATTGCTGGCCGAAACATCTTGAGCGACGTTCAATCGAGTGTCGGCAATGTCATTTCAGACGTTGGCTCTGGCCTCCCTTCGGGGGTCGCATCTGGAGTGCCCAACTTTTTCCAGGGCTTCCCGACTGGAGACGCAGTTGTGAGCTCCCTCGGGTTGGACAGCTCCCAGTTGGAAGCATTACCAACAAATGTGTTGAACATTGCCCCTTACGCCAACTGGACCAACACAGGCTGGAACGTTCGCTTCCATGGAAATGTTTATAAGCAGCCAAACATTTCTGTCTCAACGTTGAACGATTTGGCCGATGTCTTCCTCGTCAACACTAGTATCTCGGACCTTCCTGAATCCCAGCAGGCCCAGGCACGTAACCTCACTGCCGAGATCTTTGTTGTGCAGCAGCCAGATGTTGCTGTGGACAAGATCCACCTCAAGCCTGCAGAGAGTCAGGGATCAAGCGGACAGACAGGCGGTGGATCATCCAACACAACAGGTGGTACGCAAGACGTCACTCTGCCTTACAACACAACAGCCCAAGGTGATTTTGACACCTTTGTGCCGATCGACAGCAATAATCTTACTGCGGGAAATGAAACTTCGGCATTCCAGAGACTGGACACTCATGTCGAGGGCGCAAGTATCGGAAATGCTACCGCGTATCTTGTGCCTCCAACCGGACTCACCATCCTTTCTGACATTGACGATCTTTTGCGAGTCACCAAGATCTATCAACCGGCACAAGGATTACTCAATTCTTTCGCCCGTCCATTTAAACCTTGGGAGAATATGCCGGAAATATACCGCAACTGGTCCACTAGCCTCCCGGACACTCATTTCCACTACCTCGTATATCCCCTCCCTTCCCTTTCTTGTTAGCGTACTAACAGTTGGCCCAGAGCACCACCCCCGAGCAGATTACCAGAAACTACATGGAGTTTATCTACAACAACTACCCGGGCGGCTCCTTCGACACCCGTCCCCTCAACTTCAGTGACGTCTCCGCTACTCTGTCGATCCGCCAGTCCCTATTGCGAAAGATCTTTGAAACCTTCCCCGAGCACAAATTCATACTGGTGGCAGACACCAGCAATAGCGATGTCATGCGCGACTACCCAAAACTGGTCACTGACTTTCCGGGACAAGTGCATTGTATCTTGATTCGCAACACCTCCGCAACTGACCCGGGCAACAAGTTCCCATACGACACGTCCGGATTCAAGGACTTGAAGCAGTCGATGTACATGTTCTTCGTGAACCCGGATGATCTGACTAACCTGGATATTGAGAATGGACAGTGCTATAATGAGTCCGTGCCACAGAACCTGACCTTCGGCTACCAGGGACTTCCACTTGGACTGGGGAATACCCTGTCTTCAGTTAACGGGTCAGCAAAACACACCGGAGCTGCTAGCGGGCTGTTAAGCAAGGAATCGGCTGGTGTGCAGGGCCTCATGGCATTGGTCGCAGCGCTGGTTACGGTCACCTTTATGTTTCTGTAAATGATGTATACGAACTAAATGGACAATTAATGTCTTTCTTGGCCGACGTGCATTCTATCTTCCGCTCCAGTGTTATATCGAGTACATACGACCATAGAGCCTGGAAAATTGGACTTACGCGTCCGCTGAGTCGTACTCAAGCAATACTGTGGGATCGGTATTTCTGACATTAAGTGATCGCTACATGTAGTTGCTTGACCCAGAACCACACCCTCACTCTTAGTGTACCTATTAGTGCCTAGCTGATCAGGCATCCATAGGTGGCAGTAGCTCTTTCCTCCTTTCTCTCTCCTTCTCCTGCCTGTCTGTCCTTTTGATAAGAACCCACATACGTTGCTCCTTCATACGAGTCACAATTCGTAGTGAGATTCCTAGAGGTTATGGACTCACACCAAAGTGATAATCTTCGATTCCACTGCACCCTCAGTTCCACCTCATTTTGCTTTCGATTTCACCTCACCCTACAGCAAATATCGTGACAGCTCTACTTAAAGGAGAACCTCCACTTAAGGAGGCCATGAATTATGGCCAAACAAGCCCCATGTACCATCCATGTTTGTTTCGCCAACAACCCCAAGCCTCCAAGACCTCGCGTCACCTCCACCACCGAAGCTCCCGAGGTCCCCCTCAAAACCCTGGCCCAACTCGCCGAGAGCGGATGGCCACTTTTCGTTCCGAGAACACTATCACCGAGGGATATTTTTGCCAGCTCTGTGAATGGGTAAAAGCTTCCACCGAGCTGTGCTGTCGTATTCTTTTGAGTGAAGCCCTAGAACGGGCCCACCCCGTGTCTATGCCAACATCATCATCCTTGCTGCAACACATCCTACAATTGAGGCCACAGACAGATCAACTCGGATGCTTGATTTTCGATTCCTATGTCTTCAATTATATATTGAAAGGCCTCTGAATGCAGCAAGCATGGTTGACAGCAGTCGCCCCACAAAAGAACGTGGAAAACTCGAGTATCAAGTCCAGCACAAGTTACTAGCAGAGTAAGTGTATCTGCACCCACTGAAAAATTGTTGGGGAGTACTAACTAACACGGGTCTTAGGAAGTACGTGCTGGCGACTAGGATTTTGAGTTCCAATGCCGACATCACTGAGGTAGCAGGACAACCTGTCAAATTTAACGCCCCAGGCGTGAGACCTCTTCGGTCATAAAGTGTCTTGAGCTGCGCTACAAAGCTAACGCGCATAGACATGCGGTGCAGGACCACTGGAGATAAAGCCGATGTGGCCCTACGGGCCCTACCTCTATGGCAACCCGCTGAGGAACGAAAGATATGTCCCTAAATTGAGACTACCCCTTTCGAACAGCTCTGCAGCTCCCACAATATCATCATTTCATGCTTTCCGCTACAGATAAGTATTCCATCCCATTATTTTTAATCGATGTCTAACTGGACAAATAGTGGTATATGCCTAAAGGCGATGGGAGCACCCCCGGCAAATGTGCTCCGGAGGTTGATAAACGCCATCGATATCATCGGTCACTTTACTTGAAGTACTAACAGTAATATATCGTGTAGGCCACCTGGGTGGCCTGTGCAACCTCTTCGCCAATGAGAAGCGTTCCCATTCCCACTCAAAATTGTTCTTACCAGCTTTAAAAACGCATGCGATGAAAGCAAGGACTTCTTCGGAATGTCATGATCAATAGTGTTGATGGGGTTCCCATTGGTAGTAGCTTTGGGAATGATCATGTGCTCGAAGGCTAGATTGTTGCATCCATCGCAATATTCCCACGCGCGACAATAAGCAACCCATACTGACTCATACTTTGGTATGGACAGTCGATAGCATGGCCATAACACACGTCAGTGCAAAACAAATCATACGAGCCCCCTACTCACGCCATCGTCCCTCATATACCGAACCGCGCCTTCTGGTTCATACCGAATGGTCGGATACTATCTCACCACCTCCCGACGCACAAAATAGCATTGATGGGCAGACTGCCAAATCTTCGAGCTGTTATCGCAGGGCTGTGTAACACGGCCTCAAGACCGTCATACCAGCCAAGCGGGGCAGAAGGCGTTTTCAGATTTGCATACGTACCAGTATCCGTCTGTACAACATCGAGCTACCAACTTCTAGTCGTGCAATGCAAGACGGCTGGTCTGGAAACGCGAACTTCGACCTGGGACGAAGGTGTGAAATATCTCGATCAAAGACACTCTCCACGAACCTTTGCCCATTGCACAGTGAGGTTATGCCAGACCATAGACGTAGCTATGAACGGCTTCTGCATTGTCAATGTATCCTGAGGTCGTTTGCGTTGGGGATGAACGTGGCTATGGAATGGAAGTCCCATGACCCTCGCTCCTTGCTGGATTCGGCTAACCCAGCACCGCGTGGTGCTCCGGCATCTTCATTAAGAAGGGAAATGAAATAATGTATTGATGCTCGACTACAGTACTACATGTGTCTGTTCTATATGGGTACGCCATTCTTAGAAGCAATATAGATAGAATGATTCCAACCCCCAGAAACCCTTATAACTGGCTTCCGATAGCCGGATGAGATACATCTCTTACTTTAACAAAAAGCCTCTCCGCATGTCCATACCCATCTATTCTTCATTCACGTTAATCACACCCCAATCACCCTCCGACCAAGGCGTCACCGCCTTAAAGGTCTCAATCTTCCACAGTCCACTCCCTTCATCCTTCACCAAATCAGCATAGTACTGCGCTCCCGCTAGCAGACGCGGCGCGTTAGGTTCATTTCCCTTTCCACCGGGGTAGTGCTGTGCGATCGCCGAGGCCGTCGCCGCAGCTTCGACGCCACTGTCAGCGATGTTGATACGGATGTTGGTGACGAAGTGTGTGGTGTCCAACTTTTTGATAATATTGAAGCAGTTGGTATGAATTGCGGGTAGGCCTGATGAGACCTTTCCGTTGATGGAGAACGTAGCGGTGGGGGTGAAGGACGAGTCGAAGAGGGCCATGTCGTTCGTGTCGAGCCCGAGGACGCAGCGGTAGAGTGCGTCGGCGATGGCGTCGCGGCCGCTCAAGGCGGGGGTTAGAGTTGCAGGGAGGGAGGGGATGGATTCCATTGTACAATGGGTGGTCTGGGAGTAAGATGGGATTTGGGAGTCAGAAGTGTTGAGAAAGACGGGATATTATTATCGGAAATGATAAAGAAACATTGGCGCCGAGACCTGAAGGGATTTAAGCATATATGGACCTCTATCCTTGTCGATCGTTAACTCCGCTGTGCCATTTTATCTCCAGGAATCGATCGGAGTTAGTGTTCATCTCGGACATTAACTGCCGTGTCACATACAATGTTTAGACGTCACTGCGAGCGGTGATGGTGGTTTTCGGACGCAGCATGTATCCAGGGGAAAAAGTGGTGGAATTTCTGTCCTCTTGTGATGTCTTGACCCCTAGGGACCAAGAAGGACAGCATACAGGTCGGATCTGTTCATGTCCCTATTCACGCGGCACTGGGCAAACAGGCAAAACTATTGGCTAAGGCATTGTCAGTACTAATGTACATTTAATAAAAGAAATTCATATAAATCGCTCGGTCATCCAAGAGTAGATACTCGACGTAGTCCTCTCGCAACTGCACTAATATATGTTGGTCGTTTGCAATTTCTGAGCCACTATTAGAATAACCTGATTATTGATAGTACAGTTACTTACGACAGCATCTTCCAACAGAACCTTCAACAGTCTTAGGCTTTTGGTTAGTTGGCAATCATCCAACTATCGGCCGCCCATAACCATTCGTCACGCTGGTGAATATGTATATTGCATATATAGTGTTGAACGAAAATGGGGCATTTATTCGTGAGGCAGTATCAAAACCAAGAGGTCTAATGGGCCCATACTCTGGTTGATATATAGTGTATGGTCTCAGACACCCCACGTGGGGGTTATCCCCACGCTCGGGAGAGACAGATGCTGTACATAAGCAGATACTTCAGCCCTGGAGGGCTCTCTCTCCTTTCTCTCTCTTCTTTTTTCCCTCCAACAAGTCTATTGTGGGATGCCTGAGGCATCACCATGTGAAGAACCTACATAGGTTGATAGCTCTCTCTCTCCTTCCTTCTCTTCCTTCTCTCCCCATGCGAGACAGTCAATTCACACAGTGTTTTCTCCATCGATTCTCTCTCTGTATCGCATCTCTATCATCTATTACATGATACAGGAATCAATATGCACTGTTCTCCGTACATATATCTATTAAGTAGCGATCCCTTGAGTTATTAGTCGGGTAGGTGACCACAAGCCAATCCTCACTGTGGAATGTTTTGTAATATTTCGTAGCTTCCAACTTGACTGAGTCTTCAGAGAGGGTAAAGTTTTACTGAAACAATCTCGAGGCTGCCCTAAATCGCCGTATCTCTGGTAATATATAGGAAAATATGTACGATATACGCTTTTCACAGCCTTCGTGTGGATTAAAAAGGAACACTCACAAAGCCTTTGGAGCGCTCTACATATAATGTCTATAACCTCATCGTGGCCCAAATAGATCGCATTGTTAACGCCCTCAAGGACAGAGGCCACATAAGCGGTGGACTATTCTTGTAACAGTAGTATCAAACTCTTCAAGAACTTTGAAATTGACAATTTGAAGGACGCGGCGATAAAGCGTATTATACAATTTTATGGCAGACGTCCAATTCCGATTTCCAAAGCGATTGTTGGGGAAATACTGTCGCGTGCCTGAAAGACTAGACATCGTCAGCGACTGCAACTGTTTAGGCCAGCTATAGACACATACGCACACTCTCTCCCCTTTCTCCTTCTCTTTCTTCTCCTTCACCTTCTCCTCTCCACTGGCTTCGCTTGGGATGCAACACAGACTTTCTCTCGTAGAGACCTCTCCTGCAGCTCCTTTCCTAGAGCTACCTAGAAGCCACGTGCAGGTCCACTAAATTTCCGACATGGTTCTGCACTGTCACCCAATGCAATATATCCAAGTACGTGAAAGATCCCAAGGTTGTAATTTAAAAATAACGTCTTCTGATGAAATAGGCGACTCCCAAAATAATAGAAAAGAAAGCAACGACCACTACCAAACTATCCATGCTAACATGGTCCGCTATATAATTAAGAGCCTTCCCGTCCGATCCATGCCACGACCTGCCGGCCTTATGTTGTACCACCGCTGTTGAATACCCATCATCTAACAAGCCCAAGTTGTTTTGGAGGGTACCGTATAGCCACGCGTACTTTCGAAATGCCGCCGTCACCATCGTAGGCCCCATGGACCAAAAGACTCGCAGATAGGGTATGGGGATAAATCGAGACGTCGCACCGCCGCGGCGCTTACCCTCGTATAGCGCCCACTGAAGGAATGGGGATCTAGGCTCGGCCATGAAGAAATGGTTGCTCAGCCCGAGGGTACCCGACACTGGGGCGAATATGGCCTCGAGGTTGAGACTTTGGAGGCATTGGATTTGAGTAGCCGAGGTCGGGTAGACGTCGAGGTCGGCGTAGATCCCTCCCTCTGCGTGGATGACGAGCAGTCTGGCCATGTCGGCTCGTTGTATGTTTTGGGGATACCCTTCATACGTCGATAGAAGCCAAGGGTAGCTTCCATTGATGAGTTGGAGGATGTCATCGTCTGTCCAGAGTTTGATTGTGTAGTTTAGCGGTTCGAGGGTTTGCTTCCAACGGTCGTGCGATGCGGTCATTTGTGTAGAGTAGGTTCGGAGGTCGGTTGTTTTCCATATTTGATGAACAACGTTAGGGATTTGTGGGACAGCAGAATGGGAGTCGTTGGGGTGTTCAGAGTCTGATGTAGCGCACGCTGTGATTATATCCATTGAAGCGGACAGTTCGTCGGGATTGGAAAAGGGGTTTGCGAAGTCGAGCAGGTGAATGCTGAAGATGAGAACGAGGGACAGAATCCCGACAGCGATGAATCGTGTCCACCGTTTCCCTGAAATAAGGACCATTATAGCTTGTTGGGTGATATAGCACGCACGCTTCCAGCTCCAAGCACATGGAGCAGGAAGAACCGTCAATGAAACGAAAGGCAGACTCGGAATGACCAAAGAGTAGGGTCTGGTAAGGGACTACTCGTCTGTCCAAAAAAAAGTGGAATAATAGCATTGTGGCCCGCCATAGAATAAGGAGTGTGTGGTTAGATTTACGAAACATTACTGTATACGCTTTATACGCTGTATGTGCTAATATTTTCTCTTAATGGCCTAGCAGGATCACTAGAACGTTCCTGGATAATGGTCCTCCTAAGAGCACTTGGAGCAATATCCTACGCACGTCATATAATTCCATTGTGTGACGACCATTTGATCAAAAACACGATTAGATATCTAATTGCAGCTCTCGTTAACATGCAAGCAGGATGTATAATACCAGAACATAAGTCGTAAACCCATAGCAATACCAAATGAGACAGTCCTCTTGGCGTAGCAACCGACAATGTTCGGTACACTGTCCCGCTCCGTGTCTCCGCGATCGACAGGATTGTGATGATATATTAGAAGTCCCTGTAATTCGAACACTGCTGCCTACCTAGCGTGTGCTAGCAAGATAATTTTCTAAGGGTCCAGCTGCCCTAGACCGGTTTCATGACACGATCGCTCGTATGGGACCTCGAAGGTCCACCCGTCGTTACATCTGCCTCTTCTAACTTGAGCATCACGAGTACACCACGAAGTGCTTATATGTTTGGTTCACAGGCCACAAGGACAAAATATCTACGAATATTACGTCCCCGCAGCGCCTACAGAAAGGACAGCATAGAGAGATAGATCATGGATAACCATCCATTGACGGCCTGAGACCCCGACTCTCTCCGCCTGTTTATGCAGGATCTGAATTTTCAGATAGATTCTTCGTCTTCCATTATCATGTGCTCAGTCAGTTCCGTGCCTTTTTTTCCCTTTTGCCTCTTCACCACAAACGTATATTACTGTTTTGTATTAGTGAATTCCCGTCGAGTATTGAAACGATAGTGCTTTTACAGGATTCTATGGGACTGTAAGTGCAAGACAGACTAGCGCGAGGTCCACCAGGAAGGAAGGACACAACCCCTGGTGGCTGTTAAATGGCCTATGACAACAGTCTTTGGCAAACGCAATTAATAAATACACCATCAAAGCACAATTCCTCGAACCTCTCAGAACCATACATGAAAACTTTTGCGATGAGAGGTGAGTGACTTAGGTTCTGCATATTTTCCGCGGTGTTGTAGAAGTTCCTCATTGAAATCTTCGAGAACATCTCTCGACCAATAGAAGACATGGGAAAAGAGCAACGTTAGAACCCACTTTAGGTATCCATATAAGAAAAGCATAAAATCGATGATCATGGTGAAACAGTGGTGTTTGGACGAAGTGTACGGAGTAGCCTGTTCTTGTACGGAGCAGACCCTGTGGGTTCCCACGCGCTTCTTCCGTCCCGAGATCCAACCTAAACCGGAAAAGAAGCCCGCCAAGAAAGTCCATTCGAATTAAAGTACTCACCGATTGGCAATGTAAGTGTTGATCTACATGAGTTACACGATGATCTGTGGCATAGAATGAAGTCAAAGTTAATACATCTGTACAGGCTAAAAGGCCCAATATCAGCGGTAGGCAAGCTTTTACAAGGAAAACCCTTGATCTAACCATTTCCCTAAGACGCTTTTAGGAAACTCCCAGCACTGCAATTATCACAATCTTTACGTAATGCCAGTTATATAAATATCGTGGCCATAGAAAATTCCGCCCCCATTGCTTTTGTCTTCGGGCGTACCCGACCCTATCGTGTTACCTTCGGATCATCCCGTTAAGTCTACGTGATGGTCTTAACATCAGTAAGTGCTCCCTTGAACTTCTTTATTCTACGTTAAGATTTGGTGAATACGGGTTAGAAACATTGAAGCAAACATTAAAGCTAGCTCTATGAATACCGGTGATGTATGTAATGTGCATATCACGACTTGTCTCCACTATTTTGTTCTTTAGGAACTTGTTAGGGGGATCCGAGGGCCCTGATGTCTCTAACAGAGACGCACCCACGTTTTGATTTATACCCACTACGGCGGGAGGGTCTTGTCTTAGTGGCCGGGTATATATTTAAGCGACAGTTGCCCCACTTAACCTAGAGGATTTCCCTAAAATATACTCTAGGCAGCGACTTCAGGCCTTCTTTATTCCAATTACAGTGTTGTAAAATGCCACCTCGGGACTGATCTGCAGGGACTTCATGTATGAGATCGTTCTAAGAATAGTTGTTAAGTGTAACCTCCGCTGACTGATAGGTCTTCTTTCGGTGGTGAGACATGGCGGGGTAGGCGAAAATCTGTAGAATTTCGATGAGATCAAATCAATAGATGATATGAAAACTATAGTCCGCGGATCTATCTGGGAAAGCGAACGCATCTAAGAAGAAGTAGAAGAAGTACAAGGGAGAAAGCTAGGTGCGAGCACTAGCACTAGAGGCAAGAACCTGTCTAGCAACCATATGTACAATCGTGTTCCCCACTTCGAGGCTTCATTGCTTGCCTTCGCTTATCTACCCGGACTCATTAACAGCACCGTCCCGGTCCTAACCGTTCAAAGGCAGTCAGCTATTTTTGTTCACTTATACTCCACGTCACGAACCGACCTTCAAGTTGGAGCAATTTTCACAATTAGTGCAGTTTACCATGTTGGAGCAATTATGGCAATTGACGCAGTTCTCCATATTGGAGCAATCCTGGCACTTGCTACAACTTGTCATGTTCGAACATTGCTTGCATTTTTCACAGTTCGTGCAGTTGCTGCAGAATGAACAGTCGACACAGTCATCACAATTGGAGCACTAGAGTTATTTATAAGTCTCAGAAAGGTTATGAAGGTAGCTTGGTAGTGTGGAGGTAGAATGATCTAGATGGTGTAGAAGCATACATCGTTGCACCCTGCGAAGTAGTCTTTAGTACTGCTAGCCTGTTTAGAGAATGTAGGCTCACCTTTGCAATTGTGACAGTTGCTATTGTTCTTGTTTCCATTATCGTCTCTACAGAAATAGAATTAGTTAGTGGATTGGGTCTAAAGAAAGAAGTAAACATTAGCGAATGGGGGAAAGGGTCTGAACTCACTTGTTGTGGAGTGGAATTTGCGTCATGCTGCCGACCTCGGAAATATTCGGTTCACCAAGAATGTGAGTGTTAACTCTTTTAATATGCAGAATTAAAGGAAAGGAATATATTAATGCACACTGCTAAATAGGGCTGACCAGGCAGGTTATATAGATGTAGTTACTTGATAACGGCCCTTATGTCAGTATGACGTAATCAGTATAAAAGTCCACGGGGTGCACCTCAGTCGATGACAGGTTGCATTTCAATGTAGCTCTCTCTGACAACAATTGTTGATATGCCATTCTCTGCTCCCTAGAGTCATAATATAAAAATCCGGTTTGAAAATCAAGTACTGTACCACTTCATTGCTATGGGTGCTTGATTAGTACGTTATCATGTGAGTGTGACTGGATCATTGGGAGAACCTCTTATGAATTAGCATTAATTGATATGTTGTATATACACCGAATCATCATGCCATAGCTTGACCATTGACAAAATGTAGACCTTATTTGTAAACGGAACACCACCAGAAGAAAAGAACAAGCCCTATGCCTGTGCAATTCACGTAGTTGGCAAGGACCCTCTTAAACCTTGTTCTGGACATTTTTGCTCATTGCACGGACCTTGTGGCCATACCTATACAGCACAAAGGGTACGGGCGCCATGATAGTTCCGACGATGCCAACGATTGTCAACGACCAGTGGGGGCCGATGTTCTCATACATCTTGACCGAGGCCGGGCTCAGGGCGCCGGAGACGACGTAACGTGAAAATGTCATAAATCCCAGAGCCGAGGCTGCAAACTTCAAGTACACAAAGATGGTGTACATATATGTTGTAGTGAAGATGCAGACAAGAGAGTAGCCGAAGATACCAGAGGCCACGATCGGCGACCAGATACTGATGGAAGACTAGAAAATAAAACAGTATTAGCAGATGTAGGGAGACTAAGATGGAATGAACACTTACGTAGCAGGTCCAAGCCATCCAGAAGAGTGAGATAGGCATTAAAATAGAAGCTCCCGCCATAGCCCACCAGAGAGACACCTCCGGCTGCAGGACTTTGCCATTAGCAGCAGCTTTCTTAGCAGCCTTCTTTGTAAGACTATAAAGCAAAGGAACCAAAAGCAGAGCGACGAGAACACCGGGGACCATAGCAGCAAAGATGACAAAAGTCAAGCTCGTGGAGATCCCGTACACGTTAGCAAATATAAAGGGATAACCGTTGAGGAAGGTGAAGAGAACAAAGTATAACAAGACAAGATAAAAGCTGAAAATCAGGATAAGGGGTTCTGTCCAGATCATGACGAAAGGTCGGTACACATTCGTCAGCAGCCGATTGCTAAACGAGCTAATGACAGCGGAATGTTCAGCACGATAGCGGTCGTCGCCTGTTAGATCGCGCAGGTGCTTCGCACGCCATTCCAGCAAGATAGGGCTGAACGTCTCCGGCTGGCCAAAGATCACGACTATCAATACAACACCAGCGATGATGATAGAGATCCAGTCAGCCCAAACGAACCCAATCTTTGGTGTGTAGGCCCCTATTACAGGACCTAGGATGGGACCCATGTAAGCGGCCATAGTGAGCATGGGTAGGCCGAAGGGGATCTGTAAGGGTTGCCAAATGTCACCGACAGTTCCACCAGCGACCGTCATAGGCGCGGCTGCAAACAGAGCGCAAATGAAGCGGAACGCGAGAGCAGCGCCGTAGTTTGGGGCCAAAGCCTTTCCCAAGGTGAATACAATGACAAGGATCAGAGTAACGAAATAAACAGCGTTACGGCCGAAGGTCTCTGAGAAAGGACCAGAGAATAGCGAGCCCACGCCAATACCGATGAGGAAGATACCTGTGCTCATTCAACACCAGTGAGTACATATTGGACCTGATCTTCAAAGCCAAAGCAGAATAATGGGAAATTGTAAATAAAAAAGAATTAACATACCAGTCGTCATTGACCCCGCCATACTGTTCACACCAAAGCGAGCGTCAAAGGCATCTTGTGTCGCGCCCTCAATAGATGATGGAACCGTCATTGCAATGGCGATCAGAGCGCACATGAACATGACCATCCATTTCTTCAGTACTGACCAATTGAGGGGATTGCTCGGATCGTTGTCTCTCCAACCGACCACCAGGACAATATCACCGTTGGCTCCGTTTGGGTGTGAAACCGCAACACCAGGCACGAGAAGCATATCAGTTGACAGAACTGGCTCTTTTTCTCCTTCTGCTTCCGGGCGCATATAGCCATCCGCATTTGCCTCGAGTAAGGCTGGGGAGACGTTAGAACGCAAGCTGGAAGTTTTGGCTCGGGCGTATGCCAAGTCCTCCTCCACCTCTCGGCGGAGACGACGGTACTGTAAAATCGACTGCATATTGAATTTCACTCGTTGAAGTTCGCTGGAATCAACTCAAGTACTAACACAAGAGGGTAGAAGGGCAGATGATTGTAGAAAGGAAGACCTCAGTCCACCAGGGGAGCGAGGAAAATTTATAGTCGATATCCTCCATTTCAACATTGTAGTTTCTAATCCATAGCAAGGATCAGTGTAGGGAATATAGATTTATCACCTCGACAGTTCGTCAGCGTGATCGGAAACATTTGGGATTGGGCGCATTCCGACCTCGGACACTTAGGGCTCAGCGATCGGGCGGATAACAACCCGGCTCGGTCTCGCAACAGGTGCTAATCAATCGGCGATATCTCATTGGCCGAAAGGTCGGAGTCGGCCCCGAGATTCCTGAGGTCCAACCAGGCAACCTTTCCCGAGATATCAAAAGAGGAAAACAAAGCCATTATCTCACGCTTTTAATGGAACGCAGAAAGGATAGGAATTATCTCTCGTACATTGTGCATAAAGATGTGACCTCCACATAGAATGAAGTTCCAAGTCGTATCAACAACAAAGTGAGAAGAATCTGCCCGTTTGATACTAAGGCTATTTCTTAAAGAAACATATCTTCCTTTGATAACATGATACTCCGTGGATTACCGTATAAAACAAAAAAAAAAAGGATTTATTATATACAACCTGGCCCATAAATGTGTCTAGAATACTTATTAGAGGGAGTACCAGTGAATAGTGAGTTCGCTATAGCCAGGGAATATGGAAATCTATACTTGCCGTGGAGTGCAAGGCCGAAGCTCTCCTACCGAGGCCGAGTAGTATTAGTAGGCAGCCTCGGAATGCCCTTTGTCTTCCACCTCTTTCACTTTCAAGGTTCTAATGATAGAAAATGCTAAGTATATTGCGTCTTGTGATTGGGCTAAACTGTTTTCATTCACTCATTTCTATTATTGCGTCCACCAAAATAGGGTTGTTTCAAGTCCTACAGGCCCCTTCTTTATCTTCATTTTGACTTCGGAGGAAATACAATGCTGCTATGTCCACGCTGAAAGAAACAATAGGTCTATATTAGCTTTCGGTAATGAGGAGCTTCTCAAGTATTGTATTTTTAGTGTATTTGTTTGTTCTAAATAGGATAAAGAACAGTATCATAGACATCCGCATTGATCCAAGTGAATAAAGAGGTTTTGAAGTATTTAACTGTCGACGAAGCCCATCCCAACTCTCGATATTCATTCAACAGCCTTGAAGCAATCAACACCAATACTCAAACAACCAGAACAATCCTACAAGTTAACCATCTCATTCAACACACATCATTTGTCAATAACATTGCCAACATGCCTCGAACCAACTTGAAAGTGAAATCTGGTATGAAGGCATCTGAAGTGAATCTTAGGAGAATGTGGCTGCCGCTTCGTCTTGACGACGTTGACAATCCACAGAATGCGCTTGACCGTCAGTCGGTCCTCGATGTTATCCGAAGTGTCTACGATCCTTTGCTAACTGCTTGGCTTGCTGAGCCAGGTCATACCTGGCAAAATCAGTTTTCGGCCAGAGCTGCCAGTAGCCAGTTTCGAGAACAGGTCATAGCTAGGATGCGAGAGCTACCATCAGGCGTTCAATCGATAGAGTCTGAGGCAGTCCTTGGTGAAATCCTATACGATATTCTTAGGTTTTACCGGTTTACCGACCCCGCCTGGAGGGTACCTACCCCTGGCACTGCTGTCGCTTCACCTGCCCCTGCCCCTGCGGCTGCCGCTGCTCTTGCTCCTGCTCGTCCTCGTGCTCGTCTTGGTCCTGTTTTGAGGAACCTAGTTGATGGTGCTATTGCCACAAGAGTGGTTACTGCCGGTGCTAACCTGGAAGTGCTTGCAGATGCAGCAAACCAAGTACTTGCGCCTACTGCTACTGCTAATCCTGCTAACCCCCTAGATGTACTTGCAGAAGCTGCATGCTCAGCCGAGCCTAATCCTGTGGCTTCTCCTACTGAACCTCTCGATATACTTGCTGCTGCTGCAAGCACATTGCCATATGCTCCCACTCCCGCTCCCGCTACTGCCGCCGGCCCGATCGAATCTCCTGCTCCTGGGACCAAGAGAGGTAGAGACGATGAGTCCGAGGATGAGTCTGAGCTGCCTGATAAGAAGAAGCAAGCGAAGTAAACCATTCTACGTTATCACATGCAATGGTATGTATCTATATGTTGTTTTTGTTTTTGTTTTTGTTTCTGCTTTTGTTAGATTTGACTATAAGGGTATTGAATATATAAATATTTTGTCGGCATTCATATCAAAGAAGTTTCTTCGTTAAATTTATCAGGCCGAATTCAAGGTTTCTTTGTACGCACTTTAAGTATCTTCCTATACGTTACTGTAGAGAATCCAAGGTTGAGCTCCTCTTCGCTGATTAGGTCTGTATGTTCAAGTACCTAAGGTGCTTGACTTGAATCAGGTTGAGAACAACCTGGCTTGCTTGAAGCCAGTTAAGATATCAGGCACTAGCCAAGGAGACACTGTAGGAACCTCAGGCTATCATTGCCTTGCTTGATGCACACATGGGGGTGAATATACACAGAAAAATAGATTGCTTTCTTTTTTGTAGGATTCAAGTTTGCTTAGTATGGGGAAATATCTTCTATCCATGGTTGATGGCTCCCTGCATATCGTATATAAAGCTGTTAGGATTTCCATGGTTTCCCCACCTTTTAGTTTTCTAAAACTGACAACTCTCGAACATGTTTTCGCAGTCTAACACTGTGACATAGCCCAGTAGGGCTATAGCTATACTGACAAAATGACAAAATCTCAAATTACTAACAGTGACAACGACCTCGGAATATTGAAACGTATATTGAAACTTGATATAGTTCTCATTTAAATGTAGATTATGAATCACATATCACATGACGACGGGAAAGGTCCCAAGTCCCAAAGCGGTTAGTGGCGATTCGGTTCTTGGCACTCGCCCGTGAGTTTTGCGTGTCGCGACCAACCTCCCCCAAGTGCCCACCAGCAACCCGTCCAATCATCACTTTAGGTCTTCCATCTCCCGTGGCCTTGATTTACGCCATTGCTGGCTTTTCATTGTTTTATTTCATACTACTATCGCGCTCTACACAGCAGACAGACTGATACGCGGGAAAGGAGGTAACATTCTGCCGACCGCGAGAGCTGCTTGCTTTGATCCATCATGGATGACACTCCCATCAACCCGGGTGCGGCCCACGAGAATGTCCAGTCTGTGACTGGCCTAGATGGCGCAGCTGATGCAGCTCGTGAAGCCTCAGGTATGTCTATTCTCAAATGGCTTTGATGTTGCACCGCGTGCTAAATTCTTGGACAGGAGCGCAATCGCGCCAGGATTCGCCCGTGAAGAAGATTGAGAACACACCTGGATCAGACAACCCGATGGACGCTCCTGCGTCTCCGAAACCTCGGAACGGCGGAGTTGAACCGGAAGACGAAGAGATGGGTGGTACTGAGACCGACGCCAAGCCCGACGCCGAAGGTTTGGAGGATGCTGTGGGCGAGTCGCATCCGCAAGTGGAGGGAGCGGACGGGCTTGAGGACGCTGTGGGTGAAGAACAACCCGCGGCATCCAAGTCGTCTCTTGAAGCCGCCGCGCGCGAACAACTCGTCACCCAAACACACGCCATCATCCTCCCCAGCTACGCGACATGGTTTGATATGAACACCATCAACCCAATCGAGAAGAAGGCTCTCGCCGAGTTCTTTAATGGCCGCAACCGCAGCAAGACACCTGCCACATACAAAGATTACCGAGACTTCATGATCAATACCTATCGACTGAACCCCATCGAGTATTTGACCGTTACTGCTTGCCGTCGCAACCTTGCGGGTGACGTCTGCGCTATTATGCGTGTTCACTCATTCCTTGAGCAGTGGGGCTTGATCAACTATCAGGTGAGTGGCCTTGTTATTCCCATTCAAACACACCTTAGCTAACACCTCTGCAGGTTGACCCTCAGACACGGCCGTCCAATATTGGGCCGCCATTCACCGGCCACTTCCGAGTAATCGCAGATACTCCACGGGGCCTGCAGCCATTCCAGCCTGGGCCAAATCACGGCGTCACGTCCGGCAAGGTTCACCCGGCCACGCAGCGTGCCACCTCTTCCATCCCTCCATCTAAAGACGATCTTAACCTCGAACTACGCCGCACCATTTATGACGACAAAGGCAAGGATATCACCTCCGCCGAAGATAAAGACAAGCAGACCAACGGCGACGGAACGAATGGCTTGGACATTGCTCAAGAATCCAAGAAGAAGGCACACTGCTTCTCTTGCGGCATTGATTGCACCAAACTTCGATTCCACTACGCCAAATCGGCTACGACGTCAGCCAACGCCGCTACGCCAGATACCAAGTATGATCTGTGCCCGAATTGCTTCCTTCAAGGGCGAATGCCTTCTAGCCACAATGCCTCGGACTTTGTTAAGCTCGAGGACAAGGGTTACTCTCACTTGACCGACAAAGGCACTGCGTGGTCGGACTCGGAAGTGATTTTGTTGCTGGAAGGCCTGGAGAACTTCGATGAAAACTGGGAACAAATTGCGAGCCACGTTGGCACACGATCTCGGGAAGAGTGTGTCATGAAGTTCTTACAGCTCGAGATCGAAGACAAATATGTTGAAGATGTCCCTGAGCTTCGGTCTGGCAGCGGACGTGATCCCATCAGCCAGTCTGAAAACCCCGTTCTTTCTGTCGTGGCATTCCTAGCCCAGATGGCGGAGCCTGCAGTGGCTGCCGCCGCCGCCGGCCGATCTGTCGACGAGATCCGCAAGGAGCTCCGGAGCCAGCTCGAGAAGGGACAAGGCAAAGGCAAAGACGCAGTCAAGGCCGAGGATTCAATGGACGTGGACCCCGCACGTGAGGCCGAGCAGCAGGTTTCCGCCAAGCCTAAGGAGACCCTTGGCACCATCGCTCTGGCCGCATCTGCCGCACGCGCTGGTGCTCTTGCCTCACACGAGGAGCGTGAAATGACCCGCCTGGTCTCCGCTGCAGTCAACGTCACCCTGCAGAAGTTCGAGATCAAGCTGCAGCAATTCAACGAGATGGAAGAAATTATCGAGGCTGAGCGTCGGGAGTTGGAGCAGGCGCGCCAGCAACTCTTCTTGGACCGGATGACATTCAAGAAGCGTGTTAAGGAGGCCCAGGACGCGCTCCAGACTGTCAGCCTGCAGGGCCCCAACGAGCACACGAGCCAGATGCTGGCTGATGCTGCTACTACAGGCATTGGAAACCACTACAGCTTCCAGCCTGTTGGCGGAGATATACGGGCTGGCACCCAGCCTCTGAGCGCTCAAGCTGGTGCCGACTACAAGACCCTTGACCTGTAGGCTTCCTCAATACATGTACGATAATCCCCCATGGATCTTCTGAGAGAGGAACCCACAGGGACTGCTTTTTGTCTCGCTGAGTTATGAATATTCTGAACTTTCTGGCTTGGAAAAGGCGCAACTTTTGTTTTTCTGTTATCTGCTGGAGTTCTTTTCTGTTGATTCACCCTCTCTCCAGAAAGTGGATTGTTCTTAGGGGGTTGAACTAGGGGGGTTGGGGATCTTTTTTCATCAATGTGTTTACTCTTTAATCATATGTCCTTGATGGGAATCTTATATTATTACTCAAAGTAGATTGTTTAGTACCTCTCATCCAGGCCCATTTGGATTGCCCGGTTGACCAAACGTTGCCATGTAGTATTTCACCCAGGACTCTCCAGTGGTTGGTTGAAGTTCTCCTTGCTGAGATCCATCCTCATCGTCCTCGTTCCCGTCTATTGCGTCTTCATCGTCGTCCTCGCCCGAAACAACCGCAGCGGAGAGAGGAACTGCTGGTTCGTTGTATCTGAGCCTTTTCAGCGGAGGCATTTCCAGGTCTTCGTTCAGATCGGCGAAATCGTACCCGTACTCCTCCCAATCGCTGCGGTAGACAGTCCGATCCCGCCAATTAGAAACATCCTCTCTCATTCTGCGCTCTGGCAGTTGCTTGGTCTCGTCCTCGACTTCTTCTGCCTTCATAGGTTCACCAAGGACGGACGGCACGGGTTGTTCCATCAACTTCAGAAAGCTGGCCTCTTCGCGATGGCTGGCGTTCTGGTCTGCAATATCTGCTCGCTCTTCTTCAGGGTCTATTTCCAATTCGTCCGTCGGTGCAACTGGCGCTGTCGGTTCGGATGACTCTCGTGTGGCCAAAGGGTCGTCATCAATGTCCTCTGGTTCTGAATCTGGTTCTGACTCAAATTCGGGCTCTGATTCCTCTTCTGGTTCTGGTTCTGGCGTTGGCTCAGGTTCTGCCTCTGGCTTGTTGACTTCCATTTCCATATCATCATCCGATCCGATGTCATTGTCCACTTCGATGTCGTCGTCAGTGATGTCGTGGTCTTCACTGTCCTCTTCATCGTTTTCATTGTACATGGTTCCATCTTTACGGTACCGGGTCCATTCGTGTTTGTCGATGATCTCCTCGGCTTCTTCGTAGGTGAATACTGTAGGCACCCAGCCTTTCCGGTTGTTGATATCTTCTAGGACTGTTTCATTGCGACGAGCAATATCCACAAAGTTAGGTCTGCAGTGCTTCATGTTGAGCACTTCAATGGCGGCCCGCACATCTCGCGTTCGAACATATCCCTTTCTATCGTTTCCACTGCGATTCGAGCTGCGCAGTCTTGACATAGCGAAAAAGAGGGATGATTGGACCAAGCGGCGTGTGACACTAACGGCGAGAGAGTAGAAGTCCACAGCAGTATCTGCAGTCATAGACGGGGTATGTCCATACGCTGTGATCAGGTCTTGTCTCTTGGCGAGGTTCCACCAGTTGTTCTCCACTTGCTTCCCACCGAAGTTCATGAACAAACAATAAGAAAGCCGAACCCAATATGGAAGGTTTAGCAAATCAGATGCGAGGCGGAGGTCACCTCGAGCACTGCCGTCCTCGTTTTCCAGATCATGTGCATGAGCTCTAGTTATAATCCAGTGATCTCCGTGTTGTTTTGTTCCAGCTTGAGCTTCAAGGAGGGACTCTTTCAATGATAGGACATCTGCATATTCCTCGAGTAGCCCACAACACTCTTGGCTGACTTCTGTAGCCGCTGGGACATCGCTTAAGACAGGCATGCGTTCCAGGTGCACGTCGGAAGAATACTGGGCCTCCAAGGCTTTATGCAAAAGTCGGATATATTCCATAACCTCAGGCTCCGACTTCGTACCGATTGCAGCAGCAAGCTCTTTGATACCGCCCTTGCCCTTCCGGTCCAGTCCATTGAAGAACACTTCCTTCTCGGTGGGTGTCCAGACCATCGAGCCATGCTGACTGACTTTATATGTGTTCTCAATTGCCCTCAACGAGGCATAATCAATAATCTCCGAGTTTTGCACAATAAGGTGGGAGTAGGCTCGGAGAAATGTGAGCGATCCACGCATTTGCGGGACGCGTGCCATAAGCGCATCACCGATTTGTCGTCCGACCCCATTGAATGTCGGGTCGCGATGGTAATCATATTCATCAAGGCCCTGGTTTGGAGTTGGAGAGCGTTCAATAGACGAGCGGGGTTGCTCGAAGTCGGACCCAGGCTCAGATAGCTGGAAGTCGGAATCAGACTCGGCGTCGTCGTCGGGCTCATAGACGGAGGCGGAGTCGCTCATCGTTCAGGCTCGCAGGTTTGCAGCGCATACGGGACGTTCGGTAGCAAAACATCACAGCTGCGCCCTTAATGAAATCTGCCACGTCAATTTCATCAAGAGCTATAGAATCAGAAAAAAAAGTTGAGCTACGGAGATCCACTATGAGATTCAGGCTTATCGATAAGCATGTTTGCTCTGTTTGCACTTGCGTTTGAGCTTCAGTGAGACAGAGACCATTACAACATCTGCATGGAGTTCATACGCTGTGTCTCGCGGTTGAGACTCCCAAGGAGATACTTGGTAAAGAATCCTCTGTTGCAAAAACCTTTGCGCCATGTGCGCTTCAACTCAACCAAGTCCCCAGTTCCTCCGAGCATTGTGCTCCGCGACTACCAAGAGGAAAGCATTCAGTCCGTCCTGAAATATCTGGGTGAAGGCCATCGACGCCTAGGAATTTCACTTGCAACAGGAGCTGGCAAGACAGTAAGGCTTAATATACTTCTTATCCAGCATCATACTGATATTTGCAGGTCATATTCACACAGCTTATCAGCCGAATCCCTCCTCGCGATGCGAAAGCCACCAAGACCATGATCATCGTCCATCGGCGCGAACTCGTCGAACAAGCCGCGAAACACTGCAGCCTGGCCTATCCAGACAAGACCGTCGAAATAGAGATGGGCAAGAATGTTGCAACGGGAGCAGGGGACATCATCATCGCGTCAGTCCAGACACTAGCGCGGGGGCGCATGTACAAGTTCGACCCGAGTGCATTCAAGCTCGTATTGGTGGATGAGGCGCATCATATAGTTGCTAAATCATACCGTGAAGCTCTGGGACATTTCGGGTTGAACGAGCCATCTGCCAACGGACCGGTCTTGGTGGGTGTTTCGGCTACTTTTTCACGGTTCGATGGTCTCAAACTGGGCGCTGCCATTGATCATATTGTCTACCACAAAGACTACGTTGATATGATTGGCGAAAACTGGTTGGCCAATGCCGTCTTTACGACTGTCAAGTCGGGGGCCAATTTGTCCAAAGTCAAGAAAGATAGTTTCGGAGACTTTGCTCTGGGATCGCTTTCGGAGGCGGTTAATACTACGTCTACGAACAACATCACAGTCCGGGCATGGATGGCAAGTGCTGAGAACCGAAAGTCGACTCTTGTATTCTGTGTCGATATCGAGCACGCGCGGCGGCTTACCGCCGCTTTTCGCGACCATGGCGTCGATGCTAGGTATATCACGGCTAGCACACCTAAAGGCGTCCGCGCTGAACAGCTACGAGCTTTTAAAGACCAAGAATTTCCCGTGTTGCTAAACTGTGGTCTTTTCACAGAAGGCACGGACATCCCAAATATCGACTGCGTGCTCCTAGCTCGACCGACCAGATCACGAAACCTGCTCATTCAAATGATCGGGCGTGGTCTTCGACTTTTTCCCGGGAAAAAGGACTGCCATGTTATCGATATGGTAGCTTCGCTAGAGACCGGAGTCCTATCAACACCGACATTGTTCGGCTTGGACCCAGACGAGGTTTTGGACAACACCAGCGTGGAAGATATGAAGAAGAATGATGATCAGGGAAGCCAATCGGAAGCCACACCTGAGGCCGATGAACAATACGATGGCTCAGACAACGACCTGAAACTCCAATTCACAACCTACGACAGTATATACGATCTCCTCAGGAGACATGCAGTCCGAGCGACACATCAGATCGTTCAGCCCGCACAACTGGGTCCGGGTCGGCGATGACAGATATATGCTTACTGATATATCTGGCTGGATCACGATTGAGAAAGCAGACGATATCTTCACAGCTCATCATGTCATGAAATTCAATAACCCAACAACAGAGGCACCGCAATTCACACGTCCTCGCAAGATCGCCACTGGCTCGGATCTGGAGAGCATTGTCCGTGCAGCGGATACCTTTGCCAGTACGAAGTTTGAAGAACATTACATCGCATCTTGGAAACCTTGGCGACGGGCCCAGGCAACACCGGGACAAATCAAAATGCTGAACGGAGCTCGCATTCGAGATGGCAATATAAAGCCCGAGGACTTGACTCGCGGTCAAGCGGCTGATATGATTACGAAGCTGAAGCATGGAGGCAAGAAGCGCTTCAAGGACCTGGAGGTTCAGAAGCGGAAGAAGCTGCGGCAAGTGGATAACATGGCTGAGCTTCAAAGAAGGGTTGATGTCAAGGTCGGGCCAGTCGAGGCTTGATGGGGTAACAGGTGGTTTCGTTTCTTGTAAACCCTTGGAGAAACGAGACGTTGAAGAAGCGAAACTGTTCTAGACAGTCGCAAATCGCCTGGCGATTGCATTACTCTGATGCCAAAGAGCTCAGGATTTGCCTGGAAAATTATCTCCGGCAGGAAGAGCTTCTGACAAGCAGAGGAGGGCCAGCAGCCAGGCAGCACACCCCAACAATAGGGAATTTACCATTTCTGGAGGCTCTTGCGTAGTTCTAGCTAGGATTGACCAGGAGTGGGCTATTCCCCCCCTGGCATCCTAGTAGGTCGGAGTTTTGGCTCTCAAGGGCGAGACGGTGTGAGATATAGATAGTGTGTGATAACTTTCCTAGGAACAGGCAAGGAAATGATAGAATTTTTGACATGGTTACAAGGCCCTCATGATTGGAGATATAAATCGACCATAAATGTCTTTTAGAGAGCTACCTAGGTAGCGTTTACACCACAGAATAGAAAGAAAAAACCCGTCACATTATAATTCAAGCTAGTACTACTATAGCCATAGAGTCAGTCCATGGAGCTATATCACTTACATAGTTACACTTAACTCGGGATACATCTCGGCCTGGTATCGGGTACTCGGCTCAGGACTGGAAGGAAAGATGGACGGCATGCCGAGACCAATCGATGAGCCGGCGTACGCTGATAGAAACTCCATATGACTCCGACTCTGATTCTGACAGTTTTTCGAGGCCGATTCTTGATGGAGTCGGGATCGTTTTCATTATAAAACAAACAAAAATATAGCCCGGACGAAAGCACGATATAACTGTCATGTACTGTTCTTCATAGTAGCATAAAATCATAATCATGGAAGCGCAATAAGCGTGAGTAGAACAGTGGGAGGAAACTTCTGACAGATATAGATTGTGTAAATAGGGAGTGGACGGTTGCCGGACCATGCATGAAAACGTTATAAGGGGAGGAAGCTAATTTGGATGCAGGGCTCCAGGTAACAGGGGAGACATGCAATGCATATAACGGAAGATAGTTAACTACGTAGGCGAGGGCAGACCAGTGCAACCAGCCTGGATATCGGGGTATTGAGTAGACACGACTACATCCCGCAGTAACTTGAACCAATCTGAGCAAATAGCTCTATGCTCTGATCGAAGTCACAAATCTACAGCAGTCTGGAAAGATGATAACGAATGTTTGAACAGAGAATTGTATTTTGTCCTAGCAAAGCATATGAAATTCATCAAACGATCATAATATGCATCAATGAACACCCGAACTGGGCGCTCAAAGGTCTTCCTCATCGGAGAACACCTCCTCACCACGCTTGCGGCGGGCAGCACGCTCCTTCTTCTTCTTGCGGAGCTCAGAGCCTGTAAGGAGACAGTTAGCAATTGAACATTGTGATGTATAAGTGAGGTATAATTGTATGACTTACCAGAAAGCTTGACCTTCTTCTGGACAACGATCTTGTTACCCATGGCATCGAACTTGTCCTCGTCATCGTCACCCTTGGCGTCGAGACGGGGGCCGGAACCCTGACCCTGGACCCAGTTGTGTCCGGAGGGAGTCATCATACCGTCGTTGACGGCCCAGACTTCGTCAGTCAGGTTCTCAGTGAACTCACGGGAGTGAGTAATGATAACAACACCACCCTCGAAAGACTTGATAGCCTTGGAGAGGGCACCGAGGGAGTCACGGTCAAGGTAGTTAGTGGGCTCGTCAAGGACGATAAGGTGGGGACGCTGCCATGAGCAAGCGGCGAGAACAACCTTAACACGCTGGCCACCAGAGAGACCGCGCATGCGAGAGTGAGAAACAAGCTCGGCGTCGAGACCGAAGTTGGCGCAGTGCTGCTCGATCTCCTTGCGGACAAGGGGACGGAACTGACCGGAGGCGAGGGCCTCCTTCTGGTCAACCTCAGCGACCTGCTTGGGGTGAGAGACGATAATCTCGGAACGGGGCAACCAGGTGTTGTCAGCGGACATGAGAGGAGTCCACTTCTCGGACTTCATGCCGACGTTGTCACCCAGAGACCAAGAGATCTCGTACTCGTAGGTGTTCTTGAACTTGCGACGAGAGTGGATGCCAATGACACGGCGGAGGGTGCCCTCAACCTTGTAGATCTTGTCCATGGCCTTCTCATCCTCCTCGGTGACGATCTTGTTGGCACGGTCCATAGTCTCACGGTCCTCACCGGTCTGGAAACGCCACTGGATGTACTCGGAAGGAGTGGAGTTCAGGTGGTTATCGATGTGAGCGAAAGCGTGCTGCTTGATGTAGGCAATACGGATGTTCTCGTGCTGGTAGACCTCACCGGAGGTGGGGATAAGTTCACCAGTCAGGACGTTAACGAGAGTAGACTTGCCAGCACCGTTGGCACCGATGACGGCAATACGGGAACCAAGGGAGACCTGGAAGGTAATTCCGTGGATCTGGGGCTTGGGGGTACCGGGGTACTGGAAGGACATGTTGGTAACACGGCAAATAGCCTTGGACTTGGTCTTGACACCCTCAAGGAAACCGGGCTCGGGGAACTTGAACTCCATCTCGGAGGCACCGAGCTCGTAGTAGGACTTGGCAGCGGGGTGCTGCTTGACGAACTCGGAGAGGGTACCGCGGTAACGGCGGAGCTTGAAGCGCTCGTAGTGAACGACGTGCTGGATGACGTTGTCAAGGAACTTGGAGTCGTGAGACACCATGATGGAGGTGCAAGGAGAGTTCTTCAGGTAGTCCTCGAGCCATGCGACGTTCTTGACGTCCAAGTGGTTGGTAGGCTCGTCAAGCAGGAGGATATCGGGGCTCTCGAAGACAGCACGGCAGAGAGCGAGCTTCATCTTCCAACCACCGGAGAGGGCAGTGATGGGACCCTGGATCTGGAACTCGGAGAAACCGAAGTCGTTGAGCAGCTTGGCCTCGAGCTCCTCACGGGGAGGGTGCTGTCCAACCTCAGCCAGCTTCTTCTGGGTCCAGGCAATGACAGTCTGCTCAGTATCGGCAGAGTCGAGATCGTGCTCGACGTAGACGGTCTTGACCTCATCCTTCTTGGGGAAGCCCTCAAGCTGCTCGTTGTTAATGGCACGCATGAGGGTGGTCTTTCCGGAACCGTTGGGACCGAGGAGACCGTAACGCTGACCACGCTTGAGGCGCAGGTGAGTCTGGTTCAGCAGAATCTTGGCACCGTAAGCCAGGGAGAAAGTGCAGTTGCAAAGGTCAACACCCTCCTCCTCGTCAGAGGCAACGGCATCAGCGGCAGCGGCGTCGGGGCAGGCCTTCTTGCGGAGCTCCTCAGCGACGGCCTTAGCATCACCCTCGCCAACGATGGCAGTGATGTAAGGGATGGTGTTCTGGGTCCAGATGACGTGGTCGTTCTCCTTCTCGTCAACGAGCTGAGCGGCGATAGCAGCAACGTAGTTGATGGCCTCCTCGGACTTGGCAATGACGTCCTTGTGCTTGGCCTCGAGGATCTCCTTGAGGATGGCAGAGACGGTGGAGATGTCACCAGCGCGGGAAACCTCGGGGATCTTGCCGTCAACGACGTGACCGACACGGGAGAGGGTGTCAAGAGCCTGGCGAGTCTTCTCACGGGCCTCGGGGTCGGCGAGAGTCTCGTAGTTCTTGTTCAAACCGGGCAACATCTTAGGCAAGAAGGGAGCGACAAGCTGGGGGTCCTCCACAAGCTTACACATGTTGTCGACAATGACAGCGGTCTTACGCTTGATAGCGGTCTCACGCTCAACGAGACCACGGTCAAGCAGGGGAACCATGATAGCGAGGGTAGGGCCAGTGACATCAGTGACGAAAGTGGTGGCACCGAGCAAGTGAACGGTCTCGGGGACGTTCTGGGGCTTGGCGATACACTTGATCAGCTCGGGAATGAAACGCTCAATATCCTTGTTGACGATCAGACCGCAGACCTTCTCCATGGTGGAGTAGGCAGCCTTCTTGATCTCGGCCTTGGTGTCCCACATGGCCTCGGAGATGACGGGGATCAAAGTAGGAACCTGGTAGCCGAGCTGCATCTGGGCAGACTCGACGAGGATGTTGAGGCAGTCGAGAGCAGCCATCTTTTCGGGCCACTTCTGAGCGTTGGCGAGAGAATCAAGGATAGGGGTGATGACGGCCTTGACGGCGTTGCCGGTAACAGCCTGGGTGATAGCAAGAGCGGCGGACTGGGCGGCCTGCTTGACGGGAACCATCTTGTCACCGACGGCGGCAAGGACGGGGCCAAGGAGAGCCACAAGGTGAGGCTCAACACCGGGAGCGATTGTGGAGTGGGAGGCAATAGCACGGATACCCTCGAGGGCACGCTCACGGGCGGTAGCGTCCTTCTTGTCGGCCAGCTGCTTCTTGAAGATCTCGGTAGCCTTCAGAGGAACAGTCTGGTCATCGATGGGACCGCTGAAGAGAGTGGCAAGGTTGGTAGCAGCGGCAGCGGCCTCATCGGCGCTGCTGGACAAGTTGAGGTTCTTGACAAGGTCCTCGAGGACAGCGACCGACTGGGCGGTCTCCTTGCCAGTGACGGCAGGAGAGGCGACGTTGGCGGCAGGCATTTTGGAAGAAATTTTGGCGGTTGGAAAAGAGGAAGGGGGGTATTAGAGTAAAGAAAGAAAAATCCTTCCTTTTTTTTCTATGAGGGGTATCGTAGAATTTTTTTTTTGAGCAAAAGACTCAACTGCGTCAAATTTTCAGACGCGAGCGCTCAAAGATTGGAGCGAAACTTTTTCTATTCTGTCTATGCAGAGTAGAAAAACAAGAAAAAAGAAAGAAGAGGCCGACCCTCGAAAAAAAAGATGCAGGAGTGGAGGAGAGGGGAAGAAAGGGAAGGGGGGCGAGGATATTTATCGTTGTGGCATAACCTGGGCGGCAAAACCCTATGAAATGGCAATCAAAAATTTTTTTAAAATTTTCAGGCCCATTGTCCCGCACTAGTGCTGAATTAGGCTTAGTATCTCCGTTCCTGCACCCTTATTGGGTTAAGTTCTGCTTTCGTCCGAATTCCCTTTGTTTGATTGGCTGAACCCGTTGCCTGGCTGTATTTGGCTTAGTAGGTGGCTTTTTTATTTTATTTTATTTTAATTGTTTTAATATTTTTCAATATTCAATACTGAATTGATTATCTCTGAATAGCTTGTATAGAGTACATCTGGATACATTGTTGTACGCCCATTTACTGACAGTTACTACTAACTATCTATAATCTGGATATGGCAGATGTGAAGTAACTCTCATCTGAACCTGCATCTCACTTGAGTCCCGTCACAAATCTCATGCGTACGGAGTAACATAACTCTCTAGGTGATCATCCGAGGATAATTTAGTCCAATACTATAGTACCAACACTCCTATCCCTGTTGTACAAAGCAAAGTACATTTTTGAACCAGCCAGAGGTGCGCGAGTCGCCCTTCGCCACTCATGACCGAGTGGCGCAGTACCATTAGACATCCAATGAAGAAACCCGAGTTTTCCCTTTTCTCCTAGGGAAACTGCATATTTTTAGAGTTGCTACGGTGCTTGTATTCGTCCAGTCCCAGACTTGGCACCTCCGTGTCGACTTGCGGATGCTTAACCGCTGGATACGTATCCGATCCGAGACTACATATGTACATATGTAGTTAAGACACGTCGGTCAGAGCTGAGTATAATCTCAGCCAAAAATCAGGCAGAAATAAAAATCAGCCTTCTAAAGCTGTACAACTAATATTCAACAGCTTTTCCTGAATAGTCAATACCTACGTAATTTTCTCCAACGTGTTCTCTTTGTATGAACGTCCAATTAAACGCGAATATCACCCACGGGATGTCGAGGATTTCTTTCACCGCTTGATTTAATCTTATCGCTTATCGCGTGTTCTATACAAAATTTTGAAATAAGTCTTCCAAGTCTCAAATAAGAAATTTGGCTTACGTTGTAATGCATATTACACTAATAATAACACCATCTAGAACAAAAGAAGTGAAACCCCTGTTATCGTAGAGGCTTATCCCCCGCGAAAGGAATCGGGTGGCAAAAAAAAAAGGTCAAAAGTCAAAAATTCCCAAACCCCAAAGAGATCCAAAACGAAATCTTCCAAGCCAACCTCGGAAAAGCCTAAAAAATATAAAAATGGAATTGGCACAGTCGGAGTGGGCCTGCAAATCTAACATCCAACAATGCTTATTGAAAAAGAAAAAATCTGTCCCTACGTCCACGGGTATAGTAGATGGCCACTCCGTAATCCGAGATTTCCGCGCGAGCGAATCATTTACGTTCAATTATTTTTTCCTCAAACTGCTTCTGGAAGGGAACCGAAATTGCATGTTTCGCACTCGTTTCTTTTCCGTCTTTTTTTTTCCCGTTTCCTTCTGAATACTGTGGCGTTCCCGCGCCACCTCCTGGCACGTCGAGGCGAGGTTACCAAATGTACACTATACAGTTCGGTATATGGCCGTTCTACAATATACTGGATGAGTATTCAGGTGTATCTGCTGGCATTCTGACATATCGTTTTGACATTTAGAGAGTGGATCCAACATGGCATCTGTACCCGGTGCCCCAGTTGTTTATTTGATGGGGCACGGAGGCGAATCTTCATCTCACCTAGTCTAACCCCTTTATGACGAGTTAGCTCGATGCAGACTATGTTAGACATGCATTTGCTTTTTGGTATCCACTATTTGAATCCGGGGTAGATGCCGCGTAAGGAGGTTGTACGCCGTAGTGCAGTTGTGATCTCGAAGATCTGATCCTTCGATTTAACCTGTTTTGCATGTTTTCCTTGTGGCTTTTTATTTTATTGTTTTCTATTGTTCTATTTTCCCCCTTTCTCTCACACCCCCTTTTTCCATGTCTGGTTACCCAGGCGCCCCCTTTCCCGGACATAGCGCTTAGACCCTTCCCTTCCTCTCTGATACATATATAATCATCTGGGTTGATCTGGGGTGACGGGCCTATCACTTTGAAGCAGGGGAAATAAAGGGGTAAGTAAAGACAGCCTATCAGAGGTGTGTAGATAATTTCAAAGCTGATGCCAGCTTGGCTCCAATGTTCGGCGAAGTCCAGATCCCATTATCCAGATCAACAAGAGGCGCTGTGGAAACTGCATAGACAGCATTGCAGCCCAAGTTTTCGAAAGAGGGCCCAATACCAACGATCCAGCAGCAAATCTCAGGAGAAATATTGCTAGGAATAGCGAGGCGACGACTCCGCTCACCCCATGAGAAACGCTGCTTTACGACAGAACAGCGGATTCAGTGGAGGATGAAGCGCTGACCACGAAGGCCAGGGCAGATACAACCAACGTCGCCATTATTATCGTTGCAGGAGTAAGATCCCGTGGGCTTAGGATGTCTTTTTCTCTGTTCCAGTCGACAAGAAAGATATGAGGCAGTTCTCCATGGTACTAGGGTTGTCGACCACTTCGGCTCCTGGAATCGGAGGTGCTTCAGATAGTCGGTGCCGCTGTGTATCAAAGAGTCTGCCTCACGGGTACATTTACCCTCTCTTTTAACGGTATGGTAATATTGCTCGGGAGTTGATCGAGCTGTGTGCGGACCGAAACCCTGATAGCACGATATTGGAAGTACGCCTACATGGCGAGAGAATAAGTGTGAGTAGAATTCTACATAGTTGAAGGTTAGGGGATATATGCCATTCAAATATATATATTTCGGCAGGCTGATTAAAAAGCAGTGTCCAGGTTTAAACCAACTAGATGCCATAATCGATTTACATATCCATACAATAATGCCCTGGTAGAGATCAACCGTGGACTCCCGAGGTCCCGATGAGTAAGCGTAGACATCCACCTGGGTTAGTACCTATGGGCATACGCCAAGACACCAAATCCAATTGGGACTAGCTCCTGTTTACCAGGGGACCCCGGAACGTTCCGGAGAATTGCATGCTTAAATGATCTTTGTCGAAGACTGTCACGAACCCCAACGTCATCACCTCTCTAACATCTCTCATCATGGCTGAACACCCTTCATTCACTCTTGCCGCCCTTCGTAAGTCGCCCCTGCACACGTAACGAGTGCGACGTGCCAACTAATGACTCAAAACAGTGCCTGCAGGGGGTATCGCTGGGTACCTGAAGACCCGCTCAGCGCCTTCTTTGATCGCGGGTGTCGGGCTCGGAATCTCGTACGCATACTCTGGTAAGTGACTGACAACCAGACATCGCCATTCCAGGCACTAGTTCATCACCCGAGCTGACGATTTGGTCAGGGTATCTGATTAAAGAGAACCGTGACTACGGCACCGAGCTTGCTTTGGGAAACAGCGTACTTCTTCTCGGTTCTGCAATTCCCAGGATTATTAAAACCGGGGCTAAGGCCCCTGTGCCTTTGGCGCTCGGCGCCACTGGCTTGTTGGCATCGTACTACTACCAGAAGAAGGTTAGAGAATTCCGATATGGGGTCTAGGTTCCCCCCGACAGGATTAACCCAGATCTGGTATTGTGGTCACTAATGCTTTGTGCTCACTATGTATATTAAAATCCTATTTATTGTGATGTCGCATGAGACTTGATTGTACCTTTATTTGAAGTATGGAAGCTGCAGCAGTACTATAATTGGCACAATAGCTCGAACAAGATATATCAACTACACCGAGCTTCTCGTTTGTTCTAAAATAGATTTCAGTGAAAACGGCCCAGCTATACGAGGCATATTTGCGAAGAGGGATGGCTGCCACACCGGAACTACGCGAGCACGGATGTGGAGCCAGTTATTGTGGGTGACATACGCCGTGGATGTTGATATTTGGCCAACAAACGTCGTGGTGGAACGGGGAGGCAAAATCGCTCTAGAAGTCTCCTGGGGCGATACGTAGGGATACGGTAGCTTTAAACATGACTCCCCAATCGATCGGTAAGTATTCCATCAACCGCGAACGCGAACAATAGCTGACGATTAGACAATTGAAATAGGTCGAAGGAGAAGCTCCATGGGCTCAACCACGTCCGTTTCGGACCGCAGTTTCAAAAGTATGTCTCGTTGCCTATCATTCCGCCAAAGGATAGTGAACAGCGAGTTAGATTAGATTTACAGAGATGTATATATAGCATGTCGGAAAACCATATTCTATATAGGAAAGAAATTGCATGTGCTGATATACTTTCGACTATTGGCCACACTCAAAACTCGCCGCCCAGCTTGTATGTAAACAAATTTTCAGAGAGTCGCTCCCCGGTGACCTTCCACAAGCGGTTTGCAATCTGTCCCAATCAGCAAGCACATAAATCTCAGGCGTGTGTGCACAAGCAGGCATCACTCACCACATTCATTTCCAATCCGGTAAACATTACGGTCAAAAATGCTCGCTCTCCAAGACTTGTGTACACCCTTCGCTGGCTTTGGTCGAGATGCCGATTAATCGGCCGGTGCGGTGGGATACGGCGATAGTCATCTGGCCATCCGGGAGGGTTATGGGCTCTAGTTTCTCCAGCAGCGGCTTCGATCACAACCTGCTGCGAGGGAGAACTCCAGGCGGCCACGTTGGACTCGTATACGTCGTAGTCTGCCGGGTATCCCTGCACCCGAAGTCGGGCAGTGCGAATACTGGTAGCGGTAGCGGTGGTGGAGGTTGATGCGGATGAAAACATGTTAAAAGGCCTGTTTTGCCCCCGAGGTAAAAACAGCTACAAAGCAAATGTGATATAAATGGCCAGACGGAGACGGGGACGTAGACGCACCCCGGCGTCGGGAATGTGGCCCGCCTCTTCCCGAGGGAACATCACACCCCACGTCCAAGAACAGGGTGTCAAAGGAGATCGGAGGATTTAAAGCTCGTATCTTTGACCTTGAACTAATCTGCTCATTCGTTCAATCATTCGCCATGGCTGACTCCCTTCGAGCTGTTCGTGAGGCTGCCGTCGATGGCCGCATGCACAACATATTCACTCGCCGAACCCAGCTGGAGGCCCTTCAGCAGGCACTGCTTGACAAAGCAGATACCATTCAGGGGGCCATTTGCGCAGACACTGATTATGCCGCCCCCGAGGCTGCCGTGGAGTATCTCCTCACACTGAACACCTTAAAGGAGTACCATCAGTCTTTGAACATCGACCGCGCACACCAGGATGAGTATGCCATTGCAAGAGGGGAGGACGCTGCCAGCCGACGAGAACCCGTGGGAATTGTATACATTGTTCCGACGAGCTATACAGTCTTCTACTCGATCCTAGTCGCTGTCGCTGGCGCGCTTACTGCTGGTAACTGCATCGTTATTGAAGTATGCGACACTCTCGACATTCAATAATGTAGACCACGCTAATCCTCGCATCTACAAAGCTGCCAATCTCTACTCAAGCCCTTCCCGTGTTGATAAAGAACCTCCTAGAGTCGTCGCTTGATCGCAGTACTATCGCATTCGTCCCGACTCCAGCAACGGACGAGGATCTCGGACCACAACATATGCGGCTTCATCAAGACGATCACTTACCCGGTAAGGTAGTGGCTGTTGTGGATCGCACAGCAAATATCAATCGTGCAGCTGAAGCACTCGTAGCAGCCCGGTTCAGCTTCGGTGGCCGCTCGCCCTACGCGCCCGACCTAGTCCTTGTCAATGAATACATCAAGGAGCCGTTTCTGATAGCCTTGGTGCAGGCGAGTGTGCCCTTTCCGCCGAGCGCGAGTGCAATACAAGGAGACGAGGGACGGCCGGAAAAAGACCACCAAGAAGAAAGACGGGGATTACGGGTCGTATCGTCCCTGGGAAGGGGCAAAATTGTGGAAGCAGACCGACTGTATAGCTATCACTCTTCGCAGACTCCACGACTTCTGCTAATAAAAATGGGGAAACAGAGATCCCAAGGCGCTGTCGGATAAGCCTACTGACGCCCGGTTGCTGGTGCACACTGTGCGCTCGTTGGATCATGCCATCGATTTGTCAAATATGTGAGTGAACAGCGCGATATAGAAGACCAATAACTGACTGGCTTACTAGGGTTGAAAACCTTCGGGGGACATACGTTTTCGCTCACGAGAAGTCTGCCAAATATTTGACGCAGTTCACTAACGCGCATGTCTCGTTTGTCAACCACATCCCTGTGGAAGTCCTGGGTAAGGGGATCGCAATTAAACAACGTTTAAATGACATTTACAGCGCTAATATAATTCTATCCCTTCTAGTGGGACCCCCTGCCCCTAAACAAGTGGCCTTGGATCGCTCAGTGAGATACCCCACCACCGTCTTCTCCGTTCCTCGGCCACATTATATCCGCCCTACCCGGCTGTCGCAGTCAGTCACGGATATTCTACGTATCAAATCACCCTCAGCCTTGCAGAATATGCTGGTCTTGCAGTCGGGTAAACTGGTCTCCCCGACTCGGCGGCCCTTGGGTGGAGGCGTAGGGTTCTTTGAGCAAGGCATTCTTACAGGGCTGGGGTTGTTCTCGATCTCGATCCTCGCGGGGGTGTGTTCTCTGGGCTATTGGGCGTGGACTTATGGTGGAAAAGCATGGATCTCACATGTGACATTCTAAGGTAGTAGTCATTGCTTTTTGCGCGGAATGAATATGCATAGTGATAGTGGTATGTATTCAATGTTTATCTGCCGGGACCATGTAGCCACCTCGAATAGCTGCCCGGACTCACGGATCCTATTTGATTGCTAAAGCCCAATGAGGCGCAGGGTCCACCGACAGTCTGTGGCTGGTGTGGTTGTTGTGGCAGTTGTAATGGCGACAATGGATTCCCGTCATTGCCGGGAGCGTTTACCTCTAGCCGAGTCGCCGGAGTCGGTGGAGTACCCTCCACAGATCCAGTGGGCAGATTACAGCGGAACCCCTTCCGTTGATATCGACGGCAGGGTTTACCATCATCGCAGCGGAGATGATTCTCGGCACAGCCCTCACAAGCCTGCGACGCGCGGGTTAGCGCACTATTACCCTCGATGCACCGTCGTTTCGTGGAGGCCGAGTCTCTGTTGGGGTCATAGAGAGTTGAATGGCGGGACAATAGGTCATTGTGTACTCCGCACGTTAGTTGCTGACAGGCCTAGTCTAATAACAGAAGGAATGGGGCTCACACACGACCGAACCGCTTGTTGGACACAGAGCAACGGTATGGCGTCTCCTGGGTGTCTGCACGCACGCGACCAAGTTAGCCAGCACATCGGACAAGAGGGCCCGACAATGAAAGTACGGGAGCGGACGTGACGATCAAGATGGCCAATGCGGGTGAAGGATTGTCAACAGGTTCCACACTGGAACAGGTTGGTGACCATGGAGGGAGGAGCGTGTGGAGAAGCGTGTGGAGAAGCTATCGATGATCAAACCGGGGGAATGTGGTCCCGAATAAGTGGATGTCCCCATTCGGGATGTTGGGGGTGATTACCGAGTAATGGGGGTGTGTAATACGACACCTGGAGAGTTGTTAGAAAAGAAGCCACACACAAGCTACATCCTAACCACGCACCCTAGAATATCATCATCCCCGGCATAACATCAATTCGCTATGTGTACGTACAGTCCCAACTGATTCTGCCTGAACTCGCTGTCTGACCTCACTGTTCAGCGCTCACACCAGTGCATTTCTTTTCCCATGGCTCGACCATGATGCTGGGGGAAGAGTCGGAGTCCGCCGACTATTGGAAGAAATGCGGCGATGACGCCCTGGCCTATGGTATTAAGGGCGTGATCATCATGGTATGCTTCCCGCTCCCCGGCGAGACGACGTACTGATGCCGGAACAGGGTGCCCACTGGGGCTGCTCAGGAAGCAACCGCCTGGAAGTTGCGATGAACCCCCATCCCACCAAGTCTCCCGTGGCGTATGTGCACCCGTCCAAGTACGTCGACTACGAGCTTGTGCCGGATCTTGACAGTGGGCGCAAGTGTATCAACCTTCTATCCGCCGAGGGCTTTGACGTGCACGCCAACGAGACTTTCGAATGGATTCACGATACCTATCTCATTCTTATTCGCATGTTTCCTGAACGGTGCCCACCTACAACCATCATATCCACCAACGTGCAGTATGATCCACACTTCCACATGCGTGCTGGTACAGCTCTACGGCCATTGCGAGAGCAGAATTACCTGATCATTGGAACCGGCGGTGCGGTACATAATCTGTATCGCAATGTCTGGGGCCCCATGTTGCGATATAGTGACAATTTTGCCCAGGAAACGCCACCTGAGAAATGGGCTCTAGATTTTCGTCAGGCAGTAGAAGACGCGCTAGCAAACAACAGCGGGCCTGCTCTCCGCCGGGCCATGACTCGGCTCATGAAGCATCCTCATTATCGAGACGCTCATGCCACGGATGACCACTACATGGCTGCTGTATTCGTGGCTGGGGCAGCCGGCAGCGAAGCCGATCTGGGGACAACTGGAAGGCTAATGGCAGAAACATGGGAGTTGACCAACATGTGCAATTCCCAATTCACCATCGGGCAATGGCCCAGGGCATCACAAACAGCCTAATGTACTTTCTTTTAGTGCAGCTCTTCCACAGTTAACCAGACGTCCAATTAATTATTGTTTAGATGAGAGGGTCCAGTAACAGGGGGTAAACCATTATATTGAAGGCAGCAGATGCTGGCCGTATAGAGAGCATAGAAAAGAACAACCTGACCCAATATGAATGCATCTGTCATTCCCCCACCGGCTGTTAGTTCCGGGCCAAAAAGTAATAAGGAAATTCTCCCCATGTCCTCCACCTGTGTACCTCGGGCCTCTCTCCACCCGGCTTGTCAGTCCGGGGTCATCATCTCACTGACCTAGCTCGGTCTTTTTAAATAGGGCACCATCCAGACTTCTCTTATTTATTTTCCTTTTCACACATATATCTTTCCAGCATACAACATGTCCGGCTTTCACTACGCGTTCTCACTGCCCAAATCCGCCGTCCAGCAAGCGACGCCTCCTGGGACAGTCGAGCTTTATGGTACAGTCTTCCTCCTGAAGACACCTGACTTCTCTATTTTGGCCTAAAGACTAATTCTCATTTATCAAGATCATGAGGCAGGACCAACATCCGAGTCAGCCCTCGGCCCTCAACTGCGTGTGTCACCAACGCCGTCAATCTGCCCGTCCGATCCATTGAATTGGAGTCTCTGGAGGAAGGCTATGGCCCTTCTCTCCGCCTCGGTCTACTGTTTCGTAGCCAACGTTGCATCCGCTTCCCTGTCCAGCGCCTTGACCTTTCTCGCGACGGACTTTCACCCACCAGTGCCCCAGGCACACCTCAGCCACTTGATTGCCGTTTGTTAACCTATCTTCTTTGCCTCTATCTTGAGAACTACTCACAAAATATCTTGGCAGGTCAATGTCTTGATGCTTGGCTGTGCCAATATCTGGTGGGTCCCTCTCTCGAACGTGTTTGGTCGCCGACCCATCATCCTCGCCAGTCTGGTGATGCTCACGCTGTGCTCCGTATGGGCAGCCAAAACCACCTCCTTCAATAGTCTATTGGCTGCCAGGGTCTTCCAGGGCATTGCCGGTGCAGCTGCGGATACAATTTGTCCAGGTGTGATAGGCGAAATCTATTTTCGTCACCAGCGAGGAAGAGCAATGGTGAGTACCCTCCAAGCACCCGCTACACTCTTTATTTGGACATCACATTACAATGGCTAATCTGTGGACAGGCTATATACACTATCTTCCTAGTCCTAGGCCCGATTATCGGTGGTACCATCGGGAGCTATATCGCTCATGCTTGGGGATGGCGGTGGACACAGTGGCTCAACGTTATTATCTCCGGGATTTCACTCCTCGCGTGCTTCTTCTGCCTCCCAGAAACGCTTTTTGATCGAGATGCTGCCATTGCCATGGCTGCCGCGACCCAAGATATTGGACAATCAGAGGAAGATAAGCCGACTGGATTTGACAAGCCCAATATCGAAGAGCATGAACAGATAGACCGGTCCGTTCCGGTACAGGCGTATGAGCCCTACACATTTGCGAGTTCTCTGAAGGTCGGACTGTATCGTGGCGGTCTATGGCAACATTTCATGGCGCCTTGGAAAACCCTTCGATTTCCCGCTGTATGGCTGGTCATGTTGCATTACGGGGGTCTGGTGGGTGGTGTTGTGACGATTTCCACTGTGGGTCCACAGTTTGTGTCCGCGCCTCCATATAGCTGGGGTGCAAATTCGGGCCTGATCAATATTGGCGGCTTGATCGGCAGCATTGCTGGAGCAGCTTTCACCTTTTACCTCTCAGACTACGTCCTGAAGCGGCAGGCAATGCGCCAAACGAATGGGCTCAGTGAGCCTGAAGCCCGTCTGCCAGCCCTATTTCCGGGGCTACTTCTTGCTACGACGGGCCTCCTCACATTTGGCTTCTGCGGGAAATACATTTCCAACCTCGGGTGGCTCGGCCTCCAATTCGGTTATGGGATGCTCACCTTCGGGGTCATGCAGGTTCCTTCTATTGGGTTCAACTATGTCAGTCTGGTCTTTCTCGCCTGGCAGCAGCTACTGATTTTCAAGTACGATGCAGATTATCGAGTCCTATCCCGTGGTTGCCCATGATTGCTTTGTGATGATTACCTGTCTGCGAGCAATTGTAGCCTTCGCATGGACCTTTTTCGTCGGATCGTGGGTTGAGGCGCGTGGAGCTGCTGAGCCTTTCGGTGTATTTGGTATGTTGATGGGGTTAGCTGGGTTATTGACGTTTCCTATATACTTTTATGGTAAAAGAATCCGAATTGCGACACAGAAATGGGCTCCTGGTCAAGGCGAGTGAGTGGTGGGTGTCTGGCTGCCTGGTTTTCATATTACTTCATCTATACCGCGAAGTCGCGTTGCTGCATTTTGGCTGTATTATCTCATTCAGGAGGATAACTGGAAAGACATATGTTAAGTCTCAGCATATGTTATTTCCCACATGCCTAGATTGGATAAAACTTAACGACCTAACCCCTTTTCCTGTGTTATTGGAACTTCCAATAGTCTTTACCTTTCGATTCCCTTGAAACTGACATACAGTGTTTAAGCGTCTTACAGGTATTGAATGATAATGTGTCAAACAACGTCGTTGCTAAGATATAAGATTGTACACTATCGCATTCGCTATAGTGTTTTGGGGTAGCCCACTCGCTTGTGAAATATGTCTTAATAACTAGATATTATTACAGTCCTTATCTTCTTTGGTGTTTGGTTCTTCTCTCAACCCTCGAGTGTACATAGAGTGCACTAGCCTTGGAGCGTTTTCACTGGTTCACTAGGTACTATTTCGTGAGTCTATGTCGCTTGTGCTTTTCCACTTAAAAAGGCCGGGCTGGTGTTAAGCGACCAATGCATTCACCAAAGCCAACACCTAGGCTTGCTGCTCCTGCCATCGCGGTGATTCGCACAACATCACCATCCTCAAGATACCCACGCTTTGAACCATCACTCAACATCACTGGTTTTGTGCCTCCTTCCGTTCTCTCAAGCAAACAGCCCCCGTTCAGATTAGATTCACCGCTAACTGTGCCTGTCGCCAAAATATCTCCAGTTCGGAGCGCACTGCCTGAGCTAACCGAATGCGCGATCATTTGCTGTGGGGTCCAGTACAGGGACTGTACGGGACAAACTCCAACAGTGGTTTTGTCTGAATTTGCGAGGATCTCAACAGTCATAAGAATATCGTAAGTTGATGGCTTGGACTGTTGAAGATATGTAGGCCCTAAGGCTTGTTGAGGAGCTACACTGGCTCTGAAAGGCTCTAAGGCGTCGGGAGTGATAATCCACGGGGAGATAGAAGTGCCCAGGCTTTTGCCATTGAAAGGACCCAGTGGGTTCATCTCAAAGCCTTGAATATCACGGGCTACAAAGGTTAGTTGATATCTTCTCGTCAAAATCAGAAACCTTTTGGGTTTAAACACTCACAGCTCCAGTCATTGAGAATCACGAATCCAAAGATATGCTTGTCGGCATCTTCCGCATGGAGTCTTTTCTTCATCGGCAGTGGCTCCCCAATTACTGCTGCCAGCTCAACTTCGTAATCAACCTTCTGCGAGGGTCCAAAGATGATTGCTTTCTCACTTTGGGGATCTGTGAATGGAGGGCTGCGAAAGTGCCCATACGGGCGCTCAATGTCAGTTCCTGAAACGACAATCGAGCTTGTGCGACCTTGATATCCGATAGGAAACTTGAAAAAGCTGGGAGGTGGGTTTGCATTCCCAACCACTATGCGTCCCGCGTTGATGACGTGGTGAAGCGAGCATGAAAAGTCTAAAATGTCAGAAAATACACTATCAATTGAAATGCAGAAAAAGTACCTGTAAAATCCCTGATCACGATGGGTAAGTGCATCGTAGTGGCATCCGCGTCTTCTTTGCTGGCAGAAGGAAATCCCTCAAGGCCTTGGTGGCGAAACACCTCTTGAATCTTTTCCCGTACATATCGATGCTCACTCTTCGAGAGAGCTGCAAAGCTGTTCAGAGATGGCTGATTGAAGACATTCTCTGGAATGTTCTTGGACTCCTTGAACAGTCCGTGAACATGCAAGTCATGCAGAAACAATATTGTGTTTCCCAATCTTGAGACAGCTTGTGGTTTCTTATGGGTCTGCGACGATGCAATGCCAAAAGGAATGTTCCTATGGGAAAAATGATGACTATAGTTTGCAGTGGCCATCTTTACGATGTCAGACTTGAGACTCGAGCCTTGATGTTCAGGATCTCAATATGGTAGTCCAGATGGTTTAGAAAAGTACTACCAGGGTTCAAGGTATGTTCGACCTCCTAAAAGCCTTTCAGGACCTCGGGACATTTTAAGTCCCCTACATACCCAATTTCGTTTAGTACAGATGTCGGAAGCAGTGGGGATGACAGTGAGAGCGTCAAGTGGCGGGGACAACCGAGAAATGGGGGTTGGAGCGGGTATGAGGCTCCCCCACTTCCCGATCGGCAAGGGAAGTATAAATTCAAGTTTACGACTCAGTGACCAAAATGCAGTCATTTCAAAGTACACTACTTATTTGTCTTAACGTACTCTTCTACCATGCTCAACGGCAACCTCAGGCGACCACAACGCTACATCACCTCCCACAACAATGAGGGCCAAGCTATCATTGACACGACAATCGAGCCAGCCGCCCCCTTCTATGAGCTCCCGGACAAGGTCGCCCAATTCGCACTGGGCTATGTCACCAAAGAGTTCCCAGCAAGACTTACCGATGAGGCCGACGTGAAGTCTTATCAGGAGTTTCTCGCCAGTCCACCAGGACTGACTGTCTCAACGGGCAGCGTCCTGCGTTACGTGGACATGCCCCCTGGAAAGTTGTCCCCTATGCACCGTACCATCAGTCTGGACTATGGCGTTGTTCTGGAAGGCGAGGTGGAACTTGTTCTGGATTCAGGAGAAACCAGGGTCTTGAAGAGGGGCGATGTTGCTGTGCAAAGGGCCACTATGCATGCGTGGAGGAACACTAGTGATACGGAGTGGGCTCGAATGCTTTATGTTCTCCTTCCCTCGACAGCACCAAACGTGGGAGAGAAGCAGCTAGGAGAAGAATATGGTGATATGCAGGGAGTCAAGGCATCGGAATAGATATACCTTAATGAACAGGTAAAGCTTATACCTACGTATAGTATTGCCCCTCCTGTCTTGATGCTTTACAAACGACGGAAAAAGTCCTCTCTTTACTTTTACCTTTTTGCTACAATAACTCATATAAAAAAAAGCCGAATACTCTACTGAACGGCCTATAGGGAGGCACCCGACGATGTGGTACGTCAAACTCAGAGAGGAGCTCGCTGAGAATGGGTGAGATTCGGCTGGTGTCCCACGGCCGTGAGAGTGATGAATCTCATACTCCCTCCATAATTCGCTGTGGAAGTTTCCATTTGGGAGTCTGAGTTGCGGTGACGGTGCATATGATAAGAATTACGTTGTTCTACGGAGGCGCAGTGAGCTTCAAGATGGATGTCAAGCGGTGATAATGAGGGTAAGTCACGTCCAAGGACTGTCCGAATTACCGGCAAGAACCAACCCATTTCATTCCAGTCACTAGTTGGCCCAGCTAATTCCGGAGGGTGGACCGAGTCATCTGGGGGGATGCAAGGAAGGACTACACTCAGGATGTGGAGGGTTTCGCGAGGCACCCGAACCGATGGACAATCCGTGGAAGCAGGGTCTACGACATCATCTGCATGATACCTACAAGCTAAACAAAGCCATATAGTTAAATCCAAAGTCTCCGAAAAAAGAAAGCGTAACTCAATGCCGGAAGGTCGATTTTCTCCTACAGACCTCGGAAACTAGAAGAGAACACCTCGAAATAAAATTCGGGTCTATCGTTATCCCCCGCTACATCACGAGGACGAGTATATACTGTCAATCAGCTGTTATTTTTCAATCTTTATTCTTTGTTGGTCCACTCTGACAGTAAATATAGCTGTCAGCCTCGGCAATCGCTGTATTCATCCCGAGTGGGTATATATCAAGCAGCTACCTTCCTCTTCGCCGAGTTCTTAAGCTCAGCCATTAGTTGAACCAGTCTCTCTGTAAGATGTGGAATGGGCAATCCTGAAAAGTTTGTTCGTACAATTCCCATGACAGCCTCCATGACCTTATCTGGTTGTGATAGCGGTACGCTGATTACCACATCATCTTCACCGGGTATCTCCGAACGCCATCCTATACACGGTTGACCTTGCCCGAAGCCTTTGAACCTTTGCAAGGCAATGCTGTCCGTGTCATCAATACACACATTTTGACTGGGCGCTCTGGATATCCCTGAAGACTGGTTGGAGAGCAGTCCATAGACCCAGAATGCTAAACTAGCGTGGTAAAGCATAATTGCTAGAGGGCTGCGTATAACCCCCTTGGGCAATCGCTTGGCAATTCGAACGATCTGGGCTGCGTGGCAAATTGTGTGTCTCGCTGCTTCACTCTTGACCCAGTCGCGGACCATTGGGTAGACAGCACGGGCGCGTTCCGGGCCTTCCATACCCGCAAAGATCTGGATATCCTCAAATGGCATCTGTAAATGCAACAGGGTTAACTCCAGCCGCATCAGTATTTCTGGATCCGCCAATTCATCAGACGGCAAGCTTAGTTTGAGATGATTTAGCAATTTCAGAAGCTCGTCCTTCCTCATCTCTGTAACAAGGACGTTCCACCTGTGTGGTCGCGATCTCTGCAGAGAGGAGAGCTGGAGATACTCCCAACACATGGCCCACGTGCATGCAAGCACAGCGTCAATCGCAACGTATATATCCAGCGACCTCGCACGATTATTGAGAATGCCGGGATCGTCGATAATATCTGCAACGTAAAGGGGCTCGCCGGGGTCTTGTACGGAGATGAACGAGCTCCACTGTTCGGGAGATGCCGCTGTCCAGAGATCTGTATTTCCCGGGAGTGGTAGGAGAACTTCCGCATAGGATATTGCCGGATTGACCAGAAGGGCTATGGAGGAGTTTGCGTCGTGAGAGAGCATTCTGAAGACGAGCCGCTTAGAAGACTCATCTTCCACCCACTTGAGCCATTCGTCCCGCGAAACTATGACCTGACTATCTCCAGAATTGGTGTCCGGATACGCTGACCGTTTGAACTTTCCATCGCGTCGCATCATCGTGAGCACGGGATGGAAGAAGCTCTCGGCGATCTCAACCTTGCGGGGGAGTCCGCTCCAGATACCCATCTCAAGAATAATCAGAAAAGCCTGAGAGAGCTCAAGATCTCGAACGAGTGTGTTATCACGTTCCCACTGCAGAATTAATCAGTCAACTGAAAACATACACGATTCGATGCAAAACGTACACGCTTCGATATTGCGATCCGTAAACATTCTTGTATAGCATAGCCAAGTTTAGATAGTGCAGGGTCAGATGTCAACACTGCTCCACATGCCGCCATGGCAGCTACCAGCTCTGGTCTTTTCTCGTTGGGATCGAATGAAGCAGCATGCAAAAATGACGTTGCATGCGTCACAGGTGAGGTCAAGTAGTACTGTAACAGCGTATCCAGTAGCCCAGCAGACGGAAAAGAAGCGACTGCCTTTGACAAATTATCCGAATGGCAGCTGTTGACAACCATCATCAGGATCTTGTCTCGGACAAGATTCCCTAGCTCTGCACACGTGATCCTTGTGTCTAGGTTCAGTGCAACTCCAGACTCTGGGGAAGGGTAGGCGGAGTTTGCTGCGGGAAGAGAGAGATTATGCTCCTCGGCTCCAGAATGATCCTTTGCATTAGGGCGGAACTTCCAGTGAGAATTTTGGAAGGCCTCGGTGCACATAGCGGCGGGCTGGCCGGGGTCCGTGTGCGACGCAGCGTGGGGTGTCTGCGCGCCTGTTGGGGTTGGATGGACACTGCTAACTTCGAATGGGATGCTGATGTTATAGGCATCTAGGAACCTCAGATCCATGTCGTCAAGCGCATTGTAAGAGCTCATGTCAATGTCACTTGTGCTAGCGGAAGCCCAGTGTCCTGACAAGAGATTGAGATCTGGGTACTGGTAGAGACCATTGGCGTCGGCACCGATGGATGCATCTTCATATTATCAGCCCAATAGCCATCCTGTCCTAAAAGTAGACAGACCCACCAAGGTTATGCAGCATGTTATGTGTAGTCTGAGGGGTAAGAATTTCCAACCCAGGCTGGTCACCGATGACTGCCGAGGTAGACGCTGCTCCCATGGTACCCGTATCGACGAAATTGCCCATAACAGAGGAACCGTCATCTTGGGCAAAGATAGTCTCATCGGGTTGTTGACCGGCTTCTGGCGAGGGAAAGGTTGTATCTAGTTCCATGGAGTCGTTCGACTTGCACTCGATGCCTTTCCCTTGGCAGCGCCGGCATGGCTTTTCCTCGCTACACCGGAGATGATTGGATGAGCATTCTTTACACGCCTTTGTTACCCTTCCAGCTATGTACCGGGGCTGTTCGATGGAGCCTTCTGTAGCGTCCCCGGCTTGGGAGCTGTGTCCGGCAACGTGTCTCTTGAGCAGGTCCCTTTGAGCAGTCTTAGCCAGCGAGTAGTGAGTTACGATGATAAGCCTGGGTGTACCTACGGTCTTGTAAAGGCTTTTGGGCAGACATGGCACTTGTAAGGCTTGGTCTGGGTGTCTAGGGAAGATGGTTGTGTGAGCAAAATTTCCTCCGAGTCACGCCAAGTCTACGATACAAGAGCCAGCCCTGGAACGGGAGGAACATACGGGATCGTACGTGACGAGCTAGGTGATCCAGGCGCTTGTAGTTCTTCTTACAAGAGCCGCACTGGAACATGCCAGATTGCGCCGTTGCCATATCAGCACCTTCAAGCCCGCCCGAGGCAGCAAGCGGATAGATCAAGCGATGGGCCGCTGGTGATTGAGCTCGGAACGTGGAGAATAGGGAGAAGGAGAAAGTAGGGGAAATGCTGCTATGGTCCGGATCTTATTGCGGTTGGCTCACTTGGTTGCGGGGGTGGCGTCTGGGGCTCAGGGGACGACCTCGGGAGTTGCGGGGAAATTCCCCCCACATATCCGATGTGGTTAGGGTTAGGTATTGTCTATAAGGCAAATCTATACTAATTTCGTCCGGTCAAAGCGAGGGTTCCCCATTTATTCTAGGTACCATAAGATAGGGGCCTCAGCATTTATATCTTATTTTCATTTTTGATATCCGAGCTCCCTCTTAAAAATGCATAAAATTTATGGTAGGGTGATTTTGTCAGGACTCCGTGACATTTTTCTTGATACAAGACCACGCATCAACGATACCACTACGTACACCGTTGAATAGTTGCTACGCGAAACGCTTAATATAAGCCTTTTTTTTGGCGATTTTTGGTCTTTTTTTTTCAATTTCATCACTGCCGAGGTGTAGTAGCTAAGCTTCCCTTAGCAATTACCAGTTAGACCTATATGTTCCAAGGTTCAAGGTTGGATGAAAGTCCTAATGGAAAAAACGCCTTGAATTTTGAAATATTCTGGCGTCACGAGGTCTGAAAAATTGACTAGAGATAAACTTGGAAAGTTCATAGTTTGACGACCTATTTCATGGTCTACTCAATCGGTGCAGCTCCCGAACAGTCGGGCACCCCGTCCCCTTCCACCAATTTTGCCCCCACAATCTCGAACACGGGGACTTCTGCGAGCCGTGAAATAATGTGGTGGAGCGTCGGTAGCTGCTGCCAATCCAAACCATCGACTTCTATACTTGCCTTATTGGTCGTGTAAACCCTTCGTGGTCGTGGAGGCGGCACAGCCTTGGAGAAGGGGTCGAAGACGGTATATTCTTCCGCAGCAATATTCTTGTTCGCGCGGCCACTCTTGGGCAGGTACTTGTAGGTCAGGATCCCCGCATCGGCCTCTCCACTTAATGCACCCGTGGTAGTTGATGGGTCCACTTCTACCAGGTCTTCTAGTAAGAAGTTACCCCAGAGGGCCCCTTCCCACCCGGTGCGGATGCGGTAAGAGCTGGAACGACGGTATACATCGATGGAGGTATAAAGTTTGGGCATTCCGAGTTCCTCCCGGCCTGAAATGATGGGGTCCGCCAAGGACTCGAAAAGGACGGGGAGGTAGGTGCCCTTAATTACCGAGCCATCCTCCTTGACATACTCAACCCCGTGTACGTACAAGCCAATATGCTTGTATCCTGTCCCACCCAGCCACTCCATGTTGTCCAGCGTTGTCTGGGAGAAGGAGGCATATGCAACGCTATCTGGAGATGTGAACCGCCATCCTTTGCGACCAGGCGGGAACAGATTCTGCAGGACGGTTCGCGAGGTCTTGAACTTGACTGACACCGTTGTAAACGTCGAGTTTGTGCCTTCGCGGGGTAAACCGAGATGGGTCTGTCGCGGTCCGGGCATTGGGCCAAAGGCGATAGGCATGCGCCAGTAGGGGTCGGGAATCTGCTTCCACGTCCACTCACGAAGACATTGAGTCGAATTATCCCACTCGTCATGTCCGAAGTTAAAATTGGTGAAGCCGTATACTGTATTTATATGGTAAGGTTGGGTCATGCACAGTTATTCGCATTTGGGTGGCTTACTATCCAGCTGCTTGTCGTCCGTACGATCTTCGCCAATGGTACGCGAGAAACCTTGGATGCGTGTGGCTCGCTCGTGCCGGATATCATGGTAGAGCCTGAGACGTTCAGGCACCTCAGTGGCTGATATTCCTGGAGATAGGACTACCGCTAGTGAGATGGCATCTTCGATCGCGACTGCGCCGCCCTGGCCCTGGTGCGGCAGGAACGGATGGGCCGCATCTCCGAGCAGAGCTAGACGGTGGTGATGCCATTGGGGGACGATGTCCATGTCCAGGAGCTTCCACACATTGACACTCTGGGGGTCGGCCTTGCCTAGGAGTCGAAGAATGGTCGGGTCGAATCCGTCGAAAATCTGCAACATCTTCTCCAGGTTGCCCTGTTGGCCCCAAGAATTATCGGAATCGGCCGCCGACTCGTCTTCCGGATGGATCAATACGAAGTTCAGGACAGTATTGTCCGAAGTAGGGTACATGATAATGCGTGAATCGTTGCCATACCAGATGCTGAGCTCACCGGGGTGCTGGACCAGCTTGGCCGTGATAGGATCATTTGCGGCAGCCTCCTTGGAGACCAAGAAACGAAATGCGCTTTTGCCCCGGCACTCTGCCTTGAGCTGGCCCCCAGGCACGGCATGCCGGGTGACCGAGTGCACTCCATCGGCACCCAACACCACGTCGCCATGGAACTGGCTGCCATCCTCTAGCGTGATACTTGCTGTCTCGGCGACGACCTGAACAACACGAGAAGCTGTTCGAAGAGGGATTGCATCGCGGGTTTTCGTGGCAGTTGTGGCTATTCTTTTCAAGTTGCGGTGGAGATCAACTCGGTGCGCGAGAAGCCAGGGATGTTGCCACCTCTTATTCGCTTCCTTGAGGTCCATCTCTCGCTGCACTTCTCCCGTCGCGCTATACTCTGTGAGCTAGATAAGCCTGTTAGCAACTAGTCCACGGCGTCCCACTGGCGAGACAGGGCCTTACTCGTTCCATGAGGTTGGCGCCAAACTGTTCTGCAAAAATTCCCAGACGTCTAAGGAGGCCATTTGCGTTAGGGGCTAGGTGAATGGCTGCCCCGGTCTCCGTGGCCAGATGCGATTGCTCAAATATTTGAATGTCATGGCCGTGGTTGCGCAGTGCAATGGCTGCGGTCAATCCACCAATACCAGCACCAACTATCAAGATCTTTAGGGGTCTGGCCTCCTCAGAAGCATGAGTGGTGGTACCCTCTGTGGCCGTCATTGTGTGAAGTCAATCCAGGCAAGGGAGGCGATTAATTGGCGAGGAGATGTTCAACAGTGCAAGATAGAGATAGAGAGCAGCTCCTTGGTTTAATAAAATGTATGTCCCATACTTATGGTCTTGTATGGCCCGTCGACGCCACATTCCTCCGGCGTAGAGTCCCGATATGTCGGGCCATCGGGACCACATCAGCTAAGGCCTGCGGAGGTTAAACCTCGCTCAGAACCCCAAACTCTGCGGAAATTGCAGCCTCGGGTGAATCTAATACATTGTTCATTTCACTGGCTTCTGCGGGCGGCTGATGAAATAATGAATAGATATCAGTGTAACTAAATATGGTCTACTGGCACGCTCCAAAGCCAGATTTTCTAGGCCGAGACGTGAGTGAAATTCCAAGGTTGTAAATGATACCTCACGTAGTCTTTTTGCAGATAGAATACCACCATTATCCTCTCCATCACCACTCACCAAGATGTTCCGGTGTCACTAATTGGTTCGCCGACGAGATAGTAACAGCAGCGAAGGCAATCCCCTTCTGATCTGCCATAAAGCTTGCCTTGTGGACTATCTTCCAAGGTTCCTGCGAGCTGCCGACATCCTCAAGAACAGTAGTGGAAACCATACCCACTATCCCGAAGTGGTCCCGATGCCGCTCCACTGGGGATATCACATGTATGCGAAATATAAGTGAATAGAAAAACCTTGGAAAGAGGATTGTCTGAAATAAACGGAAGTTGTAACTTTTTCAGTTTTACTTTTTTTTATTCTTTTTCCACGCCAACAAACCTTGGAAACTCTGTCACAATGCCTAATGCCATTGGCGACATCCAGAAGGAGGACACTACCTCGTTCCCATACATCTTCGAGCAGGATGTCACCGTCCGACTCAAGGCGGCTGGTGGCCTCATCCGCTGCAACATATATCGACCCAAGACCGAAGCGCGCGTCCCAGTGATCGTGACGTATGGACCTTACGGGAAGGACATTCACTACGAATTGTAACCGGCCAGAACTATTCTCAGAAGCTACTCATATATTAGCCATACTTGCTGACGACCTTGACTAGATTTCATCCTTTATCCTTCGCGGAAGTCAACTCGGAGCACCACTCGGCACATTCGGCGTGGGAGACACCTGACCCCGGATTCTGGACCCGCCATGGTTATGCCGTTGTGCGCGCCGACGAGCGAGGCCTTGGACAGTCGCCAGGCGTGCTGGATACCATGTCCCGCGGCACAAGTGAAGCCTTCTTCGACGTGATCGAATGGGCGGCCGAGCAGACGTGGTCGTCGGGGAAAGTTGGTCTGCTGGGCGTTAGGTGAGATTTCTCGGATTCAAAACTTTATATGGTTCTGACCCCCTACGCAGCTACTATGGAGGGAGCCAGTGGCGTGTCGCTGCTCGGCAGCCCAAGGGCCTTGCGGCGATAATTCCTTGGGAAGGGATGTCAGATTACTACCGCGACCGCTGTCGTCAAGGTGGCATTCTATCTAATGGGTTCATCAAATTTTGGTGGGATCGTCAAGTCATCACCAATCAGTATGGCATGCCAGGACGTGCTGCACGTAACTGGGGACCCGATACCATTGAGGGCGATCTGTCGCCAGAGGAACTGGCTGCCAACCGTCGCGACCAAACGGAAGATAACGTGGCTCACAGGTTCCGCGATGACGTCTACTACGCATCCAAAGAGTATAATATGGGTGATATTCAAGTCCCTGTGCTCAGTGTTGCCAATTGGGGCGGAATCTGTCTGCATCTGCGCGGTAATGTGGAGGGCTGGACGTGGGCAGGGTCTCCCCTGAAATACTTACGCTTCATTACTGGTCGGCACGATTTGCCTTTCTACTACCACGACGAGGTGGAGGTCCAGCGTAGCTTCCTGGATGCTTTCCTCAAAGGCGAAGATCGTGAGGGCTGGAGTGTTCCTGGCAAGCTGCCACCCGTTAGCCTTATTCTGCGAAAGGGGGACGTTGGCTTCAACGACGCGAAGGCCGAAAAAGCATACACCCGGCGCAGTGAGCATGAGTGGCCAATTGCCCGGACGCAATACACCCCTTTCTTCCTTCACCCCGACGGAAGGTTAATCGGTGATGAGACCGCAATTAAGAGCTTGCCTGTAACAAAGGTCTCTTACCCTGCTTTGGGCACCCTCGACAACCCGCAGCGGTTGCAGTTTGAGACTGAATCCTTTACGCAAGAGACAGAGATTACCGGTCACGTTGTGGCACATCTGAGTGTTTCGGTGACTCCGGACGCAGGTAGTGAGATCATCCCTTCCGACATTGATCTTTTCGTCACCCTGCGACACATCTCTCCAGCAGGCGAGGAGGTATTTTATACGGGCACGGCCGGCGATCCTGTGCCTCTGACCAAGGGCTGGCTGCGCGTTAGCTTGCGGAAGACTGATCCTGATCACTACAAGCACCGAGCATGGCTGCCACATCGAAACTACGTGAGCACGGACGTGGAGCCAGTTATTGTGGGCGATATCTACGCTGTGGATGTGGAGATCTGGCCAACAAACGTCGTTGTGGAACAGGGAGGCAAAATCATTCTGGAAGTCGCCTCGGGTGATACGCAGGGATGCGGTATCTTCAAGCATGACTCCCCAATCGATCGGCAAGTATCCTATCAACCGAGAACGGAAACATATTTCGCTAACTATTGGTAATAGGCCGAAGGAGAGATTTCATGGGAACAATCACATCCATTTCGGACCTCAGTTTCAAAACTACGTCTCCTTGCCTATCATTCCGCCGAAAGGGTGGTGAGAATTGATTTGGCCTCAAACATTGAATGCTTATAGATGTTTGTATATATGCACCGAGGTTCTGCCAGTACCTAAACCCCTCGTAATGAAGTCTCCTGGTGGGGAAGAATTCATAATGCCGAATAATGCCAAACATTATCCTATATATATGTTGCACCTACCTTTCAATAGTCTGTGTAGTCGAAATGCATAAATATTTAAACAGGCATGTTTACGGCGAGATCGACGTGATGAATCCCCATATAAGCAATAGGTCTACAGAGAAAAAGGTTAAGTGGTAAGATAATTAGTATGTGGGAATGCACAACTCTATAAACCAGAACAAAAACACACACAGAACCACCCACACACCCAGAACCGACAAGCAGAATCAATCCGTCGCATCCCGCAATCTATGTCCAGATAGTGAACAATAAGAAGAAGCCGAAACAGCAAAAAGCGCATCCGGGGATATATACAAGACTTCATCATAACAGCCCGCCAGATAGTAGAACGGATTCTGAAGACTGGAGGCTGCGAGTGTCAAGTAGTGTCACAAGGTCCACATGGCTCTCACTAGGAGAGACGTGGGCCTGTGGATTAGGTGTCGTGACAGGCGGTGTTGGGAGATTGGTTAAGGATTGGTGTGAAGGCAGGAAGAGATGGGGACATCGATATGCGTGAAATCGCTGGGAAAGACAACCCCCGATGTCTGTACAAAAAGGTGACAACGCTCGTAAACTCCAGACCCATATGCGCAGCGCAACTCCGTGGCAAAAAGCGAATCAAACAAGCAGAATAAGAACAGATGTGATTAGCTTCATGGCTTCTTCTTAACGTGACTGCTCCCCGTTTCTGATGGGAGCTCGTCGCCGTCGATGATACGCCACAGACGGCGCGGTGAGAAATTGTTGCCGACTAGGTAAATCCCGACAAACCAGGCTGCGAGGAGGTTGGCGAGGTGGTGGAGGAGATACGCGTAGGAGACGCCGTAGATCGCGGAGTAGATGGCGATGCAGAAGAAGATCATCGAGGTGACGTGTCTGAACCTGAGGCGGAGATGATATGTTAGCTTAGGATTGTGAGTGATAGGGAATAACCAGTCTACATACCTAGTCGTGATGCGCGGTATCATAGCGCCGCTGGTCATGGTCTCGACGAGAATGAGGAAGGGCATAATAGATAAGACGTTGTGGTGGGATGAGAACGGCATAAACCAGTGCACGACGAGATTGTGGGCCCAGACCAGAAGGACTAGCACGTTGATAGGCAGGATCCACAACATCAGGATCAAGATGGAGTGTGCGTAGTTGTCGAAGTTCAGGTGCGAGGCGGACCTGGTTTCCTTGGCGTGCCATTGTGCCCGCACACATGTGGCTAGCTGCACAATGCAGGCGACCATATAGGCAAACTGGTAAGGGATGGCAGTTGAGACAAGGATCAAAAGGATGGCGGTGTGTATAATGCGTCGTCGAGGCGTGGGGGTGTGGAAGATTGGCAGATTTCCTCGGTCTTCTCGCCGGATATACCCTGACTTGCTGTGTAGGATCCCATAGACCAAGGAGAAGATGTTTACGAGGACAAGGGCAAGGTAGTTGACAAGGACGCAGACGCCAACACTGATGAGACCAAAGGCTGGAACTAAGAACCAGAAGAAACCGTCTTGTGAGCCAAGCAAGAGATCATTCTTGGTGAAGTCGACAGGAGTCTCGGTCGAGTTGGACCGCCAGTGGAGGGTTTCATCAGTCTGTGGCAGGGTTTTGGAAGTAGCCAGGGAGGTGGCCAGCAGAGACATAGCTACCAGCAGAAGAGGGAACGAAGACCGCAATGCACGATCAAGGCCATCGGTGAAGGGAATGAAGTAACCAGACTCATCGTAGACCTGGAACTGCTTACGCAGAACGAGGGCAACGACGAGCAGTGGGAAGGCCGCAAAGATGGTGCGATACCGCATGACTAGCTCGCCAAGACTACTAGCGAGATCGACTTGGAGGGAGATATCGACCGTCGAGTCAGAGGTTGGATCTGTCCACAGGTGGAATGATACGCCCCCGAGAGCGGCCTGCTCGCTAATTGCAGGCGGCATGTACGGCGCCACACCATGCAGGTTTACGCTGACCTCGTTGACATTGACGAAAAACTTGGACTCGTGAGGGTCGGACACGGATTGCCGGAGCAATGGAGCGAACAGCTCCTCCTTCTGAGGATGACGAGTGATCTTCAACCGGTAGTCAAGTAGACTTGAATACAGTGCGGGGATCTGAACTTCCATGAGCATGGGTCGGCTCGCGGGCAGCCGCATCTTCAGACCAGCACTGAGCAACCCTCCCAATCCCACTTTAGCCCGAATCATTGCATCCGAGCTGTCCGAAAACTCGGCGACAAGGAACCCCGAAGTCCGTACATTGGCCTTGTCCACGACAGCCACGAATTGATGCTCTGCGAGAGCCTCCAAGTCGTACTGGAGATATGAAAACGGCGGGGTACGATCGTGGGCGTGCTTCGATGAGCGGGTCGAGGCAGGCAAATGGATAGTGTCCTCAGCCGCGCTCTTGCAGGCCAAACGGGTTGAGCCCACAGTGCCACCAGAAAAATCCAAATTCAACGGGAAGTTCGTTGAACGGCCATTGGATAGCGGGAACACGCTGCAGAAGAGGACCTCAATATTGCCATTCTTATCAAGCGATTGATCCGTGAGCAGGGTGAACTTTTTACCAGAAACGCCCTGAGGAGGAATTGGTAAAAGACGAACATCTGGGCCATGCTGTAGGCCCAATTCACGCAGGATCAGCCGTTGGCCCTGTGCAAGAATGGTGTTTGCGTTATCCTCGAGTGTCAAAAGGGTATTTGCTTCCTTCTGGGGCAGTGTACGCTCGGCCACTGACTCCAGACCCGTCAAGTACCACCGCTTGAGCACACGCATCCGTTCTGCCCGTGGTTTCGTTTGAGTAGGGCGCCGGGCATCGACGATCTCAAACAATGATTTAATTATAGCCTTGCGGAATTGGTCACACCAAGTAATGGACAGGTGATCCATGCCAATCCAGACATCCGGAATAGAAGAGGTGAATACGGTAAATCCGTGAGTCTCGGGAACGAGCGAGGAGATACTGGCGTAGTCGGAAGGCACCACGGTGTCACGCGCACCTCCCGCGATGGAGATGAGAGTGACATGCCAGAGCGGGTTGTTGTTCGCCCATGTCTGGGCATAGGCGTCGCGCCAATAGTCGTTGATTTGTTTATAGGTGTGGACGATGTCGGAATCAAAGGAGACAGGCGGTTTTGCGTGAGGTGCAGACATGGTGATGATCGTATTGACCGAATTGGCTTGATAGTTTGCCATAGTGAGAGCGGTTCGTGCCACTATTCCTCCCATAGAGTGTCCGATGAGGATGACTGCGCTGGGGTCGGGTAACCCTGGGTCTCGGCGGGTGCGTCGCGGATCATGGTAGAGTGATAGGATGTATGAGATCGCCTCGTTTACGTATTCCGCTTGGTCCAACAGCGTCTGTCCATGGAACGCCGCCATATCCTCATTGAAATCCACCATGAAAAAGTCCAAACTCCGCGTTCCGGCCGCATGGCGGCTCTCGTCGTGTCGGACCACATCGTAGTAATGTCGCGAGGCCTCGGCGGCCAGGGATCGGACTTGGCGGTAGCTTCCAGCGTTTCCGGGCAGAAACAGAACTGGCACGCCGTTCAACTAAACACACGAGTCAGCACAAGAATTCAAGCGCATGCACCGAGTCCGGGCCACTTTACCCCGATGTTATCCTGGGTGTAAGGATCCACTCCTTCCTCCCGGTAGACGAAGAGGTTGTATTTGCTTGCAAAGCGGGTATGTTCCGTATCAAACTCCAACATACGAATAAAAGTCGGACTCATCATCGGAACACCGCAACCATCTCCACCATGTTGCCGACCGGTGAACGAGCTGACAATGGAGACCAAGAATGCGACAGCGACACAAGTGGTGAAGGCCGTCAGAATGGAACAAGACCACGGACTGCGTTGGCGGGATTGCCGCGCACGGCGGCCGTCGGGGGCGGGGGCTTCCATCGGAAGTCGGGGGGAGCCCAATGGCATCGGTTTGGTATCGTTGGAAGGTTGGGAGGACGGGGTGCGCCACATGCTCGAGTTTCGGGAGCGCGGTGTCGCGCTGCCGTCGCGGCGAAGGTCAAAGCTGGTGCCGCGCCTAGCTATTTGGGATCGGGATTTCTCGTCGATGGCGGTGCCATCGTCTGTTCGGGAGACCGAGGAATCTTCGTCCTCGACAGGAGAGCCAGACGAACGTCTGTGCATTGGAGAAGGCGGAGCCGGGGCTTCATCCAGCACACGACAGGTTCTTGGCGCAGGGGGTTAAACCTCGCAAGAGAACCCTTAACGAGTAAGGAACGAGGGAAGGGAAGGGGTGGGAATGAAGACAAGAATGGAAGGGCGGTTGGAGGTTTGTTCTGGGCCTTGGCGGAGAAAAGCCGTCGCGTCTGTCCCTGTCCCTGACAGTCCCTGAAAGTGGTTTTTTTTTTTGTGGAGATAATGTGCCGAGGTCTTTGTGAACTTGAAAAGTGATTATTCTAATCTTTATTCTCTTCAGATATTGACTTGAGCAATTCACCGGTTTCGAAGTGCTCCTTTCTTTTTTTTTCGACGCAATTGGCATCATAGGCTTGGCACCAAGAACTAGTACATAGTCCTATAAGCTTGAAGCCATGACAAGACAAGCTTACGCCCAGAATGGCCTACATATTATATTCTATCTTATAGCTAATATAAATAGGAATTTGATGGAAATATAGGCGAACCTCAATGTATGATGTGTAGACGGAACTGGGACTGCCACTGCAGGCAACCGTGTATCCCATCATAAGGTTCCTGCAGGACGCGCGTATGCCACATAGTGAGACTAGCCAAGTGCTTATTAGCATAACTAACACTCCGTATAAATGACAAGAGATAAGAGATCACAACCCTGGATCATTTGACTTGAAACTAGCTGGTCCGATATACCTGTAGACCCCTAATTTCCCTTCTTACTTGGATGACTCTATTATCAGGAGGAATGACGTGACTGACAGTACTATACTACCTACATAGTATAGCATCACGTATTCAACACGTAGTGTACCTGCTCAACTATCTAATTACATATGTAGTCTGTAATTACCACTATTTATCTCAGCTCGTGCTTGTATTCTTGCTTTAATTTAATTAAAACTTGGGTGTGAATGTGAATAGTGTACAAGTGCGGGAGTGTAGGATGAATCCCTGCACTGTGAAGAGCCTCCCTACAGGTCACATGCTTGCTATGTTTCCAAGGTTGTCTTCTATGTACCCTTTTCCCTAGTCCTGTCCTCGCCAGATCTCACGAAGAATCATACAGTTCATCATCTCCACATCCAATAAAGGTGGGTACTGATTCATCTATGCCCCACTGTCACCCTCAAGGAAATGAAGATATCCTTCACTTTAAGACTGGCTTGCCAGAATGAGTACTATCAATTAAGCAGATTCGGATCCTTGGTGTGACAGACCATCTACTAATGTGCATCAAAGCCGTTGTGTGATGCCCGCTGACCATCTCCTTACAGGCCGAGTCCATAGAAGCCAATTTATTGTCTTATCCAATTATCACATCCAATTATCTCATTCTAGATCCTTCCACATTGTGCCACAAAGTTTTAAGGCGTTCGAAGGTCCCGAAATACAAAGCAATCAGTCATCGCGCACATATCACACAGCTCTCAAAACCCACTAGCAGGTCTACGGCACAATCGAAGTCCTAGCCTTCTCGGGATCATCCCCGAAGTCCTCCTTAGTATTGAGACCGCGGTGAGCAGCAACCTCCTGGAGATCCGCATCATGCTCAGCGTCGAAGTTACGACCCAACCGCTCTGGCCCAGCAATTGTAATCAAAATAACATAGGCAAAGACACAGCCCATGAAGATGCAGATAACCTTACCATACTCGTAGCGGTGGGGAGCTTCTTTAGTTCCAGGCAGCGGGAAGCGTTCACCGATCGTTGATTCAATAGTCGAGCTAGCGGAGGAAACCAGGTTTCCAAGCTGGTAAGCAGTGCCGACAGCGAAGGTCCGGATAGGTCCTGGCGATAGCTCCATCAGATGGATGGGGATGACACCCCATGCACCCTGGACCATGAACTGCTCGAAGTAGGCAGCAGCTATGACATCCTTATTCTCGACAAATGTATAGGGGTAGAGCAGGGCACCCCCCACGATAGAGATGACGATGATAGAGAACCGCCGGCCGAAGATCTGACTAGCCCAGCCGCATAATACGCCACCTGACAAAGCGCCCAGGTTGGCGACGACTTGTGTGACGGTGACTGCGTTCTTAGAGAATTCGAACTGGTTCTCCAGCATTGTCGGATACAAATCCTGAGATCCGTGCGACTAGTCCTCCACATTAGCTTCTACTATTACTTCATAGAAAGCAAAGCACATACCATGAAATTAAACCCAGCCATAAGCAGAACGAGGTATATGAGGATCAGCCAATGTCGCCGCAGTGCAACCTTCCCTTCTGACACGAACGACGCCGCAACGCCTCCGCGCACCTCCTGCCGCGCTTCCTGGCGCCGACGGAAAGTCTCGGTTTCACCTAGGAACAACCGGAAGATAATGATCAAGACTGGTGGACAGGCTGCAAACCAGTACAGAGGTCGCCAGCCATGCGGGGTAGTATCGACAAGAGCTCTGGCGAAAGCCGTGGCTAACAGGTATCCAAAAGCGTACCCTTGCTGCAAGAGTCCTGAAATGATACCGCGGGCTTCGGGCGGACAATCCTCTAGCGCGGTAGCAGCCGCATTACCGTACAAGCCACCCATGGCAATTCCGAACAAGGCGCGACAAGCCAGGAACTGTTTATAAGTTTGGCAGAAACCGGCGCCGAGCTCGAGGACCACGAAGAGCAGCTGGTTGACGATGAATGGCCATTTGCGGCCCCATCGATCAGAGGCAATTCCGAAGGTGATTGCGCCGACGGATCGGAGCATCAGCACTAGTGTGATTCCCCATGTGATATCGGTTACGGATTTATCAAATGTCTCAGCAAGTTCGGAGGTAGTCAGCGAGACGGTGAAGAAGTCAAAAGAGTCCCAAGACCATCCAAGAAATGCGACCTGTAGGGTTATGTTGGTTAGCCGAGTCTTTTTCTTGTCCACCAGCCGTACAGGGAGGTCGACATACCGTGAAATTAAGCCACTGAGTCCGGTTGAGCAGTGTCAGAGCCTTGAACGGGTTTGGCGCGGGGTTCATCGGAGGCACCAGAGAGGAAATGCGAGTGGAGATGTAGCGGCCGACACTCATATGCTCCTCAACATCAGGCGAGGGTGTCGCCGCATACTGAGGCTTTGCCTCATCCATAACTGCTGAGGATCTTGGAGCCGGTAAATCGGAGAGTAAGAGCCAGATCGTGCCGCAAAGTCCGAAGGAAGAGAAATAAGATAGATCACAAGTCAAAACATGGGGGGGTTCAGCGCAGCTCTAAATACTGCGCGGGTCCTCCTCCCCACCTCCATGGTGACCGAATCTAGTGGGCATCCCAAGGACCGAAAGGAATCAAATGAAAGACCACAGACGTCTGTGGTCCCCGCCGAATGCAGGGATACGATGTGATCCCATTCGTTTGCCATGCGGGTCAGCAATCTGGAATCGGGGATGGGCACGAATGAGGGTGACCTAAGCTCAGTTGCCGATCATGATACGTTTATGGGGGCCCCAGAAAACAAGAGTCCCCCGTGGGGAAAAAGTTAGAAGAAAAAAACCTTCCAACTCCGGAATGCCACGGTTTTCTGCGGTGAACGGAGGTTGATGCAAGCCACTAAGCTCAGTATGCTTTATGTGAATCATTTTATGGAATTCTTTGTGTTTTTTACTTTCACGACCTTCTAAATTGGTTTTCGTTAGACTTTCCCTAGAACTTTGTACTCTCTTTCGGTACGTGCTTTCGGATACGTCGGATGACCGCATCTGACAGTCGCATCATAGACAGGTACAACACTTGGATCACTTTTGGTTTCATTTCTCAACCCGAAGACATCTTTATGTACTCTGGATTTTCTGCTTAGGCCAAACCCGGGGTGTAGAGTCTAAAAGGGAAGGGAAAAAGATTTAGGAGAAGCCCACAATAGCCGTACTCCGTACTTCTTTAGACTTGTAAGCCGGGCCGTGATAGGCCCTGGGATTCGGTTTAGAGCCGGTTTTGCTTAAGGCAAAGCCACATACCACCTAAGGTAGAGTATGGGACTTTTTTCATCCGGTCTTAAGCCCTGGAGAGAAACATCTACCACATAATCGGTAACTGCACATATGTAAACTCGTTAACCTTTGGAATGAATCCGGCCTGTATTTTCTTGGCAGGGCTTCTCTGAAGTAAGACTTTGCCCAGATGGATAGTCGACTGCCAAGCATTGGAATGAGGGGTGACCACATGTTCGGCTTCTCTCCGAACCAAAAGTATCCGGGGATACGGGGTATAGAGTTCGCTTGAACCAGTTATCATGATTCCCTTCACTGGTTCTTCCCCAGCCTTCTAAACCTACGACAAGATCCGAGATCGCGAGAGGTTCTTGGCTGCAGTGCCAATAAATGCCATGCTATTGGCAAGAAAGCTTCTTATCACTGCGCTCGGACCCGGAGTCTTGGCTACTCTGCATGTACTGAATCCTATTTCACTTTGCTATTGATGTCCTTTTCCCCTCGGATATTATATATCCACGAGTGTCTACTTCCGCGGAGCACACGGCTGAATGGGCAAAGTCGCCGATTTACGGCGTAGGGTTTGTCGATCTTAATTTTCTTATGGAGTGGCCCCGGGGAGAGTTAAAAGATAACGTTGGTCATACTCTTTACTACACTTTCGTACCAGTGGTTGGTCATAGGCAAGAATCATAATTTCGTGGTGAAGTCCTGATCCTTCTTTTCTCGGAGGTCTTTGGGAAGGTCGTAACCTTCTTCCAGTCCTGTAACTCCTCTGTCCTGCCTTTCTTGGACGGGGACTCAAATTGGTCAGTTTGTTTCCCTTAGGCGAGTGATCTTTTGTAGGTTCTCGAGGAGGTACCCACCGGCCCGGACTGGATCGAATCGAAGTATCCCGTCTCGACTTTTTGACATCGTTTTGGACGGCATTTTGGGCGTCCTTGCATAGCTGGCGATGTGTTTCGGAAACGGCCACTTCAAGGGCCAGAGTTGGGAACCATGTCCCACGACCCATTCCATCAAAGATATCGGTTGGCGACAGTCACCATTCAGGCTCCTTAGCCACATATCTTTCTTGAGTTCTTGGTGATGGACGGGATACGAAATCCCCAGAGTAGTTGAAAAGGCGCATTGAGGTGAGGTGATAATGGTTGATGAAAATGCCAATAATGGCATCACGCCGATGACCTGGCATCACTGTGAACAGAGCTTCCTAAGATACGAGGTGGTCACTAGGAAAGAGATTTTGGTCTTCCTCAAGTATGGCGAATAGCTCTTGCCCTAGTCTTGCAGACGTATGAACTGGGACGGCGGCGGGTCTCTCCATACCGTAGGAGATAGTCGCAGGCTCCCTTTGCCTGGTGTGCCTTCTCTCAGGGCGAACGGACGAGAGGTCAAGGGTATCTCGGTCTGAAGATTCCAAGGCTATTGGCCACGGTCTGGACACTGGACAGCTTTGTCGAGCATGCCCAACACAATGTTGTTGATAATGCAGCGCGCAGCTGCTTCATTCTGGGTGGATTAGACGTAGGTACTTGTTTGTTTGGGCCACCTTCTCTATTAGCTATTAGTTCCAGCCTTATAGAAGCATCAAGGAACTAGAGAAATCCTTCAAAGAATGACTTACGAGCAGCGCTAGGGAGCTCCACTGACTCGAGTGGGACTGGGGCCATGGTTGAAGTCTGAGGGATTCCTCGTCTTGGCCGGAAGTTGATCCTTCAACTTCTATTTTGTCCCCCAGCTGCTGGAACAATGAGTTGTTTTGAGTCCTCTCTCTTGCGGGCCTACCGCGTAGACTGCCTCTTTCTTTTCGGCATCGTGATGTGTCTTTGTTCAGTCTGGTAGTGGTTCGTAGTAGAAAATGAGAAAACAATCTGAGAAGATGTTGAGGGACTGAAGAGGAAAGAGATGTTTGCGAAGAGAAATAGTTGAAATAGGCAGGGAAGTAGAAGGAGGTGCGGTTCACGAGAGCTCATTGTGTCTTCCTTATTCGGAGGCCCTGCCTGGAGGGTAGAAAGCGTCCAGTTGAAATCCTTGGCAGGTATAATGTCCAAGTGAGGTTATAAGATAGTTATCAGCGAACTTCCTGAGGTTCTCTACATATGTATATATGTATGTAGGGTCCGAGGTGCTTAGCGGGGCCTGGGTTGGTGATGTAAGACAAGGATTACCTAGGTACCTAGGTAGGTAGGTAGGGTTATATAGGTTGATCTAGTTGCCGAGATCTCTTGGGACTCACCCACCATTAACCTGGTCGTACTTGACAGGTGTAAGTGTTTGAAGAACAAGTTGCTTGATTATGGTTCCAATATCAAGTTGATACTACCGAACATCAAGGTAGTGGATCTTGTGATTAGCATAGAAATTGTTAAGTTGGAAGGACCATAACGAATGCATAAGGGACTGGACATACTACCTGATTATTGCCATTCTAAATCCCTCCCGATCTATAAATACCTACCAAAACAGGAATGCTTTCTCGGGTTCCTTGCAGAGAAGCCTGTCAACTGCGGGGCGACAGTCTTGGCATTGACTGCCTTGGACAAATGCCGAATGCCAAAATACTAGAAAGGCCCACAATCAAACGTAAAGCGACATACTCCCGTACTCATTGGTTATCCAGTTCAGCTGAAAGAAAGGTTAAGCCACATTTCAACACGGCAAGGAGGCTGTGTCAATCCCAGAACCCCTGAGAGGCGGTGCTCAATTTCCCGCTCAGCCCCGCGAGCCCCGCTGACGCCGTGTATTTATTGTCAGGTAAGCCCCAGATCTCACCTTCCTGTCGAACGCATCCTGACTATTAATTATCATCATACCTAACACCTACCCAAGAACCAACTTTTATTTCCCCGATATCAACATGTCGTACGGTGGACCCCCGCAGAATCAATACGGCGGTGGTGCCGGTTACTATGACCAGCAAGGTCAACAGTACCCCCCCTCAGCAGGGCTATCCCCCTCAACAACAACAAGGCTACTACCCACCGGAGGTGAGTTTATGCACCAAGCACATGACATACTGTTGCACAGAACAGAGTTGCACGCGGCTCAAAACTCTCACTCTCCTCTCGTACTCGTATTGTGGACATACATACTAACTTTCCGCGCTGCAGGGCCAGCAAGCGTACGGTCAGCCCCAATACGGCCAACACCCAGGACCCTATGATCAACAAGGTGGCCAGGGTTACCCGGGGTATGCCCCACAGCACCAGCAGGGTCCGTACCCTCCCCAAGGCGGTCCTGGATACGGACAGCCTCCCCTGGATCGCGGCCATTCGCCCTACCCCCCTCAGCAACAGCAGTACCCGGCAACTGGCGGCGAGAGCTCCTCGTACTATGGCGGCGCACCCCCACACCAGCAAGGACAGCCTGGTCCTGTAGGACCAGAGGGTGAGAGGGGCCTCGGGTCGACGCTGCTTGGTGGCGCGGCAGGTGGGTTCGTGGGCAAAAAGCTTAGCCATGGCGTGCTTGGTACTGCGGGCGGTGCTGTTTTGGGTGCTGTTGGTGCGAACATGGCATCTAATAAGCTGTGAGTCTTGCCCTTTACACTATTCGTTTTTTGGTCTTTTGCATTGAGAGGAGACTGACCGTTCATACCCTGGTATAGTGGGAAGAAGCACAAGAAAGACAAGAAGTATAAGAAGGATAAGAAGCACAAGAAAAGGGGCTCGAGCTCCAGCTCCAGCTCCAGCTCGTCTGACAGCGACTGATTTGTCTCGTCTTTTTTTGGTGTGATTGGTTACGCTGACTTGTCTTGTCCTTCACATTTGTATACCCCGTCTTGTTCTCTGCTACCTTTCCCATTCCTGTAGCATGCGGTTCGTTTGGGCTTCTCGTCTCGGGGACTCGAGAGCTTTAACGCGTTACGTTTATTATGTGCAATTTGTATTCTTAATGAGATGACGGCTCATTCACAAAGTTGAATTATTGAATCATGCAATTATGCCTTGATTGGTGAGATATCCTGGAGTGCTTGTTAGCTTGCATTTCTGCCCGAGAGATAGCCCTTCGTTTCAGTACACAGAGCACCTGAACATGGGAATGACTAGGGCCATGGGTGGACTCCAAATCGTGTATTATTACATTGTTGATATTTTGTTATTGAGAGGGTTGATCTGCCTCAGTCTTGTCTTCCTTCGCCTGAATTGACTCTTTGAAAAAGGCCTCTGGGTCGATGCTACTGTCGAGATCAAAGGACAGCCGAGGGATTTCCTTTGGTGAATCCCATAAAAAGCGCCACTTTTGCGATATCGGATTCCAGTACTGTCGTGGCACAAGAGCAGACAGACGTCTCCATTGACGACGCATAAGCCTGACTGTAATTGTATGCGGCCGACCATTGGCATATTCGGCAAAAGTGGTACCCTTCTCAGGCCCCCTAGCCAGTAACCTGAAGAGCTCGCCACTAGACTCGGTCGGGGAAACCTGGGGTTTTGAGCTTCTCCTTTTGATAGGTTCCCATGGCACAGTCCCCGATATGAGTCCCTCAAGCGTCTGGAGATCCTTCTCTGGTAATGGTGGAAGCAGACTACACAATGTATTGTTGTACCATTGTCGCCGAATATTCTTCTTCCGACATTGGGCCAGTTCTTTGCCCCAGCTGTCCTGCTTGGGGATCGGAGGTTCCAATTGTTTGATCAACGGCCTGACGCGGGCTGCTGTAACCACTGTGTTCTGCATTTGAGACGCTGCGAGGTTCTTCACAATAGCTGGTGGTTCCCAGCCATCACTGAAATCAGCAGGTCGAGAGAGTAGTTCTTTGAGAGCCTTAGAGTCATTGGGAATTTCCGGCGTTAACATCTTCGCCAGCAGCTCATGTCGCCGTCTCCCAGTGCGACCGTACGATAGTAATAACACCTTCTCCAGAGGCCGTGAATAGCCATCGTTTGCTCGCCGCAGAACCGACAATGCATTTCTTGCCGCGTGAACCACCTGAGGACCAGCCTTGGGGGAACGGGAGGAAACAGTTCGATATCGGGAGATGATATGGTTCTTCATGTAGTTGCGAGCGATGGGGTCAGGGAGGTAGGTACATTCGCGCAGCGTAGCGCGAAATAAATGGCGCCATTGTTGAGGGGTTGAGAGATTGTGAACCCAATGCTGAGGTTGTGGTATGGCCATTAGAGATATCTCTTATTTTATTGGAACCTAGAAGATGAAAAAAAGCGAAATCCCAAAGCGGAGAAACGCGAAATCCTTGGCGAAATGCGTGTCACGGGAACTCCGACGCGCCATTTTCGAAGTCTCTCCCCCCCAAACCCCGCGAACATTGCCTTGCCTTGCATTGACCCTCGGATCTTAATATCTCAGTTCCTACTTGACACCCCGTTCGGCTTCGTGGCTTTGAATGCTATTTGGCCTGGCCTACGGTTCCCCTCCAGAGGGTTAGCCACGCGCCTCCTTGAGCTCGCGTCATTCCAATCGGCATTCGGTATTTCTCCCCTTGCTATGTACTTCTACCCCATCATTACCCGATTTGTAGGCTGACATCTCATAGGAGGTCCAGCATGTCATACTCACAGGGCAGTACAGGGTCGAATGGAATGGCCTACAACATGTTGAATGCTTCGCAATCCCTCTCCTCCACCCCTCGCGCAACTCCTCCGCCCCCGAAAGGATCTCAGATGTCCTCTTTCGGTTACCCCAACGGACTCCCTCGAAGTAGCTTTGGTGGATACGACGGAGCCAATGACTATGGGCCGGTAGTGTCATATCAAGACGAGTACAAACCTCAGATTTACCGAGTGCGTGGTCTTTATCCACACCCGCAGAGCATGCCACTAACGAGGCTAAAATAGGCTGTTTACTCCAATGTCGCTGTCTATGAGATGGAAGTGAACGGTGTTGCTGTGATGAAACGTCGATCCGACTCTTGGTTGAACGCCACGCAAATTTTGAAAGTCGCTGGTGTTGTGAAAGCGAGACGAACGAAAACCCTCGAGAAAGAAATTGCGGCTGGTGAACACGAGAAGGTACAAGGCGGTTACGGAAAATACCAGGGGACGTGGGTTAACTACCAACGAGGTGTTGAACTCTGTAGAGAGTACCACGTTGAAGAATCGCTCCGGCCATTGCTGGAGTACGATATGAGCCCTGACGGTTCCGGAGCTCCTGCCCAAGGATCAACGATAGATACACCCACCAAAGAACAAGCAATGGCCGCGCAGCGCAAGCGTCTTTACAACGGCGGGGAGAATCGAAGCGCTTCACAGCCACAGCAGGGAACTTTCTTCCAAAATATCTCGCGAACAGCCGCTACCGCAGTCAATGCCCTCAGCAAAGCTCGCTTCGACTCGCCCAGCTCTAACAGTCGTCGGCCCAGCATGGCTCGCAAGCCATCGCAGCAGATGAGCAGCCAGGAATCTGGACTTGCGTTCAGCAGCCAGCAGAGCATGTACAGCATGTCCGACAGCGGGTTTGGCAGCTTGCAAAATCGGTATCAAGTGCAAGATGACAACGATGACATTGCGGAACCTCCCCGCAAACGCATGCGCTCTGCTTCGCACCAAGGCCCTTCTATCGGTCTTACTCGAGAACCGTCCAATCTATCCATGCACGAACCTACACCCACAGAACCTAACGACTCCTTCTATCAAGACATGGATCTTCCTCCCCTCCTATTGATGATGGCTCGAAACGTGGCGTCGAGTCCCTCGCGCCAGCTTCTACTCCTGAGAGGTTCCAAAAGATGAAGCTCATTATGACATTGTTCCTCGATAAACGAACAAAGGATTTCACGGATCACCCGGCATTGTTGCAGTTGACCGGAGATGATCTTGAAATTCCCCTTGATGAGTACCGAAACAATGCTCTGCACTGGGCTGCGATGCTTGCCCGCATGCCACTGCTCAATGCGCTGGTAGCCAAGGGTGTAAGTATATCGCGAGTCAACGGTGCTGGAGAAACGGCCCTGCAAAAGTCCGTGGGCACTCGGAACAACCTCGACTATCGGAGCTTCCCACGTTTGCTGCAGGTGTTAGCCCCTACCATTGACATGGTCGATTACAGCGGACGTACCATCCTGCACCATATTGCCATGATGGCTGCTACTGGTGGGGGCGGACATGTCTCCGCAAAGCACTATCTAGAAGCTCTTCTCGAGTTTATTGTACGTCATGGCGGTATTGCCCCGAGTGCGAATGGAGGACATGCGCCAAACGGGAACACTCACGGAGAAGTCATTTCTTTGGGTCGATTCATCTCTGAGATTGTCAATCTTCGCGATGATCAGGGCGATACGGCCCTTAATCTGGCAGGACGTGCGCGCTCAGTCCTTGTCCCGCAGCTCCTGGAAGTGGGTGCCGATCCTCACATTCCAAACCATACTGGCCTCCGTCCTGCAGACTACGGAGTGGGTGTCGATATGGTCGACGGAAACTCCCAATCTCAACAACCGGCCAATCGGAGTGACACATTCATTGATCAATTGGCGAAGTCAAAGAAAGAGATTCTTGATGGTAAGTACCTCTTCCCGCCGATAATTTCATTCTGGCTCACGTGAAATCTAGCGGCAATGTCTCAAATCAGCGCAATGGTCGAGGAAACACTTGGGGGAATTGACCGAGAGTTAGCTGCGAGCTTGACACAAAAACAAGAAAGTTTCGATCACTGGCATTCGAAGATCCGCGAGTCTGCCAAAGCTCGACAGATCGAACAGAAGCAATATGATGAACTCAGACGCAAGGGTTCTGAGCGCGTGGAGCTAGACCGGCGCATCAAAAACCTGGAGCGTTCATCTGAGGGTCTGTTAGTCACAGTGCAGAACACACCAGGATTGGACGCTACCCGGACGGTTGTTGTGGGTGATGCCGACAGAGATTCCGGTGTTGATGTGGCGACATTTGATGCCCTATTCCCGGAGGGTTTCGACCCAGCGTCTGGGTTCTCAGAACAGCAAGTCGGGTTCCTGGCTTCACTGCCAGCAACAGATCTGCTTAGGCGCCAGGCCCAATGCTACAAAGAATTCAACGGAAGGATACTAGCTGAAGTCGATAGTCTGAAAGCGAAGAACGCGGTTCTTGGACAGAACTACCGACGCATGGTGATGGCATGCACCGGCTGGACGGCAGAGCAAGTCGATGAAGCCGCGGAGGGGCTCACGCAATGCGTCAAGGAACTGAATGATAATCCCGTCCCCGAGGATGAAGCCATTGAGATCCTGATGCGGGATCGCGGGCAGGACTGGTAGTTCAGTGTGTTCTTGCATTATTCTCTGAGCGTTTAGGCGGCTTTTCTGGACGGCGTTGCTTCACTTGAATACAAATACCCTGGTGGCATGCATCCATGCCCGTTGGCACATGTCTTGTTATTTATGAGAAATGTAATTCTTGTACAATTGATTAGATTTCTTGGCTGCATATACGTGTAGGCTAAATGTTGCGATATTAGCCGAGTTGGCTGCTGGGGTTGGTGGCTTCAAGCCACGTTCTAGCTGCCGAGACATTTAGCCCATCCCCCGCGTTTTTCTTTGCTGGACTTTCGGATAAATAGGCTGCTGCGGAGAAGTACTTATAGCCATGGGTAGCACCTCCTGTTGGCCTCTGTAGACATCGTTGTAGCTTGTAACAATTGCCATTCCATTACTGAATCAACAACATGGCCACCGGCTTCCTACGCGTGAAGGGCGATACTATCGTCGATGGGAATGGAGAGGGGGTTGTGATGCGAGGAGCTGCTCTTGGAGGATGGATGAAGTATGCAAACGATCAAATTGTGTTATTCCCCTGTCTCCAAACTGACATGTCGTCTTGAAGTATGGAGAATTTCATCACAGGCTTCGCAGGCCACGAAGCCCAGCACCGCGCCGCCATGCGCCGAGTCCTAGGACAAGAGAAATACGAATTTTTCTTCGACAAATGGCTCGAGTACTTCTTCACTGAGGCGGATGCCAAATTCTTCGCCGAGCTAGGACTGAACTGTCTACGTCTGCCTTTCAACTACCGGCACTTCGAGGACGATATGAATCCCCGCGTGCTAAAGGAATCTGGCTTCAAGCATTTGGACCGAGTCGTCGACCTGGTCAGTATTCTTCATATCTCTGCGTGGAGTCGGCAATACGAAGAAATGGACTAATCACACCGTATAGTGCGCAGCACACGGGATCTATACCATCCTAGACATGCATGCCGTCCCTGGCGGTCAGAATCCAGACTGGCACTCCGACAATCCTACCAGCTATGCCGCTTTCTGGGATTACAAGGACCACCAAGACCGGACTATCTGGCTCTGGGAGCAGATCGCCGCCAGGTACAAAAGCAATCCTTGGGTTGCTGGATACAACCCCCTCAACGAACCTTGCGATCCTGAGCATGTTCGGCTCCCCGCATTCTATGCTCGTGTCGAAAAGGCAATTCGCAAGATCGACCCGGACCATATCCTGTGGCTAGACGGGAACACGTTTGCGATGGAGTGGAAGGGCTTTGACGAGGTGTTGCCAAACAGCGTGTATGCCATGCATGATTACTCGGTGAGTTTCATATTCCTTTCTGAGCCTGTGAGAACGAACATCGGGTGTAGTGTTCTAACACCATCTAATCTCTAGTCAATGGGTTTCCCCACCGGCGATCGCTACAAAGGCACAGCCGAACAAAAAGAGCGACTTGAACGCGGGTACCTGCGCAAAGCGCAGTTCATGAGCGAGAACAAGACCCCCCGTCTGGAACGGGGAGTTCGGGCCCGTCTACGCTGATCAGGTATTCGACGTTGATGCTGAGACTGTTAACCAGGAGCGGTACAACCTCCTTGGCGATCAGCTGCGTATCTACGACAAGTACAACATCAGCTGGTCGATCTGGCTCTACAAGGACATTGGTCTGCAGGGTATGATCTATACGGATCCCGAGAGCAAGTGGAACAAGACGCTCAAGCCTTTCTTGGAGAAGAAGAGGGACCTCTGGCTGGATAAATGGGGCCGTCGGCCTAAGTCCGAACCTGAGGAAGCTGTGAAGCCTTTGCTTGAATGGATTGACCGCGTTAGTCCAACTGCGAAGAATACTTATCCCACGTCGTGGAATACAGAACTACATGTCATGCGGAATGTGTTTTATACTTTCTTGGCGGCATCGTTTGTGGATGAATTTGCTGAACTATTCCGAGGAAGCAGTGAGAAGGACCTGGAAGAGTTGGCTAGGAGTTTCCATTTTGACGGTTGCGTGCAGCGAGAGGGCTTGAATCGTATACTCAAGGACCACGCACATTCGTCTCATTGAATGCAAGCAAGAGTTGGTTTAATATAGGTCACCACAACAAATTGGACATTCAAACCCGACTCAGGTGCCCTAGAAGTGAAGACCTCCTGCCTAGGTAGAGAGGTTGGATTAATAATAGATGCGATCCGCTGTAAGCAGGGTGTGGCAATAATTTCCGTTCCTGGCGATATCCTGATATTGATCTAAATACAACGCACTTCTGTTATCCACACATTATCGATAAGCCAGAAAAATCGAAAAAGATCGCGGGGCACATTCTCGACTCCAAGATCATTAAAGGTTACTGGAGGGATTTGACATGGCTGAATCCCCTGCGTATCCGTCCAATCTGGACAGCATCTTTGATGCTGCGTCGCTTCTCAAAGACCGCATTGATCCAATCCGATTGACGTCCGACAACATCCTCCCGATCCTCAACCTGCCCCTCACTCACAAGGTGCTGGGTCACGATGCCTCAGACGAATCACTTGCTCAGGTTGCAAGCGGCGAGATCTCATATACTACCTTCGTCGCCGATCAGGCCCGCGCCGCCCTCCAGTCTACCGATGACTTGACCACGGAACAAAAACAGTCGCAAATCCTGCACATCGGACTAGCAGCCTTGTTCAGCTTCCTACAATCCAACGTCACCGGTCCTCCCCTCGAATTCAACTCAGCCGAGGCTGTGTTGCCCTCTATTCTGCGTACCGACCCCACAACACTCAAAGCGGTGCGGGCAAAGATTATCCGTGACCTAACCCTTGATGGAGAAGCTGCCTACAAGCTCACACCCAACCCGGAATTGTTCGCTGTTGCTAAGGCTCTGCTGGCCGATACGAGCAGTGATGGGCCGCTTGTAGCAAAGACCGCACGTATGCGCACCAACTTCCTGTACCAAAAAATGCTCTCCGAGGTCACGAGTACTCTCCAGGATGTCATCTACAAGGATCTTGAAATTCTGGATAAGGCTGAGTTGAACTCAGACGAGAGGAGTCGGTTCCTGCTGGAAAGGGCCATCATCCACACACACCACGGTTTCGATGCCAAGGCACGGGAAGATATTGATCAGGCGGCCAAGGTTCGGAGGTTCGAGTTTGCTCTGACCGGAAAGATGGGCAAGCGGACAAAATTCCAAGACCGTGATATCAGTCAGCTGGTCGTTCTGGCTAAGAGTGCCGATGAAACATCACAATCTTCGGAGCCTTCTGGGCCTAAGAACCTAAACTTGGACGACGATACCCTTCTCGAGGCCATCTCTTTCTCCGACCAAAAGCCCGACGAACAATCATTGGCAATTCAAGATAAGGTGCCTGAATCTTTAAGTGCTATTGATGCCAACAATCAGCCCATCCTCAACCCCGTTGACTCTGCTCTCCTACTCGCATTAGCATCTGCGATTACTAACACCTCGCCTGAGAATGGCCTCACCCGAGAGGAAACAAACCCCTACGCCACTCGAGTGCTCGATGGCGGCAGCTCCAACTGGCAGATTTATACCCAGGCACTTCTAGTCCGCAGTCGAGTAGAGGGCTACCGTTCCCGTACTGTTGAAAGAGCCGTGCTGCAGATGCAGGCTTTGGTGGATCAGGTCATTGCTGATACCGCAACTAGCGACGACGCCGCTCAGACTGAATCAGGCGACCCCACAACTTTCCTGCCGCGTCCTGAGCAGTCTGATTCTGCCCCGGCCGCTGACCGACTTGAGCACATCTGGATCCTAAACTTCTCAACACGCTGGAGCCTCGAGGCCGAGCTTGCCAAGCGCTGGGTTGATCTCGGTGGTCTGCGCACCGCACTCGAGATCTACGAGAGACTACACATGTGGGCTGAGGCTGCGCTTTGCTACGCCGCCACCGAGCGCGAAGGCAAGGCGAAGAACATCATCCGCCGCCAGCTTTACCAAGCCACCGGCCCTGATGAAAATGATGAAAATGAGAAATTCGACGGACCAGAGCGGTCACCACTACCGGCAGATGCCCCACGCCTGCTCTGTATCTTGGGCGATATCGACAAGGACGAAAAGATGTACGAGCGTGCCTGGGAGGTCTCCGGAGAAAGATACGCCCGCGCCCAGCGCTCCCTAGCCCGCCACTACCTCACCTCCACACCACCACAACTAGAAAATGCCGAGATGGCCTATAAGAAGAGCTTGCACATCAACCGCCTGAACCAGGGCGCATGGTTCGCTCTCGGCTGCGTGCAGCTCGAGCTCCAGAAATGGGAAGAAGCAACTGATACCTTCACCCGCACCGTCCAACTCGACGATACCGACGGCCAAGCCTGGAGTAACCTTGCCGCGGCGATGCTGCGCATGCCCGACCCAGAGCCGGCCCCAGAGGTCATCGACGAGTCCACCGGTGAGGTCTCCACCGCCGAAGTCGACCCGCACAAGCGCAAGCGCGAGGCTCTATCAGCTCTCCAACGCGCGGCGCAACTCAAGGGCACTGACGCCCGCATTTGGGATAACGTCCTGACAGTCGCGGCGTCCATCCCACCGCCGGCAACACCATTCCGCGATGTGATTACCGCGCAGAAGCGCATTATCGAGCTCGTGGGCGCGAAGAACGGCGAGAAGTGCGTTGATGTGGCGATCCTGGCTATGCTCGTTGACTTCCTGAACGTGGCGTTCGAATACGAGGAGTTGCTTATTCGCTCTGATGATCCATCCGAAGCTCCCATTGTTCGCACCGGTACTGTTCCTGGCCAGATCATCTCACTGGTTGATCAGCATGTCGTCCCGCTTATCACGCACTCCTCGGTGCTGTGGCAGATTGTTGCTCGCGTTGAGGTCTTCCGTGGCCGGCCTTCTAAGGCGTTCGAGGCCCATGAGAAGGCGTGGCGCGCTACTATTGCCGCTAATGCTCAGGGTGCTTTCCAGATGGGTGATGAGAAGCCCTGGCTTGAGGTTGTGCGGGCTACGGAGAAGCTTGTGAGGGATGGGTATGCTAAGTTTGGTCCTATGGATCGTGAAGATCAGAAGGTTGAGGGTGATCAAGAGGCCGAGCTTGTTGCCAAGGACTGGCGGTTTAAGTCTCGCAGTGCCGTGAGAGGAATCATGGGCAAGGGCAAGGAATTCTGGGATGGAACGGAAGGCTGGGAGCGCTTGAAGGAGTTGCAGTCCGAGGTTACAGGCAATTAGTACATACAACCCTTGATGCTGTTTATGAATCATATAGAGTGGCTTGCTCATCTGGTGCAAATGTTTACAAATTCGATGATATTGAGCATTACGATTTCCTCTAGATGGCAAATGAAGTCAATCCTTTCTATATGCATTCTATACTAAGCGCAAAAGGGGATGGGTTTGACTAGGGATTTCTTCCTGCTGAACCATGTACGGGAGGCTATTGAGTGTACTGGAGACCAATGGATATTTGTGACTGGAACCCGTCCCACAGAATGATGTCGGATATTCTGTAGTCCTCATCGGGGGGGGGGGGGCTTGGGTTCTCGCCGCTGGGATCTGCTTATACCCCTACGTACCTTTAGTCTTTTTCATATCAAAGTAAGTTCAATGAACCCGCGTCATTACCTTCAAGTAAAATTCTGGGTGTTTGCCCAAGGTTTTCGTTGTACCCAGCAAGTGAGAGCAGAGGTGTATTCAGAAATATTAAAGATGAAAGAAGAACAGGCGGAAAGACGGGGAATCGAGGAGACGCTAAGACATGCAAGGGCCATCAAGTTCACATTATTCAAACCCCATGTTGATTGATGAATCGAGGCATTCATAACCGCGTCTAACTAGAGTCGTAATCTCGTGGGAATCACTTTGATTCCAACTTCCTCTTCACCATCCCGCAGAAGCTCTCGAATAAGACGGTATCTGTCCCCTGCGCCCAGCGTACTAAAACCTTCACCTCCTTCTCCTCGGGTTTCTGGCCCCGGACCAGCCGTATCTGCAGACGTACTCCAAGTGCCACCTGGTCTGGAATGGCCTTCAATTTAGCCGCATCCTCCTCACCGGCAAGTTTCATCTTCCGACGGGCGAATCTCGACCACACATTCTCAGCAGCGAATCCCGTCCCCGCAGAACGTGCCTGATCCCACGTCCAGAACCAAGGCAACGAGCTAAGTTCTGCATTTATGGTAGCAGTGGCTGTGTCAATAGACGTACCGGGTGGTAGCGTGAATGTGTAATCAGCAGGGAAAGGCAAGAGACTCTTCGGGCAGCCGGGTAGTCCACGTGCAATATTCTAGACTAGCGGTTAGATTGGCACGCACAAAACACAAGTGCCGAGTAAAATTTGGTGAAGTGTGACTTACCATGGCAGGCCTTCTGTCTCCCCATGACCATGCCACCGCCCAGCGCTTCGTCTTGCTTCCCTGTTCGAACTCGGTCACTGCGAAATTGGTGATACCGTGCTTGATCAGCATCTCCACCAGTGCGTTGATACTGCTCAATTTGCCGAGCATGGATGTGTACCACTGGACCCGCTCGCGCAGCTGGAGACTCTCGTCGATCATTCGCTTCACGAAAGCTACTTCTCCGCCGCTGGTTACCATTTCTACCTCGGCGCCGGTGCATGTCTTCACATAGGTTAGTACGATACGGTATGTAAGTGACATGTGGTGGTGTATGGTAGTTTGGACCAGGGAAGTGAAGAACTAGTGACACTCACAGAGAAGGGCTCTCGTTCTTTCTGTTCGGCAGATTGCTTCAACTCGTTGGACGAGGTGTAAAACGGTGGATTGCACATGGTGAAGTCAAGGCTGGTGGATAGTCAGGTAAGATTCTAGCAGGTCGTAAATCTGGGCAGACTCACGTTTGACAGCCCAGCTTTTCTAGCGGGATGAGCGGCCCGTTGGGGTCAGAATGTACGATTTGAATGCGAGATTCGAGGTTGTTCAGGGCCACATTATGCTGGGAGGTGCGAATATTGTTCGAGTCGATATCTGTCGAGTTGATCAGTGGATTCTGAAGATCCTCGGACTCAAAGACGTACCTGTGGCTACAAAGTTCCACCGTGGTCGTGTCGCGCAACCCAGCAGGGGTAGATACCGATGCATCCCGTTCCGCTTCACCTTGTCAGCCATGATGCAGAGATCGGAGGGAGTCATTACGTACATGTCGAGGCCAACGACCTCCCGGTCTCGAACATATCCCTCGTGCAGTCCTCCAGCTGTGGAGTCGAGGAGGTCTTGTAACCAGAGGATGTAGTTGAGTCTATCCAGTTGTCAGATACGTGCGGGCATAGTCCAAGCCGTCATTCGGACGCACCTATTTGGTACCTGGGAATCAAGTCAATACATCTGCATTGAATATTTTCAATATCTGCGTACCGGTGGACATAGTCGATCCTCGGGGATATCGACTTCCAGGTGAAAATCTTGTTGCAGGAGGGTGGTGGTAAGTTGTCTGCGTGATGCAGATCAGATCCACTCTCAGAATGTCAGGTATTAGGGTCCTCTGACTTACCGGACGGCGGCCGGATCAGTAAAGTCCAGCTGGCTGTTTGGTTTCAAGCTATATACCATCAGTGCCAGTCTTCCTGTTGGAGCAGACGCCGTTTCACATACTGCTTGGCGAAGTCGCGCGATTGCAGCGCCAAGGCTGCAAAATCGATGTCATTTTTGTAGAGGCTCCGGGCAGACTCCATGGCCAGGACTGCGTTACTCAGTGAAAATGTTAAATGTATTGAGGTTAGAGATAATGTGCAGAATTGCAATGTGGTTAGTCACAAAGAAAGCGAAGTCCCGCGTCGCATGAGGGAAGCTGATGTTGGGAAGAGTGTACGGAGGGCAAGAGCGGCCAGCGGAACTTCACTGTGTTGGTGTTGGCAGAAAACCACATGGAGCATCCATGGACATGACGACTTACATCAATGTATTAGGTTCGAGCCTGATTGATTGACTCGTAAAAAGCATTGACATTGATAGACTGATGTCACCTAAAATATCACAATAAGACACGTCCAACCAAGAAATATGAGGTCTATAGAAGGCGTACATATACTAATTCGGAAGGCGGAGAGGATGGTAACATATAAGGTCAAAGTGGCCGTTATTGTCGGCAACACGATTGTTGTTTACGGCCTGTACGACACTTGTCTATCCTCATATAAAAAAACTTTAAAAACCATGCTGAAAGCGTAAGGCTGCCCGAAGGAAGCTGTATTATTTCTCTCTGAATAAATATGTGCAGCTGAAGCAAAAATAAATAATCGCCAAAAGATATAAGTGAGAAGTGAAACAAAATAAGCGCCGCTTTTTGCTGAGTAGCCAAACCCAAATCATCAAGTCGTGATAGGCTTCCGTGTCCAAATATGTACTTTCCCGCTTCTATATTCAATATTGCCTTTTTTTCCCACTCCGGGTATATATCGATCGTCCTCATTCAGACCGAGTCTTCCTTCCTCTGAAGGCGCTCTTGGCGCTCAAGACGCCATCCATAGCCCCACTTCATCTCAACCATGAGCAGAGGAACCATAGCGATGGTGATGCCAGCGAGCATGAGAAATGCAAATTGAGCGGTGATAGCATCGATAATAGCCTGAGAAGCTGCGACACCAGCCGCACCGATTAAGCATCTCATCAGGTTGTTGACTGCCGTGGCACTAGCGCTAGCACCGGGATACAAGTCGATGACGAGGGCGCTGTTAATGGTGGAGATAGCGGTGGAGCCATAGGCTATGACAAACTGTAGAATAATTGGGACTGCAAGGTGTGTGCGGAGTGACACTCCATAGACGGAGACACAAACAATGAAGATCGCGGTGATCCACCAAGTGTTGCGCATACGGGCGTACTCGATGGGGAAGTCGGGGTGGCTCTTTAGGTTGATGCGAGTTTCGATTGGAAGATTGTGCTGCTGGCAGTATTCTCGTTCTGTTCGCTTGTGGTTGAAGTCCATGAGGTATCCGATTGTGTAGGAGCCGGTCATGCATCCGAAGCCATTGCCGAGGAAAGTGAGGCCGACTTCCATTGAATTCAGGCCGTATTGCTTTTCGAATAGGGCGGATGTGGAGGAAGTGACCATTGACCAGACGGTGTACACAATGCTGCCGAATAGCAGGGTGATGAAGACATCCTTCTCGCATAGAAAGGTGAGGGGTGCGAGCACGGTCTTGAGGGTCACCTTGCCCTTCTTTCCGGAGGGGATTGAGTCTTCATGTGCGTGTCTCTGCCCACAAATGGAGTAGATGACTGGCTTATAGATGCCCTTGAGGGGAACAGTGCCATTGCCAGCGATGGAACGAAGTGTTTCCGGGAGGAAGAACATAATAGAGACAAGACTGATTCCGGATGCAACAACTAAGAACCAGAAGATTGATCGGAATCCAAGGTACTGTGAGAGAATTCCACCAAATACTGGCCCAACTCCTTGGCCCAACATGCGGACTGGATTTCTGTTAGCCCAGAACATAGCAGTATATCTGAGTAGGGGGTTACTTACCACCACCAAAAATACCAATAAGACTGCCTCGCTCCGCTGAAGTAGTGATATCGCCAATGACACCAGCACCTAGGCACATTAGCTAATACACAAATAGGCATGTTTAATGTGTCATACCGATTGAAATGGTGGCGGCACTTCCGGCAGCCTGCAGCGCTCGGAAAGCCATAAGTTCACCATAGTTGTTAGAGACGGCCAAAGCAATGTTGGAAACAATGTATACAGCAAATGTTCCGATGAAGACCACACGGCGGCCCAGTACATCGGAGAAAGAACCCCAAAAGCTCGGGGCAAGACCTTGAACAATCATGTAGACCGTGATGGTTAAAGTAGCTAGAGACATAGAGATATTGAGTTCCTATAATTCCGTTAGCAAGAAATATCCAAATCTGTTACTCAAGCCAACTGACCTCTGCAACATCAGAAAGCGCAGGGAAGTAGATGTTCGAAGATAGCGGCGAGAAGATGGCAGCGAAGGAGACAATAATGACCATCAACAATTTGCGAGACCGAGTGAACACATGATATGGTGGTGATTCAGGCGCTTGGCTTTCAAGGTTGATTGACTCTGCTGGCGTCGACGGTATCGAGAAGCCTTTCTCATCCCGAGGTGAGAGATCAGGGCTTGAATTAATCGACTTGTCTGTGACCCCAGGATCCCTGAGGGTTTCTGTGGAACTGAACTGGGACAACGCCATGATGAAAGATTATTATAGAATATGAAGAAAATTCTGGACGTATTAACAGACACAATTATTGATAATAGAAAAGGGATTATGGCTTCATTCGGGCCAGACAGCTTTGGAGGTCTAGAAAGCTAAATGATGGAATGGACACACCCTTTTGTATCTCAATTCCAACATGACACCCCTATAGGGCTTATTCAAAAAATAAATTAAAAAAACAAAGATTTTAAGCAGACCCATGCATCTAAGAGTCAACTAAACATGCTCCACAGTGGGTTCGATCAGGGGGACACACTATACCATCCCCTGGATGGTAGAAAGTGGCATGGATACGACAGATCTGGTAACCCCGACGTCGCTCAATTTGATCACATACGGGCCATGATCCGCAGTTGAAATACCCTAAGCCTCCGAGGCTGACGTTTACAACACATTCCTGACCTCCCCACGAGTGTTCATGGACATCTTTGACTATAGATGAATAGTTCTGATACCTAAGCTCATAGGGCAGTTCACCTACTGGAATTTCTTCCTATAAACGGATGTACTATAACGGAATCGACCTGCACAGCATATGCACCACACAAGGCCAGGTTCACCCTAAAATTTCACAGTCGGAGAAAAAACATCGGAAACGAGCCCGTTTGGCAGCCGAATACTGTTGCTCGGTTCAGCTCCGCAGCATCACTCTTGTCCTAAAGGTCCCGAAAGCCTACGGATGGGATGTATGATAAGCTGGTTCACTTCTCCACAAATAGCTCTAAGGTTCTTAGGACCTGCCGAACCGGATATTTATCTCGATTATGGGAAAATAGAAGCTGAAACTTGGTTCCTGCACCAGGTGTTCATTTTCTCCACGTGTGGACTATTAGCCATTTTGATAACTATCTGTCAAGCAAATGCCAAGCTTCGTCATTAGCCCTGTTCAATATTAATTCAGAGGAGATTATTGGACAGGATACGCCATTGACTTACGTGTGCATTCCCCCTTGATGGATCTGTATAGGGGACGTTAGCCCTTGCTGCTTATAGCTCGCCAATCGGGGACCCGCAAAGGGGGCGGTTGGGCACAGGGTTTAGCATTGCAACCCAGTGACGATGCAGTATGATTCCAGATCAGGATACCCCAGGCTACTAACTAATGCGGTTATGGAGTACATTGCCGGGCACATAAGGATAGGAGAAGGAATGCGTGTAAGAACTTCCCTCAAGACTGTCTTAAGGTTCGCACTAGACAGGAGATGGTCGACAAATTAAACGGCTTCTATGGAATACAACGTCCGTAGGCACTGCATACATATCCATACGTACTAATAAATAGCACATAGGTACTCCCTACTCCGTAAAATATACTATGTACTGTGCATAAATGGTGCCAATCCGCGTGTCGATCAGACCCACAAGACGCCCCTGTGCAAGCATAGCTTGGTCTTCCTATCTGACTCCACTGATCCGCCACGCGTGACACCCCTAAAAATGATAGCGGAGCCGCCAAGAGCTCGTCATCGTCTACGATTGATCATTAACTTGCACATCGTTTCGCAATTGAGCGTCGACTTACACTTTCGGGGTGTTTTCTATCTCGCCAACCTTCAGCTCGATTAAGGCTGGCCAGGGCTGTCTACCCTGTAAGGCTGATGCAGGTTCCCATCTTGGCAACTTGATAGAACTTAATTTTCCATCTATTCCTCAATTTTGATGCCCAACGCCAAGCCTCCGGTTTCACGGCGAGAACGGTCTAATATCTAACTCCGCTACCTCGGATGCCGATTCTCGGGTACCGGATACCGTCTCCGTTAGTGCACGTTGGGTGGTTTCATTAGTAGATTGGGCCGACATGGTGCGAGATCCCCACTTCTAAACAATATAGGGGTCTGGACCACTCGTTTGGAGTAGAGTTCCAGCTTGGTTTTCAAGCCTTCTGAGTCATATCATACATATTGTACTCTGTATGTTGAACAGGGTTTTCGGCGAACCGAGGCTAAAATTATTGCGTGCGTTTATAAACCTCGGCGTGAACCTGCATTTGGCGAAGTACCCGTGTATGTTGTAGCGAGGCTGCTCTTCCTGAAGGATATCAAGTCTCCTTAGTACGTAGATCTCGGCCCCACAGTCGCAACGGAGCTGAGAAGCACATGTTTACGGAGGAGCTTCATGTGATTGTGTTCTGATTTCTGGACGGTTTTTAGACTTGAAAATCTCACTTCCAATGTTGACATCAAGCGCGAGATCACATTTGTTGACTCGCCATTTGGCATCTCTAGCACTGTATATCCCTCAATAAAGTTTTTCTCTTTTTCTTTTAGCTGTCCAATACAGAACTGAATTTTATATTGGGTTTTCTCTAAGATTTCTAAAACAATGGTTTCTATCCACTATGGCTTTCAAATCTCAAGGCAGACGTAGTAGATCCCCCCTGACAGCTATGACAATCTCGTTTGAAACACAGTCTAGTCATATGGATCTACTCCGTAATGGTAGTAGCAAAGAAAACAAAGATAATAATTTTAATATACTCCATATCTGTGAGAGAAACACATGAGGCTGTGTAAACTATTTGGCCTGGCGCTTCAATAACCAAGCGCATTGACCAAGTATCCGCAGATCTGATGCAGCCCCTGGTTTCCCCGATCCGCCAAAACAACTTGACACACACAAGCTAATATGAAGAATTCCAGAGTGTCCACGAAGAATGCAGGGCTAATGCAGCAACGGATGCCCTAGCATTTTGACGTCGCATAGAACGACGTCCTCAATATCCTCTGCCCACCTGCCGATCATCCTATCATTATCCAGGTCACCTCTATTAGCAGAAACTGTTGCAAGTACCACTCAAAATCAAAAACCCCGGCCCCCGGCTTTTAGGCATTTCCATGAACTGTTTGGCATCATGCTGTTGGGTCCGGAAAAAAAATCTCGATAGGACCCTGTGGACCGAGACACGCGGTTTCTTTCCCGAATGCATATGTTCTGGGCCGACCCTACAGGGCCCCTCGGAACGCCCCTGATCGTCGGCATATGGAGCTCGCTTGTGGATCTGGCGATTGCGTGAGTGCTTCCCGTGGGTATCATAATCTGATAGCGTTAAGTGTGGAGATGCATGTCTCACGATAACGACCGGACCAGGTGGTTGAGGCAGGCTACATTATATACCACTATAGCTATTTTACATTGAGGGATTTGGGTCTTTCATTGCATATATCTACTCTTATTGATTTGGCTCGTTGGTGCCATTCAGTCAAGACCTCAAGATCAAGACCTTGGCGTCGGAAAAGTGAGTTTTGGCATTGGGAAGGTTCGCACCTCTCGGAGTATTTACGAACTCAAGGATGGGTCTAGTGATCTATTCTGTCCCGGGTAAAGAAGGCTATCCCAATGGCTTTTTATGTGATATCTATCTGCATGTGTAAGTTGCTGAGCCATGGTGACTTCGGTATTGAGGGTCGTTGGCCGAGTAGTCCGACTCTTCGCAAAGTAAATACGAGATGGTGCTGCAGAAATATTATGGTTCAAATCAAATAACAAGGTCCAATTGTCTATATGTTGTAGCATGTATAACTCGTGTATCTAAATTTTGGGTACTGTTCTAGTTGTTCTAGTTGTTCCAGTGCACTTGTGGTTACCACACTTAATACACGACAAAATTAAAGACCAACTCTAGGTCATATTAGTGAGACTGTAGAACAGAACTAGACCTAAATATAAAAAGGCTTTTATCTTATTATGAGTTACTATAAGATCCCTTCATGTCACCACATCATAGGCGATAGTAATAACCACCCGAATATATATCGTCACCTATGAATTCAGCAGCATGTGCAGTGAAGCTAAAAAATGATTCACCGATAAGCTTTCTATTCCTAATGCCATTATCTATATAAGCCATAATCAAATAGTTGAATTTCTTGATATCGCAGTGTTTGCTGCCAAAGACACTCCAAACACCTTTGATAGGGCTATAGTAGACGAGGATGATGATGTTGGATCTCGGATCTGGCATCTAGTACGACGTTAACAGTCACCTCAAGTCTACTTAAATACAGCGGTGGTGGAATTTGAAGATTAGAACGGGCCTCTTAGCATAGTTAGTAGAGAGAGCCAAAGCAATGTTCGAAATATTGTTCCGATGAAAACCAAACGGCGACCGAATACATCGGAAAAAGAACTAAATTTCCATATTCAGTCTCTTGGTGATCTAACATGGATCCAAAGAGGTAGTAAAGGTGGACAAAGGGAAGCAGTAAAGCTGCAAGGTGGATATCTCGTCCGGCAACGTTGACAGCTTTGTCATTCATCTGCTTCACCTGGGCACATAGTAAGTCTAGGTAAAATAGCAGTAGAACTGTTTTGTGCTTTATACATCCTTGAGCTCTTACCCCATCCTGGTCGCCGATATTAATTCTTAATTGCCTTGCACTCAGCATATGCCCCGTTCTTTGTTCATTCTGATCTATACCCTTGCTTGCTTCCTTCTCGCTTCTTTCTCACTTCTTGCTCCCCTACAAGTTAGCTCTTACCTACCGGGGGCACCTTCCATGCCCACTACCTCGGGTGTCTAGGTAACCCATCGCTACCGTAGATACATTAGTGCCTGCCTCATCTGTAGTATGACTACTTTTGTTGATCCTGCTGTCTTGCTTCTCTTCTTTTTGCTTCGATCAACTATTTCAAAAATACTGCTCAGTTTCAGTATATGACTCGACGACACTTCTTTTTTTCTTTTATTAAGGACCTTCCGTAGTTGTTGCACACACATGGATACCTCGCAGTGAGTTGTGTAATCGTATCCAATCAATTCATGCATTACTGACTGAATTTCCAGGGCTGGCGAGCAGACCCTCAATAGGGTGCAAGGTATGTCCCCTTCCCGTTGGTCCTCATGCTAACATTGTTACAGATGGATCTACCTCTGCCGAGGGGTCCAATTCTACCTCCTCGACCGATGCCCAAGCGCTGTCAGTTACTACTAGTACTAGCAGTACTAGTGGTACTGTCAGCTCGACGGCACAGTCGTATCACATCACCGGGGACCTGATTCCGCTGGTCCAGGCAACTAACGAGACTCTCGAGCGAAGCCGGTTGATTGTTAATCAAGAGCCGACCGACAATGACGAGGACTTGATGGACCCAATCGGGGAGGGCTACGATCTCGTTGATGCGACGGAGGATTTGAAGAGGACCGTCCGGTCGCAGGAATTCTACCTTCGCTACGGCGACCATATGGGGCGAGTATGGAAGTGCCTCGAACTTGCTTCCCGTCGTGTCCCCCAAGGTCATTGGCCAGCCGGAGTCGTCGCTGTTGGGAAAGATCTCAAGCTGGAGGAGGGGCTCGGGGAGGGGAAGCCTCGGAGAAGCTGGCGGGGGTGTTGCAGCATCTCGAGGAGCGCGAGATCCGGATCAGCAGTGACGTGGCCAAGGCGGCAATTATGGGATATGCGATACGCAATGAGATCTGCCATGGAGGTCCCGGTAAACTCGACGACAAGCGGACTCGCGATGCAATCGCGAGCAATGTCGACGACCTGGAGAAGTTTCTACCCGACGATCAGAGAGCGGATCGCGATCTCTGGGTGCGAATTGTCAAGTTGTGGAAGAAGTGCGGGAGATACGTGGAGGAGGTGCGAACGTCGGCTCCGGAGACGACGCCAACCCCGGATTCATCTAGTCTACTCGCCGCACCGCCCCGAACCGCCGAGCAGAAGGAGAAGTTCACACGAGCCTTGGAGGAAGGCTCGTTCCAGGGCGAGCTGGATCAACTGAGCCGAGGAGGAGGGCCCTGCAGACAAGACTCACCTCATCGCACGCAGTCGACGAGGTCCGACCCATTTCACGGTGTTCCTAGTAAGCGGAAGACGGACTTGACCCCCGCGCCGTCATCCCTTCGCCCTTTGAAGCGACAGAAGTGAAGGCTACCCGGCAGAGGTTTCGGTTTGGGGAGGAGGATTGGGGAGGATAGGGCTGGTCGGCGTTGGTTGGTTGGGAGGGGCTGGCTGGTCGGCGTTTGTTGTTCGATTCTTCATGTAAATAGTTTGTACATATGTAGCGTAGAGTATATAGAGTAGGTAGAACCCTGGTGACGATCTTACACCTCAACGTGGTGCCGGGGTCTAGTAGCCCTCCATGGGCGAAGCCAAGATGAGCTCATTCTTTACAATGATACTGACCTTTCTTTCTTTCACTTAACTCTTCAGATATAATTCTGAGTGACCGCGCCTGTTACGAAAGTGGTTAGAAAGTAAGCTTGACTCCTTTTGTTTGAACTTCTGAAGTCACTCTCCATAGTTCTACATGGCATTGTACTTCATGCTTCATGATCTCATCTACTAGCCAGTAATATCTTTAATAAGTTGAGCCCCGGGGTCCAGTATTGATCTGATCTTCCATATACCATATACCGGGCTCCCAAGAATGTTGTGATCAGGGAGAACGAGACTGAAAGAGCCACCATGACTCACAGCCATATCTTACACCCAGCGATCCGCCAATCCTAGATTTATATAATTAGCTAGCACTTTAACTATATATTTACTTCTATCTAGATATTACCTGTAATAATAGAATAAATATATAGTTCTTAAGTAATGTACGGTAGTATAACTAAGCCCTACGCCTGAGAATTTACGGGGGACTTTCCTGCTTCATCTGAGATTAATAACATGGCAAATAGCGTTTTTTAGATTTAGTTTCAATCGCTGTAATCATGGTTGAAGTGCTCCAGCTAAAATAATCCCAAACACCGTGCGTTTCCTATAACCCCAATATATACAAGACCGATAATTTCGGTCCATCCTGTCATCGACCAACCAGTAGTTGAGGCTCGGCATACAATCTCCGAAGTAGTCCGACCAGACTTGAGGATTCCAATGCTTGTAAATTACAGGGTTCCCTTCATCCAAAGCAGCCTCCACTTTCTCTTGGTCATCCTGTGAGGCACGATAGGCATGGTGAAGCAAGATCAACAACTTGTGTCTTCTCATAGCGCCACGTAATGCCATGTCATGCCTTAGGACAATGTGTAGGTGTTTCTGGAGATCCTCAGTGAATTGCTTTTCGTATTCCGAGACCCAGCTACCCTGGAACCAGTTTTGGAATCGTTCCAGGCGAAGAGCTCCAGCCGTTTTTCCAGGAATATCATCGAGCTTTCTGTCAAGAAAGATTCGGGTATCGGTGAGCCAATTTTTAGGCGCCGTGGTAATGCAACACCAGTCGTTTGATTTAAAATCATTCCCATATTGGTATAGAAGAGATTGAGACTTCTCTGGTAACTCGCGTTCGGTCGCTACCGTGGCAGAATAGGCCGGTGGTATTCGATAGTACCAATTTGAAAGGCGTGTGAAAGGGATGATTGCAATATCATGATCGGGGCGATATCCCTTGGTGTATGTGATACTCTCTTGTGGTTTTTCATCCCTCGACCAATCCTCTAGTAGACTCACCCATACTGAAGGAGCCGAATGCGTTGTCTTTAATGTATCGATGAGTTGGTTGGCCTTCTGCCATATTTGCACGACTTGACCGGGGCTTCTTGGGGGGGGAGGGGAAATGTTAACAAACATTTTACCCCCGACATTTCTCCAAGGAAAGGTATGGAGATGGTTGCGAACAGCTTCAATATTCTTCAATTCCCATCCGTGGCTGTGTGTCCGCCTGGTAGTAAAATTGAATCTCAGCCCGCCCGCAACTTGAAACTCGTGCTCGAAGTCCTCAAAAAGATGGTCTGATATCTCTTGATAGAGGTATCGGCTGCAACGCGAGATAGCTAAAGCAAAAGGGGTGGAATGTATTTCATCGAAGACAGATTCCCATATCGTCCAACGAAGTTCAAGTGGGAGCTTTGCGAATGTTCCCAGTTGAGCAACGCCGGGATGTTGAGGCGCAGATTTGTCCTCGGCACGGTCCATGGCGTTTTGTTGATTGTGTAAATTAGAGATGTGAAGATGAGAAGCTGGGAAATTTCTTAGCTACCGCACCCCCCGTATGTAAGCCAATAATTACTGACCTTCGTGTTCCGAGTGGTTGCAAGGTTGTAATCGGAGTGATATTCTGATGAAGTTTGATGAAAAGCTTTGAAGGAGCAGATATTGAAATTCAGATGGTTTGTAGGAAGCTAGGTTATCACTCTCAAGGAACATCAAGTATAGTCCAGCTATGAGTCAAAACTACTTGAAATGGCTGCGGCCCGGGCCTTCAAATCTTCCAAGGTTGGTCCAGAAACCTCATACTCAAAATAGTTAGTAGGGAAAAAGCCCATTTTCACATGTCACCGCTTACACGTAATAAATCCGTCACCTGTGGTCAGGCTTGAGGTGTGACGGATCTGGAAGGCGGTATGTGGGTTGTCTATAGAAGACCCCCCGTTCAGTTGATATTCTTCCAGTCAGCCAATTCATCCTTTTGAGCCTGTGGCCCCCAATCTATTCGTTCCTCACAGAGGGCATCTGACCCCACTTGTAGCTACCTAGATAGTGTCTGGTACTTCATCCATCCATCCTTGATCTCATAGTACCAGTACCAAAAGCGATTATGAACTGACTCTTTGTTGACAGGTTGGTGCCAAGCACACAAGAAAAATAGTCGGGACCCATGATCCAAGTTCACCTCCTGTGAAATCCCGGAATTGCCCATTCAGGAGTGCGAATAACCTCGGGGTTGTGACTTGTTGTCGGCACTGAATCTGGGAGATAGACATATCTCACCGAGATTCAGGGTGTCACCTTGAGACAAAACAACAACGGGTCCCCTCCAGGGCTGTCTACCTATCTACCCGTGGACGAATTGAGACCTTCCTAACTGCCATGAACTTTTGAACGCAACTTCTACCCAACTTATACCAAACAGTCCGGACTGGAGTGACCGTCCCTGTATTAGAAGACTATTACAGTCTTACTTCCTTTTTCCTCTTCACAGTTTTCACACTGTCCCAACATTAACATATTGTGTACCTTGATGATCTCATCCACTCTGTAGATCTCAACAGTCCGGCTAGCTGCTGCCATCCCATAGACGTCGTAGTCCTTTTTTCCTCAAGCGATGCCTGTCCCGGAGACTTTGAATAGATTAGCTTCCTAATACATTGTAACGAGACAACACACACCCTCTTATTAAAGTGTGTCTCTAGCGTTGTATACATCGATCCTAAGCCACGACACCATCCTAGAAACCAGGAATTCACAAAGCTAAGGTGCTTCTATTTAAATTAGTAGAGGAATATGTTCCCAACCAATCAGCATGTTAGCTCAGCAGGTAGAGTGACGGGCTCATATCCCGGAGGTAAGTACCCAAGGTTCACATTAACAATTGATCAAATACTAAACTAATAATGAATAGGACCCTGGATCGAAACCAGGACATGCTATCTATCTTTTTTTCACCTCATTATCGACCTCATTATCAATCTCTTGCTTCGTATTATCTCTGTTTCTACTCACACGAACCTAGGTAGCCCTACAGCTTCCTATGCCAAAGAAGATAGGTCTCTAGGATGGTCTGAAAGGGGAATTCACAAACCTAAGGTGCTTCTTTTTGAATTAGTAGAGGAATATGTTCCCAACCAATCAGCATGTTAGCTCAGCAGGTAGAGTGCCGGGCTCATATCCCGGAGGTAAGTACCCAAGGTTCACATTAACAATTGATCAAATACTAAACTAATAATAAATAGGCCCCTGGATCGAAACCAGGACATGCTATCTATCTTTTTTTTTCGCCTCATTATCGATTCTCTTGCTTCATAGTATCTCTGGTTCTACTCACACGAACCTAGGTAGCGTTACAGCTTCCCATGTCAAAAGGGAATTAGCTACATAATGTTTTATCAAGTCTGTTGTAAAAGACGGTCATGACTTTAGACTAACTGTCCTTTTGATTGCCTTACAAATAGCTAGAATTTGTGAAGACGATATGAGTTTCGCCATAATATCGGATATAGCCACTTCTTCCAATCATCTAGAAGCGACGCCTGATCCTCTTCTTCTTACATTTGCCCATTACCCTTTTGAGACACGGAGGACACCGAGTTACCCTACCCACTAGACCAAAAGGTCATGAACTCTCCATCTCCATGAATTAGGTATGCTCAGGTTTACTTAGTACCGCCTTTCTAGATGGAATTTTGCCTATTTAGAATGCACTGGGCCCATACAATGAGATTATATAATGCAAAAGTCGGACCATAAAATGCCAATCTGAGAAGTTTCCAAGGTTGTCAATAAAACTCTGTCCGCTAGGGATCCCAATGCTGGTTGTTCTCACCGTGCGAAGCATCAAATATAAGCTTTAATTCAGTATGGAATGCTCAATCTCAAGGCTTCCCGAGGTCCCCACTAGCCTAAAAAATTACATTTATCCACCTCCGGTCCCACTCTGGCCAAAATAGGCCTAGTATAGAAGTACTAGATTGGGACTAGTAATTGATTTGATGCAGCAGCCCCTGGCTTTCCTGATCCGCCAAAAACAAATCTTCAATCATGCCAGCTTCAATTAACTGCCCCTTTTATTCGATATTGTTATATTCCGTAAGTGCTTCATACCCCATCATTTCTGCAGAAACTAAATAGGCTGGGCAAGTTAGTTATAGATAGCTAAAAAGCTAGAAAGAGATATCACTTGGTGGTTATATAAATTAAGAGGACGGATATGAATAGGCATCACTCTTGATGTTAAACGAGATTCTACATATATTGAAGTCAAATCTTAGGTTCCTATAATGTCATTTCTATAGCACGCCTATATACCAACCACCTTAAGTTGCGTACAGCGGATCTAATAAAAAGAGGAGAAAATGTCTAGGGACCCACTATCAAGGGAAAGGGTTTAGTTATCCCATTTTAGTCTTTATTATTTAAATGGACTAGGAGCAGGAGAGGGCGATTTTGTTTTTACGAAAAATATGTTGCTTTATAACATTGCAGAGGTCATCTAGGTTGCAATTGAGAAGAAGCACAGAAGCGAACGAACTAAAGGCCGGCCCAGGAAGTGACTGATACTGACTCATGAGCTTTGTGTCTCTAAAATTATTTCCGGCACAGGCCCTAGCGAAATTCGATTTCTGAACTTGTTGGCTATCGCGATGTTGGTGTGGCCTCTCACTCTAAATAAGTGTATGACGTATATGTTGTCCGGCGGAATGTATATTCCGCATAACTACTCAAGTGGAAAAGTATTTAACGGTAGAGAATTGAAATGGTGACTAGCCGTACACCTGACACTTCATTTACTATCTCGAGTGAACGTTACGAATTTCTTATCAAGAATACACATTCCTAAAGATCCAAGATCGTCAAGTGGTCCATTATCTCTATCGATTAAATATGTCGCATCTCCAGTACTTCAACTACGACGGCTGGGGCCAGAAAGCAAACCGAGACTTCTATTACAGCCAAGCCGTCCGCATTGGCGATCGCATCGAATGCGCAGGCCAAGGTATGTACACGAGCCATGAGTCCTCGCTTTCCGAATGAATAGATCATGCTGATTGTGAAAAGGTGGTTGGGATCCACAAACCTTTGTGATCCATCGGGAGATCAATGCGCAGATCGACCAAGCTTTCGTCAACGTGGACTTGAACCTGAAGCACGCTGGAGGAAAAGGGTGGGAGCAGGTATTTCGGGTGAACTCGTACCACGTCCCGATCAACGACGAGGCCCTGCAAGCGATGGTGCGGAACTTCAAGAAATGGATGCCGAACCACCAGCCTATTTGGACATGCGTTGGGGTAGCGAGACTCGGCGAGGATGATATGCGGGTTGAGATTGAAGTTGTAGCTCATGACCCGTGAGAGATAGAGATCGGAGCGGACATAGCGTGATATGCATTTTTGGACCATGAACCCAATAGCTCTTGAGTTGACGTAGTGTGGTAGATAGTGCCGCAGGGAGAAGCATATTAGTCTAAGAACGGGGAAAGGCCTTTCTCAAATATCGTGATCTTAGCGTTTGCTACCACCTCTGCCGCCTCTGCCGCCTCTGGTTTTGCCCTTTCCCCTGCCACCCATCATACGGCGCCCTGACGCCTGGACGCGAGCTATGTCGTCTTTGTTCAGGTTCAATGTGCCTCCTGAGAACTTGCCCACTGAGGATCCGACAAGACCGCGATCTCTTCGCCCGTTGTTGCTCGATTTCTGTACCTTGCTAGGTTTTTCGAGAATGATACCATTCTCCTTGGCTTCTTGGCGGCGTCTGTCTTCCTTTGACTCAGCCTTAGCTTTGATGCCTCGTCGGTGTGCAGTAGGCATTTTAGTTTGCGCGTAGAGCGAAGTTTTGGCTCCAAGGGATTGCATACGCAGATCCAAAGCCTTCAAACGGTTCTTCCCAGTGGGGGCAAGGTCATCGGCGGAGTCGAGAAGGTGGGACTCCTTAAGCAGTCTTTGCAATGCAAGATCGTGCTTTAGGTTCGCAGATTCGTGGGCGTCTTCTTCTTCTTCTTTTTTGGATGTAGGCTCTGGTTCGGTGCTCGGCTTATCCAAGTCGGACAACAGTTTTCCACTCTGCAGATATCAGCATTAGAATGAACGTCCAATGCGTTGAGATCTAGCACACACCATAAACGCCTTCCAAGTCTTCTTGTCCATCCTGTCTGTTGGTGCCGCATAAATGCCCGTGTGTTCGACCACCTCGACTTGGTTGCTTTCGTCACTGATATCGGACATCCCATCCCAGTCGCCTTCTGACCCAGAGAGATCAGAGTCATCGTCATCCTCATTTTCTTCTTCATCGGAATTTGTAGATTTGGCGGTAGGACCTGGCAAATCGAGTGGCTCAAATTGCGCTTCGAATAATCTGCGGAATACGTCCTGCGCATTGTCCACCGGAGGAGGGCTTTCTTCCTTGGCCTGAGGCTTGGAAACCACAGTGGTTTCTCTCTTTCGTTTCACAACCATGGTGAATGTGCGGTCGACCAAATTGTAAAATCAAATACTCGAGTCTCGGCCCAAAAGTTTTTTGGAAGCTCAGGATCACGTGCGATAAGCTGATAAGCCGCCCCTCGATTCACACACCCATGGATCGTCACTAAATCAACTTCCAAGGTTGTTCTCCAATTCGCCAGAGAAAATGACCAAGTTCAGGCCGTGCATTGACCTGCATTCAGGGCAGGTCAAGCAGATTGTGGGTGGTACGCTCAGCCAGGTGGCCACAGACCTGAAGACCAACTACGTATCCAAGCTCCCGGCCAGCCACTACGCGGGATTATATCAGAAGCACGATTTGCGCGGCGGGCATGTCGTGAAGCTTGGGCCAGGAAATGAAGAAGCTGCCCAGGAGGCATTGAAGACATGGCCGGGTGGGTTACAAGTGGCCGGCGGTATCACCGATAAGAATGCGCAATATTGGATCGATCAGGGTGCAGACAAGGTAAGCCCCCGAATTCCAGATGGATTACCATTTCTTCGCTTGGCATTGTGCTGGGTCGGGAACTCAATTATGCCTACCCTTTTGAAGTTCCTGGTCGCTTGCGCTGCGTCATAGCAAGAGTCTGATGACGCTAATCATGTGGAATGTGGGCAACAGGTGATCATCACTTCATTCCTCTTCCCTGGGGGCAAGTTCTCGCTCGAGAGGCTCGAGTCGGTCCTTTCTGCCCTAGGTGGCGACAAGTCAAAGCTGGTCTTGGATCTGAGCTGCCGCAGAAAAGACGACACTTGGTTCGTTGCGATGGACCGCTGGCAAACCATTACAGAGATGGAGATCAACCAGGGTATGTCCCGCCAGTGCTGAACTCAGGTTGGACTTTGGGTCACTGACACTGTGTAGAATCTATCTCAATGCTGGAACCATATTGCGCTGAGTTCCTAATCCACGCTGCAGACGTAGAGGGCCTGCAACAAGGTGTTGATGAGGAACTTGTTTCAAGACTGGCTGAATGGTGTACTATTCCTGTGACCTACGCAGGAGGTGCGCGTCATTTACAAGATCTGGAAAAGGTCCACACTAGTAGCAAGGGAAGAGTGGATTTGACGATTGGTAGCGCGCTAGATATCTTTGGTGGCTCTGGAGTGACGTTTGATGAATGTATCGAATGGAACAAAACGCATTAAAAATAGAAGACGAATCAAAACAAATAGATTATTGCAAAAAGATACTGATGAGCAGAAAAATATTGCATAGCTATCTTTCTTTACTACTTTTCATGGAAGAGAAGAAAACAACAGCAAGGAGAAAGAGTCACAGGTGTGTCTGGACTTGTCCAAAAGCGGCTTAGGGGCTTGCATCAACTGAAGGTCCGCCCGCCTCCGTATCTCAAGTCTTCAACCTCAACTCTTTGTATTAGCCGATTTGCGACCACTTTCTCCAAACTATACCTATCCTGATCATTTTGCAACACTCCTTACCTACTATTAAGCCGCCACCATGAAGCCTGTCGTCTCTGCCTTGAACGCCTGGTCTTGGTACGCTCCCTCGTCCCAGACAGTGTCCATCGAAAGTCCTATCGCTCTAACCCCTCGCTTCTCGAACAGTGTCATTATCTCCGCTTTCGCAATCATCATCCTCTCAGTCCTCGGCTCGCTGTACAGTGTACGTCTCCCCCGACTCTGACCTGCCCGTCAAATCCTCCAAAGACCGATTGTCACAGACCTACGTAATATGGGTCTCAGCCGCTAACGCGAAGTTCCTAAATATAGAGCAACAACCACGCATACACCGGATCAGAAGGCGAACCCGAAGATGGCCCTGCAGTTGCCGCCTCATTTACACCGCTGTGATCGTCTACGCTGTACGTCACTTGTCATTCCCCATCCCTAAGCCCCGACGGGGTCGTTGCATGAGAAAGGATCCGGTTACTGACAATGCGCTTTCTGGATCACAGGGCTTCTTCGTTTTCTGCGGTTTCCAGGCCTACCTTCACGTGCGAGACAGTAGGGGAGGTGCTATATCACTGCATTGAAATTAGCTTGGTCCCTTTTCTTTCGATGTCTTTATGACACCTTTATCTGTCGATTTTCAATCTTTTTGAGCTTATATCTCGGGGTTACTTGAGTACAACACGGTGGTTTGAATTTGATGCGTTGGGAGTGATTCGAGGCCGAGAGAATTGAAGGTATTCTCTCAGTATGAATTACATATGTTCACTCTGTGCGACCCGGATTCGTCTACGTTACAGACGAGCAGGATCGGACTACACTTGAAAGGCGTTGGCGGGCAGGTTTCCCGGTCTCCTTTGCTAGAATACACAGATGGCCGACCTGCGACTTGTACATAGAGCGCTCATAATTATTTCCAGCTCTTCAATATCTCATTTTTTGGTCCATTGGATGCATCTAAAAATAAAATTTGGTATAGACATTCAATCATTTGTCCTTCGTTGAGAAGAAAATCAAGTTTTGTGAGACCGCCAACGCCAGTGGATGCAGAATCAGATGCCGAGCCTCAGCTGGACACTTGGTACCCTTTTAATTTGTTTTGTTTTGTTTTGTTTTGAGTTTTTCACTCCTCATCCTCCCATGGGTCCAACATCTTGGACATGTAAGGACCATCAAGGAAGTATCCGAGGCGAGCATAGTAGCTACGCACGCCCACACCGGAGATAACGCTGATCTTGCGACTTCCGTGCTCTTCGCGGGCAATACGCTCCGCCTCCTCCATCAACAAAGTTCCAAAGCCACGGTGCTGGAACTTGCGGGCATCACGTCCGTGAAGTGGCACGGCAGAACCGTAGACGTGAAGCTCGCGGACGATACTCGTCTGCTGGCCGGTGAACTCAGGACGGAAGGTATGGGTCTCAGTGCACTTGCGTAGACGAAGCAATCCAATGAGAATATCCTGCTTCGGGTCTTCGTATGCCAAGAAAGTCTCCCATCCACCATTGGCAGTGTAGTCACGGCGGATCAACTCAATCTGCGAGGGACGGATCTTGTTCTTGACTTCATTGATACCGACTTCTCGCGTGCGGACATCACGACAGGTTGTGCCGAAGTCCTTCATACGCGCCAATGCCAGTTCGCGCAGGTTGCCGTTCTCCACACCAGAGGTAACAAGTGGCATGGGGATATCGCGCTGGACTCGGTAGATACGGGTCCATGGGGGAACTAGGGCAAGAATGCGTGCGACAAGGTCGATAAGAGCGTTGGGTGTGTAGTTCTTATAGCGGCCGGTGCGCCACAGTTCGTAGAGACCGGTGCCTCGGATGACAAGTGTGGGGTAGAGTTTGAGACCGTCGGTACGGAAGTTGGGGTTCTCGAAGTACTCCTGGAACTGGAACAGATCGCGCTCCATTCCGACGTTCGGCAGGTCGGGCATCATGTGGCTAACGACCTTGAAACCGGCATCCTTGGCAAGCTTGAAGGTCTCAGCTACTGCTGCTACGGTGTGACCGCGGTTGGTGTCTCGCGCAACATCCTCGTACAGACTCTGCACACCAATTTCCAACCGCGTGCAACCGTAGCGGAGCATGCTGCTCAGATGTGTATCCAGACAGTAATCTGGTCGGGTTTCGATTGTGATACCCACACACTTCACGTTGCTCATTTCGCCTGCCAGCACGGCCTCGTCAACGTTGTCCGTTTGGTATCCACTCAGCGCATTGTGAAGCTGGGAGATGAAGCTGTCTCTGTAATCTTCCGGTAGCGACATGAAGGTTCCGCCCATGATAATGTATTCCACCTTGTCCACGCTGTGACCGAGAGCTTTGATCTGGTCCACACGTCCTCGCGCCTGCTCAAACGGATCGTAACGAGCGCGGATCGCTCGCATCGAGGTCGGTTCATATCCGGTATATGACTGAGTTGAGTATTCGAAATCGGAGTCTGGGCCACCAGGGCAATAGACACAGATGTTACCGGTATACGCGATGTGGGGGCATCGATGGGGTTTGCACATAACCGCCACCACGGCGATACCAGAGGAGGTTCCTATGAACGAGGTTAGCGATAGTCCAACGCTCCCATTTGTAATAGGTAAACTTACGAATCGGCTTCGCAATCAACTTTGGCAGGATATATTTCTTGTAGTGCTCAGGTACTGCCGCGATAATGGCCGTCAGTGGTGGCGAGCTGGACAAGCTGTGCTTCCTCGAAAAGGTAGCCCGCAACTTGTTAAGATTAAGATCCTTCTTGGGCTTGTTGGAGTCTCTGTATGACTCGTAATCTTGAATGAGAGCATTTGCAATATCGGAACATGCTCGCATGAATCGCTCGTTCTCCGGTACGTTCTTTGCATTCTTCTTGGCGGCCCTTTTGATTTCCTGCGAGGTCAAAGTCATAGTAGCCATGGTGAAGATAATAACACCGCGCCTAGGCGGGAAGTGATTTTCAATAACCAAAAGCGACAACCTTGGAAGTTGTACTTTAGTGGGGGTTGAGGTTGATTAGATAGAAAAAATATGGTGGCCGAGCCCGAAAGTCAGTCAGTTCCGCTTAAGTAAAATAATTGTCCCGAGCGAAAACTCCCGGCTGCGCATCCCGAACACCTGCCCTTTATCCCGTCCTTTTCTTTCTTTCCACCTCACTTCATATCACCTCTCCCTCATACATACAATCTTGCAGCAATGCAGGCCTTCCGCCGTAACACCCTCTCGGCCCTTCGCAATGTCGGTGCCACCCAGCGTCGGACTCAGGCCACCTCTGCCTACAGCGAGACCTTGAACAACCTCAAGATCAACAAGGACACCCGCGTTCTGTTCCAGGGTTTCACTGGAAAGCAGGGAACGTAAGTGCAATTGTCACGCTCTATTAATCGCACGCGCATGATACTGACATTTGTCCTTGATATAGCTTCCACGCTGAGCAGGCCATCGCCTACGGTAATTATTGATCCAGTCGCGATCGCATCCAAACAATAGCTTACACAGGACAGGCACAAATGTCGTCGGTGGTACCAACCCCAAGAAGGCCGGCACCACGCACCTTGACCGTCCCGTTTTCGCCAACGTTAGCGATGCCGTGAAGGAGACCGGTGCCACAGCTTCCGCCATCTTCGTTCCGTATGATAACTCCAATGGTCTTGAAATATCAGCCCAACAATGCTAACTGGAATCAGTCCCCCTCTTGCCGCTGCCGGTATCGAGGAGGCCATCGCCGCTGAGATGGGCCTCGTTGTTTGGTACGTGTCCATTGGAGCTTCCCCTTGCAAAGAACTTTTTATCTGACAGTTTCTTGTTTAATAGCATTACTGAGGGTATCCCTCAGCACGGTACGGATCGATTGACCTCCAATTGAAGCGCGCGAACTGATTGATTTAATATAGACATGGTCCGCATCACCGACATTCTCAAGACCCAGAACAAGACCCGCCTGATCGGTCCTAACTGCCCCGGTATCATCGCTCCCGTAAGCTACCACATCAACTTTCTCCAGTAATGCGCGCCAAATACTCACACAACTCACTCATAGGGTCAATGCAAGATCGGTATCATGCCCGGCTTCATCCACAAGCGCGGCCGTGTCGGTATTGTCTCCCGTTCCGGTACCTTGACCTACGAGGCCGTCAACCAGACCACCCAAGCCGGCCTTGGTCAGTCCCTCGTCGTCGGTATCGGTGGTGACCCCTTCTCCGGCACCAACTTCATCGACTGCCTCAAGGTCTTCCTTGAGGACCCCGAGACTGACGGTATCATCATGATCGGTGAGATTGGTGGTTCCGCCGAGGAGGATGCCGCCGAGTTCTTCAAGGCCCACAACATCCACAACAAGCCCGCCGTCTCTTTCATTGCCGGTATCTCTGCTCCCCCCGGCCGCCGCATGGGTCACGCAGGTGCCATCGTCAGCGGTGGTAAGGGTGGTGCTGACTCCAAGATCGCCGCTCTCACCGATGCTGGTGTCATCGTCGAGCGCAGCCCTGCCTCCCTCGGCAAGACCCTTCTTGCTGAGTTCGTCAAGCGCGACCTTGTTTAAGCTTGTCACCCCTTCTGATGCAACGCGTGTCTTGTCCTGGTTTTGAAGACGGGGATCTGAGGTATATGTGCCATTTCATACTATGGGGGTTTTATGGGCTGTTCCTTTTCGACTGCTCCTGTATTCTTTTTCTCCTTTGTGTTAGAGATCCTTGAAGTAATCATGCTCGTGTAATTATTACTCTATGCTGTTGTGCAGAGTAGATGGTTGAAATATGTGAATATATGGAAGCCATTCTTTTAGAGTCTGCGAAGCAGGCTCCTCGAGCCATGCGTCCTTCACTATCTACGGCCAGTCTTCGTTCGGATCCTCATGCTGGACATCTATAGTATACCAGATGGGCCCACTTTTATTGCTGTAGTAAGAAGCATTCTAGGATATGCACCGCATTTTACAGGAAATACGCGGAAATCACCCACTCATAGGCCCCCGGGCACCGCAGAGGTTGGATAACAGGTCGGATATTGCCAACATGTGCACCTTGAAAAATATTGTTTGTAAGATGACAGCTCCAGTGGCCGGTCACTGTTTTATCATACGATCCAAAGCTAGGCTCACCTCCCACCAGAAGAGAAGACTGTTATCTACTTGATGTCAGAGACCAAAGCACAATAAATAGCTGCTCGTCAGAACTACAAGCGGTTTGGGAAACCTAACAAGCCATCACTAATCTTCCCCTGTCAACTACACAGTACTTGCCTTACGTGTGCCCTAGGATGAGATCTTGGCCTCATTTCCACCAGGTAGACCACCAGATGAAGGCAAGGGTGACTTGGCTGTAAACAAATGTACTAGTCATGTCTTACGGGTATCTCAATAAAGGGATAGTTGTAATACCGGAGTCTGGACCCTTGATCCTCTTTGCTTGACCTGGAGATTGAGGCCTTGTAAGAGGCCGCTTCCTTTTGAGGTCATCGTCAACCCTTCTGGAAAGCCCCAGCGTCGTCCGAGCATAGTTGGGTTTGAAAATCCAATTATACTTATCTACCCTTTCTCCGTGGGAATGTCCTTGTGTCAAAAGATGGTGTATGAATCCTGGTGCTTCTTTCATCTCTCGTTGAGTATATAATTTAGATCCGCGCAGTGGTGGTTGATATCGAATGGCCAAGGCCTCACAACGAGCTTCTGCTGAGAAGCCCGTTCATGATCTCCTCGAATCGCGCCCCCCTGTATTTGCAGTAGACTTGAGATGACTGTCAACGTCGTACGGGATATCATATCCACAGATTCAACATCATCATCCTTGTCTACCATAGCCTTGTCAACGGAGTTTGGGGTGTTTTTTACAGCAGATTGAGGAGTTACGTCATTTTCTTTGTAAACCTTTTCAGATGTTCGACCGACCGGATCCTCAAGAATTGAGCGAGCGGTCTATTAAAGGACAACCACTTTATCAATAGCATTATAGGGGTTTTATTCGATACCTAGCGTTGTTGGTGGTTTGACTAATAACATATTAATGCATGATAGGCGGAGTATAAACCAAAGTTTTATTAGCGCTTTAACCGACAACGTTCTTATAGCGTGGTTAAGGAACTAGTAGTTTAGATAGGCGAGGTCTTAAACGTAGATAAAACTTCGACTCTAGCGTACTCCCAAAGAAACTTACGGCAACCTTATTAGTAGTGCCGAAGGTTTGAGAGCCAGTCTCTTTGCTGTAGGAGGGAGGAGTTTAACCGACAGCGACCTTGTTGAAAGCACCGGTAGTCTGGCCGACAGGCTTATTGACGGGTTGGCCGACTGCATCCGTGCTGACGGCGCTAGGGGTTTGACAGCTAGTCCCTTTCTTGATAGCCGAGAAGACTCGACAACTAGCCTCTTTATTAATGGTGCTAGGTATTTCGCAGACAACCGATAGTGTACCAGCATCCCTGTTGAAAACGAATACTTTTGGAGTTGAGAGCCAGATAATGCCCAACGGCGACGATGTACTGCGCAGTCTGTCCCTTGAAGGCGTAGGAGTCGGGTCAAGCATATCATGAGAATCACTGTTACTGGTGTCTCCTTTCTGCGTGCACACAGCTCTTTGGATTTTTCGGTTGGTGTTCTCCATATCAGCATTCACTAATTGATAACTTGCCTTCGGTTTGAAACCCGAATTTTGGGAGAATAGAAAGGCTTACATTGCTGGACAAACGTAAAGGTTCCATCACAGTGATTCTGAATCTTCTGTCGTTGGCGAATCTCTGACGTACGATGAAGAGTATCTACAAGTCCTTCTAGGACACGGCACGGAGTTTCAGAGCGGTCATTTTCGGTGTCTTCGACCCATTTTCCGCTTTCTGAAGAATTTCGCAACTCACTCTTGCGCTTCAGACTAGAAAAGAGAGTCGCTGAAGTCGGCTAGCAACGGTCCGCTATTTTCGATGATGGACGCAAAATATTCATAGATCTCACCGGCCTCGTGTAAAGCACTGTCTAATGAAATGTATGGCTTCCGTCAGATGATGCCTGCGCTATACAATCGCTAGTCACGATGTGAGAGCAATTTCCGTAGAGATGATATGGAAGGGCATATGGAAGTACGGTACGGCCGGTGAGGTCCGACCTGACTGCTAACATTTAAAGGGAGCAAAGAGAGTGAAGAAGAATTGTTTCTCTACAAACTAACAGCATAGGTTGCTATAGGTGGAGCACGGCAAATAAAGCATCGGCAGGTGGCCTTTGCTAACATCGAAACGAATCCTTCAAGCATGAAGAAAGGGGGGTTTCAACTTAATCAATTGATTGAAAAGGGGCTATTTCCCAATTTTTCCCAAATGAAAGCAAATAACTACCCTGCAAAGCTCAACAGCACCTAGGCCAATAGGAATTGATACTAGTAAGATTCCAAGAACGATATGTCACAATTCCACATACCATTCCCTAAACCTTGTAGATCTGGCTGGCCATGCTCATTTCTCTTTAATCCCCTCTACGGAGTCGTCAGTCTCGACCTGCCCGTTCCGTGGACACCCCGGGACTTTTCTATGAACTGCGTAAATATCATATGTACACCAAAGTGTAATATATACGATATTGGAAGGTGAATGAAAGACACAAAATAGTTCAATTATTACTATTAAAAAGAAGGAGTCTGCTTTTCTATTATGATACTAATTCCTCCAAGCCTCGATTAAGCTTATACCAAGCGCGAAATGCGGTTATTTCCATTCCATTCCCAAAGAGACTTGAACCATGCTGCTTTTCGGCCCAGAGTATATCGTCTGGTATGCAGCCCTAAGAGAGATTACCATTCGAAAGACACGCCGTTGGTTAAGGAGCATCGTTCGATAATATCTCACGTAGACGAGGACTCGGAACTTTCAATTCCACAATACGACTTTCTTGAGAATTTTTGGGGTCATCCATCCAATGCTTGAGAGTCGTGGTAGTTCGCTTGATGCCAAAGTTGCTTTCATATGCTCTCGCTCTTTCCGATTCGTTCCATCCTTCGTGTGCATGTGCCTTCATCCACGCAACAGCAACCAATCTCTCCTGACAATTGGACTTGCGATTTTTCTGCAATTCTGACACATTGGTGGATTTTCGCCGCTTACATGCGTGGGCGTGAGGAGGCTCACTGTCATTTCCAATGCGCGTATTGCATCCCTTGCGGAGACGCTTTGGGGGTGATTCGTGCATACCCAGCGCGAGGTCTTGACGCGAGGACACACGGTCCATTTTAACGTCGTTTTCACTCTTTAGTGGTAAAGAGCTAGGCGATAAGTCGTTCATGAGCACGGAGCTCACCGAGCTGGCTTTCCCAGTGTCTCCTGGCAGAGAAATACGAGATGTTGGGAGGGCATTTTTATCCTCTCCCGTTAGAGGCATCGATGAAGTCCCGACTGTGTCACCATCCTGTGCCGCGTTGCCTCCAATGTTAGAGTCATTGTTCCTCTGTCCACTGGAGCCATTCTTAGAACTGCCATCTTCTATCCCTTTTTCCTCTTGGATCGTGTCATCCAAGTCCTCGTCCTCTGCGCCATTGTCTTCCGGGGACTCGTCTGTGTTTTCGTCCTCTGACTCATCATCCTCACTCGAATCTTCAGACGAGCTGTCCATACTCCTCTTGCAATCGTTATCAGAGGTCGTTTCTGATCCGCTTGATCCACTCGATGAGCATGATTGTGCTGGACTTGATGCACGGAGTCTCTCGCTCCCCACTGCGATGTCGGGCTCACGCGGCGTGAGATACTGTGCTGGTGGACTTGTTGGCGTAGGAGATATTGTCATGCGATCTAGGATGGATTGAAGCTCGCTCAGGCGTATTTTCAGCGCTCGCTCAAGATTTTCTAGACTTCCCTTATCTGTTCTGATTAGATTGCTACTTCATCAAGCTCATGGATAGGAGGGAGGTACGAACATCTGTGGAAGTCACTTAGTTCGCCGGAGATATCAGTCAATATTCTCAGAGTGGTTTCTGCCTCCCTCTTCACCTCTTCGTGGCTTGGCCCCGAATTGGAAATTTGGACAGCATGGCTTCGGCAAAACTCAACCCTATCGTGCGATTGCGGATCGAATTCAAGCACCCTGCCCTGAATGGAACAGTGGTAACTTCCGTCACTTTGTTGCTCGAAATCGCCGTGACGAACAATGTCCAGCCAGGAAATAGATGCGCTATTTGCGTCTTCGTTCCAGCATGAAGGGTCGCGACCCATATTCTTGCTCAGCGACCTTTCGATGTCGTAACTCTTGAGGGGTTCTCTTGAAAAATGCTGGGTGAAGGTTTGGGCTGTGTTGAGGACGTCTCCATAATGCCGAACGAGATCGTGGCGAGGCGGCTGGAGGTCTTTGAATCGTTGTAGTGGAACGTATCTCTCTGACCCCCAGCTGATGAAATATTCAGGGCTGTCCATGTTCTTCGTCTCCCTTTATAGGTCAGTTCAACTCTTCATGTTTGGCCGGTTCTTTGTCATACAGTACAGTGGTTTCTTATAGAGGTTTCCGTGGCTCTTGGTATTGAAATATAAATATGAATTTTGCTCAGGGCGGACCCAAGGCCTGGTTGTCTGGAGTGAAGAAAATAATACACAGGAGAAGGGACAAGGTATCAAAATATATATGATTTGAAAATGAGAAAAATCTCTACAGTGTGTATGCACCGACTGTTATCAAGTACGATCGCCGTTATACCCCGGTCACTCTGATAGAGTCTTCACTCAATGCTAGTTGGTCCTTTCCACGTGGGCATTGACCTTGGAATCGTTTCCAACACGTAAAAAATGATATGTCCGAAAGTACGTTGTATCTGAAATGTCAAAATAAAATACTTCCATACATACATACATGGTACTCATGTGTGAGCCCTATCTATTCCATCTCCATGAACAGAAGCAAGTACATTTCACTTACCGAGTCGTCACAAGTACAGGACCGAACGTGGGTAATAGAGAAGCGCATAAAGCCCCACACTCGTTTAATTGGGGTTCGAGGAACAAGGCGCCTGCATCCTGCAGGTTGCCCAGGACATCACACCTCATCCTTGTCAGGGGTCAGGTTTTAGGTCCGCAACGAGGGTCGGTTTTCTGGTCCGCAGCAGGATGCCAGTTTCTCTGCCGCGCCTGTTAGGCTGTGGTTTAGGTATTGGGGGTCAATTTCTTGCCACGCCTTTTTGGGAGTGGTCTAGGTTCAGGGATCGCTCTGCAGGTCTGCAGGAGGGAATCATTTCGTCAGTTTCTTGCCACACCTTTTTGGGGGCGGTTTACATTTAGGGGGCAGGGGACCAAGGAGCCAATAGCTAAGCACCACTAGTGCCAATCATTTACGTTATGTACCGACATACGCAATGTACGTCGCCCGTTTTGTCATATAATAAGGCCTGGGATTTTCTCTGATTTTCTTGCTAATATACCATCTCGAGTGTTGACTTGATTTGCCTGGCAGAGGTACGTGTACGTGCTATGCGCTTTTCGCGTCTTCACCGCCTCATTGGCGTTCCAAGGTTGTTATCATCTGCACTGCCCTGTTGTTGAAAATAGCCTAATGGCAAAGCCGACAGATACAGCTAACTATAAGATAGACGAACTTGTTGGATGCCTGAGGAATCACTATGTGATAGAATCCACTAGTTTGATAGCTCTCTCTCCTCTCCTTCTCCTTCCCCCTCTCCCGTGCGAGACAGTCAATCCACACAGCTCCATCTGTATCGCATCTCCATTAGAACTTCATATGTTGAGGATCAGCAATCATATTGCAACAAAGATAGGAGGCTGCAAATATTAGGCTCAGTTATTCTAGACGGCATATATATTCTAGGCCTCCCAGATTTGGGGACTGTGGGTCTGCCCCTGACTCGTGTGGCTTTCTTAGCGCTGGTTTTGCTTTTGCTGCGCAGTCACAATGCGTTGTGCACTTATACCTATCATTTCCTCTTTGTTATTGTCAACAAATAACACACTAGGCTCTTTGTTGGTGGCACGGGCAATGTTTCAGTCTCCTATTTATCAACTTGTGTCTTTTGTTGACTTTCAATCAGCTGGGGCCAAATGGATTGATACACCAGACATCTTAGTGAAGAGAATGCTACTACTACAGGTGACTAGAGATAGGATATAGGGTGAGACTAATTTAAATTTCCTACAAACACGCAGGTAAAAGATAAAGTGCAACAAGAAGAAAGAGGGAGAGAAAAGAGAAAGTTAGGTATCTCTAACATTGTATGTCTGTTATACCCTTGGAGTAGAACACATAATGGCCTACGGCAATAACACTCAAAAGTACAACACTGAATATGTATGCTAAGTGCCGCAGTTGCCTGGAGACCCCATGGCAAGGTCAGGTTACAGAACATAGGTGACCGAGTTCAGAAGATTCATGAAATGTTACGCACAGACATGTAAGCATTCCCGAATCTTTGTCGAACGAGCTACGCAGAGGAAGTGCTGTTGGAGACCTTGGGGAGTTATAATGAGATTGCGACTGTTAAAACTGTTAAAACTTCCCAGCGAAAATATCCACAGATTTCGCTGTGGCCGACTGGTAATTTATAATTTACCCTGCCGCAGGGAAATACCAGTCATGTTAAGCCCCAGGACAATAGCCTACAGAAGTTCGGTGTCATAGAGAAGACTCTCTTTAGAATAGCCAGCGACACAATGCATCTTTTTTAAGCGTACTGTTGAACATAACCCTAGGTCACGACGTTTGTCTATCGTAATCCTGATTTTGATCGATGAGCAGATAGTAAAGCTTTCACCCCAAACCGATATACTGAAATCTCGGGTCTACTGAAAATTCAACCAACTGGCAAAAAACCTGAAAAGTTTCTTCACAGAAGATGGCCCAAAAAGCCGAAACCTGGAAGGCCAGTCCTTTTACTAAGCTACTACAGAACTTTTAATGTCAATATGCCCGAAAGACATGGAGATATCAAACTTTTCCCAAAGGGTGGCCTCGTTGAGGATAGATTAGTGAGCGGGGTGACTCACAAAAGCCAGAGCCGTATAAAAAGACTTTGAGTTTCAACTTCACCAACATCTCGGAGACACCCAATAAGCAGCAATCCGAGAACTGAAATCTCAAATCAACAAAATGACATTGGAATTTACTCTTCCCACGGCTTTGATCCTGATAGACAATCAATCAGGCTTCTCCAACCCAAAGACCATATCCCATTGGGGCACCACACGGTCCAACCCAAGCTATGAAACCAACCTGCAAGCACTTCTCTCCGCATTCCGATCTGCGAGATCCTCCTCTTCAACGCCACTGGAGGTGATCCACATCTTTCACTCCTCCACAACGCCGGGATCTCCATTCCACCCTTCCAACCCGGAACAGGGTATCCGTCCTCTTGACATCGCAACCCCTGCCTCAGATGGGTCGGAGCCTGTCTTTTGGAAAAGTGTCAATTCCTCTTTTATCGGAACTGGACTTGAAGCGCATCTGCGTGACAAGGGGTTCCGTCAGCTTATCATTGCGGGGTTGACGACTGATCATTGTGTTTCAACTACTGTGCGCATGGCGGCTAATCTGGGGGTTGTGGATCGGTATCTCGGAGATGGGCCTGTCCGGTTGAGGTCGGATGGGACGCATGAGAATGAGGTGAATGTTGACAAGGGGCGTATTGTGCTTGTTGGGGATGCGACCGCTACCTTTGGAAAGGCTGGGATTGATTCGGAGACTATTCAGAAGATCTCTCTTGTTAGTCTCGATGGTGAATTTGCCGATGTATTTGCCACTGAGGAGGTTGTTAAGGCCTTGAGCAAAGTTCAAAACTAGCGTGATAGTGTTTGAGGATATAATGGTCTTAACTATGCTGAGTTCACGTGAGACGGTAGCTCCTTCGCTCAAGTCCTAGGCTATCTTAGTCATTTGCTCGGCCTGACTTTAATTTCCTTTGGTCGGGACTTTCAGTTCTACCTTCACATTTTGGGCTGTGTTTCACGGGTGTCTACAGATGTCTACAGTATCTACAAGTCAGACTACGGAGGACGGAAATATGGATGGATTGCCTCTCTCATTTTCTATGCATTTGTGTATGGTGCATGCATATATGGTATGTGGAATAATACAGAACTGTGTGGCGGGTTGCCACTACATGAAAATATAGTTGCCTTTGCCGTGGACAAGGATAGGCCAGGTCCCAGGGCGCCTCTGGGTCCCAGCCCCCTCGCCTTTGGGCTCAGGTCAACTCTCGCACCTCCCCCAAACACCTCATCTTCTCCTCCAGCCTCTCGATGATTTTCCTTTTGATGTCCGCAGACATCATGTCCTCCTCCTTCATCCATCCCTCCTGGTCCTCGACGGGATCTTCGTCTTCCCAATCGCTCTCATCCTCCTCGCTGAATTCCGACTCGTAGTCACTGAGGTCTTTTTGTACCTCAGTGCTGTCGCCCTCTCCGTCCGATTCGGTCTCCAGGCCTTCGTCTTCGCTGTCCTCCCTGTATCGTAGCTCCCACTTCTCCCACTCATCCCACTCGTCTTCCTCATCGTCCTCGATTGTTGGAAGGGGGATCGGTTTGGTGGTATCCCCATCAGGTAGGGGCCATGCCCACTGGAGAAGTCCATCCATTTTGTCGGCGTAGTCCTCTGCATCGAAGTTGAGTGCTTGAGTATAGGCGACTTTGAGTCGGCCTTCGTCGGAAATACCCATGCAATACTCGAACTCGAGCATCGGGGAGGAAGGAGATGACCATTGTCTATATAGAAGTCAGTCAATCATGTCCTGTTATGGCAGTGATTTGGTAGACTGTCTGGACTTACCGGGAAGTCAAGTTGGGGCCGCTCATGTCGGTGGTACCTGCCGAATTGGTGCTTGTGGTTTTTGAATCCACTCAGCATCCATCGAACAAGCACGATGAGCTCGCCAACTGACGGGAGAACGTCGTGGTAGCATTCTTCGCTTTCCATGACGACGAGTTGATGTGCGGCCTTTCCGTCGGCACTCGTGGCTCCCCTTTGAATGGTGAAGCCGTGCTGGTCGTTGCTGTTGAAGAGACCATCGTCTTCTTCCATGCTATTTTCATCGAATGTTAGTCCCTGAGATTCATTTTATCTATTTTTGCGGATTTTAAACTTACGAGACCGGGTCCCAGAAAATGGGGGTCTTATTGCCTCCCGGGGACTTGCGGAGGTACTTCGAAAATGCCTTGTACAGTTGATGGTGCATCTCGTGGGGGGTGAAGTCTTGCTTGTCCTTCATCGCCCGGACCCAGGTGAACGGGTCATCCACGGGGTCCTCGGGGTCGAGTGCAGAGTTAGCTATTTTGAAGTCGGTGTCGGTGTCGGGTGCGAAGAATTCGATGAGGGAAGGGTCGGTGTCCCCAGTCCAGAAATTCATCGGGTGGATATCGATATTTGTGGCCTGGTTTGTGATGTAACCAGGTTCCATGTAGCGGAGCTCTCTGTGGAGCTGCTGGAGGCTCTGCTCCTTTTGCTCAAAGAGCCAAATCCAGATGGGAGTAGGGCACATTGTGAAGCCACCTGGGGAGGGATGATGAAGAAGGAAGAAAAAGAGGGAAGGTGCAGACAACGGGGGCTCTTTTATGTCTTCTTTCCCTTGTCAAATTCTGGTCTGCCTCCGAAATCCAAGACGATATATATCAACTATGCCTAAATCAGATAGTGGCTGGGTTAGACCCGCGGGTACAATGCGTCTCAACACGAACCAAGCCTAAATCAGACCGATTCCGATCTGTAAAGCTTATTCCCCATGACTAGAGTCTTTCGGACGCTATATTTGGTGGCGGATGGCTCCTGCCCTGCTGTGTGCCCATCCAATAGAATACATATATTATAAGCGAGAACTGAGATACCACGGTAAGATAGAACTATATGCACTCTAGCATTGAGATGTGGGCGTATTAGAAACCTTTGCACACTTTAAAGGCATAATGCTAATACTCCTAAATAGGAATAGTATACAAATTGCTCCTATATTGCGTCATTGTAGATAGTATGTATAGCATTATTGAGAAGAGATAAGGCCTAAGCAAAGGAGGACTGGTTTCATAGTAAAAAGCAAGTGAGAGTAAGGCAAGGCTTTAGTGAAGTTATCATAGGCTGATGCTATTGTAACTTAGATTTCGCTCGATCACAGGCGCATTATGTCTCCAGGTCGTTGCAGCATCCTTATGGACCTCATCTTATGAACTCGGCATACTCTCACCGTATTCCGCGACGAGCACACATACCCGATTAAGGAAGACCCGCTGCTTCTCCCAGAACGCGAGCGCAATTCCAAGGGTCAGTGCCGGCCGCCGGGGCCGGGACTGCGCAGAGAATCACGTCCTACTTGGATTCGGAAATATGTAGGTATACGTGCTCGGGCATCTTAGTAGCTCCGGCTATATACGCGTATCGTGCCCTAGTGCGGTATGGTTAGTATAAAGTACACTAGAATAAATCGTATTCTTACATGAGTGATGCCTTCAGGATCCACACGCTACACCACACACTACACCCGCCGGTGCTTAGTTACTGTAGCGAAGAAATCAGGGATCAGTTCACGTAATAGGACGCCCGCTGCGTGCAGCAGTTCAGGCTCGCTAGGCGGACCCGAACTGTTGTAGAATAGGGCCATATAATGGATATAGGCCAGGAGTTCAAGGTGTATATGCCTACAACCACTAGGAACCTATTCTGCTAATAAGTTAACCTAGTGTGATATCCAGTTAACACTTACCACATTAAATGTGAGGCACTTGATATTATTTGCCTCATAGTGGCGACATCGAGGGATTGTGAAAGCATGGTCCATGTTCCACGAGTCGAGAAGCCTGCTAGACAGGGAAGGCAAGACCCTGTCGAGGGTTGGTGGGGAAGCTGATCCAGCTGGAAGTGAAGCTATCATAGGCTGATGCTATTGTAAGGAGTAAGTGAGAGTAAGGTAAGGCTTTTGAAAAGCTATCTTAGGCTGATTCTTTGGTAAAAAGTAACAGTAACGTGAAGGAAAACTGATGGTATAGTAAGAAGTAAGTGAGAGTAAGTGAAAGGTATATATGACGATAGTTGATAGAAGAGTGTCCTTGAAGCTACATGCTACCAGGGAGATGGAGGAGGAAGAAACTCTTGATATGCAAACTAGCAAAGCAGGGCCTTTATAAAGGCCTGCACTAACAAAGAGGTCAGTCTGCATAACACAAAGAATCATCCCATGTAGGGGGAATTCTCCAACAAGTGTCAATGTACTGCTGTTCCCTTCTCACTGATTTGCTTAGCTATCGACTTGTCTCGGATGGGATCGATAGGTTTCACATGGCAAGTCAGCACCCCTCCGATCATTCCTTCCCCTTCGAGGACCAACTACTTTCTCCTTCCAGTCAAAGGCAGCATCCTCAATTTTATACAGCAACCCCCTTTATCCCGAACTTCTGTCATTCTCCCACAAGTGATCAAAATGAAGAAAGCCCGTCGACCTGGCTCGCCAACTCCAGACTGGCGATTGGCTTATTGACCGAGAGCCGCAGCCCGCAGCGGGAAATCTCGCGGAATGCCATGACCAACGTCCGCAATGGCAAAGTGATCCAGCAGACGTTGGTTAACACCAACGAAGCCGTTACTAAGCTGCCAATGCCAGCAGCGCCAGCAACGACGACCTTCGCGACAACATTATCTTGCATTTCCGCCATTCTTTCTCTTATTCTTCGAGCTCCTCGTCCACTTTCATCAATTATCCCGTCACATTCCAAACACCCATCATCATCATCATCATCATCGTCATCATCATCATCATTACATACCTGAAGACAAAGCATGTCTGCAGGAGAATAGTAAGATATCCCACCCCGCTGTCACTTCTTCGTCTAGGGGAAAATACTGACAATCCTAACAGCTACGACCCGGCCTGCCTACCAGTGGATCGCTCCCCCCGCATCTCTCCCTGGAACAGTCCTGGGGACCAATGAATGCCCTCCCGGCCCATGGGCTGAGCATATCATGAAGGCCCCATGGGACAGGGCTAGAGAAGGCCGCTGACACAAGACCGACCTTCTGCGACTGTTAGTGACCAAAACTTCAGTCCGGGAGCCGATGCTCCGCCCGACATACGTACGGGCATCTCGATGGACGGCTCTGAGAATGCACGAGATGATTGGCAATGAAGTTTCGAACGTGGAGTCGGCCATGATTCAGGTCGTCGGTCGTGTCCAAGATACCGAGTGCCGGTCTTGTCTGCAGGACCATGGGCCATGGGTCCAATGCGTTGTCCTGGACGGACCCTCCGGCATCGTGTGTGTGGATGCGCAAACTGTCATTGGAGGAAGAATGACAGCCGGTGCACCTCGTTTGGTGGTGGATCTGTTGAGAGCTACGTAACCAAGCACTGGGGAGAATCAAGACGAGACAAGAGAAGGCCTTTTGTACAAGGCTTGGGAAGCAAACAAGCTGCGCACACACAAATCAGAATTGGGCAAGGTCAAGCACATCACCATATGCCAATGGCCCACATATCACCGAAGCCGATCGATTGCGTATCGGAGAGAGCAGATCCTTAGTTTCCCACAATGACATCCACAATCCGAGCAAAGCAGATTGTGGAAAATCCGTTTCCATCCCTTCAAATTGGGCCCTACCATACCGTTTCAAGTGCACTTCAGCCTTTGTCCTTCGTGGGGACCCTTGTCCCATGGAGCAACTTTCTAAGATCTGTTGAGCATACGCACACAAACCAAAATTGGGCGAGGTCAAGGGCATCGCCTTACGGCAATGGCCCCCACTCCACGGAAGCCGATCGGGTGCATGTCGGGGATGAGCATGGCCTCCAGGGCCGTTTCCAACAGGCCATTGGCCAAACATTTGGGGCGGTCGTGGAGGCCAAGGCGATCAACCTCTACTTCGCCGACTTCAAAAGCTCGGGAGCAACTACGACAAGATCCCCAACGTTGTCGGTCTTCAAGGTATGGCCGGAAATACTACAATCAAGCTGGTCGGAGAGCTAAAGACGCCCTGGGTCATTTAACATGACCTCCAAATGGCGGCTCGCTATCGACGTGAATTGCGACAAAAGATTGCGCAGCCAGTACGGGACATGCAAGCACTCGGATGCGAGTATGGGTTTATCAGTACATATAACCACATCATCTTCCTTCGCCGGTTCCAATCCCCTAGTGGGGATTGGGAAGTATGGTATTCTCCTCCTATCTCCTCAGCATCCCACTACCTCCCAACAGTCCCTAACCCCCAAGGGACTCATCTCACCCTCCCCCATGTGTCGATGAAGTAGTGCATGTTCTACGTGTGTACCTTAGCGAGTGCAACTAACCCCGTCAACAACCAGACTGCACACTGGGTTATCCGTACGCGCTAATGAATTTCCCTGCCTGTCTGATATATGTCTTCGGTCTGAATGACCAACAGTCCGGTGTCCTGCAACTTGCGAGTTACAGGACGACAATGTTATTTTGTCAAAGAGTAGCTTCGAAAATGTCATATGGTCCTTTATGCTGGATGATTCTAAGGTGTTGTACGTTGATATCCCACAGTATCAAGGGCTATCAGTAGCGGAAAGGCACTACAATCGTCTTATTGAAAGCACTAGTTTAGCGACAGATACATGCATACTAGGGTAGCTAGGCATCACAACTCAAGAATACAATCCCATATGCGAAAGGCTATTCGACTGTCAAAAGAGCGATGTACGGATATCCATGTTGGTTACCAGGTCCAGCCCGAGCTATCAAGGTCCCAGTACATCCTGTCAGATGGCTTTGCCAATCCCCATATCGCGTAAGTTATGTCTGAGAATGGCTGAGTGTCCACTCGATAGGGAGCGCGGAAACCGGAAATGTGCCTAAAAATAATTAGCTCATCGTGATCGGCGTTTATAGGTTGGTGAGGTGATGGAATGTCATGACCACCTACATAACCTTGGTAACATCATTGTAGATAAGCTTTCTCGTTGGGGTAAGGCCAGGACGCCAGGAACACCTACTAAGTTCTCTTCGTTGTATTAGTATAGGTAGCTCTTAAGGGGTGGACGTATAGGGTCATGGTCTTACTCGTAGGCAGTACGGAAGGCGAAACGCACTTGCTGGCGGTGTTCAAAGTCGCTTTTCCAGAAGGAATAGTAATCGACCGGCTCACCAGGCACCCGTTCCCACACAACGTAGTTGATGTAGCCACCAGGCACGTATTCTTCGGCACCTTGCAACCCTTCCCCATAGCCAAGCAATTTCGGTACTACCGTGCAGTTTTCACGATCGAGAGTCGCAAGCGCTGTGAGCTCCATGTGGGTGCGCTGGCTGACAGCCTGCCGAGCTCGGACTTCCAGAGCGCTAGAAAAGGTACCGTCAAGAGGGATCTGCATATAAATACGCATGAAGCCCTGCTGAGTAGGGTCTAGAAGGCTGTGACAGGAGAATTTTATGACGGCAAATGGAGGCCCCAGCTCTTGCTTATATTCCTTCTGGGTCATCGTTTGGTATTGTTCAGATATTTTCTCGTCGAGAACAAACGTCCGATGGGGCGAGAGGGAAGGCTGGTCGAGTTTAATTTCAGTACTGCCCAGGTGATCGAAGTTTATCAAGGGGGGTCGTTATGACGAAGTCCCTAGAACGGGACATTGCGACGAGGAAAAGGTGACGAAAGGTGAGCAGCTTCAAGGTTCGGAAGAAATGAAAACGCTCTGATGGAATTGATAAGTGAAATATAGAAGTCAAGAGTTGAGCAGAGAGAAAAGAAGGGTGTGGAGGTGACAAGCAAGTATTACGGATTATTGCCTAATTGGGCGTTAACCGTGGAACAATAACATATGATTCCCAATTTAACCAGCTCCAACCTACCTAGATATCAAGCCCTTTCAAAACATCGGGAATCAAAGCTATCTAGGTACTCCGTACGAGCAGATTAGTGCCGGAGTTGTGGAGGCATCCATTTTGATTGACCCCAAGCGACTATGGGAGACCTCGGCACGGACGTTCAAATTCCTGAAGGTCTCTGACGACTCTCAGGTGTATATTCATCATGTCAGTGAGCCTAATTCTAACGTTTACCAGCTGTCCCAGCGGACTTTGCTCGCCACGGATATAAGGCCAAGCAGACAATATCTACCTCGTACGAGAGACTCGAGGAGGTCTGACCTATTGGTCATGTGTCTGGTTACCGGAAGATAGACTTGACTACTAGTATCAACGTTGTACAGCAAACGACTGGTTTTGCATTACTACGGCACCTAAAAATTGGCTCACCGATACACGAATCTTTCTAGATACAAAGCTCGATATTTCCGGTAAAACGGCTGGCGCTCTTCGCCTAGAACGATTCCAAAACTGGTTCTAGGGTAGCTAGGTGTCTGAATACTGTTAGAGACATAGATTGGATGTCTTTGTGTGTAGACTGGCACCTGGGTACCTTACCGAAGGGTGCCAAGCAGTATGCTATCATTCCCAGTCCTTGAAAGAAAAAAAGACAAAAAAGGACACTAAAAAATTAAAAGAAATGGGAACACGACACTAAGGCACACTATTATACTGCTACCTGCAATCCCCGTTCTGCCAAAATCAGCTTTTATAGTGCGGACTTCCGACCAAAAATAATTACAAGTGCCCTTTCTTCAGCCCTCTTGGAATCACAGCATAGCACACTGTCAGTCTTTCACATGCACGCTGTCCTACGGAATCACTAAAGAGAAAAGTAAAAAAAAAAAACATACAACAGTGAGGATTCGCTGGTGGTCACCCACCCAACTACTAACTCACCGGCGTGTGGCTTGAGTACGGCTGAGCGGACGGGAAGCCCTATTTTCCACACCCTATGGTCGTATGTACCAGACTATGTGCGGGAGAATTTAAAGTAGTCAGTTTTAGGAATGACCAAAAAGCTGCAATAGTTTATCCTTCTTTAGACAGAGTGACTATAACGCAGTGAGCCTTGCCTTTACTAGTTTGCCATTTCTTTATTGGTCCAGGCTTATAAACAGCCTTCTTCTTATAGATAGATTATCAGTTTCTTCTTCTGGATTTTCCCGCTGCTAGTATCTGCTGCTAGTATCTGCTGCTAGTATCTGCTGCTAGTATCTGCTGCTAGTATCTGCTGCTAGTATCTGCTGCTAGTATCTGCTGCTAGTATCTGCTGCTAGTATCTGCTGCTAGTATCTGCTGCTAGTATCTGCCGCCAGTATCTGCTGCCAGTATCTGCTGCTCGTATCTGCTGCTAGTATCTGTATCTGCGTAGCCTCAACAAATACGAAAAACAATTCATTCAGGATCTTCAGAAACACCGAAGTATTGTTCGGAAGCATGACGTGAGATTATAAAAATGGGGTCTTTAGAAGACAAAAGTTGTTGATCTTGCTTTACCGTGTCTATCGTGCCTCGTAGCATGACCGAGAGAAAGTGGAAGCTACTTTAAACAAAGGGAACCCTATATTTACAATCGTTGGGATTCTCAAGTTTGGTCGGAGCACTTCGGAGATTGTATGTCGAGCCTCAACTACCAGGTTGCTTGATAGGAGGATAGACTAGAAATATTGATCTTGTGTATATAAGGTTACAGGGAACGCGCGGTGTTTGGGATGATTTTGGCTGGAGCACTTTGGTTATGACTACAGCAATTGAAACAAATTCCAGAAAGGCTTTGTTATGGTATGAATATTAGATTGTTCTTTTCGACCACTCAATTAATGTAGAAACTATCTCATGATGTCCCATGATCACCAAATCTCTTTCTATACCTACAACTCCTTCGCTCTTGCTGTCCACCGTTCTTTCCTTTTTCATACCTGACCTCAGTTCCTGGGTTTTAATCAATTCTTCATTTCGAAGTTCCCCCTCCTCCTACCCTCCTCTCAATTATTTATATTCTACATGACCGTAGTGTTGGGCGCTTGACACTTACTTTATGAACACTACCCAACCATATCACTCGACGATACTCTTCTGGTTTGACAAGGACCAACTCCTATCAGCTACTTCAAAAGTACTGCTCAAGTTACAGTATCTTCGTCGACAACATTCTTTTGTTTTACCAAGGACCTGCCGTAGTTGTTACACGAAAATGGATTCCTCGCAGTGAGTTGTGTAATCCCATCCTACCTATTCATGCATTACTGACTGAATTTCCAGGGATAGCGAGCAGACCGTCAATCGGTGCCAGCTACGACCTCGTTGATGCGACACGATACTTGGAGACGACCGTTCGGTCGCAGGAATCTTCTCTCCTCGCTACGGCAACTATACGGTGAGAGTTTGGAAGTGCCTCGAACTTTCCGTCATCTCCTATACTTCTGGCCATCTGGTTTTGTTGCTGTTGCCGAAATTCTCGGGGATAGCTCGCAGAAAGAGAAGCCTCGGAGCTCTCGCCCACCTCAATGACAAGGACACGCGTACTACAATTGCGAGCTATGTTGACGACCTGGGGAGATCTCTACTCAATCAGGAGGCGGAATCCCAACTACTGGACACGAATTGTCAATCTGTGGAAGGAGTGTGGGAGATACTTGGAGGATATGGGACATCGGCTCCGGAGACATCGCCAACCCCGGATTCATCTCGTTTACTCGCCAAAGCCCCGGTACCGCCAAGCCGAAGAAGGAATTCACGCAAGCGCTGGAGGAAGGCTTGTTCCAGGGCGAGCTGGATCAACTGAGCCGAGACGAGAAATATCGATCGTGCATGAGTATAACCCGTTGCATGAATCAAACACAAGGCGCACAATCAACATCCCCTTGGTGTTTACGCACGATATTGCAACGTCGTTCCACTCTCCTTATCCCGGTCATCCTGTCAGAGTCCAGATGAAACACACGTACGGGTATGGCCCCTTGACTTGAAAAGAAAAATGTTTGGCACTGCGGGGCGCCCGGACCACGCTGTCTGGTATGAGTAAGTACCTCGCGATATCATCGTTATGATGTATTAGGAAGCTAACCTTAGGCTGCGTGCACAGACATCGCTTGATGATCGGGAACAAATACGGCGCCTAATCAGTGGTGTTGCGTGCGTCTGGGAATGGAAAAACATTCAATTTTGCTCGTCGAGGATTTGCAGAGATGAATTATACATAAGGACCATTCTGCAGACGATTTAACTTCCAGTGCCCCCCAAAGGCATTTTATGCAGGGTAGTATGGTAAACCTTGTCCTCCGAGCAAAACTAGATGCTGCCGATCTCATATCTCGGCAAAATATATTCAATGTGACCTTTCTAGCCTGTTTTGTGAATATAGAGATCAGGAACTCGGAACAGATTTGTCTATCGCGAACAAGATTTCAAAAACTAACACCCTCTATTCACTCTTTTTCGAGGAGGGTTTGGGAAAACTTCCGCGTCCGACGACGTAGCATCTCCACTCGTTCCTCCATGGTCCAGTTGACTTGATCACCGATGGGGATCAGACATTTAGCCAGGTAGTCGTAGTTCTTCCGGAGTAAGTTCACAGTAATGAAAATATAATCCACATTTCGGAAAACAAGAGCATTTTCCTTCGCATAGCGATCCTTCTGCGTGAGGAAAGCGACAGGATGATCCCTCCAGTGACGGCGCGGGTTCAGATGGTGAGAAGTGTGGTACCCGTCATTAAAAGAGAATCGGTTACTCTGGTATCCGTCAGTCCCGATCGTACACATTAATCAAGCTGTTAAAACTCACCGGAACATCAATCAATGTGATACTGGACAGGTAATCCGAATCAGGGTCTGCCGGATCCACGAAAGCATGTTGGCCCCAGTTGCCGACCATCAAGCCCAGACGCATAACGGTCAGCGGGAGGATGAAGACGAACGTGGTAGCGCGCGCATTGACGTAGTTGTAGAGCATATAAATGGCAACGTAGTTACCGACCTCCCAGAAGGCGCACTTGGCCGCATACTTGAACTGACCCTTTCTCCAAAAGTACATTGGGAGCTCGAGCCAGATGAAAAAGAAGAACCGGCCCACGTAGGTCAAGAAGTCTGGGATGCTGTCGCGGTCGTAGTACATCGTTGTGCTCAGATCGTCGCCGCCGTTACCCTCGACGTGGTGGTGCTTGATGTGGTGGTAATAGTATGAGTTCCATGTATGTCCGTGCATGGGGTCCAGCAGGTAGGGGAAGAGCATGTCGAACAGATATAGTTTTGATGTCAGGACTCCGTTCATGTGGATGTGTTGGTGCTTCATCAGAGTGAAAGCGCCGCAATAGAACCCTTGCATGAGCCAGTGCAGGGCACCGTGCAGGTAGGAGAATCGGTAATATAAGAATGCGGCACTTGGGACAATAGTCGTGAAGTACAGGATAAGGTGCGTTACCATGACCACGTCGGTCTGGTATCGTACGATGCCTTTCGCCCAGTTGATGTACGGTGTAAGCACGTACTTTTGGATGGGCGCGGGTAGCTTGGCCCTCAGCAGCGGAGTATCCCAGAATTGGGAGATGGTGGGATCAAATTCTACATGAGAAGGATCATTAAGATTGTGAAGCTTTTGGACTGTTTCTTCGGTGCTCAGCTTGTCCAATGGCTGTGCACTTGTTTTGTCTAGAGTTTAGTTAGTGTGTTATTCGACTGACAATGCAGGGGTATTACCATTTGAGCTGGGCTGAGGCTCAACAATAGCATCGATCACCAGTCGATCTTGGTAGGTGAGTTGGGGATCTGTGTATGTAGAAGGATCCATGATGTCTTAGTACGGCAGTGCCTAGTCATGTTAATTTTTGTCCAATCAAATGTGTAATCCAACACTAACCCGGTGTCCAAGCTCTTGATTATAACAAACTTGGATAATTTCCGGGCTTTCCGGGTTTATAAAGATAATAGATGCCTAGCAATACGGAGTACCCTGGACAGTCTCCTAATTATAAGACTTTGAACGCGTCAGGGGCGCGAAGAGATTTCGGGGACTCAACTGTGGGTCCTGGAATCGACAAGTTATGTGAGTCGAAGCAACGTTCTTAAATGATCCTGACAGTTGATCTAGTATTTCCAAGTACAGCTCAAGCTATCCTTTGCCATCCGAGAGTATTTGAGGGTCTCGTTGTCAAGAACTTATGATTATGCTACGCCGTACTCCGTCCAGCATCCCCATCTGATTCAGGGGGCGGAAACATTTCCCCCTGAACATCCCACCAGTTGAACGTTTTTGAGTGAAAACTCCCGCTAAAGCACAATTGTTTGATATGTGCGTGTAGTAATATAGAGTACTCGGATTTATAAAATCTAATGTGTAGGTTTTGGAGAATTTTAATTTACATTTCCTGAGATAAGCCCCTGGCGGAAGATCATCACTAAGAAAAATAAGCTATCAGCCTATAAGAAAGGCTACATAAAGCACGAGGATATTGAATAGATGCTGCGAAGAAGCGTTTTGGCTGTGGAAAATATCAAGTACTTCGCAACAAATCTATTATTTTAGTATATGGATGTGACAGACGGGCTGTAAGGATGAGAGAAGGAGAATCAACGAAATGCAACGAAGCGACAAATGGCATTGCCTACTTAGGTAAGAGCCAATTATTGCCAACAGAGTGACATGTTGAGGCGGACCGGGCTTCCTTCGATCATAAGGCCAAATTCCTTTTTCTATACTAGAACCACTTCAAAGACCTTGGTGAATAAGGCCTTGTCTATGCTTAGAAGGCCACTGCGTTGCAGAAGTTGACCCAAGAACCCGACCAGCTCTATCCAGAGCACTAACAAAGAAATACCGACCGGTCGCGTTGGTAGGAACAGGTATCTCAGTCTCAAAGCCGCCTTTAGGGAATCTCCCCAAGAAGACTGATTCACCCTCGACACCCTCATCGGTTCCATTCAGTGACCACATAGACACTTCCGTAGCTCCGTTCCAACTCACATACACTCGTCCATCATCCACAGCAACCTCAGGCATGGTCTGAGGATGACCAACCCAGGGACTCTTCGTGATCCGGTAGGAGCGAATTTCCCCGCTGTTGAAGAACGTCTCGGGACCCATATGAACATTGCAGAGCAGCGATCCGTCCGAGGCATATTCGGCCCAGTTCGCGTTCGGGCCAAAGCCCAGGACCACATTGCCACTATCCAAGACCTGCATCGATCCACTGTTGTCTGTGAGAACGGTGTTCGGACTGATGTATTCATGCTGCAGCTGCACAGTCATCTTCTCTGTGTCCAGGACCACCGTCAGACCCCGGGTTGGACCCGTCACAGGACGTCCAGGGCAGTTCCCGTTGTCGAAAATGGAAACAATCCGGCCGTTTTCGTGGAACCGGGCATGGTGCTGGCCATTGAAGCCCGTCGCTGCACCACCAGATAGGTCTTTGAACATATTTCCTTTCCCTCCAAGCTTCCAGATCACAGCGCCTGTCCGGCCATCCACGTAGACAATGGAGCTCATCATTCGACAGGAGATGAGGAAATTGCCGAGATCGTCTTTCTCGATGCTGTTGACATGGAACAGATCCGGCGCAGTTTTTTCGGTTCTACCATCGCCTGGCTGGAAGTGGTAGTACTCTTCGAAGCTATAATGGTCCGAAGCGCGCCACTCAAATAATACCTCTCCTGTCTGGATGTGGATCTCCTGGAACCCTGTATCCATAAGGAATTCGACTTCCGGCGGTGCCTCGAAAGCCGTTTGGTTCACCGCGAAGACACCATTGATAACCAGGAGTGCTGTCCCTGAGGGAGTCAGGGTTAACTCATGCGCATCGAGGTGCCACCCCTTGCCTGAATTGCCTGAGCGGATTTGGTAAACTTCCTCATAGCGGGAGTTTATCTAAGGACATTAGAACCTTTCTCAATACGATACCGCCAATCGACAACTTACCAATGCATAATAGGTTGAGTCTTCAGAAAGGGAGACAATATAGTCTTCTCCTTGGTAGGATTGTATGTCCGCTGTGACATACCCGGTCGTGTGCCAGACGAGATACCCGTCCGCATCGAGGAGCAACACCCCCGGAACGTTCACCTGCTTTCCCCAGTAGGGCACAACAGTGTAAAGGCTCTCATTATGACACTGTGGATTTTCCTCGTGAATGTTTAGGATAGGCCCAATGGCATTGGATGAGTGGTACAGCTGGTGAGGCCATCGATCGAACGCGCCCAGGTCATATGGTCGCGATCGATACACTGGGGGGATATCCGCCAGTGACTCGCATGTCACCAAAAGCAACGTCACGAGTTTTGAAAACATGATTGGATATCTCATAATACCGCACTAAAGCGAAACATGGCAACTGCATGGGATACCTGGGTACGGCCCGATGTCGGGAGGTTTTCCCTCCACGCCAAGCAGATGCGCGGGCAAACCCTTGCGGAAGTCTTGGGGCTTTTGTTCTGGTGGGGCACCTTTCTGGAGCAGAAAAAGTAATGTGGATTGAATTGTTAGCCATATAACTTCATAGGAGTCAGTTTATTTAGTGAGAGCTCTCTTCGACTTGCTGCCTCAGGCTTCCAATAAATAAGCTATGCCATAGCCTTGGTAAACCTAGGCATTGGAACTAGTTTATTAACCTTAGCGGTCGGCCATATTGGTTGAAGTCGTTATCAGATTGAGGTTGAAAGGAGCAGCCGTGTAATAGAACGAGATATGCAGGCTTGTGCCCCTACATAGAGTGGATATAATGAAAGCAACATGCGGTTTCAGAATGTCCCGATCAATTGAAGCTATCGGAAGCTGACCGTAACGCCCCTCTTCTTCTCAGGCCATGATCTTTCATGGTCATATGTTTGGAAAATTGGGTGTTACTGCAATTGCCTACATGATTTCTCACTAACAGTTTTCAGCAAATACGGAGTGAGTAGGCTTGGAGAAGAACAAAGTATGTCTTAACCATCAAGCTATGTTAGGACTAACATTCAAAGAAAACGATAACCTGATTGTTCTCCCGAAGCCAAAGAAAAATGTCTCATTTCCCCTCCGCCAATTCTCTAGTTCTTCTTAGTTGCTTGCAACCCCAGTCCCACTAAGCCTTGATGGAGTAAGATTTTCGCCACCCCGACACATCACTGGGTACAGACCCAATTTAATAGTTCCGTTGACATCATGACCTCCAGCGATCAAATGCAATATACGTTGCTGGGGTTAATCATGCCCTAGTGAATTGTTGTTCTCGGTCACTCAGGATGTAAACCTCCGACTGGAGGGCCTATACAGAAATGGAGCTATTAATTTCCAAAAGAGCAAGTAAATCTGAAAATCATCTACAAAACACATGCTATGATGTGTATCTCCAGTGTATCTCCACAGCTATAAATCCGTCAAAAACAATCTGTGCACATAAATATTCCTAGATTCCCTCCTGGACGTGAATTTTTCCACTTTCAACTCAGAACAATCCCCAGCCTCCTACCTCCAGCCTTCAACTTCCACTCTCCCAACTTTCAACCTCTAAACCAATCTTCACCGATTCCCTCTCACCTCACAAAGAACTATCATACCAAAAATGAAGTTCCTCACATCCCTTCTTCTGCTGGCTACCTCTGCCATCGCAGCTCCTATCACTACTACTGCGAAGGAGTCGAAGCACTTCCACCTCAAGACCAGCGGCGCCACCAATGAAAACCACAACAACCTATATGTCTACGCCTACCACACGGGCGCAGGTCTCAACGACGCCGTGCTCTCCAAGGATGCCAGCATGGCCAGTCCAGTCTATCTGAACGGGACGAACGCAGTCGTGGATTTGAAGAGCGAATTGTCTTGGGGACTGATCGCCACCGGCAACACCAACTACGCCTGTGAGTATCGCCACGTACCCTGGAAAAAGTCTCCTGTGTCACATTTCAGTCTGGACTAACCTGATATTTTTATCCACTTTAGCTTGGTTGCCTATGGTTATCAATGCCGGCAGCGGCGGCAGCGAAGGATACTCCATCAAGGGCGACAACTTCCAATGGTCGGAACAGAGCGGCTTCGGTGGTTGGCTCGGTAAGAAAATCCTGTCTCTTTGTTCCATGTTTTCGTTTTAAAGACCATGGCATTAACATCTCCATAACAGTCTGTGATTGGTACCACAATGCGCCCCAGCTATTCTACTTGAACCGCTACTACACCGCCACCATCCCCTCCAGCTGCTCCAAGGTTCAGGTGAAGGCCGAATACGTCTAGATTTCCACGGTCGCTCGGGGTGATTTGGCCCCCTTTAATGGCACTTAATGATCGACGGCCAGGAGTTGGGACGTCTTAATGTTTACTACTCAATAGCGATTCAGCGAATAATGAAATGAAATGCTTTCTTGCTATGTACATACTGCTAGTTCAAGACGGGGATATCAAAAAAACACACTAGCAGGAGAAAAGATCGTGCCGATCAACCGCGTGACATCATGTTCCAACGTAAAGCGTTTCCCTTCTATTTCATCGCCATGCCCGGTCATGAAGCTGCAATTCCCGCAGGAGCAGAGTTATCGTAGTAGCGCTTGTCCATTCCAGCCTGCAAGCGCGCTTCTTCGTTAAATGGCCCGCGGATCGGACCCCTGAAATGCTTCTGCACATTCGACCGGAACACCTGAACAGGATCAGTCCCCTCCTGGGCACAGATCCACGTCAACCACCGATGACCAGTGGTCACATGTGTGATTTCATCGTTGTGGATAATCTCCAGGGTCGCCACGCTCTCACCATCACCAGCTCTGCGGAACTTCTCAATCGTCATGGGGTTAACATCCAGGCCTCGTGCTTCGTGCACCAGAGCGATGATGCTGATTCTCGCTCGGAGATCGTACGCAGTTTCAGTTGCAGATAGCCACAGACTGTGGTGTACCGGGAGCGAACCAAAGCTAGATCCCATCTCTTCGAGTCTGGTGCGGAGAAGAGAGAAGTGCTTAGCCTCGTCGCTCGCGACCTTCAACCAGTCGTAGAAGAATGCGCGCGGGAGTTCCTGCGACGTCCCTTCTGTTTGGAATGTCGCGAAGCGAATGCAGATATCAATAGCCAGGTCGATAGCCCACAGTTCGATATTAGCCAATGCATGGAGCATAGCAATGCGGCTCTTCAAGGTCCCGCCTCGTCCCGCCTTCGGCATCTGGCTCGGGTCAACGGTTTCCATTTTCTCGCGCGGCGGCTGATCAGGCGGAGTGACAGTGCCCCTTCCAAGCGGCATGGGTGAATCAGAAGCCTCTCTAGCAGTGAAAATAGAGAAAAGATGCGTAGCCAGCTCAATCTTGTGCTCTGGATTGGCGGTGTTGAGAACATGAGCGGCCCAGTCACACAGCGTGGCATCGTCGCCGAGATAAGTCGCCATGCCGGGATCCTCTCGGCCCGAAGCAGCAGAAACAGAAACAGTAGCCGAAGTCGTCGTCGTAGGAGCAGCCTTCTCCGCAGGGCGCGGGTGCTTGAGCTTGACTTTCTCACTAACAGGATCAACACTAGCAACCCCAACACTAACCCCGTCCTCGACGGGGAAATCCAGCGCGACGAACTCGCCGCGCACATCCACAGGGAACGTACAGGCCTTGATACCGACGCTGGATTCGCCGGTCTCTACATTGAAATCGTATGCGTGCCACGGACACGAGACGACATACGCCGAGTCCTCGATGTCGACTGAGGAGTCGGCCATTGGGCCGCCAGCATGCGGGCATTCTGCCTCCATGGAGTAGTACGACCAGCCATCATTGGTGTCGTTGGGTTTCAGGCTTGATTTGTCGATCGTCGGGAGCCGGAATAAGACCAGTTTCTTGCCTGTGCTTAGGCGGACCACGTACCGCGCCTGCGTGAAGTCGGAGAGTTTCCCGCAGTTGATCCACATCTTGATTTTGTCAAGTGTTGATGTTTGTTTGGCGTAACTAGGAGGGTTTGTTTGAGGCTTTTCGCCTCGATTGATTTTAACGATCACGTGATCATGTGTATTTGCCCCACTTTTCGATCTTTATATAGGCCGTTTATATAGGGGACTTTTAATAGGGGTCACTTAATAGGGGACCTCGGATATCTTTAAATTTTTAGCCCAACTTGGTCGCTAATTCCTAATTAAATAATTTAACAATATCTTCGTAGTCGCCCGCCCACTATATATTATAATGGCAAACAAACGTCTCGCCTAGCCCGGGCTTCTGGGCCACCACAATCACCCCCCTCGTGTTATCCAACATGGAAAGGGGTAAAGTGACCTGTCCGATCGTACCTATTTTTACGTTGTTTCCATCCTTCGAAACTAAAACAGAGATGAAAAGTACATAGTGAAGGACTAGCGAAAAAAAGCAATAATTTTAGGCCTTGAACTTGTTATGTAGCCCGTAAATTATAGTGTAATTACGCAATTAATATATCACGGATGGGATAAATACGAGGACTATCAGTACTAATATTACATATAACGTACGTGCAAACAAAGAAGATTGTATTTAATTAGGAACAACCAACTCTATCATGATCGTTAATAAAAATCTGTCGGTAAAAATACCGTGCCCTGGTACCAAAGATTTTCACCATAAATTAATAAAACCAATCATACAGCTGCAGCAAGATTACTGGGAATAATAAGATTAATTGAAGATGAATAGATAGCGGTGAAAGGGCTATTCGCTATTCGTAGACTCGGGTGCATATGTAGTAATTCATTCAGTCTTAGCATGCCCGTCGGCGTCTATAGCAATTCCTTTAGAGGTTCGAAGGACTCATCCCCCCACAAATGACCAAATTAAAGTGTGATTGAGCGGCAGCCAACAGCGCGGACCTTAGGCGCCTCAATAAAATGTGGGCCTCGCTTGCTGCTCTCAATTAATAGTGTCCGCGACCAGGAAAGTGTGTCGCAAATTTTTCCCTCATCAATTAGGAAGTCTATTTTCCTATAATATCTAGGCTGTTAGTCTTATATTTATGTAAATTCGCTTGGAGCGACTTGACAGCCTTCAGTATACCTAGTGTGCGTGAAGGGTTGAAAAATACGTGGGTTAGGTACTGGTATTTATCACGCCTGTGACGACTGCCTTCACAAACCAACACTCACACACCTGAGCACACCCTGCGACAGGGGGTTTTGAAAAGGTCTAGGAGAAATAATTCCGAGCGTTTGCTCATTTATTCTTCTAGTCTTTCCACTTTTCAACTTTTCACATCCCAGTTCACGTCCCAATATCCAGAGGCCTGACGATTTTTACTCTACCTTATTAGGTGAGACGTCGCTAGCCGACTCTAACGCTTTACCTAAAAACTAATGTTATACAGAACAATACCGAAAATGGATGGTACTCCCAACCATCCGATCAAATGGGGGACTTATCGAGAGGGCGTCCGGTCCCAGCTGCAAAGATTTGAGTCCCTACCACAGGATGGCCTCGCATTAATGCAGTCCTATCAGGCTGTCCTCGACAACGATGAGACTTTCACCCAGTACTTCTCGGACGAGCCACTCGAAAGTTACACTATCGAGTCGCGACTAAGGGAAACACTGGGGATTCATCCTCCGTCTTCATCTGACACTGAGTCGTCTAGAGATCAGAATGATCCCTCGATCAGCTGGGTCAACATTTTCCGACACGGCAGTTTCGAAAAACAAAGTGACGGTTCCTACCACTGTTACGATCAAGGGAACCTCGTTAAAATCGATGAACCACTTCACAAAAGCATCCTCCTCAACCGATGCTTCCTCCCGGCAAACTCCTACCTGTGGCCAAGTCCCGCGGACGCTGAACGAGAGTCCGAAGTCACTCTGGCAATAGAGGCAGACATCTTGGATGAAATCGACAGAAAGGTCAAATGTGCGTACTTCCCATACTTTTTTACACTCGCAGGTCGTAAGAGACATGCTAATGAAATCAGACGTGGAGAAACTGAAGCGACTTCAGCTGGCACTGAAGAAACGCCGAATCAAACTTCTCCAAGGTGTTCAAGACCCCGTGAAAAGGTCTCGAACACCGCAAACCCCTGGATTACAGTATCCTACCCCGAGCGAGTCACTTCGTCCCACGGTATCTGTTGAGACGTATACCCGTGCACGCAGTTCATCCCAAAGCTCAGGTGTCTCAAGTGGATCCGACATCCCTTTCACGGCCCCTGGCGATACGACAAGGCCAGTATCTTACGACAGTGATGACGATAATGATGATGCGGTTAACGACTCAGACCAACAAGAAAATTCGAATGTCATCACCGAAAGCGACCAGAAAGCATATGAAAATGGAATGGGAGTGTCGGTGTCTGGACTTCTCAGCAGCAGAAAGCCCCAGGTCGCACAAAGCCAGGATCACACACAGAGTCCAAAGCCATTCCAAGGAGATGGGTCAGCGAAACACCAGCTCCATGGCAACGAGGACCTGACGCGACCGCCCCTGAAAAAGCAAAAGACCGAGACTGCCCCGTCCCCAGCAGAGATCGAGACCATCGACCTCAGTGAAGAACTGCCAATGTGGAAAGGAAAGGTCGATACGCCCACTAAACCTGAGCCCACATACTCCAGCACGGGAAAGAAACGCAAAGGACAAAAGCGAACACGGAATAACTTCACCGACTACGAGAAGGAGCACGCCCCAGCCTGGTTCAAGAGCCAGATCAACGCAGGAAAGCCCCCGAGCGAAATTGAGAAGGCCTATGTCGAGAAATTCGGTGTCTTCCACCGCTGGCTGACCGTGAAGCTTTGGGTCGACCGGATGGATGAAAGGGCCGCCAAAGCAGAGAAAACGGTCGAAGCAGAGAACCCCAGCAAAATCGTGGTATTGAAAGTACAACTCCCGTCGCATCTTCGTTTGGCCTTTTTGAATGACAATCCACCCTAGCCGATTCGGACATTCCCTACGAGCCGGGTAATCTCAGCAGCTGATGCTGCCCCCAGCTCTCGTATTGCCGCCGCGCCGCCCTATGTATCCCCATACCCTCTATTCCGGTCCCCCCAGCAGCCTGGGGGCTCACCCGTCCCATACCAGCTGGACTGGCCTTCTAAGACGGCTGCATCGACATCATTCAAGAGTGGCCTTCCGAACGTGTACTGATAGGTGGGCTTGGATGTCAGTTATTGCAGGTCATTTTTCCACTGACACCACTTCCATCACATCATTTCTAAGACCCAAAAAGTTCGCTCATGGTATGTTTCATCATTTAATAGCACCCTAAGTATTGACTAATCTGAAAATTCTCATTTAGCAGGAAGTCTTACTTCTGTTTGTGGTCTCCGCATATTCTTCATGCAACTGGTCAATACGTATCTCCATATCAGCCACTTGTTTACCTAATAATACCATTCCTACCATTTGAAAGGACTTTCTCTGGGTGTATTCTTTTGTCATTAGTGAAGATACAGAAAATATACGTATAATGGACAACCTAGTTGGCCACTTAATGTGATCTTGACTATATAGGAGTTATAGAACTCAGTAACAGGCATAGGACGATATAACGTAAAGATCAAAGTGCTGAGCTGATTTCCTTCCTTACACGTTACTTTGTTACCATCCGTCTTGGCTCGATTGCCGGAAGTTTTCCAAATCATGGCGTGCATACACCGGATTATCATTGGTCAATCATGTTCAGTTTGTTTGAAACATTTGCAAGTTGCAAACACTCTCGACCTCCTTTCTTTGTCTCGCCGCGAGATTCTCTTTACAGTTCCGCTTTTCTTTTCTAGTCTCATTATCCAAAGTACCTCCGCTGTTTATGATTCATCCCCAAATCGTGATATTGGCTGAGAGGCCCTGTCAAGGGAAAGTAACATCCAGGTGTGGCCGACGGCACCTATCCATAGTCAATCATGGAAACCCCAGATGCAGTAAACATTGAAAAAGAAAGCCCGGTCCCGTACGAGCCTCCTCTTCTCGGCGAATGTCTCGTTGTCGCGCTAACCAGGCCATCCACCTACGCAGCTACCTCAGTAGCCAACAGTCTCAATTAGTATACGTCCCTCTCTCTCTCCCTCCCTCTCTCTCTCTCTCTCGATGGTCGCCCCCAATTTTGAGAGTACCCACACTAGTACGCTGCATGTAGTGCCTCCTTTCTGGACGGCCACTCACCTTCGTATCTCCTTTAGCGTAGCTGAGAAGGAGAAATGAAATGGTGGTTGGAATCCTCGAATTGGGTTGCCGGGGAGGGGGATAGCTGGTAATACTCGGCTGAACACGTGCCTGCGAGACCGCTACTCCATACTGTAAGATTCATAAACACAATGAAAGTGTACTCAAAAGCGATTATGCAGTATATTCACAAAAATTAGTTGTAAGTACAGAAGGTATAAGCGCGCTATCGGGTTTCAATCCTTTGCTAAAAGCATAAGAAATAAACAATCATTGTGTAGTGATCGAATGCAGATAGTAAAGGCCCCTGAATCCACTGTAGATGCTTCAAAAAGTGCCCATTCACTGTTCTTATTCTTACAGGGCAAGAGCAAGACCGAGAACACCAGCGGCGCCAGCAAGGCTCATGGCGATACCAGTAGGGGCGGCACCACCATCGGCAGTGGTGGATGCAGCAGATCCGGACGGCGAACCGGAAGCCGAGGACGAAGCATCAGAGCTAGAGGCATCAGAGCTGGAAGCGTCGGTGGAGGTGGCCTCAGCAGCGCTGGGGCTGGAGCTGCCGCCAGAGGAAGTGATCTCGGCGGCAACGGAAGATGCGAAAGAAGGATAGTAGTCCTCAACAGCAGTGGTGACGTACTCCTTCACGCTGTCGGGAAGGCTGCTGTACCAGGTAGGCCAGGAGTTGGATACCATGCCTTGCTCGACCTGAGAAAGGAAGGCGGCGGTGTTGGTGGCTTCGGCCCAGAATGAGGTTGGGACGGCAGTTGCGATAACCATGGCAATAGAGGGAGGAATGAGATCCTCGAGCTCGCCGGCCGCGGATTCAAGAGCGGAATCAGTGTCGGCCGGGGCGGCCATGGCCATGCTGGCGAAGAGGACAGCTGCGAGAGACTTGTACTGCATGGTGACGGTTGAAGTATATGCTTGGGGTATAAGATAGAGAGAATAATACAACGGAGCTGAAGAACAGGTGCCTTTGGTGTGCTTGAGTAATTGAAAGAAAGAAAGAATCAGCCTCCGGGGTCTTTATGCTTAAATACTTAAATGCGCCCCCGATGCGTTGTCACAAACCCTGGAAGGTATTGCGAGGCTTGGGGCTCCAGCGGCGAAGCCCGAATGAGCCTGCCGCACTATCTTCCCGGGCTCCACCGCTAACGGCCAATCGCTGCCTCGTCGCCCCCAAAGCAAATGGAGAAAAGGCACACCGGATATCTTTATAGTGCAATCCTTCGCCCTATATTTTCGACCCTATAATTTCGAACGTTGGGGGCCAGCTCCACTACGGCGAAAATTACCCACCACTGTACTCTGTACAATCCAGGGCGAAGCTGCTATCGGCTTACTGATATCCCCTTTTTTCTGCACCCTGAACTCTTACAAGCCCTAATCATCCTCCTGAGCTTGACACTACAGTCGGAACAGGAAGGTCCGGTGTTCTACCCGCCCGCCGAGCCCCAAGACTCATTACGCATGCCTTCTTTGCACGCGGTTCATCATTGGAGTTGGAGGCTCTTGGAAATTTATATGACATCATTTTCTAGGGGCCAAAACGTACTTAGAAATATTCATTGATACTTTGTACGGTGTTTGACTAGTGTTTAGAAGGTATTCCTGCACGGGGTTCTTGGTGCGATCCGAGTGTTCAATAAGAGAATATGCACTGCCCACGAAATCATGTCGCCCATTATCATTCGTGCGAAGTTATTGTCACAGGATAACTATCAAAAAGGATCTGCATTGTACACAGCCCTACAGGCCACGTTGTTTGTGTTGGCTAAAAGGGCATCGTAGATGCCCACAGTGAGATTGTAACGAAAGCAAACGGTCTACTGTGCGTAGCAATGCTGAGAGGCATTAAGTTGGGCCTGTTTGACTGCTATGCGATGGACGGTGGCAGTGCTTGGGGTGTTCTTGTACAACATAGCCACTCATAAGTACATGTTTTTATCCTCAACATTCGTCATAGTTATGAACTACTCAGGCTGGATGACTAGGATCTTCATATTCTTGACTTAAAATGATGGGCACCCACATTAATCACATTTTACACAGTTGCATGGATAACGCACCCGCTAGGGTCTCATATATATATCAACTCACACTAGCAGTATGGACTGTATTATAGTGCCACTCTGGGCATAATCTATTACAGTTTATGTATATATCCTTTGAACAACAGAGCAAGGATGGTTTCTTCGTAGAGAAACATGAAGATAGTGGCTTCTGTGCCCAAGAAGATCGCCATTCACTGCCAGACCAACGACCACAGCCCCACTTTATATGTCCACATGAGGCTGTTTCTGTTGTTGGAAGGAAATTTCGTCCATTATTGATGTACCAGGACGATTTGAACAATATGAGAAATTGAAGAAACATAAACCGTTGAAGTAAAAAAGTGCTACCCTACCTCTTTGTTTATGAAGGAAATAATTATTTGAAAGAAATGGGTAGACTAGACCTGCTCTGCCAATTTTGATAGAATATATATAACGAAAGTGGCATCTGGTATCAAACATCTATAGTAATCGTTCACCCCGTCCACGGGTACTCCCCTTTTCTTCCCATTCATTAAAAAAAATAGTAGACGTAATGGTCTCTTTTCGTCGTAAAAAACAAGGGTATAAAAGAATAAGAGCAAAAAGAAATCTCTCCCTCGGGGAATCGAACCCCGGTCTCCCGCGCTTATCGGTGTTAATGACAAGCGGAAATCATCACCACTAGACCAAGGAAGATGTGATGGCTGAGTTACTGCTCGGCCACTTGGCTGGTTGATGGAAAAATGAGGAAGACAATGCTTCATGAGCTTCTTAGAAGTCGTAGACCCTTCAACCATCTACCCCTCTCTTCTCATCCAATCACTGTGCAGTTTATTGGCCGGTCCTTAGCAACATGCTACCTTAAAACAATTCCATGACCATTCTTTGTGGAGATAGCCCAGCCTAAATCCCACCATCTCCACCCTTCAATGTCCTCAAACGGGAAAGTCCTGGAGATGTCCGGGTCTACCTAGGTAAGAAGAACACTCCGACTTCCCCGCAAGAAGCAATAAATACCGTAGAAATCGCCGCAATTCTCCACGCGGGTTCAAGAATTACAGAAAACTAGGAATCATGACATCCGTTTTCAAGAATGGGCGCATCTTCATCCCTTCGCAAGCCTCGAATAATGAGGGGAATTTTGCCGAGAGCATGATCATCGAGAATGACAAGATCTCCCATGTCGGCTCTCTCGACGGAATAACTATCCCGGAAAATGCAAATGTCATTGACCTGGAAGATCGGACTGTTATTCCAGGCTTCATCGACGCCCATGTACACCTCCTGCATTACGGGCAGTCATTGCGCAAGGCCGATCTCATCGCATGCACCTCACTCGATCAAATCCGTGCAGTCATCAAATCTTACGCCGAAGCCCATCCTTCTCTGCCGCATATCCTATGCAGAGGCTGGATCCAATCATCTACCAATGGAGTCGCACTAGCAAGTATGCTGGATGGTATCGACTCACGTCCCATCTTCATTGATTCCTTCGACCTCCACTCCATGTGGTGCAGCGCAGCTGCTCTCGATGAGATGGGGGTTCATACTGCCCCTGATTTTCCCGGTGGAAGAATCCACCGCGATGAAAATGGAAGAGCTTCAGGGCTGCTTGACGAATCTGCCGTTGTGAACCTTGCATGGCCGTATCTAGAAAGTGTTACGTCCACGGAAGACAAACTGAGTGCCTTGGACACTGCAGTCGCTGCATACACCGCTGCCGGGTATACCGGAGTAGTAGATATGGCCATGGACGAAGGAACCTGGGAGATTCTGAATCTCTACCGTCGCGATCATACCATCCCATTCCACATCGGCGTTCACTGGCTCGTCCCCTTCTCAGCGGATCAAAATGCCAACTTCAAACACCTCGATCGAGCAATCCAGCTACACCGGGAGTACAACCAGCCCGATTTCCATGTCCTCGGAATAAAGCTCATCTGCGACGGTGTCGTCGACGGATGCACTGCCGCTCTCCTCCAACCGTACACTGGTAAATCCGATCCCGTCGAGCCAATCTGGCCAGAGGATATGCTCCAAGAAGTAGTCCAGCGTGCCGACTCAGCGGGAATCCAATGCGCAATTCATGCCATAGGCGACAGAACTATCCATCAAGCAATCAACGTGCTGTCGAGAGTCGGCACGCCAGGCCGGAGACACAGAATCGAGCACCTGGAGCTGACGACCTCAGAAGACGCCAAGCGACTCGGTCAGCTAGGTATTACCGCCTCGATCCAGCCTGTGCACTCGGATCCGATGCTTTTCAAAGCCTGGCCTGGCCTTGTGGGCCCTGAGCGCTGTAAGCGCGCGTTCGCCTACAAGGAGTTTCAAGATGGAGGTGCCCCTATTGCTATCGGCACTGATGCTCCTACTGCGGCTCATTTCCCTTTCCCTAATCTTTACAATGCTACTACGAGGCGCTCGGCGCTTCAGACTGAGATGGATCATACTGTAAACGAGCATTTCAAGTTGGGGTTGGTTGAGGCTGCTACGGCTGCTACGGCTGGTGCGGCTTATGCGCGGTTTGCTGATTCCTGGACTGGGAGTCTGCAGAAGGGATTATATGCGGATTTCTTGGTTGTTGATACGCAGTGGACGCCGGAGACATTGCTTCAGGCGCGTGTCTGCCAAACTTGGTATCGGGGGAAGAAGGTTTTTGATTCATGAAGCTATTGATAGGTGTGACTTACAGATTCATAATCAGATAAAAGAATACATGAGTGTATAAAGAGGTCACTAGTAGTATTGCTTTTTCTATTCCTTATGACGTTTTTGCTTCTATGCGGGGTGAACATCACGGTGACATCACCAGTACACGCTTTTGCCTCACGAAACAATTTGCGACTATCACAAATGTACGATTTATCACAATGTACGATGCGCAGTTCATGAGTGAAATTGTGTAGTATCAATTGACAATTTCTTAATTTACAGCTTATCATCGCATCATGAAGGCATCATTCCTAGTTCCGATCTAGTCCCTCAGAGCTTCAGTGTAGTTCCAAGTCCAACAAAGTAAATGAACGCCAATTACTCCTCGACTTTTTCAGGCTGTTCCTGGAGTCCACGGTCGGTACTTATATCAGAGAGGAAGGAAGCTGATACTCGTTAGTACAAATAAAGATCCCGGGGTTCGTAGTTCGGGTATAACAAAGACATACTGTGATCTACCTCCTGTGAAGACCGACGCTCTGTGTTCTTGTGCACACCTTCCAAGGCATGTTGGTGGGCAAGCTCCGCGCACATTTCACGGCCAGATCTGTTATATTTGAATTTGTCAGTTACGGGATCCTTGGGCAAGCTTCGAAAGTCTAAACGCACGGGGCGACTTCTCTGTCTACCATGAGATCCTCATATTTGGCATCGGATTGGTTCTTCTGTTGGTCCTCCATTTCTCCAAGAGAGCTGCGGCGCTTTTCGTAATTGGGATCTAGGGGGTTTTGATCTCTGTCGGTTTTGACCATGTTCGAGGGTGTAGATTGTGTAGACTGTAGTGGTGGCAAATGGAGTGTTGATATATGTGGGAGTATTGAGAAGCGAATTCGTTTGGAAATATGTTGGAAATTGAGAGAAAATTAAACTATTTATCTTATGTTGAATGCGGGGAGTCTTCGATGTCATAAGTTGGGCGTGGCAAACTTATGATATAAACACTTCTGGCGAACCTATCAGATCCATCTTGATCCTGGGATTTGAACAATGAATGTCGGCCATCCTAGCTATTGACCATGAAGAAACAAAAAAGGGGGGAAAGGGGGTTTTAACTGTTGTGATACTCACCTGAAGCCGAATTGCTCGTTACACGAGGCGAAATAGTTTATATGGCCAACTATGTATGAGGTCAAGTGCTCGTCAATGGGTGACAAGATGGCAAAATTAGTAATATTCTGGTCTTTTCTACTGTGATTTGGATTGTGGAATGAAACAATAAGTGGAGGAGGGATGTGAAAATATAGATGTAATGATCCTCATCGTCCATCCTAGATATATATCTATTGGTGGCTTACCCTCGAGGCCGGACCATTACGAGGAAATTCCAAGGCTTCTAGATCTCGATGAGAAGTAGTAGCATTGATTTTTCAAGTATGAGACAAGTCAGCGCCATCTCTTAGGAATAAAGGTCTTTTCTCTCTAATTCTCTCACAAAGCAAGGCTTCAGTGTTGGCCCTCCTCGCAACACACAATGTCATTCTTCGTAAATTCCTTCCGAAGCCGAGATGACAGGTTAGTTGCCATTGTGCGTAGACCTCGCGGGGGACTTGGAAGATGGCGAATACGATAAGACAACAAAATTGAGTTCTGTTCCTGACTTTCCAGTATCAAAAATGGCCATTGGCATGACCGTTTGAGTAGAGCCAGACAGTAATTGATGGACGCCACAACGATGCCGGGCTGCTGTCAACCGGGCAAATCATCGTGGCTTGAGTCGAATGAAGACTTCATCTAACCTAGTATTAGTTCCGAAGTCCGCATGGTCAATGTTAGTTTGTCCCTTTGTCAAGTGCAGATATATGCAAACAGGGAAGTAATTGCCTAAATAAGAAAACATACTAGTATCTATTAGGCAATGGAATGCGATCGGAATCGACCCACAACAAAGTAGTTTGGAATCAGAGCTCGGATCCGAATTCAAAGATTCGCTTCGGCATGGTTTTGATCATTGGAACGTTCCTACGGAAAATTGACCCCGGAAGTTCGTAAATAACCCATATGCGGCTGAAGCGACTACCAAAGTGCTATTAATAGGGTTATGATTCTACAGAACCTTGGAAGGATAGTCAATTTGAATAATAGGTTAGAAGGTGACCACGGCTATGAGAGAGGACAAAAACTGAGCAAAACGAGACTACTCCAGTCACTTGGAGAGTAATTCCTTTACTAAAATGCTCCCATTAAAGTAAATTAAGCCATTCTCTTGGCTTCATAAGGCGATCCTTCAGACCCCACTACGTCTTGGCTTCTTGATACAGACTAGGTACAATATACATAGAACGATTAGCTATCCGATACTGAAGCTGCAAGATCGCAAGACGCGGAGCGATAATGATAGCCGGAGCAAAAGATCGTCTTCGAGACCCGATGGACGGAAATTGTATAGTTCGAGGGCAAGGTAGACCGAACATGATTCGCCTCGGGATGAATCCTGTAGGGACAAAGTCAATGTGGGGTGCAGCAGCAGGTCATTTAGCTAATTCCTTCATCTAAGCGTATCAACAGAAGAACCGGTCAAAGCAACACCATTAACCAACCAGGTTGTGTCAATTCAAATTGACCCTGGGGCATATTGTCACTAGTCCAAATGGGGCTACTGTCTGGAGAACCGGGTTCTGGTGGGGAGAGGATCGCTCTGTTCGGATCATCGGATCCTCAGTCGAGATGGCGCGCACAGAATTTTTTTGTGGCAGCTCGGATGCATTTAAATGAAGCTGGATTCTCTGTTTTCTGAAGGGCTGATGTTGAGGAAACCCGATTTTGCTGGTAGCGACTACGATCTATATCAACCTTTTGAGAGGAAAAATTACATCATATCTTCAAGTTGAAGTTCGGTTCACTTTGGATCCCCACGCGGACCAGGAGGACAACAAGAATTTGCGAATCAAGACCAGCCTTGAAGAGTTTAGTTGAGTCGCTTGGGATCGGAATGGTGTTCGCACGTGGTGATATCTCTGGCCATGACGATCAGAGAATTACCTTAGGTAAAACCGGAACACCACCAGCAACTCGGATCCAGAATATCGACTAACAGCAACACAGATCATCAAGACCCCAACAAAGATGTTACAATCGTGTCCTGGGATGGTCCGCGTGATCCTGCAAATCCATACAACTGGTCTCTGTGCGAGAAATGGCTTCTCACAGCTCTCGCCGTGTTCGCCACTTTCATGACCATGATCAACGGCACAATCATCACAGTAGCCCACGATCCCATGAATGAACGCTTTAACATTTCAGACGCCAACTTTCCTCACTCCTACTGGCCCGTCACGTCGTGGGCCCTTGGCGGTGGTTGTTTCTCCCTGCTAGTCCTTCCCCTTATGGAGGACTTTGGTGTGCGATGGGTGTTCCTGGGCACGTACGTGACCTTCCTCTGTTTTGTCGTGCCGCAGGCCGTGGCACAGAATTTCTACACGCTAGTAATAACGAGATTCTTCGCCGGAGGATGCGTCTCCATTCTTGCCAATACCTCTGGCACGGTGATTGGGAATGTTTGGGACACGGAGCGAAATCGCAACGTCCCTGTTAGTCTTTTCATCCTTGCCTACCTGGCGGGTAGTAGCATTGGACCCGTTATTGGAGCTTCTATCTACCACGCACTCACGTGGAGGTGGATTGGCTATATCCAACTCATTTGGTATGGTGTTTTCTTCCCTCTGTACTTCTTCTTGTTTAAGGAGTGTCGTGGAATTGCAATCCTAGGACGGCGGGCTAAGGCTCTGCGACGTGAAGGGAAGAATGCCTATACCCAGCATGAAATCGACACGCAAGGCCAGTCGATCTTAAGCATCGTTGGCCACAGCGCGAGCAGGCCTCTTTTCCTATTCTTCACCGAGTCTGTGGTGTTTGTGTCGACGCTATGGTCCGCCTTTACCGTCGGTACGTTGTATCTGTTCACTCAATCCGTTGAGCAGGTATTCGAAGAGCTGTATGGTTGGACGCCAGCACAAGCTGGGTACGTCCAATCAGCAGTCGTGATCGGGGAGCTTTTAGGATGGGTGTGTACCTTGTTCTCGGGAAAGCTCTACTTCGACTCGGCATCGCGCAATAAGGAAATCCCCGGTACGCCTATCCCGGAGGCTCGGCTGTATCTCGCCATTGTGGGCGGAGTATTCGGGATCTCCGGTGGTATGTTCACATACGCGTGGACATCGTATTCGGACTTCCCGTGGATCGCCCCGGCTGTTGGTCTCGCTATGGTAGGAGCCGGTAGTGTCATTGTGGTGACGGGAATTTCCGACTATGTGGTCGATGCATACAGCAAATACGCGGGAAGTTGTATGGGTATCATTGCTACTGGCGAGAACACCCTGGCGGCGTTTCTACCTCTAGCTACTATGAGCATGTACACTCACCTTGGCCTCCAGTGGGCTAGTACTCTATTAGCCTTCATTGCGTTGGCTCTTTCTTTTGCGCCAATATTGGTGCTTGTTTGGGGTAAAGAAATCCGTGCACGGAGTCCATTCATGAAGGAAGCTATGGTAGAAAAGAGGAGGAAGAGTATCGATTCTGTCTAACGGTTTTTTCTCTGCAAACAAAGGGGTTTGAAGGACGTATTACACATACCAACAGACTTAAGAGTATGTTTGCTGTCTTCGCTGAATACTTTATTTTGTCCAATTCAGCTTTATCCATGATTCTTGCGGACAAGTAAAGCAATGTCATCCGCAACTCCGAGGAGTAGTTTTTTAGCCTAAAGGCTTGAACAAGGTTAAAAGGCACTTTGATATGTTCCAGTCTGTTCCAGCCTAAGCAAACCTTAAACTATAGACGACATTCCCACCTCAGCCCCCTGCATAAACAAGAACACATGGAGTGAATTCAAGATGAATGCCAAGAGACGAGTGGATCTAAATTGTAAGCAAAATATCAATATGGTTTGAATCAGGGGGATTTTTCATCGAACTCAAGAAACGTCGGAGATATTCCAGATTGCGGTATAGATCGAGGAGGCGACGCTAGCCCGAAATGAACTTCTCCCTTAACCTCCACATGGGCCCTTCCACATTTGTCCAAAGGTCCTTGAGGCAAGTGATAATTGTGGATTGACATTGTTTTGTTGAGGAGGTCAGCTATAGACTGACCAGACAGAAGAAAATCGAGGGAAAAGAAAAAAAGAAAAAAGAAAAAGAAAAAGGGGGAAAAAAGACCCATCGCCAAAAAGCACCACACCAACAAAACACCACACCAAGAAAACATCACACCAACAAAATACCACTATCGCAACCCACGATTCGACGACCGGACCAGGAACAATAGCCGAATTACCCCGTTAGTCTTGCTCCAAGAACAGGAGGTTAGACGGGCCGCCTTCCTTCTTCCTGTATACCTAGGTAGGTCGTCGACCAACATATCTTTCCGCATGAGGCTCCTTGCATGAGAGGAGGAATAACGTCCCCACGTTTTTCTCAATTGTCGGATTTCTAGATCGTTTCAGGACGGACGATCAAACGGCTTGATTCCCGGTGCCCTGTGCGATGACTCGTGCTCAGAATAGCATCTGAGGACGGCATTTGAACAAGCTAGGTGTCAATACCGACGGCTTCTCCTTTGCCGGGGCCGCGAAATCCTGGTCAGAGTTGAAACCCCCGGCCAGAGTTTATATTCATGAGGATGCGATAAGGATTTCATGGATATCGTGGATCTGGACATATGTCTACGGAGTACATATCTTGACCTCGATCTGGTAGGACTCCGATGGGTTAGACACCAGCAATTGTTGTACAATATACACAGTGATCTTCATTCT